TCCGGGTGAGTGTAGTCCTGAGAAGGACTGGACTAACTTGGAACAGACTCCCCTCAACGGGTATCAACCACTACCGGCACCATACAAACGACTCATCCACGACATTAACATTACAAACGAAACGAACAGAACGACCTAACTTCACTAACGGATCCAAACCGACCAATCACGACTGACCTACGCCACTTGAGTCTTTTAGCCAATAACATCACGGCAAAACTGACCAATCAGTGTACACAAACCGGACTAAGTACATTCGACTGACGACAACCTTTCACTTGACTCTGATGATGACTTCCGCTCAGGTTGTCAAAACGTCAGTCACCACTACCGACAACAGTCCTTCTCAGGTCTACACTCACCCGGACGATCAAACTACACTATTACAAGTAGTAGTAATAGTAGCAGTATTAGTGGTAGTAGTAATAATAGTGGTAGTGTTAGTAGAGATAGTAATGCTAGTAGTGGTGGTAGTAATAATAGCAGGTAGTTAACCTAGTAGCCTAAAAGGTGAAGCCATAGTTTAGTCGGGGACGTAGCCAGGATTTTTCAAAGGAGGGTCACACTGTGTCAAACAGAGGGTATTCACCAGATCATCATGTCGACCTCAACGCCGTGTTTTACTTAATGTCACAAAAACAAAAACAAAACAATTACCCTTACGCCCTTGTAATTACCTTTTTCCCGAAAATGCTCCAAGTCAAACATGTTGAAAGAGTATATATTGGCCCCTTCGTTCTGTATGACAGTGAATGGTCCTTTTGTTCCCATGGTAACCTCATCATGAAGTCTGAATGAAACATAAACAATTGATTATGTATTCATCATTATAAATACGAGTGATGTTAAGAAAGAATTAGAGTTGAGTAAGTGAGAAAACTAGATTCAGCGAAATTTAAAAGAATCAAAATGAAAAAAGGGCGATGCACTTCAGGAGAAATCTCTCTTTTTTTATCGATTCAAAGCCAACTGTTTACAGGAACAGAGTCAGTGAAGAACTTGGATTCCCCTGGTCGTTTGATCAATAGAAACTAGTATTACCAGTAATGAAAACATTTATTGATCAGTTTTGGATATCCGACCCATCTGGCTTTTGAGAATATCAAAATTATTTCTTCCATTACTGTTAAGTGGTCACATACCTGGATCCTTTAAAGATGGTTACTCCTTTCACATTTCCTACTCTTCTCCATCCCCAGTCACCCTTCATGAAGTAAAGATCTCCGTCGCCATAAGAGTTATCGAAGAAGATTCCGGACGAGAGGCTTCCACGTTTACCTCTTAATCTATATAATGTATATCGATTTCAAATAGGAAAGATCGTGTTTTTGTTCAAGATAGGCCGTCTTCCTAATACTCTTAAAAGATTATTTTCGTTATCGAGTAGCCATCATTGCTATTGCATCCGAAAATGCAATTACTTTTACATATTCCTTGCAGAACAAATATAAAAAAGTTTGCGTTATGTTTTCAAGGACCTAAATTTTTCAATTCTCTGAATAGAGAAATCCAAAATGTTGGCACATTTTCCCTGTTCGTTATGACTTTTTGGGAGCTCCGCTGGAACGCAAGTTCTGTGGTAATACCATCAATGTTAACACTGGGAGTTTCCGCGAGTACATCGAATTCCTCTCAAGAAGGTACCAATATTGAGAGTAGCTCCAATTGACAGCAGGTTACCATCTGCTCCTAAATCAACGACCAGGAAGTCATTTTTAGTATACTCGTTGCGACCCACCATGCCACTCATTACGAACACATCATTCCCTGCTCCAGTGTCGATCTTCACTTGCCCATGTACGGGATTTATCCGGGTCAACTCATCAATGCTGATTCGGTCGCTCTCCGGTTCACAATGACCAGCTCTAGTGTCATCCGAATGGCTTGTCTTTCTTTCACGCTTGGAAGCTTCGTCCCTAGAGGAGAAGTGGCTAAGGTCCACATCATTGTACTGGGGTACAGCTGAGATTTAGATTTGATACTCACGAGTGTGAGTCCCAATCGAATGGGACAACACAAAGTGTTGTTTCTAATTAATCAAAACTATGAAGAAATTAGAGAACCAAAATACTCATCCGTTTGACATTTTCATAGCTGTAAACATAGTTGACTTTTTCCACGAAAAACTGTACCCAAAAGTTAAGCATTTTCGAGAAACTGTACCCAGAAGTCTGTGTAACAACGCGCAGGTAGCGTGAATTGTGCAGTGACACAAGCATGACCTTTAAACTGTCCTATCAAACTGTCCAGTCACAAGCATGACGGGTACACTGTTCCATTTGTGCTCCAATTGTATTGCTGATAGCCAATCACGTTCAAGAGATTTTTGATAGCTCTGACGATAAAGTTAAGTCAAGGCAATAGATTACAACTATCTTTTTTCTCATTAGTGGACTGACTGATCTGTGTGTCAAAAATGTGAGATAAATTACTTCATGATTAATTATGCGAGGAAATGGGCTGGCTGTGCATCAGCACTAAAATGGGCTGGCTGTGCATCAGCACTAAAATGGGCTGGCTGTGCATTAGCACTAAAATGGGATACACAGCTGTTCTTGTTATCTCAAAAGATACATGTTCGCATTGTGGGATGCTGAATAAGAAAAGAAATAATCACTCTCAGGGAAATTCATTAAATTTATTTCCACAGCTCTGCACTAATATTATCATTAAAGTACATCGTAACATTGGTTGTTCTTGTAATTGTAGCAGTGGTTTTCAGCTTCACATTGTTTAGCTGACAAGCGCAGGTACTTTATCTTGGCTCCCCTGTACTGATAACACACCGAATCTAGCAAATAAAAATGACACAATGAGCAAAGCAGTTAATGTGTGGTCAATCTGACACACACACGTTTGTTGTGAGAACTTTTCAAGTTTAGAATATCAACTGCTTTCAGAGCTCTTGAATGAGCTTTCAGTGTTTAAGCAAAGCACAGCGGCATTCGGCTTTCGATGCTAACAACTCAAAAGGAGCTTCGCTAATGATGATGGTTATAACTGCGTGATGTTCAACTTATATAGGAGGGTAAATTTTACCAAGTCTTAAAGATGAAGTTTTCAAGCCTATCTAATTTTTCTCCTTTATAGAGATGGCTCTTAGATGATAATTTTCCTACCTTTGCTGTAGTAGCATATGGCTGTCATCATATTGCGCCTTCGTGTATCCCACCCATCCGACCAAAAGCATCTATCTGGTTTACTATCACAGTCCTCTTGACTGGTATGCCATGGTGCGGCCATAACTGACATCTGTAATACATACTCACCAGGAGTCACGCATCCGCTGGGTACTAAAAAGGGTAAAAATCATAATTTATATCTGTAAGATTTTCAAAGTACAGTATCCATTCGCCTGGTTTGTTAAAACACACAATACCAGAGTGCTTTTCGTTTGAGTCGGTGTCGCCCCAAACCCGAAAATAAATACAGATACTGTATGTGGGATACTGTGTGTGGAATGCTTGTCACAAATTTAGGCGAGGAATGCTCTGGATCAACATCTAGTTCTCTGAAGCTCAGTGGTAAAGCATGGGAGCATAAATCTGAAGGTCTGAGTTCCATTCCTTGTAAGGATTCGGACAGTTTCTTTGATCTACGCCCGTAACTCCCGCCCGTAACTCCCCCGCCCCCCACCCCCAAATAAAATAAAATAAAAGTCAATCTCCTCTTCTCGACTGAGTTCAACAAGTGGTTGTCTTTCTTATTCTAATATTTTCGTGTTGGTGTGAAGGTTCCCGTATCACTTAGCGCTAAAAATTTGCTCAAATACCTGCTTCTAATGTAAATGTGTCCTCCATGCTTGGGAAGTTTCTAGTATAAAGGTTCTTATATCCCGTAACACTTCCACGGCCGCCATCATGAAACTTCAACCAGTTACTCCTCATACTTTCATACCTTTCACCTGCTTTTCCTTGAGTTCGGATGCCAATCACAGGGCCCCTCTTGCGAGATACGATAAAATTGAATCTGTACCGGTCTTTGGCACTGACTCTCGTCAGCTTGTTGGCGTACACGCCATACTGAGAGTAAACTGGATCTGCGTCGAAGTAATAGCCAGATGGATTTTTGGAGCTGGAGAGAATCTCAAATCTGAATACATTTTCAACTGCTTAAATATAGGTTCAGAATGAGCGTTAAAGGTACTTCTTGATATAATTCGTACCACCTTTTTCTGGAGTAGGACCACACGTTTCAAGTTTGATGGATAAGTGGAGCCCCATACCGTAATGCGGTAAGTAGGGATAGACAAGACTTTGGTACAGGGTACATAAAGTTGAAGTAGGTAGTCACAGATTAGCTGTATAGATTAAACCAATGGGTTTTGAAACTTTCCTAGCGAATTCTATGAATTGTAGGAGAGTTTTAAGTCACTTTTCCTTTTACAAAATTCTCCGTACTCTTAGAATTTTTAATTTGTCGCCCTGTCCTTAGCAACATTGACATGACATTGAGGGGGATTCCTTAGGGGGTCAAATATCAACCATGATCATGATCAAAATAAATAATGGGGCACCTAAATTAATTCCTTTCTATTCTTAGAGAATGAAGCCGTAACTTAAAGTATCATGTCAGTTTTCTATCTTTAAATGAAAATGAAAAACAATGCGTGACGAGAGCAAAAAACGGTTGCGAAAGGGATTACCCTTATTACCGTTCCTCTAACAGAGAGAAAATCAAACTAATGTTCTTGATAACAACAAAATTAGCTCATGCAGTTCTGCGGATTTTTTTCGACTTTTAGGCAAAACGATATTATTCCTAAGGCTCCACTGTTCTCAAAGAAAAACTTTAGAGAAAAGACAACCACAAAAAGTTTTTTTTTTTTCCAAAAACTTGAGTTACACCAGAGCGTGAAAGGATTAGTGGTCGTGTATCCCTCTTAAATGCTTTAAAATTTAAATGTTCATATTTAGATCTGTTAAATTGCAGTCAATGTCAGGAATAAACCTTTGTTAGGAGATTAAAATAAAAACAACAGCACAAAAAAGAACAGATGCAAAAAAGGAATATAGAACAACATTCGTAGTTCCTGCTTTGCTCCTTTTAATACTCGAGAGGGACGATTTGCTCAAAGGTTTGTTCTGGATGGTATATCACCCTAAACTCTCGCTTTATAGTAATCCACCTCACGTCGTCGCTTACAGCGTCCCGGCTACGAGGCTCGGAGTCCAAAGCTTCTCGAAATCTGGCGACGGTGTGAAGTCCTAATCCCTGTTTTAAACAACACAGAAAAAGTCATGAAGATACACTTATGTTATGTAATTAAGTAAACAGGGGTTCGTGACTTTTCGCTGACCTTGGGTCAATTTTCACCGGCTTCGATTGGTAAAAAACCCACATCGATTGGTGCATGTCACACCTACAACCTCATAAGATGAGTGTATCTTAACGGAATACTCGAAGAAATAAATAGAAAGGGAAAATAGTCTTGGTTTTGGCTAATTTCGAGCTGAATGGAACAGTTAAGGAAGTCTTGTAAATGTAGGGGAACATTCACAAATCGAAGGCTTATCATTTGTTTGAGTTTTCCACTCAAAACGTTCAAATAATAATTTGTACATTCACAAATGGACTTAATTTATACTAAGGAAAGTAATACATACGTCGGGTGTGTCAATCCCTCTAGTGCTCAAATAAGGACTGAGCTCTATAGAAGTCTGGAACAGAGGCATATAATCAGCCTCGGCAGTGGTGGCATACAACATAATGATGTCATTACATCCGTCAGGTCTTGTTAATTCAACATTGGGCTCTTCCATGAGACGGACTGTCTCAGGCTGGAGAAAAACGCGCCTGATCTCTGTTACTGACTCACCAGGCCTAAGCACAGAGGTGAGACCCTACAGGGTGGATGAATAAGGCAACGACAACAATGTTACTCTTGAAGATGTAAAAAACCCTTCTCCGGTAAAAGCAATGTACGATGCCCAATTATAAAACAAACTAAAAAAATAACTCGCCTTTTTCGCTGCCGGATACAAGGCAACAATGGAGCCATCGGACTGGTAGGAAATCAAACAAACGTGAATTGGAAATTTCTCGTTATTGGTGATCTGAATCACAACCGCGTCACCTGAAGAATCTACAACATCGTACTTTCTACGAAAACCCGAGTTGGGTGCAAGCTCGACTTTGTGGGCTCCAAAATTTGGAACATAATCCTCTGGGTGCCCTGGAACAAAGAAATAACCAGGCAGAAAATAGTGAGAAACGTTACCCCTTGCTGCCAGGGAATCTACTGAAAAAGTTTGAATATCAAAAGATGCTCCTACTCATGACCATAAAGTTACAAGGGAGGGAATAAAGGGAAAGTTTTCATGATAAAAACTTCCCCCCACCCCCCCTTGCCGGGGAGTCAATAGGTATATCATAGAGGCCTTTGTTGCGGTTATTCCTCAGAATAATGAAAAAAAAAAGTTTTGACCTTTCCTTAAATGTTCCCTTCTAACATCTCACCCTATTTATACGGCATTACCTTCATAAACTTCCGCAGTTTGAACAGCCTGAGCTTTCAACTCCTTCTTCTTATCCAGATTTTTCTTGTAGGAAGGCACGTTCTCCACTTTGAACAGCTTGAGGCTAACATTCCTCAGTATGTTGTGATCGGGATCCCTGAGCCGGGTCCCAAACTTGACACGAAAATACTTGGAAAGATTTTTTATCATGAGGTGACCATCCTCAACCCGTTGATCCGGTGCAATCATCCTTCCTTTGTAAATGGCACGCCAACATTTTCTCCTGAGAATCAAATTTCTTACTTAAGATTCGCTCATGGAAGTGTTCAACCCTTTAAACTCCCATGAGTGACCAAGACAGAATTTCTCTTTACAATATCAATACAATATCAAGCAGACAAGTGATGAGAATAAAGAAAAATATCAATTAGGGGATTATAAGTTGATCCAATACCAAATTCGTAAAACTAACATCACAAGAACTGTACGGCAGACAGTAAGGAGAATTACTAAAGGGATCTTGGGAGTTAAAGGCTTGAGAATTTGCATAACACGATATCTTAAAGAAAACAAACCAACATACGGAGAACACACCCCACACGAGCGGAAGTGAGCGGATTCTTCTGTATGAAAATGAGTGTCACAGTACTTCTGAATTGCCTCTTTTAATATACTCCTGCGCGTGAGTGATCCAAACAATTAAAAACGAACAAACACGCAAACAAACACGTAAATAAACTATTAAACAATTTACACCACCTTAAAGGATCAATCAAAAGCATAAAATCTGCACACTTGGTTCCGATTGCATGTACGTTCACCTTTAATCATTTTAACCCGATGCTTTAGTGCGTCAGCTCAAACCTGTCCGGGACCGCTTGAGCCACAACAAGTTCATTCCCTTTTACATTTTGTCTATATCCCAAATAGGGAAATGCCGAATAAATTAATTTAATTAGTGTTAGAGGCCTGAAACAGAGGTCTGAAACAATAACGTAGAAGTATTAAAAAATTTGCTGCTAATTACTCTTCGATTGTTACCACGTCCATCTTGACACATTCGGGTGTTTCTTGTTCTCTTAAGCTGAACATCTGCAGGCTGTCCATTAATATTGCCAGTTTCAATTCCCAAATATATTTCTCTTCAAGCTCTGTAGCAATGATGCAAATGGGATAGAACATACTTCCTAGCTTGGCCAGGCGAGCTTTGTATCCCACCTGAAATAGAAACAAAAAAAACTTTTCAAGCCACGTGAAATAAACATAAAGATGCTACGTTGCCGTGGGTCTGTTCAATCAAAGATCACAGATAACGTCAAAATGTGGCAAGAAAAAAAACAAGAGGCACACGACGCGCAGTCGAGTGTGACACTGATGCTCTTACATGTAACACAATCTATTTGTTTTGTGTGAAAAAAAAAAAGCCAAATGTTGTCAGTGGTGATGTCATCCTTACGTCTGTTCTCCAAAAGATCATGAGTAAGACCCAACCAAAATGCATGTATAATTCAGTTTATTATATAACCCTTTAACTCCCATGAGTGACCAAGACAGAATTTCTCCTTACAATATCAATACAATATCAACCAGATAAGTATTGAGAATAAAGAAAAATACCAATTTGGGGATAATACGTTAATTGATGCAATACTAAATTCTCTGAACTAACATTATAGGAATTGTATGGTAATTAGTAAGGAGAATTTAAAATTTGATCTGAGAGTTAAAGGATGAAAAGAACTGGAGATATGTTTTGCATTGAGGTGTATTTCTCCATTCAATTTAATAAGCTTCAAATGATCTACACCAAATTGAATACCATCTGTGAGGAGGCACTGACCATGAATCAAAATAATTTTAAGGAACACACAAATAACATTCTGCAGTTAAGGCTAAATAATCAAAAAAATAATCCAAGTTATGGATAATAAATTTCCCCAGCTACAAGGAAGTTATATAGTGTAGCTGTAGGGTAAAACAGACATAACCCAGCCATTGGTGACAATTGAAATAGGAATGTCAAACCTATGTGTGGTATGAACACTAAACAATGGATACACCTGCAAGAGGGTGGGAAAAAAAACAAACAAACAACTGTTTCCAATGAAGAACAGTTTGTATATTGTGATAATGTACTGTGATCATCTGGGTGAGTGTGATGACACTCACACTCACACTCACACTCACACTCACACTCACACTCACACTCACACTCACACTCACACTCACACTCACACTCACACTCACACTCACACTCACACTCACACTCACACTCACACTCACACTCACACTCACACTCACACTCACACTCACTCAGTTTGTATATTGTGATAATGTACTGTGATCATCTGGGTGAGTCACACTCTGGGTGGGTGAGTGTGGGTGAGTGTGGTCACACTCACTCACTTGGAAGACTCTTGTCAGAAACAGTCACCACTATCAACATGAGACCCTGTCAGGACTACACCCACTGGGACAATCAGATAACACTATCACATGTTACCCCCTGGTTCAAACCATTTGCTGCAGTTGATATATTACAAATCTTGAGGGAAATGTCCAAGCCTTGAAAGCTGTATTATACTGCTCTTGTGCAACATAATTTATATATTAATAAAAAATGTTTTTGAGAATGTGATATCTATAAATCACTCATCCAATGAGAAACAAGCAGTTCAAGGGTGAGCACGTGACAGCTTACCCCTGCCTTCCAAAACACTTATGGATAAAAAATATTCACATGCATGCAAAACTATACGGAGAGCTGGGAATGGCAGAAAACTCCACTTAACTTAATATAAAAAAGATTGAGAGCCAAAACTAAAGACAGCCTTACTTTGACTTTGCATTCATGAAAGATAGAGTTAATTTCCACTTCAGCAGTTGACTCAATTGCATGGATGTTTTCATGACTGACATTAACAGTTGCCACGCGGAAATCCTCCATTTGATTTTCATCTGTCAGTCTAGTATCATAAATGTAATACACTCCTTCAACAACACCCTGTAGAAATCCAGCATTGAGTGTGATTCTGTATGTAAACTCTCTCTTGTCATGAACTTCCTTCACTTCAAATGATATGGGAGGTGGAGGTGCTGTAGAGAACATTCAAATATATACAACATCACCTTTTTGGAAGTGTTTTTCCTCTAACATGCAGACACAAGTTAACAAAATAAATTATATGGTCATAACAGAAAGAAACATCAAGGAATTAAGCACTCAAAGATAAGGCTATGATTAGAACCCCACAGGAATTCCAAACCTTACCCTAGGGTTTTTTTTTTTTGTAAATCCTGGCAATTTGTCACATAGATTTCAATGACAAGATTTGATAAGATGGTTTGTAAATCTCACACCAATAAGGTAAGATTTTGATGTAACAGTTGAAAAATAATTTAATGCAACAAGAACTTCAAAGGCAGCCATTTAATTTAACAGGTAGAATGAGCTGGCTACCCACTCACTGCCTTCAGACAAACATCATTCCACTTCTCACACGTATGTGATTCTCTTCAAATTTGATGAAACTGATGACATCCAGGAACAAAAAAGGAAGATGGATCAGAATAGACCTCAAAATGCATTAAAATGCAACTGAAAGAGTCTAGGACTTCAAAATTATACAGGGAGCTAGGTGCAGACCTCCCTTTATAAACAAAAGGCCCTCTGAGCCTTCAAAAATACCTGTCCAACCTAATTATTTTGTAAACACCATAGTGTTAAATTAACAAGTAAGTCACCTTTGTCAAAGCTGAACAGAATCAAATTCATGTTTCCCCCCTCAAATTGCGGAGTCTGACGTTGCTTCCTGTCAGCCATCCTTTGTCTTACAAGACTATCATAAAAATCAAAATAATTACTAATCATGACAAACAAAGTAAATTTAAACATAGTTCCTGTAGTTGTAGCTATGCACCCATGAAAGAGGTGAATGACTTCCTTGACCCTCTACTCCCTAACATCAGTATGCATATTCGCCATACAAGCCTCCCTAGACACTTCCTAGTGTTCTAACAAGGAGAATTTGTTCAACAATCAAGAGCTTCTTAGGTTGGTGATCATCTCCTTTATTCTCATGACCTTAATGCTTGATTCAGGGCTGATGTTATGAGTAGAAATTAGATGTTAGTCAATCTTAGGGGTTAAAGGGATAAAAGAAAACAACAAGGCTATCAGGGGTTAATTGTGGTTGCCTGTTGGATACTTAAAACTGTTATTTCACAGTGTAAGAGGGAGTGTAGTTTCAAAGGGTTAGTTGCACAACAGCTTTGATGTTATTAGGAGAATTACCCTAACACCTTTTGAGCATATTGTAGGAGAGTCTTTGTCCTGGTGGAGACTCTTTGATAACTGCTACCAGTGCAGAAGTAAACATTCCATGGATTTCACCAAGTTCATGATCCATAAACTCATAGGCTTTTTCATTTGTTGCACAGGCTCCCATGAAAATGAAATTGTCATTCTCATGTGGTGACCATCCTTCTGACTTTAAAGCTGGAGTCCAAAACTCACTGACTGGGTAGGGTAGAGCCACAGGTGCACTTGCTGGATTGGCTGGCTGTGTCTCCTGAAATGGAGAAAGATGCATCTGATGCTATGTGAACAATAATCACAAAGTGAACATCTTCGCAATATCACAACCTACTAGTAGATGGTATTTCTTTGGTATGTCTTGAATATAAAGTAAATGAACAGTTATCATCAGTGAAATGATTGACTTATTGGTGAGAAATTGATTGAAAGAGTGACAGATGGCATGACTAACTGATTGACTGCCTCAAGAGGTAAGGTTCTAGAGAAACTGGTGCTGCCATGGAGAGCATAACAGGGTAACTATGTATTGTCAACTGAGTTGATAAAGAAATGCAAATTGGGCATTGTAAAGAGTTTCTAAGCTGATTGTCAGAGCAAATGATGAGGGGCCAACCCTTGCAATGTCAGTTTCGAAACTCTTTAAGTTGGCCAAATTACGCTATTAACTCAGGTGATGATACTACCCTGATTGACAGATTGGTTGATTGATTGATTGATTGATCAATTGATTGAAGAGGAAAGATAGAAGAACAAGAAAAGAGTATTTTCCTAAATTTTTCACATCGAAGCATTTGTGTAGTTCACAGTGGGTGCAAAGAGTATGTAGCAGGATGTAGGAACATTTCTTGTGAAGAAAATATCAACCTAATGAATTGAATGTTATTCAACAGTGGTGACCACCACCTACTTAAGTATAACCTGTTTCATTATGCTGACAACAACCATCGAAGAATCAAAAAAGCTACTCAAAGTCTTGTCATGGAGAAGCTGTTACATAATCATGTACATGAAAAGAAAAATAAAATAATATTTTTAAAAAATCTACCTGAGTAACTGTTGAACTCAGTTGTGTTTCCTGAACTGGAAAGTGCTCTTCTTCATGCTCCGTGGGATACCCTCTGGCTTTTAGAACCTTTTGATACTCACTGATGTATTCATCAGACAATGCAAGCTGTGCAAAGAAGACATTCAAAACACTTGCAATTAGTGTCTGCATTTAAGTCTGCTTGTAGGTTTAATCACAAGTCTATTATGTAACTGCTGCAACTCACATCTTATGTTGCATGAAGCAACTTTTCCCCTTAACTCCTGTAAGTGACCAAGACAGAATTTCTCCTTACACTATCAATACAATATCAAGCAGGCAAGTGATGATAATGAAGTAAAATGTCAATTAGGGGATTAATAGTTGATCCAATGCAAAATTCTCCAAACTAACATTATAAAACTTGGTTGACAGACAGTAAGGAGAATTACTTATGAGATCTGGGAGTGAAAGGGTTCAGGTATTGACATTAATCCTGGGAAGGATATGCAACAGATGTGGTCCATCACAGGAAATTTTGCCAAAATTCATAACATTTTCCAAAACTGTAATCAAGCTTTACTAATTGTTTTCCTTCAGTGTTACTGCTAATAATAATGTTGAATTTTGAGTAAGGACTAAACTCAAAGTTCAACATTATTATTTACACTGTAAAATACTTTTGTAGGGGAACATACACCAATTTTCAAAGCAACAGAGGCTTGGCCTAGAACTTCAATGTTATTTCCCAAAAAGCTTTTCTGTTGCAATGCTTATTTATTTGCCTTGGTGGAAACATGCATTGTGTGACTTAAGTGGACTGAGCTTTCCCAGAAACACAATGATTCATACTTCTTTACAGCAGAAATAAAAAATATATGGCTTTTGGACAAACAATTCTTCTTTAACTGGACTTTCTAAAATGATCAATGGTTGAGGTTTTCTGAAAACCAGTTTTGACACTAAAATTTACTTTTAGATCCAAAGTATTTGAAACTGGTTCAGAACAAATGCAACAAATGTAAGTTCATTCACATCATCTGATTTAATCTACAGTATAAAATACATTTAGAAGTTTATCTGCTTTGCACGTTTTCAAATCAAGAAAAACTTTTGAGCTACAGTATTGCCCCACGGTCAGTGGTTTACCTGTTTTATGCCTGTGTAGGTGTTTTTCACCTCTGAATTACCTCTGTACATATGGCCAGAAAAACAGCAATCAAAGATAACATTGACAAGTGCCCCCTTGTTAATCAACTTGGACAGGTGAGGACTGAAATGTTCACCTGTTATACAAGTATCAAGGATATGGTATTCATCAACCTGCAAAAAAAATTAAAAACATAAAAGGTTGACTTAGTTGAGACTTATTACAATCTTATGTTAAAAATAAAGGGGCTACACTTATACACATCAGAGTGACGTGGCCCATAAAGGTGTTGGCCAGGGAGAAAACTTGAAAAGCACCTCTTTCATTGCAAATTTATACTTACTGAAATACTCCCTAACTTACCAGAGTTTTGATTTGATAGATAAGGCCAATGATCAGTTTGTTACATACACCTTCTTTCCATCTCTGTGCCAAGATGTCAAATGGTTTTTATCTAATGGTCACGGTATTTAAATTTAGTTACGCTAAGAAATGGGAACTACATGTGTTTATTATTTACCATTTCTCTTGTTAAGTTCCCAGGAATCAAGCCTTCACCAAAATAGCCAGCTTGTTTAGGATCAAAGCTATGGCCATGGCCAGAATAATAAACAACAACCACTGAACCTTTTTGTGCCCTTACAGACAATTCTTCTAAAGAAGCTAGGATGCTTGCCCGTGATGCCAGCAGGCCTTCAAGGACCTTAAATGTAAGCATAGAAAGGTTTTGATATATAATGATAAGGTAAGTGGCCAGGTTATCAAGTTAAGTTTAAAACAGCAGTGTTGAGATGTTGAGTTTTGAGCATATTTTGATAGGATTTTTGATACACTAGATCATTCTTTGAAATCTCAAAATGCCAGTGTCTGCAGTACTCCATGCTGCAATTTAAATTTAAAAAATCTATTGTTTATAATGTTTTAACACAACTTTTTAGATAACAATTAGGTGATCGTATCAAGCCACCACATTTGATTTGTTGATGTATTTAAAGCTTGCCCAGCTATGTTTGCATCCAAATCTTGCATGATGAAAAACGCTATAAACTACTACATTAGATCCATATAAGTAGCCCTTTATATATTAGTACTTTCTTGTTTCCCCTTTTTAAATCTTAAAATGTCACATGAGTCTTCAAAAACAGTTGCTGGCCACTGAATGATGAAACTGAAAATCAGATTTTTGGTTTCCAAATGGAGACTTTGGAACATTGGCCCTATAGGCTTAGGACACTGTATACATTCAATGGTAGTCTGTGATAAATTTAAGATACGCAGTGCCAGACTTCAAAAATATAGAGACTTTCTACAGACCTTAATGTTTTCTGGTTGGAATCCATTCTCACAGAGCATGTCTTTCATCAACTGCAGATCATTTGCTACACCTTGCAAGGGGACATCAAAGAATGGCAAATCTTCTGAATAACTTGGTCCAATCAAAAGGGCTAATTTAGTTTCAGCCATATCTCTTGAAGAATCTGAGTATACAAAAAGCAATAGGAAATATTGATGCTTAAATGATTGGGCATGAGGTTGATGATATGAATTTTGTTTTAGATGTATGTAATTTAATGAAATATGAAGAGGAAAATTTTAAAGAATTTTGTCCAACATAATTGTGAGCTTACAGTAGATGAACCTGTCACCTTATTTCTCTTCCTTCTTTAGTCAAGGACTATAAAGAGATAATTGCACATTTTCCGGAAGCTTTCATTTCGAGAACATGTCTCAGAGCTCTTCTGTGTGAAGTCAGAGGTTATCAAGGGATTACACTTGATCACCCACACAATTTCCCTTTCTTGGAACTGATTCAAGTCTTAATAATTTCCTTACACATTGTTTGACGATTTCTGTTGATAACTAGGGAAATAGAAGCTCAAAATTTTCGCCAAAGGGAAAGCATTGCCTAGCAAACCCCAGATGGTGTGCGATGTTTAACGTTTTCACTCTTTAAGTAAAAGTTCCGCTCAGGGTGGCTTAGGAAGGATAACTTAATTGGCTCCATAACATATAAATTACATGGTTGCATGGGAAATTTTTTAGGAACGTGTGGCACATTTAACATTGGTTCACATTTACTTTATATGCGAGGCAACTCCCTCGAAAACTGAAAGACTCTTCAAAGATAAAACATCGTGAGAATTTGATGGTACTGTAGCTCACAACAGGTCAATTTTGACTGAAGATTAACAATCCTTTCAATTAAGAGGAGCATTAAACTACCATAACACTTACCAAAACAACTAAACGATCTTTCTAGTTCGTAAATTGTTGTGGTGCTCGCTGTAGCTACCTTCTTAATGCAGTCAGTACTTCGTTTTCACCCGACGAAACTTTGCAAACGAAATTTACAAAGTTGCATAGCGGAAGTAAATAGGGGAAAGTCCTTCTCGCTGACTCTCAAGTCACGTGGAAAGAAAACCGCATTTCATTTTCAGTAGGGAAGATCTATGATCGATAAAATCTCTAGGAATAAAGCATTCGTGTTAATCAAGCCATTAATCTGTATGCGATGATGCTAAAATCTCTGGGAACGTGCACAGTTACCAACAATTGTTTCCTCAAACTCAAATGATCCGCCATTTTGAAAATCCGCGGCGTGACGTCATCATCGCGACCTGATACGAGCGCAAATTTCTCTTTCGTGACATTCACGTTAGTGACTCGCTCCATGTCATTTTTTTTTTTTCTCATTGAAGTTCTCATTAAACAAAGCACAATACTTTGACTCAAACTACAACACTTTTCATCATTGGTTTATACTTTCCGGTCTATCGGAGACGCGCAGTAACGAGGAGCTAAGTATGGCTTATCTAACAGAATGCTATCCCCACTACCCAATGTGGCAGAATTAGTCTAGAATTAGTCGTCATATCTTACGATTACAACTCTTTATTCTTTTCATACTTGAGTTTACAATTAATCAGTGTTACATTTGGAGGTGGAAACACTACTGGCTTAGAATGTGCGGTACTGTATGTCCGCATCTGTCAATCCTGTCATATAGCCTGTGAGGTGAACCTCTGCCAAAACCTCATTGGTGCTCCTCAATATCAACTTGATAAGACCGTCGGCTTCGATCTCGTGCGTAACAAGATCTAAAGCTTGATGCCAGAGCCGGATCTCGGGCACATTATTGGAGATGTCCATGATCTGAAAGTGCAATGTTTGTCCTGCAATGACGAAAATATATACTTAGAAGGAGAACGGTGATATACGGTAAATATACGAACGGTAATGTCGAATTCGAAATCGAAATCTCAAAAGAAAGCAAGCATCTCTCAAAAGGATTGAGACGAGGTAATGCTTGACACCATGAACTTGAATGAGTAGTGGTGGTGGTGGTGGTGGTGGTGGTGGTGGTGGTGGTGGTGGTGGTGGTGGTGGTGGTGGTGGTAGTAGTAGTAGTAGTAGTTGTAGTAATGGTAGTAGTAATAGCAGTAGAAGTAGTAGTAGTAGTAGTAGTAGTAACAGCAGTAATGGTAGTAAATAGTAATAGTAATACAGTAAGTGGTTTGAACCCGGGGGTAACATGTAATAGTGTAGTTTGATCGTCCGGGTGAGTGTAGTCCTGAGAAGGACTGGACTAACTTGGAACAGACTCCCCTCAACAGGTATCAACCACTACCGGCACCATACAAACGACTCATCCACGACATTAACATTACAAACGAAACGAACAGAACGACCTAACTTCACTAACGGATCCAAACCGACCAATCACGACTGACCTACGCCACTTGAGTCTTTTAGCCAATAACATCACGGCAAAACTGACCAATCAGTGTACACAAACCGGACTAAGTACATTCGACTGACGACAACCTTTCACTTGACTCTGATGATGACTTCCGCTCAGGTTGTCAAAACGTCAGTCACCACTACCGACAACAGTCCTTCTCAGGTCTACACTCACCCGGACGATCAAACTACACTATTACAAGTAGTAGTAATAGTAGTGGTATTAGTGGTAGCAGTAATAATAGTGGTAGTGTTAGTAGAGATAGTAATGCTAGTGATAGTGGTAGTAGTAATAGCAGGTAGTTAACCTAGTAGCCTAAAGGGTGAAGCCATAGTTTATTCGGGGACGTAGCCAGGATTTTTCAAAGGAAAGTCACACTGTGTCAAACAGAGGGTATTCACCAGATCATCATGTCTACCTCAACGCCGTGTTTTACTTAATGTCACAAAAACAAAAACAAAACAAAAAAACAAAGGACCCTCCCCCTCCTTACCCTTAGCTACGCCCTTGTAATTACCTTTTTCCCGAAAATGCTCCAAGTCAAACATGTTGAAAGAGTATATATTGGCCCCTTCGTTCTGTATGACAGTGAATGGTCCTTTTGTTCCCATGGTAACCTCATCATGAAGTCTGAATGAAACATAAACAATTGATTATGTATTCATCATTATAAATACGAGTGATGTTAAGAAAGAATTAGAGTTGAGTAAGTGAGAAAACTAGATTCAGCGAAATTTAAAAGAATCAAAATGAAAAAAGGGCGATGCACTTCAGGAGAAATCTCTCTTTTTTTTAACGATTCAAAGCCAACTGTTTACAGGAACAGAGTCAGTGAAGAACTTGGATTCCCCTGGTCGTTTGATCAATAGAAACTAGTATTACCAGTAATGAAAACATTTATTGATCAGTTTTGGATATCCGACCCATCTGGCTTTTGAGAATATAAAAATTATTTCTTCCATTACTGTTATGTGGTCGCACACCTGGATCCTTTAAAGATGGTTACTCCTTTCACATTTCCTACTCTTCTCCATCCCCAGTCCCCCTTCATGAAGTAAAGATCTCCGTCGCCATAAGAGTTATCGAAGAAGATTCCGGACGAGAGGCTTCCACGTTTTCCTCCAATATTGAGAGTAGCTCCAATTGACAGCAGGTTACCATCTGCTCCTAAATCAACGACCAGGAAGTCATTTTTAGTATACTCGTTGCGACCCACCATGCCACTCATTACGAACACATCATTCCCTGCTCCAGTGTCGATCTTCACTTGCCCATGTACGGGATTTATCCGGGTCAACTCATCAATGCTGATTCGGTCGCTCTCCGGTTCACAATGACCAGCTCTAGTGTCATCCGAATGGCTTGTCTTTCTTTCACGCTTGGAAGCTTCGTCCCTAGCGGAGAAGTGGCTAAGGTCCACATCATTGTACTGGGGTACAGCTGAGGTGTCGATCTCCACATTACGATGAACGAGTCCTACGGTTGCCATACGGTACCTTCTTGAGAGGAATTCGATGTACTCGCGGAAACTCCCAGTGTTAACATTGATGGTATTACCACAGAACTTGCGTTCCAGCGGAGCTCCCAAAAAGTCATAACGAACATCCAACTGAAATTTGCTGTCAGAGTACGTAGATCGTCGCTCCTCTCCCAACACAAAATAGCGTTTACTTTGGTAGACAGCCGTCTTAGGATCGCAAGGAGCTGTGCCTGTTTTGCAAGATGGCTGGAAGAATTTTATTGGAGTATTTGGCCGAATTTTGGTGCTTTCAATCAGCACACCAGAGTTGATCTGATACAGCCAGCCAAAGCTGAAACAGAAAACACCAAATGACACAATGCAAGCGACAACATGAATAAGAAAGTAGAGTCGTATCACTACTAATTGGGAACCTGCATTAACATATGAATGGTTACCATTTGACAATATTATTTATGTTCACCATCATGCAAAGACATCAAAGACTCACCCTTGCGCCCTTGCGAGTTGGTCTCTGTAGCCTTGCAATTCATGGCTCGCCACTTCCGTCAACTTGTTCGCCGTTTCTATAGCTAAGCTTCTCGGCCAAAGAATCTGGACGATAATTGGTGCAAGGAAAAAGGCAATTGCAAGAATGGGACCAACAACCGGTATGAATCCCACTAGCTTAGCCAGTACTTTACTCGCTACATGTTTTGCAACAGTCTGGGCAGCAAACAAACCCAAGGCAACGGTGCAACCAACAATTCCGAGTATATTGTTGACAATACCCATTTTGTTTTGGTTTTTAATTGCATCGTGGAGTCCCATGCCGCTAATAACGATCCCAAGAATGTCTGTGAACGGACGGACGTTTGCCAGCTGTGGTGGAAAGTCTAGCCTTCTCACAAAGTATCGCACTTTTCCATACACGTGCCAAGCTTTAACCTCCTTGGGAGATGGTCTGTTTCTATTGGCAAGCTGTTTGAGTTTGGCAAAATCCGCTTTCCAAGCATTAAAAATGGCTTCTCTGGCAGTATCTGGATAGAAAACAAAAATCAATTTGGCGTTAAATGCAGAAGTTATATTTGAAAAAAAGTCACTTTCATTTAAGAGAAAAGGTCTATATTATGAGTTAAGCAGGATACTCCATTGAGGCTTATCCAGTGTCCGTAGTTGTAACGAAATGAGTATGGGAGCTCCTCTAGTTCAAGGTAGGCTACCCACCTCCCACCTTCCAAGAAAGTAATTAGATTTTCCTGACAGTTCGTTGGTATTGATTCTTTCCTCTTTCTGAAGAGAGGAAAATCGTGTCTTTCCTACAAGAGCAAATTAGGGAATCTAATGGGGACTGTAATGGGGGCTCGATCCCATACCTTCTGATCCAGATTACCGGGTGTCAATCCTTATGCCATTATGTCTTCCGCGTTTAAGAGAATATGAAGATTTATATTAAGAGCTAAGTTATACACTCACAGTTATACACTGTGTTTTGATTCGCCTAATTCCTGAACAGTGGGGCAGCCACTGATAAAAGAAAATGATCAGCGAATCTCAACAACAACACCTCGTTGTTAAGCAGCTATTGACCAATCAGGGTCAAGTAATCATGCCCTCTTGATTACCAAAAGTGCCCTCGTGATTAAGGAAAATGCCCCAAGTATCAGCCAATCAACATTTCAGATTTTTCCCAGTATGTGATAAAGCAGTAGACTGAACTTTCTATCGGTTTACCAGCGTAATAGTCCACGCGGGATGTGGGTAAAACACGAGAAAAGTTTGTAAATCACGAGCCGGATGTGTTCTATTGCTTTTATGAAATAATTATGATTTGGCGGTGCAAGAAACAATTGGTTTTGAGCATCTGCAATCACGACGCCTCAATTATTTTATAAATTTATCTTTACGGAGCTCCAGCCATGAACATCATGTCTCTAATATATAGATACGCTACTCGACACTAAGGAATAACTTGAATTATTTAATATAAACCAATCACCAAACCTTGATCAGCCATTAAGGCTTTGACATCATTCTGAAGTTTTTCTTTAGCAGCACTTGTCTTTGAGCCAGACCTCTGAAACGCCGTCAGCTTCGCCTTGATGGCTTGTCTCATGGCTTCTTGACTCTGTCGCGCGGAAGTTAGAGTTTTTTTGAAGAATAATCTGTTCGACTCCATGACATTTAAAAGATCTCCAACAGCCCGCCATTCTTGAGGCAGCTCAGCAAGAAAGCATTGAAGCGCTAAAGAAGCAAGAGTCTTGCTGGCCATGTTAGCTTTGCCTGCTTTAGCCAAAGCCATAGCTTCGAGCATAGAAGCTTGTTCGAACATTTTTTTCCCGCCATGGGACATGAAGTAAGTTTGGGAAGCTGGATCCGTCCCGGCTGTGCCTCCGTAAACATCTACCAAAGACGATAGTACTTCGTCATCATTAAGCTGTGCATTTACAGTACTGGCTAGAGCTAAGAGCGCGACCACAGCAACGAATGAAACAGACTTCTTCATAGCTTAGATTCTTCAAGAACGTGAACTTTGACAAACATCTGATTCCAATCACCTGATCACCAATCAATCACCTGATTCCAATCACCTGATAAACAAAAGTATGAAAATTTATAAACTCAAACGGTGGCTATCATTTTCTAAAAGACAAATTAAAAAACAATTATCATGTGATGTCTGTCAGTCTGGATTATCAATCAAGGAGTTCAATTATTCCTCGGTAGTAAGGAATCGGGATGTCCAAATGACACCTCCTCGGTCTTTTCGGTTTTTAGCGGGGTACTGTATGTTTCTCGTTCCATGGAGTATCACCAGACTCGATAAAGTCTGAAACTAAGACATCCTTTTGTCCAGAAACGTCTAGATTCATTGGACTGAAAGCTTGAACTATTGCAGTTTTGTTCACAAAGCAATGGTTTGAACTGAATTAGTGTTAAGTTCAATTTTTGTAGGTACCGTAATGCCCGTAAGTATTATGTGAAAATAATGCCCCGGAATTACCTTCATCAAAGCTGCGTGGGACTGATTCATCGAGGAGTAAAATCAACCATAAATACAAGCGTTTTTATAAACAGATTTACTTATTTTTGCCATGAAAAGCAACTCGTGGGACTTTTTTTTATCTCGAATTATAAATAGTTACACTTTTACACTGAAATATTCGAGGTGCGTATATATTTGTTCAAACAATTCTTTTACAAATACTTCGAATGTTTTTGTTTTCTTGGTATGTAAATTTTTTTCCGGTACCAAGTGACTGTTTAACACCGATAAAAACTGTAGGTGTAGGTCAGTGAAGGCGATCACGACCACTGAATGCGGACAGTCGAACAGTTGGGAGAATCAAAAATCAGTTAAAGGGTATACTGAATGACAGGAAGACCCGGATGCGTCAATTCAAGGGACCCACACAGTAAAGTTTGTGATTTCGTGGAAAAAGTTTATATGGAATTTTTAACCCAAACAACATTTCTGCCGCTTGAAAAGAGTCTTACTAAGTTCACAGATACGTAAATGAGAGAGACTGCACAGCAATGGAACATTCATCTTAAGCTTACTCAGGTATCAATTAAAATAATCACAATTGATAAAGAAGCCTTATAGTCGAAAACTTACCGCAGCGACCGTCTTCCTCTATTGACAGTTCCACCGATGCTGTGGACTGGTTTTGGATACTTTTTGTAACGTGAGATAAATTATTTCATGCAAAGCAAACAGACTAATATGTTAGTGTTGCATTATTAATCTGTATGTTGTGACCTCTACTAGGGATCAAATACGGTTACACCCGTCGAATACTCTACGATCAACTACATTGCATTGCGCCTAAAAAATAAAAACGATTATTTTTTCCACTGTACATTCATCCCCAGTGAAGTGAAGTCTATACGGTGGTTCTTCTATTTCTTGGACGAAAAAAATTTATTTAGATACTGTGTGTAGAGTTGCCCATCCTGCAAAAAAGTACCTACACAGGACGAAACGTTAAAAAGACGAAAAGCTGCATTATAGGTGAATTGTCAATTTGTTTATAGAATTTTCTGAAGCTTTCCAGTATGGAAAGATTTTTCGTTTATCTATTATCTTGCAAGAGAAAAATCTGAACTGAGTAAACACAACCAGCAAAGAGAGACAAATTAAATCAAACATTAACTGGATCCCAAGTTTAAATAAAACCAGCTACTACTTGTCCCTTCTTTGTTCATTGACAAATTATCAGCATTGATGGGAAAATGGGTTATAACAGAAAGGATGCTACAATAATTAAGTGAAAAGAAATAATTTCCTCTTAACTTAAGGAAATGAAATATTTTTGGTGACACATGGGTGTAGCGATTTGATTCTTTTGTATCATAAGAGTTTCGGCTGCCGTTTACCTCGATTAAGTAACGTGTATATGGTAAATAATTCAGTAAATTGACGCCACAGTGACCATGGTTTGTGTGTTTTGCCAGCTTGTGCGGAAAATAAACTTTACAATGTAGCAGTTTTAGAATAGAAGAAGAACCTTCACAAGATAAATATCATAGTCAAGACCATTGTCAGGTATAACAGACAAGAAAAAAGGCTTGTCATTGAGCGATAAGTGAAAAAGCTTTCTTCCAGGTAAGAACACATCAAAACTTGGAACAAGTTTTGTAATTTGTTTGTACTTTCTATCTTTTGGAGCTGGAAAAGATGAGTGCTACTTTGAGATTGAGGTCTATCAAACGATGCCTTTTACCGCAGTGCCAGCCGTACAACTCGTATCGCGTATTTCATAAAATGTGCCTTATATCTCACAGAAAAGTTAAAAAATGGTTAAGTCTGCTCTCTAGCTAAGTCGCTTATATCGCCGTAGCTTATCCCACTTTCTGTGGCGTGAAACGACTGGGAGTATCACTTTTGGACAAGATACTTGTTCGTTGTTGTTTACTCCACAGCATTTTGTTGCGCTCCCTGGGATTTGTCGGAACACATTTATACTCCTTAGCTATGAAACTCTTTACAGTGGCCAATTTACGTTATCAACTCAGTTGATAATGCTAATTTATCCTGCTATACTCCTAGACTCAGTTGTTCGGAAAGGGATTAACGTCAATTTAGGATTAAGCTAACCCTAATTCTAGGCTTGGCTTTAATTTCTCATGTAGAAGAGTACGTATAAGAGCCAGGGTTTTTTGCGTCTTCTAAATACGACTCAAAACTAACGGGGGAAAATTAAAAAAGGAAAATTCCTTTCGCAGAGCTTTGAAGCTAAATTAAAACTTTGAGCGGCTTGAATCCAGGCTTATCGACGTGAAGTTCAGCCCGCTTACCTCAGCCCGCTTACCTCAAGCGCGTGTTGTTTGGAACTGTTAGACTCTTACAGAAGCGAGCACCACTTTCAATCTATTTAGTATTTAAAAAAAATGATTTACCGGTAGATCAGATATCTTAAGATTTAGGGAATGAGGTTTATTATTACCCTGAGTCTAATAACGCGGGTTGTTTCGAGTTTTTAGAATCTACAGATGCTCACACCACTTTCAATCGACTTCGTACTTACAGAAAATAAGTTAGATCTATAAAAAAATCGATTACAAGGGAAAGTACAGAGGAGTTTCCAGAATGCTAATTTTCTCTTTGTTTTAAAAAGAACGTTTTCCTAGAGCTGAATTCTGTAAGCGAACTAGAAACAAAATAAAGCAGTAAAGTAAGTAAAGAACAGTAAACAGACTGGTTGATACTTAGAGCGCAAATCAACAAAGAGGGTAACGTAACTTGACAGGTCTTATCGCCCCCTTGTTTGCCATCTGAACGATCGGAAGACTGAGAGAGACTGGTAACCATCCATTACGTAGAGCTTAAAGCATTTAACATGCTCTGATTCAGTTTGACCGGATAAACCCGTTGCTTTTTTATACATATTATTATCAGAATTTAACTGACGGTAGTGATATGTCAAGAAAGTGGATTCAGTTTTACCTTCCCGACAAAAAGTACCTTGGGAAATGGAATCCTTTACAAAAAGATGTCTGCCTTCGATTTTGATTTTAAAGCTTTTAAAACCAAGATACATAAGAACGTGAAACAGAAAATAAAACACGAGAATCTGAAAATACTGCAAAAAACGGTGAAATAAGAATCAATATACTTTCATAAAGAAGTCTATCGAAAGTTGTTTTGGCAACGGCTTGGAACTACTGTCTTCTTTATCAATATAAGCAATGCGTGAGGATTCCGCAGTCTTTCGAATTGGCAGAAATCCTTTATTTGTCACTATGGTATTATCTGACGCTGTCAGAGTTATAGACGAAGGGCTAACGCTCGAAACGTCAGCTTAGTTATCAACTCAGTTGATAAAACCAAATTACCTTGTCATACTTCCTCACCGACGCAGCACCACAGTTTATTTAGAAACTTACCTTTGTTCATGACTCGACTGTCTTCGAAAGTAAAACCCTTACTATCTCGGAGTGTCAACCTCGAGATATCATGTGGCAAATACTTAATAAAATATAAAGGGCTTCGAGTTGGCAGAAATTTATATGTTACTGATTTTGATCTGGCAAGATTCTGCTGTGATACAAGACACATTGTGGACCACTTTGTCTACTTTAGCAGATTTCTGTAGCTTGTCGCTGTCTTCTCAACATAAAGAATTGTCCAGAGGTGAATCGAGGGCGGACGCTGAGCGTGGACAATGAACTCACTGCCTCTCTTGCTTCTGGTGGTCTTTGTATTAGGCTACTCAGGTAATGAACGTAAACCCTTAAACTCCCAAGATCTAATTGTTAATTCTCCCGTTTAGATGTTGCAAATTTCCTAATGAATTAGTAACGAGAGTTTGGTGTTAGATCAAGATAACTTCTATCTGATAAGTTTGAGTATTTTCATAAGATGTGTGTTAGATAATTTATGTATATTATAGGGAGAAGTAGCATGTTAATCACGTTAAGGCCTCAAAAGGTTAAGTATCTGTTGAGTGATAACTTTGCTTTAGCTGAATTAAAGAACCTTTTTCCACTAAATTTTTTGATGAAAATTCACTACGATTTCCAAATGAGAACGGCGTCATAAAACAAGGCCAACAAGTTAAGTGTAAATAGAAAAAATATGTATATTCCTAGCGTGATCATATTGTATTTTCAGGCGTTAACGGTAGATTACTGCGTTATGGAGAACAAGTATCAAACCACAATGAAACAGGTGAACTTTAGCAGATGCCTAATTAGACTTGTGGCTACTTTTGAGATAACGTAACTGATATTAAGTTCGATAGGAACATAATGATGATGTGATATAAATACATCTCGTTTGCTAAGCAGAACAAAATCACTGAAAGTAAAGCGGAGTGGCTGGGTTCTGTTTGTTGTAAACCATAAGCTTGACACCCATTGTGCCATATTTTGATCTCGAAGGAAAGGAAGCCGTTTATTTGAGTTAGAACTTGATCTTATGAATGACAATCTACTAGACCTTAAATGATTTCCATCAAAAAGGAAAAATGTTGGAAAGTTCTTATAACAAAAATAGCGCTTTCGGGAGGGAACTGGGGAGGCAATAAGACTTTTTTGCTTTAAATCTGATGAAAAACAGGCGTGTGACTTGACCTGAAGTAGTTTAAGTATTCCTTATCAAAGAGTCCCATATATAAAAAATTTAACCGGGGTCTCAAGTTACATAAAACTACCATTTTTGAATTACAGCATTTTTAGAACAGATCTGCCCAAAGCCTAATAGCAGGGATCGAAAGTATGTTCGAATCAAGACCTTCAATAACAAGTACGTGTGGGCTTACCCCACACATAAAGGTGATACGTCATACCTGCGTACGCGCTGTTGCGGTGCAAAAGACGCAGTTGGACGAAAAGATATAACCATACCTGGAACAAAAACAACATTCATTATTCACTGCCTTAGAGCCAACAATGAAAATGTATTCAGATTTGAGATTCTCTCCAGCTCCAAAAATCCATCTGGCTATTACTTCGATGCAGATCCAGTTTACTCTCAGTACGGCGTGTACGCCAACAAGCTGACGAGAGTCAGTACCAAAGACCGGTACAGATTCAATTTTATTATATCTCGCAAGAGGGGCCCTGTGATTGGCATCCGAACTCAAGGAAAAGCAGGTGAAAGGTATGAAAGTATGAGGAGTAACTGGTTGAAGTTTCATGATGGCGGCCGTGGAAGTGTTACGGGATATAAGAACCTTTATACTAGAAACTTCCCAAGCATGGAGGACACATTTACATTGGAAGCAGGTATTTGAGCAAATTTTTAGCGCTAAGTGATACGGGAACCTTCACACCAACACGAAAATATTAGAATAAGAAAGACAATGACTTGTTGAACTCAGTCGAGAGTTACGGGTGTAGATCAAAGGAACTGTCCGAATCCTTACAAGGAATGGAACCCAGATCTTCAGATTTATGCTCCTATGCTTTACCACTGAGCTTCAGAGAACTAGATGTTGATCCAGAGCATTCTTCACCTAAATTTGTGACAAGCATCCCACATACAATATCTGTATTTATTTGCGGGTGGGGGGCGACACTGACTCGAACGAAAAGCACTCTGGTATTGTGTGTTTTAACAAAACCAGGCGAATGGATACTGTACTTTGAAAATCTTACTGGTATAAATTATGATTTTTACCCTTTTTAGTACCCAGCGGATGCGTGACTCCTGGTGAGTATGTATTACAGATGTCAGTTATGGCCGCACCATGGCATACCAGTCAGGAGGACTGTGAGAGTAAACCAGATAGATGCTTTTGGTCGGATGGGTGGGATACACGAAGGCGCAATATGATGACAGCCATATGCTACTACAGCAAAGGTAGGAAAATTATCAACTAAGAGCCATCTTTATAAAGGAGAGAAATGAGATGGGCTTGAAACCTTCATCTTTAAGACTTGGTAAAATTTACCCTTCTATATAAGTTGAACATCACGCAGTTATAACCATCATCATTAGCGAAGCTCCTTTTGAGTTGTTAGCATCGAAAGCCGAATGCCGCTGTGCTTTACGTAAACACTGAAAGCTCATTCAAGAGCTCTGAAAGCAGTTGATATTCTAAACTTGAAAAGTTCTCACAACAAACGCGTGCATGTCAGGTTGACCACGCAGCAACTGCTTTGCTCATTGTGTCATTTTTCTTTGCTAGATTCGGTGTGTTATCAGTACAGGGGAGCAAAGATAAAGTACCTGCGCTTGTCAGCTAAACAGTGTGAAGCTGAAAACCACTGCTACAATTACAAGAACAACAAATGTTACGATGTACTTTAATGATAATATAAGCTCTGCACTATGGAAATAAATTTGATGAATTTTCCCCAAAGTGATTATTTCTTTTCTTATTTGGCATCTCACAATGCAAACATGTATCTTTCGGGATAACAAGAACAGCAGTGTATCCCATTTTAGTGCTGATGCACAGCCAGCCCATTTTAGTGCTGATGCACAGCCAGCCCATTTTCTCGCATGATTAATCATGGAGTAATTTATCTCACATTTTTGACACACAGATCAGTCAGTCTAGTAACGAGAATGAAGATAGTTGTAACCTATTGCCTTGACTTAACTTTTTCGTCAGAGCTATTAAAAATCTCTTGAACGTGATTGGCTATCAGCAATACAATTGGAGCACAAATGGAACAGTGTACCCAATATGCTTGTGACTGGACAGTTTGATAGGACAGTGTAAAGGTCATGCTTGTGTCACTGCACAATTCCTGCTACCTACGCGCTGGTACACAGACTTCTGGATGCAGTTTCTCGAAAATGTTTAACTTTTGGGTACAGTTTCTGTGGAAAAAGTCAACTGTTATGTTTCCATCTATGAAAATGTTAGACGGATGAGTATTTTGGTTCTTTAATTTCTTCATGGGTTTGATTAATTGGAAACAACACTTTGTGTCGTCCCATTCTATTGGGACTCACACTCATGAGTATCAAATCTAAATCCCACTTTTAATCACACGTTTGATTTAAAACCGAATTGAACTCCGCACGGTCCAACTAACATAAATTCTCGCGGCTAGCAGTAAAGAAAGGTATGGTATTGGATAGAACCAATTCTTAGATCTTGGGACACTCGAGGTTTGCGAAATATTTGCGTTATTGTGGCCAGAGAATTCTTCGAGACAGTATAAAACAAATACATAACCTGAAAATAAAAAAAAAGGGGAGAAAGGACGCTTTTTTTTTTTTTTTTTTTTTTATTTAGTAAAGTTGACTTAAACGTCTTCGATAGTGACACAGGTAGAAATAAAAACCCAAAATGGGGGACATCTGTCTCCAGCCTTAAGCATCGTGCAAGTGTCATTGCAACTTTCAGTTTAAAGAGTCTATTTGTCCGCCATGACGTTTCTCGTATAGTACATGAGCAGAGTAGCACCCATAATTTCGCTAGGCCGGGTGTACTTCTCCCCCCCCCCTTCAGAAGTCCCCCAAAAAAGAAACAATTACAGACGTTGATAATGTAGTATTCCAGCCTTTCAGGAGTCCCTTAGCCTAAGAAGTAACACGCGCCGTTTATAGCGAGTCTTATCACATGCGGGGCAAAATTACTGAATGCTGATTGGCTGAGACAGAGCATTTTTCTCAATCACAAGGGCACTTTTGGTAATCAAGAGGGATAATTACTTGATGCTGATTGCGACTATTTACAATTTGCGTTAACGATTGATTGCAATTTAACTGGATGAAGCCGCGTAACGTTGTAAAGCGTATTTTGGGAATAAAATGTTTATTGAATCTTTGGTTACGTTTGTTTTGACATTTGTGGCAGCATTGAAGGGCTTCATCGCGCGCCGACAGCGTGCGCGAATGCAACTACCTAAAAAATTTGCCTTTTATGTGATAAACAAGTAAACGCAAGTGCCCTCGGGCGATTCAGGATTTATTTTACTTGTAGTTTCAAAGTTTTCCCAAATTTAACCTCGTCGCATCGCGACTCGGGTAATTTTAGGAAAACCCCGAAAATACAAACGAAATTAATCTTGAATTGCCCTCGGACCCATGCGATTACATTAACTAACGGAAAAAGAGAAAACGAGAAAAAGTAAACTCTCAACCGTCTTCTTTCATCTTTTTGTTTGCTTAAGCCAGAATATTTGCATAAGCTGCGAACAAGACAACGTCCCCCCCCCCAGGGTATTGGGCCCCTGAAGGGGGGTGGGGGGGGGACCACAGGGTTTTGGTGTAAATGGAAAAGTAGTTAACATCACAGTTCATCATCAATATCGGTTGCTATTCTTGAGATGTGCCTATTACTAAATGGTTGTTCGGGTTGGGAAATAGGCGGGATAAGCAAATCTTTGGAGCCAGTTAAAGAGAAACCAGCTAAAAAATGAATAAATTTTAAAGAAACTTTAGTTCACAGAAAATTTGATACAGCGCATCTACCTTTGGGCTCATCTTAAAAAAACGTTCACAACAGTAAATAAAAAAGATCACTAAAACTGTACCAGTAGCGTAATAAAACTACAATGTTCAGCAACCTCGGTTTCATTTTCATCCCGGTATTCTGGTATTTTCAACGCATCAGATCTACAAGTTCGTTTCTAACCAATATCATACGCACTCCTCGCGTTAAAAGGCGCAAAGGGCCGTGTTTCTAATTCATGTTTGCGGACCGATGTTCTTCTATCTTTTTTGTCAGCTATAGATTAATGTATACTGCTGGTTCGAACCAAAAATTTGCCACCCTGACACAGATTGTGCAAAGAGTAAAACTAGCACGAACAAATGCTATTTTTAACACCGACTAAAAATGAACTCTTTCATATACAAGCAAATACACTTCACTAACAACACTGCTAAGCATAAGACGAAGAAAAGTATGTCAAGTGTTTGAATTCTTGTGTCCCGACCAAAAAATTTTAGTAAACTTCTTACAGTCTCTACCGACAAATAAAATGAATTTTAACACGGTTGTTTCTCTTCAACTGTGTCCTTGTCCTAATTTCTAGCTCTACGAAGTTCTATCCACGCATTCAATAGAAAGGGAAAAAATGGATGGGAGAGAGACTGGCTAAACATCTAGCGAATTCTGTCCTCACCGTACAAGTTAAATGCTACTCTTATCGTTCTTAAAGAACCGCTCTCAACCAAGCCCTTGCTTAAGTCGTTCGTCCAGCGACCTATTTCGCCCGCGTGATTGTTAACGGTAAGACTGAATGTAGTTAATGAGCTGCTGTTCGCCAAACCATCACCCACACCGCTGGCCCAGTCTCCCATGTCTTCAGCGTGATTGTTAACTGTGAGATTGAATGTAGTTAGTGATCTGCTCTTCGCCAAACCATTACACACACCGCTGGCCCAGCGTCCCATGTCTTTAGCCTTATTGTTAACTGTGAGACTGAATGTAGTTAGTGATCTGCTGTTCGTCAAACCATCACCCACACCGCCGGCCCAGTTTCCCGTGATGTCTTCAGCGTGATTGTTAACTGTGAGACTGAATGTAGTTAGTGATCTGCTCTTCGCCAAACCATCACCCACACGGCAGGCCCAGAATCCCTGGTCTTCAGCGTGATTGTTAACGGTGAGACTGAATGTAGTTAGTGATCTGCTCTTGGCCAAACCATTACCCACACCGCTGGCCCAGCGTCCCATGTCTTTTTTTAGCGTGATTGTTAACTGTGAGACTGAATGTAAATAGTGATCTGCTCTTCGCCAAACCATTACCCACACCGCTGGCCCAGTCTCCCATGATGTCTTTAGCGTGATTGTTAACTGTGAGACTGAATGTAGTTAGTGATCTGCTTTTCGCCAAGCCATCACCCACACGGCTGGCCCAGAGTCTCATGTCTATAGCGTGATTATTAACTGTGAGACTGAATGTAGTTAGTAATCTGCTGTTCGCCAAACCATCACCCACACCGCTGGCCCAGAGTCCCATGTCTTCAGCGTGATTGTTAACTGTGAGACTGAATGTAGTTAGTAATCTGCTGTTCGCCAAACCATGACCCACACCGCTGGCCCAGTCTCCCGTGATGTCTTCAGCGTGATTGTTAACTGTGAGACTGAATGTAGTTAGTGATCTGCTGTTCGCCAAACCATCACCCACACCGCTGGCCCAGACTCCCATGATGTCTTCAGCGTGATTGTTAACTGTGAGACTGAATGTAGTTAGTGATCTGCTGTTCGCCAAACCATCACCCACACGGCTGGCCCAGAGTCCCATTTCTTCAGCGTGATTGTTAACTGTAAGACTGTTCGCCAAGCCGCTACCCACACCCTTTGCCCAGTCTTCCCTTCCCACAGCAGCGTGATGATTAACTGTGAGATTGAACGAGGATGTTGTCGCAGAGCTTAATAGTTTGATGACTTCAAGGTATGTGGCAGTCTTTCCATCAACTAAAAACGCGGCCGACGCTGACGAAAAATTGGCGAGAGTATAAAAACCACTTAAAAAGTGATCCTCATCAAGACCATTCAAGTGCACTGAGACAGAATGCTTTTGACCCTCTTGAACTAATCTCTGAAGAGCAGTTCCTTCGTAGCTTCTGATTTCACCACTAAGGTTAATAATACTGTGTGAGGACAGTGAATTGTTAGCCAGAAAATAGTCTACTAGACAATCCACGACTTCATTGCTTTGTTTACTTTGGACATTCAACTGCAAACCAGATAGTGGCGAACTTTCCTTGAAAAACTCTGTAAGGGCTTTTAAGCTGTGAACGCTCAGTTCACAGCAGACGTTCACGGTTAATGACTTCTCTAGTGAGGCATCACCTCGAATAGGATAGGGCAGCAAACCTGCTTCATATTTAATTTTCCCGTACACATTTGGATGAATAATAAGAGACTTCCATGACTTATTGGCTGCCAGTACGGTAGCAACAGCTGCCATCCACGCATCTGGGATATCTCCGTAAATCTTTAACTCTAAAGAGTGCAAAGTTCTATTTCGCAGAACACCTTTCTGCAGTGCTACGATTCCAGGGTTGCTAACTCTTCCATAAACGACAAGACTAAGAGACTTTACCGCGGTTTCATCTGCAAGTCCTTCACTAACAGTCGACATTAAACAGTCATTCTGATCCCCATGAACAATAAGCACGAGAGAAATTCGCGATGATTTGAATGAAGCTTTCACGACTTGTGCAGCAGTGTTGTTCAGAACACCAAAGACTTCAAGCGAAAGACATTCCAATTGCGAGAGAGTCGATAACAAGGTACTAACATTACTGGCGCACCTCTCACTACTCACGTCAAACAGTTTTAGCGTGGCTGTTCTTAGTGACGTGCTTGACGAAAAACTCTCAGCGAACAGATCTGCAACATCAGGGGATATGTTCTCGATATTACCAATGACAAGCTCTGTGAGAGTTTGACTGCTTCCGAGAATTCCATGGAGATCGTTCACATTGTCTTCACTGAAAAACTGCACGTCCGACAGGCTTAGTTTAGTTAGCTGCACTGATGCCGCATCACCTTCGAGTATGGCGCCTTCGCACACATATCGTATAAGTTTCAAAAAAGGCCGCAGGAACCGATCCAACTTCAAAACGTTTGGTAATGGAATACGGGAGCAGGCAACTTTGCCTAAATCGTCTGCAGCACCACTCTCTTTCAAAAGCTTAAGTAAGAACTCACACACTGCGTCCACGTAGTCCCAGCGCAAGTGTTCTCTTAAAATCGCAACAATCTCTTTGAAAAACACCCTTCCTTCCATGCCTAATATGCCGGCTAAAAAGAAAAATACTTCTCTGTATCTACCTAACATACTTTCTTTGCAGAAAAGAGAATGATTAGTAAGGTTAAGTTGTCTTCTTGACAACTGGTTCGCTAGGTAAAAGGCAGCTAAAAACTCTTGAAATGTTTTGTGAAGAAAATGACACTGATGTCTTGGTTCCTGACTTGGCCTTGAACTGGCTTCCATGAAAACAAGGCCCAATTTGATAGCTGGAAATCTTCTCACATGGGTCCTCGAATGTTCTAACTTGTCCAGTTCCTCTTCTGAAAACGAATGGCGGTCTTCTCGAAGACAACTCCACGCTAACTCCCCTAGCACAAGTAGGGACTCTTTAAATTGATTCTCTAGGGCTTTGTCGGCATTCCGATGAACGTTCAAGCCATTTCGGGAGCAATATCGCCTCAACAAGCATCGAAAAATAATCTGATAAAGCTTAGTGCGATTAGATGGTAGTTCCCCTTCAAAGTCTTCAAAGACGACGCACAAGAGAAGTAGATTCAACGGATTGCTCCTTAGCACACTTAGGTGAGTATTTGTTTGAACAGCTTCAAGGAGCTTCTCGCCTTTTGACAAATTTTGTGGATCAACGCTTTTAAAATGCTTTCTGACGTAATCTGTAGCGTTCTTTGAGGTAAACCCTTTAATCTGCAAGAGTGTATCAAAGTCATAGCGCCGCCGGACATCGATTCCTTTTTCTTCGCGTGAGGTGGCCAAAATAAAACAGCGCGAGAAAACTTTTCTTCTAAATAGCCTATCTACGACTTTTTCTGATGCTTCTGGTAACTCATCAAGACCATCCAGAATTAAAAGAATCACGTCCTGATTCTTACCATCTCTGATGTGATCCAAAAATTCTTCCTTATTGTTAATGTCATCATTCAGAAGTTGCTCATCGATGGCTTGTACTATGTCTTTAGTATCTTCGTGAATATCACAGCATTTCAGAAGAAACAACAACTGAAACATGGGGAAGTCAAACTCTACTGGTACTAAATTTTTGGCCCAATCATTTGCAATTTTAAGGCAAAACGTAGTCTTCCCAATCCCAGGGTTTCCTTCTACAAGTACCATTCTGGCGCCCTTTTCACCCTTCCTAGCAGGCTTGAAAATTTCATACATGTGAACCTTCTTCTCTGTTAGCTGAAAGTACGCCTTCTTTCTCCAATTCATTTGCAACCTTGTGTAGACTTCATCAATAGGTAGTTGGATGTCGCTATCCCACAGCAGTGGTTTTAAATTGGAGCGTCTGATGTATTCACCTTCAAGGTGTTCCACAATTAGACAATGGTCGGAACCTGCAAGTAAACAACATACTTCGTTCTTGAACGCACATGTCTTTGAATAACCATTGATGTTAATCACTGAGATTAAAAAGGCAAGAACTGCGAATGACCCTTCAAAGATAACAAATGGCTTGTTATGTGAAGGCTTCATGCAGCTGTTCTTTAATAGCAAAAAAAAAAAGGGTGGAAAGTTTTGAAAAAGCGCTGGATTTCTAACCAATGGCGTTGTAAGACTTAAAATGAAATTTACCTTTACGGCGCTTCACAGATTGAGTGGCAACAGAGGACGAACGTCGTTTAACCTTTTCATTTAAGGCTTGCCTGGACTTGTTTACCGCGGCATCTGGTAAAAAAAAGTTTAATCACCAAGATTAAAATGGCAAGAGCATAGAAAGACTCCTTCAAAGATAACAGAAGGCCTGTTATATGCAGGTTTCATGCAGCTGTTCTTTAATGGCAAAAAAAAAATGGTGGAGAGTTTTGAAAAAGCGCTGGATTTCCAGCCAATGGCGTTGTAAGACTTAAAATGAAATTTACCTTTACGGCGCTTCACAGATTGAGTGGCAACAGAGGACGAACGTCGTTGAACCTTTTCCTTTGAAGCTTGCCTGGACTTGTTTACCGCGGCATCTGGTAAAAAAAAAGTTTAATCACCAAGATTAAAATGGCAAGAGCAGCGAATGACTCCTTCAAAGATAACAAAAGGCTTGTTACATGCAGGCTTTATGAAGTTGTTCTTTAATGGCAAAAAAGAAAAGGGTGGAAAGTTTTGAAAAAGCGCTGGATTTCTAACCAATGGCGTTGTAGGACTTAAGATGAGATTTACCTTTAAGGCGCTTCTCAGATTGAGTGGCAACGGAGGACGAACGTCGTTTAACCTTTTCATTTGAAGCTTGCCTGGACTTCTTTAATACAGAATCTGTTAAAAAAAAAGTTTAATTACCGACATTAAAATGGCGAGAGCAGCGAATGACTCCTTCAAAGATAACAGAAGATTTATTATATGCACGCTTCATGCAGCTGTTCTTTAATAGCGAAAAAAAAAAAGGTGGAAAGTTTTGAAAAAGCGCTGTATTTCCAGCCAATGGCGTTGTAGGAGTTAGGATGAAATTTATCTATACGGCGCTTCACAGATTGAGGGGCTGCGGAGGACGAACTTCGTTTAACCTTTTCATTTGAAGCTTGCCTGAAGCTTGCCTGGACTTGCTCATTCTAAAATCATTGTGCATAAACTGTTTCAAGTTGTTAAAAGTATTTACCAAAGGTATTTACAAGCTAACCAATGTTTTACACCAACCTGAAATGCTAGCATAATTTAGTTTGTCTCAAGTTGCTACAGCATGTACGCTTTGCTAAATTTCATCATTTTTTGAAGTTACCAAGTTAGTTGAATACTGTCAATTCTGTTTTTTGTCTTACCAACCATGTTAATCACTTCTTAAAACATTCAACAGCTTTGAAAAGCAAAAAAAATTCAGTTTAAAGGGAGTTTAGCTACATGTGCAAAATGTTGTGATGAATCTTGAATATGATTTATTTATAATATTACAAAAATTGGACCAGATAGGCAAGGGTGGAAAATAAAAAAATGCAGATAATCAAGGGTTGACTGTATAACAAAGATCTGATTTTTCTTCAAAGTCACCATATACATAATTCCTTTGTTCATAAACCCTCAATCACAAATTATGGCTGACTAAAACTATTTGCTTACCCATTTTCCATATTAAGTTTATAATTACAAATAAAGTAAAACAAAACCCAAAGAAAATGAGCACTGTATACGCAGTGGTGACAGGTTGCTGGTGCCAGGTTTATTAAAAAAAAATAAACAAATGAAGAGAATTCAACCAACTCAAAGTGACAACAAAGGTATACTGAGTAAGGTGAAAGGAAATTTGAATTGGATGATTCACCTAATGCCCTCACAATTTACCTTTACTGTAGTCATCAGAAGTCAACTCTTCCTTGAGTTGCTTGCAAGGCTGATCTGCACTGACAGATGCTGATCTCTCATCCCTCCCTGGTATAGTTTCTCTAATTTCTGAAAAACATACATGAGCCAAAATAAATTAGCAATGATTGCCAACAGCATACAGTGGCAAGTAGATCATGATCAATTATGTTAGGGATAGTGGAGGAACCACATATATTATTAGAATATACTGAATTTCTCACGTAAAAGAAGTTCTCAAAGACTTAACAATTTCAAAATTTGATATTGGTAAAATCAAGTGAGATCCTCATGTCATAAATTTTCAAATCAGATTCTGAAATTAGTTCCCTTCTCTTACTTAAAATAACTCCTTGTTTGAAGAAAAAAGTTACTACGGATGGCAAATGTGACTACTGTAATCCATATTCATAAAAAAAAATGGGACCAGAGAGGAAAGAGTAAGTTCTCTAGAGTAAATATCACAAGACCTGAAATGGGTAAACAAAACATACAGTACATGTACAAGCTACAAAGGTCTGATAATAAAAAAATGTGAATATTGTTACGCCTAGTCTGATAATAAAAAATATGAATATTACTACGCTTGAAACAAAAAAATTGAATAAGATAAAAGAAATACACACCTATATTGTGTAAGAATTAAAGCACATTCTAAAATCACTAAGCATAAACTGTTTAAATTTGTTAAAATGAAGAGAATTCAACCAACTCATAGTGAAACTTTAGACTGAGGCTGACCAATATCTTGTAAACAAATCACTTCTAGCATTGTCAGGACTTAAATAGCCAACACAAGCTTATTCAATGTTACAACAAGTTCTGTCCTGGTCAGAAACTTTGCATAAATCTTAAAACCCTATGGTACTCCATTGCGAAAGAGTAGTGGATTGTGTACAAAAACCTATCAACTATTTTTGAAAAGATAAGTCATCTATGTAACTTTCTGTTGACTAACCTCTAAGTGCAACTCTCTCAAAGTAAACTTTTGTTGCATTGTACTCTTCTCTGTCCATTGTTGTTTTCAGCCTCAGCTCAGTCAAGTTATGTTCCTTCAAGATCTTTTCAGTCACAAAACAATTTTGAACCATTTCACCAAGATGACCAGATGAATAATCTGTCCACAATTTCTCCAAGCTTTGGAGAGATTCACACTTCACTGTTATCACCAAACTTCCTTCACTGACATCTTTAATAATGACCTTTATATCTCTCAAGTATTCCTTAAATATATTATGCTCTTCTCTTGACTGTGGTGGTATGGTTTTCAGATAATTTAAGGCAATTGAGCACAAGACTCTCTGTGCTAGAGAATCTTCTGTTCCTGAATAAGATGCACTTCCCTCTGTAGGCGACACAGCTCTGGCTGTAGTCTGCATATTGGTTTCTTTAAGTTTCCATTCTTCTGCATCAACGGTAATGTTCAATTTCCCATCTGTCAAATTGTAACAGACAGTCAAATTTTATCCCAATTTATGTTTTTTTTATATCACCTCCTGGCTATTTGACAATTAAAATATTACGTACTACGCCAGTTAAGGAGATAAGAAAAGTACCAAGGCACGACCAATGGACATGTCCCAGTACAAGATGCTTCCTTTGGTCAAATGGACAATCTGGGTTGATAATTACCTCACTATGGCCTGAAAGACTACTAATCACATGAATGGCTATTTGATAACAGTTTGCTGCAGCCCAGAGAATCACATGATCACCCCAACTGCTATCTTGTTCCATGTCTGTTAAGTAACCATCCCATGTTGAGTGTCTATCAACAAAGTGAAACAGATCTGTTCCATCCACCTTTAAAAGAAAGTCCAACAAGATAACATGTAATATTAATAGTAATAGAGCAACTAGTCTATTAATGACTCAATATTGTAATATTTTCATATAATAAATATTAACTTCAAAAGTGTTCAAAGACAAACACAAGACTCTTTAGTTGCTAGGCTCAGTAGTCCTTAATAGTTCTCCCTGTGTATAATGTTAGATAGAGTAATTTTTACAATGACCACATCCAATCTTTAAATAATAGCAAAAAAGGATAAATTTGAATGAATGATTATAAACAAGTTCACTTGTCAGTATTATATTTCCCACAGTTGTTCTATAATAAGTTAAAATAAGAAAAACAAGAAAGAAAGACATTGTAATGATACAAAGACAAGTTGTCCTTTTTAACCATGTCAACTTCAACTTCATGTATTACACACACTGATTTTTTTTCCTGATCAAAGCTTTGAAAATTTCCCAATAATAGTTCCTAACATATAACTTAAATGTGGAGCACAAGATACATTTGCAATATCTGTCCTTGACATCATATGTACTTTACCAAATACTCACCAGTTTTGGGTGCTCTTTTAGATACTGAACTAAGGACTGCCTTAATTCAAAATGATGGATCTTTACTCTTTTGACAACCTCCAGTTGCTCTGACAAGGCATAAAACATACAATTTCCTGACCCTGGGTTGTTAGAAATTCTATAGCCCTTTCTCTTAAAGTCTGAGAGTGGGTCTGTATTGCTGCTGATCTTACAACTACTGGCATTCTGTTGCCACCGTTGAAGACTACGGATGACTTGTTCACTGCCACCTAAAAGAAAATCAACTTAATGATTAGTACTTTATTCTTATACAGTCATGTACATGACAGGTGGCTGACAAATTCATGGCATATGGAGTAAGAAGAAACATAACAATTATGTTATAATTTACCATTTTTAACTATTTTTTTGATTCAGGTCTTTAAATAATTTATGGTAACCATAGGTCCAAGTTGATACAAGGCTGATTTAACTTTTACCAGTATACCCTGTTTATCAGTTGTTAGACAAGTGAAGGCTGTAACATTTAAATGTAAGTAAAATTTACCAAAGACAAGGTTCCTCATCTTTATCACAAGACTCTTACAAGGCTCCTCCCAGCTATACTTCTTCAAGTACTTTTCACGCAGAAGACTTGACTCTGAAAGTCGCACTTCTCTCTCTTTCTGACGAATACGCTTGATTTCTCTAGCCCAGTCTTTAGGATCTTCAGAGTCTACCACACTCTGTGAGCCTAAAGGCACTTTCTTCAGAGCTTCTCCAAGTCCTGAATTACCACTGACAAGTACAGGCAGACCAGCAGATAATGCTTCCAGAGTTGTTGTTCCAAAACCTTCTGTCCTGGATGGCATTATTGCAAGATCCACTTCACAGAATAAGTCAGCCAGCACTTTTCTGCTATCATCAAAGCTGCGAACAATAAGCTGATTAGGACTAATGCCACGTTGGAGCAACTTTTTTGCTACACTATCACCTTTTCCTTCAGCTGCACAGACAAACTTGAGTTTGAAGGATTCATCTTTCAACTCAGCAATTGCTTTGATAGCTATGTCATACCCTTTGAGATTGAAATCTTCACAGCTGTCACCACTTCCAATAACAAGAATAGAGAATGTTCTTCTTTCTTCAGTGGCTTGCCTTACTTTCAAAAATTCAGAGAAAATGCTTGGAGTAAGGTCAAAAACCTTTTTCTCTTGTTTAACTGGACGAAGGTAACACTTGTAAGCTTCTGCCAGCTTGGGTCCAATTGTGATAACTTGATCAGCCATTTTACAGAGTTGGATTTCTGTTTTTTGTCTTTTTTCTCCTTCTGAAATGTTTTTGTACATTCCATCTTCTTCAGGAGCAGAGTGAACAACTTGAATCCATTTGCAATGACTGTAATTTGGATTTCTCTTGATGAATGGAACTAGTCGGCCAAGTTGAACTCCATGACCAATGACACAGTCCATTGTATGGTTTATTGGAGGAGATGACAGGCAAAGAACTGGCTCTACACCAGGAGTTTTATCTGCTTCAATGAGCTTCACATTGTGACTTTCAGCACTGCTCCTGTCCTCTCCACTGCAATTTGGAAGCAAGATACTAACATCCACATCGGGGTGTTTAGCTAACTGGATGGCCAGCTCTCGGTTGATAGTTGACAAGTCCCCATCAGTTGATGATCTCCACTCACTACTTAGCAAAGTGACTTTTAGTGTCCTACTTTCCTGGTATTCATGTGATGCAGAGGCTACACTAGGAATGGTGGAATCCTACAACAACAAAACAAGAATAGTTATGACAATAAGCTGTAAAACAATAATAAATTGCAATAAGGGATGTCCACTCAATATGCTATGTCAATTCTTTTGTAAACTTGCTGTTGAGTTTTATCCTATGCCAAAAAGTCAGATACATGTAGATTGAGACAAATTTAAACCAGAAAAATGTTAAGTTGCTTTAGAGATCTACAGTCTATCACTGTCATAGATAACAACCATTACAGTTGCAAGGAAAGTGAAAATTATCCTTAAAGGATCTTCCTCTTCAACTCACATTGAAATTGGTACACGACTAATTTCATCGCTGACATTTAGGTGAAAAAATAAGGGGGAGAAATGAATGTTTTTGTCAAAATCAAAGGTTGGTATTTGTAATAGATTTAGATTCCTCTTACTACCTTTTGTAACCCTGGCATCACAAGAAGCTTTTAATATTGAAAAATTATGCTGGAAAAAACAATACAAAATGTGCGTTCACTTAGTCTATTCAAGCTTTCTATTTCCTCTTAGAGTGTTGTTGAGACCACTTAAGGCAGTAGCGGAGGCTAACTTGACCTTTTTGAGAAGCCTTCATTTTCTCATGTATTTAAGACCATTGTTTAACCCTTTCACTCCCATGAGTGACCAACACAGAATTTCTCATTACAATATCAATACCATATCAACCAGATAAGTGATGAGAATAAATAAAAATATCAATTTGGGGATAATTAGTTGATCCAATACTAAATTCTCTGAACTAACATAATAAGAATTATGTGGTTGACAGTGAGGAGAATGACAAATTTGATCCGGTAGTTTAAGGGTTAAGTTGTCTATTTGCAAAATGTGTTGGTTGGAAAACAGCCCATTTTCGAAATGAGACGTTTTGTTTCCAAGGAAATATCTTGCAGTAAATAGAGATAAGATCCTGGTCTAACGGTGTTTGTTGTTCATGGGGTATTTCCTTTAGATGACATTTCTGACACATCCATTTCCAAAGTAACAAAGTGATAATGAAAAACAAAGTGCTATCTTATCACAGATTGAACTCTAGAAAGAGCTCTACGTTAGCTGACTTCTTACACTTTCCAAGCAACAAAAACACAAATTTCTTTTTGGCCTTTTATTCTAAGAATTTTGATGACCATAAAGCCAGCCAATAACCACACACTTTATTTTGTGTCACACCATGTTAGATTGAAAGTTGTTACTATCAAATTCCCACGTCATGTCAATTTTTCTGGTTCCTTGTATTAGATTGAAAGTTGTTATTTCCCACACCATGTCATATTTTTGTGGTTCCTGGTGGTGCACTTTTCTTCTTTTTACTTCCCAGCCTAGGAACATCAATTTCTTCACCACACCTAGTCTACTTTCATGTTGTTCTTCTGTCTCTTGCTAATGCACAGCAAGGGTGCCGAGATTGGCTCAACACAGCAGGATAAATGTTGTTGCAACAGATGGCACAAATGTGTAGTCTCGTGTTCTAATTGGTTATGCAGAAAAAATGACAAGATGAAGATGGTGGTTATGACTTTCTATATCATGCTATTTTGCATTCAACTGCTGCAGCTATATATCAGTGGCTTACACAAGATGGTGACCGAAAAAAGAATAGTAAACATGGGTTCTCAGACATGTATATGTATTGTCACTTTTTGCAAATTAATTGCCACTGCAATGGTATTATCACAGGAGGGTTTATAATTTTGATCTGAATCTCCACAAACTAAAACTTTATATGAAAAGGAACATTTATAGCACAGTATGCCAAAAGTATAAGATTGCAAAATTGTCAAAATTGAATATTAATTGACAGACTACTTTGAAAATCTTTATTACCATTGTCTTTGTGCAAGTGCCAAACCATTTTGAGAAGTATTAAAATGGCTTGGATTAAGAAAAGGTTTTCACCAAAATGGCCTCTTTAAACACACCCCCTATTATTCTATGAAATTCCACAAATTCCATGGCACTGAGCAAAATAATATGTATTCTTCACAGATTATGTGTAGAATCATATATCCCACATGACAATTTCATGTCATTCTGGCCAATCTGTCGGTAAATATTTCAGTAATGATTTGAGACAAAATTCACTGAGTTTAGTGTCCAGTCCCACCTTAGTTTGGTATTGAAAATGTACCTTAAAGTAGGCACTATACAATAAATTATTTCCTCTCAAAAACAGACAGCTGACAAGAATTTTAACAATATCAGAACATAACAATAGCAAGTCATCTGACCACCACCCTCTTCATACATCCCAAACAGATAGGGAAAATAAAAATACATCATCTATTCTGCATTTGGAAAGGCATGTTATAAAAGTCAGAGTTTGTGAACAAAATGTTCAAGGATACTTTTTCAACAGATTTTGCAGGTACATGTACTAATAGTTACTGTCTCTGATCTTCAACTGGACAAGCCACCACCTGCCAGTATTCAGTTTGAGTGTGCAAGGATTCTCGTTGAAAAAACTAGGAAACTTGGCTTCATCATCATCACTTTTTTAGTTAATGTCATCTAGTAGGGTATAACTGAAACTTGTAAAATCATCCTCATCTTCGCTTTTGCCAAAAATATCAGCCAGATCATTATCAGAAAAATCTTCCTCCACAGGGCTCAACATAGAATGTGCAGGACTTTAAAAATGGCGTGAAATAACAGATAAAGATCTTTGCTGTGCATTTACTTCAAAACTTTCTATGAGCAGCTCATTATGAAAGCACATGGAATGGTGGTGTTGATGTTAATTTTCAATTCACAATATGTAAGACCCCCCTCCAAAAGATTCCTGACCAATTTCCTATTGCTCAAACTTTGGTGGTCAAAATCTCAGAAAAGCAGTTTAGTATGTTCCAGAAGTTGAAATGGAATCCTGGTTTTCTGAGTTAGTGTGGTGAAAGGGTTAAAACCCACAGGGGCCAAGAAGTCAAGGAACACTTTGAAAAAAAAAAAAACTGCAAGAGAAAGTTTACTCAGACAAACACAGTGGAAAAGAGCTTCCAGCCCTCAACAATGGTGACAAGGTTGCATTGCAACATGGAAGCAAATGGGTGCCAGCTAGTGATCAGTAAGCATCACACTCCCAAATCATCCTTGTTCAAACACCAGAAGTACAGAAGTATCAGAGAAATCACAGACACCTAAATGAATGCCAAACTCCAAAGAGTCTACCCCTAAAGCCAGAGTCAATAGCAACTCACACTCCTCAAGCATGTCCAGCAAATTCCTTCTGCAGAATCACCCCATCAAAAAGTGTAGAAACCAGCTGTGCATACTCATTCCAAACAACTAGTCGAGGTGCCTGCTCACCTTAAGGACTAATATATAGATTAAGCCAAGCGTAAAAGCAGAGCTCCCATTTTTTTCCCCCGCAAATCTCAAGGGCACAATGTCTTGCCCCGGCCAGGACTAGAACCTGGGTCGTCTGACTCGGAGCCCAGTGCAATGACAAACGACAAAGCCATGGCGCTGGCATGCCCGCAGTACAGTTGACCACACATGTTAAAAGTAGCACCTTGTACGGTGGGTCATAAGGTTGTACGGTCGTAAGTCCAAATTTTTTTGGCTTGATGGGTTACTACTACCATTTTGTATAATTATGGAGCTACGCTCTGCGAGCTCAGATATGAACTTTAGGTCACCACTTGAACTATGGACAGTGGTGTTTATATTTTTTAACTGAGAATTAAAAACATTCCATCTAAAAACAGATTCAGGTTTTTCTTAAAAGGAAAGAAAAAAGAAAAGGGAAAAAGAGGAAGATATCATGTATGCTCTATATGATGCTACGCGTGACGTAATGTTATATTCGAGAGGGATGATGGGTTATAAAGGCACAAGGTTCATGTCCTTTGAAGGTAGTACATAACTCTTGCAAGTACTTGCTTTGGAAGCTAATTGCAGTGCTTGTTGCCAAATACAATGCAGGAATATTGAAACTTAACACATCTGTGGGACAAGTTGGAAGAACTCAGTGCAATCACTTACAGCATGAACCTTTGATAAAGAGCTTATTAAATCATCTGCGTAAAGCATGCTTACCTCTTGTAGCCCAGACATCACAAGAAGCTTTTGCAGTACCTTTAATTTTGAGCCCTCAAATTCAAACACAACCGTAATCTACTGAAAAAGGCAAAGGAAAAAAATACATGTAGGAGATCTTCTAAGTAGCATACATTGTGTGTACATGTAAAATGCAAGTACTGTACACTCGATTTGCAATACGGCGTTCAGATGAACTGAGGGCACGCACAAGTCAGCTGGAAGCTAGTAGTCATGGTTATTACGTCAAAATTTGTTGTAGCTCTGGAGTTCGAAGACTAATCCATCGGCCATATTCAGGATCTATCAACAAATATAATGGAAAACACAAGCAAACCATGCGGAGTATCAAACTGTAGCTACTACGGGTAAATGATTCTCGAATTCCTTCCTTTATGATCGTCAAATTCCTCTCTTATTCAAGGCGTATTTCAAAATAAACCGGCATTGTGAAAAAACTGATCACGTTCTACGTTGCTACCTGTGATTATCGCAAGATTCTTTCAACATCGCAAACGTATAATAATCAGTGTCGTAACTACATCATAAGTTCATTTCAGTAAGCACGCTACATTCCGCAATACAGCTTACCTTCGATTTGAAAAGATGAAAAGGACATTCCGGTCACAAATGGAACAGCCGTAATGAACATAAGAAGACTACAAATGGTTGTACTTGGAAAACACTGTTTATCCCATTTTTGAGCAGAGATTTGATATATGACGAAGGAGTCGAACTAAGCGCAATGCAATTTAGGTGGGGGGGGGGGGGCGCCCCCTATTTCCAAATATGGAAGTTGTAAATGAGTTCAATGCAGTTTCGAAAGTTGGCTACGGTAGCTATGGTAATTCTGTCACGCTACACCTGTGATAGAAATTCACTGACACAAAAGTTCTGCATACAGGCGCACAAATCCTCGTCTGCGACCAAATCACTTTCCCGGAGACATCAGATTTTATGATGTCAGCCTTGCAATGTGTTCATAATGAGTGAAAAGGACGAGTTTCGGCATAATCATGAGCACAGACAATTTGACCACGGAGATTCCATCGTCGTCTCGAACGCCTTTGGGTTCTGTAACCATGGAAGACAGCAGCCATGGTTTCAATGAAAGTAGGTCTGTCACGACTAAAGACAACCTTAAATTACTTGATTTAAGCACTGCTGGCAACTTTTGTGAAAATCAAGGAAGGGAAAGTGAGTATGCGGCATCTTTGGCCGACGAATATGAAGAAAACTTGGAACAGACAAGAAGTATGGTACGGGCTCGAACAAACCATGTTCGCAAGCAAACAGTAAACAATTCTATCAAGAAGAAACCTCAAAAGAAACGCCGTGTAACGGCCAATTTAGCTGCAACTAAGTACGATGTTGGTAAGTCAAAATTACAACTTATTTTGGGCTTTAGGTACTTGTACATGGTCATACTTCCACGAGGAAGATTGGTTACATTTGTTCTTCTTGTACGTGGAAGATTACCAAAGTTACAAGTGTAAGATATGTTTGTGCAGTTTTATCGTATCGTTACACATATATTTTGAGATTTAAAGTACGACAAGTAAAAAACTTAATTTTCGTGCTTCGTTTCGCTCTCGTTAATTGTTGGAACTAACAAAGGTAACGTGGATCTTTTGATGCAAAATAATCGTCATCATTGTTTCTTTGGATCTGTGGTTTAAAATTATCGACATGGTTTCAAAAGAGCTTAATTACTTCTTTGTCCCTAGACTGTGATGCGCGCTCAAGAAGTATTTTTGAGGCGTTCTATAGTCAACTTCATCGCTTAAATTGATCAGACGCACATTTCTTCAACCAAGACTAATACAAAATTTTTAACGCTTTAAAATATTAAGCTTTATGTTGCCAATTATGCATGTTTACATTGTAGTCACGCGTCCAGAGACTTAATGTTGATAATTAACACTTTTGGTGTATGCTGTTACCATCCACAATGGACCGTTGAAGAGTCGACTTATTTATTACTAAGGCAATAAAAATAAGCTCGCAGACACAAACTAGCCTGAAGGATCACAAACTTATCGGCTTCATTTGATTTGGATCTGTAAGCACGTGCATTTAGAAAAATTCATTTTCGATTTGTTAAAATAAATGTATTCTTTTCTTCACATGTTTGTGAACATGTACGTGTATGTTATGTAATCTCTCTTAATTGAGCCCTCTCCCTCCAACCCCAGGTCTTGAAAGCCCTTCTCAGTAAAGTTCCCTCTACGAGAAGGATAATATTACAACAGCAAAATCACTTAAAGAGCACTTTTCCGATCAGTGTAATCACAACCAAAGTAATCCCAATAGCTAGTTATAAAAAAAAGAACATATCACTTAGGACCACCAAGAACTGACAACACAACAAGAAGATGGTGACTAAAGCCCAACAAAATGCAGTTGATTTATATCCTATTCACACTAGTAGAACATGTTAAGTTAAACAAGAGGTTTATAATCGAATAAAAATCAGATACAGAGAACTGAAAAACTTAATTTTCTATGGGATCCATCTAATCACCAACTTTTAATTTCAATGCACTAAATTTGAAATTAACTAACATCTGTTTAAGCAGCTTCTATGAAGAAAAGAATTTAAACTCTGTTTTAAAAAAACACCCATGAAAAAGCTTTTAAGCATTATTGGAATGACATTTAATGGGATATTAGTTGGGACTGAATTAGTTTTACTTCTGATTGGGGGAGAGGATGATGCAAATTTTCTGAAAAAGTAGTTGAGTGAATCAAAAGCAAAGTGAGATCATAACTCATATGAGTATGGATTCAGCTTCTGATACTTTTCAAGGAATTACTGTATATCTGAAATTTGGAATTATCTCATAACAATGTTTTTTCATTATAAAAATTCTCCCTTGCAGTTAGAAAAGTTTGTCTTCAATGTGGAATGTATCTTGCAAGGGATGATGACTCAAACAGGTGAGTTAACAGTGATAGGAAAACTTTATACATGTAAACAATTTTGCTTCAAAGTAACCTGATGGAGGATGTAGTGTTACATATACAAATAAAATGTCAGTCACTGATTATTTTTTTACATCCATCTATCTTAAAAGCCATAGTTTTTAATCAATTTGATAAATATGATTTTCTCTCTTCAACAATGACTTTCTCTACATGCAGTTTCCTCATTTGGAGTGATTCATCAGTGGCAGTTGAAAAAATTATAGAACTAAAATCATTTCAGATATGATAAATTTTTGTTACTAATTAAGTTGTCTGAGTAGACCATATAAGATGTGATATTGTGGGAATCTAGACAAATCACTGTGCAGCATACCTTCATGCAAAGAAATAAACACTCACATAGCCTGTATCTTATACATACACATGTTCACAAATTTATTCGATACTTCCTTTATAATAATGAATAATTTAATTCTTACTGTTTTGTCTTCACTCTAAAGAAAATCAACCATTTTCCAAGTATGGGTGAGATTTGTAGGAAGGATAACCTAGCTTGGAATATGGCAAAGTAAGTGTTTAATCAGTTTGTTTTGGTGTCAAATTTTCATGTAATACTTACATACTGTATAACAATATTAAATACATTTAAAACTTGTAGATTGAAATGGAAGTTAATTACTGGTGAATACACATGCTGTAATTATGATTTGCAATGTTTTAAATGTATTTTCTGTATGTCATGAGATCTCAATATTTATACATGTATTTTATCTCTCTTCCATTGAGAGCAAGTGTGGATAGTTGGTTAGTGGTGTATTATTATTTGTAGGAGAAGTTACTGGAAATTACAGCACATTATTCACTTTTTAATAAAAAAAATAAATAGCTTAGGCCATCAACATATGGTGGGGGAATTCTGCATAGTTTGCAGATAATTCTCTGACCTTAGGATAACGTAGGGAATGTCAAATACTTTGTTTAATAGCAGCCAGGAAGAGTTTTTTTTATTTTCAAGCATTGATTAAACCCCTCTTAAACAATTCTGAGCGATGATATTCACATTTTTAAGTTTACAAGTATCATATTAAATAATTGCTTGTAGTAATGCAATAATTATTGTATTTTAACATCTTATCTTGAAATTTCAGAATGCAAATTAAGAGCTCGTGCAGAGGAATACAGTTTTGTTCTACAAAGTTGGGTTCTCCCTGCCAAGTATCCTTTATCAACTAATATCTATGGTCAGTGAGATTTATGCAGTTTGATGTTTTGTATAATTTAATACATGTAGCTGTGATGACTGCAAAATCAGCATTGTACTGTACTTCACCTTGAGTTTAGAAGCAAGCATTGATAGAAACTTTGGAATCAATGCTCATGGTCCATCAGCTAACAGTAAACTGTATCTCCAGGAACTGTAGCCAGGGACTGTGTTTGATGTAGTACTGTAGTATGTTAAATAAATATTGAAAATTATAATAATGCAATGCTTAACCTCGAATGATAGAAATTGCTGTGGTTTCATATGATGTAACTGTAATAGTTAGTGGTAATAATTGCATTAAGTTTGATCCAAATATACATTCTTTACAGATCACAACTGTTACAGTATGTGTACTTGTATGTAGGTTGACTACAAGATGGTATAATTAAAAAGATAATAATAATAATAATAATAATAATAATAATAATAATAACAATTGGTAAGAGGGATTAAAAGAAAAGCACCATGATTTTTTTTTCGTCATATGACCACATCAGTGTAATTACATTAAAGTGAAGTACTTTCCTTAGCTTACTGCCCATTCTCACTGTATCAGTAATGCTGCATTTCAAGGCTATTGTAGAGAACTGGAAAAAAGAAAGAAATACAAAACCTTCATTGTTAAACCAGCAAATGGAGCTATGGAAAATGGATAAGTTTGACAAAAATTTAAAATCTTGAATTTTACCATCGATCATTTTCAATATATTCATTATTAATGAAAAGTAAAATTTTTTTTTGTTTTTTCTTAAATTTCCAACACACTGTGCTTGTAAAATATCTGAAAAAGTACAGAGCTAGGTTGTTTAAAGCTAGTTAAGATATCACTCAGGGTTAGTGTGAAATCTGATTTGAGATCTGAAAGCTTTAAAAGAAAATTCAGTATTATAATAATTCTCTTTGCCTGCAATTTGATGATTGAATGCCCTGAAATGAATATAGAAAATTTTAATATAATTGAATGAAGGAATAAAAAATACCAGATTAAAATTTAATCCTGGCTAGTTTTAATGAGCCTTGAAACAACTGAGCCCTGTGCTATAACATTATTAACATGTACAATCTTGATCCAATTTGTTATTGTACAGTTGTTGGTACTGTCCTGAAATATTTCAGTGAATCAGGGGTACTGGTGAAGCCTTCCATCACATGTACATGAATTTAAAGCTTCCTTCTGCTTTAATCTAAGTGAAAATTGAATATTTTTAACAACTTATAATTATGTACATGCATGCATACTAACTAGTTTCTTTTGGTACCTTCATGATGAATCTGATGACTAATACATGTAGTTCTGTCCTAATTTTAGGATATCTCTGGTACGAAATGGAGATAGAATCCCATCTCATGAGCAGATTGTGGTCCAGGAATATCTTGACAAAGTAAGGACATTCACAAACATCACGTTTACTATTATGATAGTACAGTGAAACCTCAATTAAGTGGACACCCTCAGGACATTCCCAAGTGTCTGCTTAATAGAGGGTGTACCCTTGATATGGGTTTGTAAAAATTGTGCAATGTTTGTTAATGATTAAAATTCAACAGTTGCTCTGTGATAAAGTTCCATGACGTTTGAAATTATTTTTAAGTCAAGTTCACTCAACTCTTGTTTTCTTAATTTGTTATCGCCTGAAATCATCTGAGTAGATATTTGGGGGAAAATTAATATTTGGAACGAGAAAAGTTCAAATAATACAGCCATATCTACATTTTGGGAAGTATAAACCTTTGATTATTTCCGTTTTTTGGCTGCATATGTACGAACAGCTGCCATTTTGCAGAAGGTCACTATTTTGAGGTAAATCTTTTTTGCTTCCTATAGCCCAATATGAAATAAACCCAAATTCTACGGAAGTTCATGTTATTTTATTTTATTTGAGGGTGGGGGGGGGCAGGGAGTTACGGGTATAGATCAGAGGAACCGTCCGAATCCTTACAAGGAATGGAACCCAGTCCTTCACATTTATGCTCCTATGCTTTACCACTGAGCTTCAGAGAACTAGATGTTGATCCTGAGCATTCCTCACCTAAATTTGTGACAAGCATCCCACACACAGTATCCCACATACAGTATCTGTATTTATTTGCGGGTGGGGGGCGACACTGACTCAAACGAAAAGCACTCTGGTATTGTGTGTTTTAACAAAACCAGGCGAATAGATACTGTACTTTGAAATTCTTACTGGTATAAATTATGATTTTTACCCTTTTTAGTACCCAGCGGATGCGTGACTCCTGCATGGTGAGTATGTATTACAGATGTCAGTTATGGCCGCACCATGGCATACCGGTCAGGAGGACTGTGAGAGTAAACCAGATAGATGCTTTTGGTTGGATGGGTGGGATACACGAAGGCGCAATATGATGACAGCCATATGCTACTACAGCAAAGGTAAGAAAATTATCATCTAAGAGCCATCTTTATAAAGGAGAAAAATTAGATGGGCTTGAAACCTTCATCTTTAAGACTTGGTAAAATTTACCCTCCTATATAAGTTGAACATCACGCAGTTATAACCATCATCATGAGCGAAGCTCCTTTTGAGTTGTTAGCATCGAAAGCTGAATGCCGCTGTGCTTCGCTTAAACACTGAAAGCTCATTGAAGAGCTCTGAAAGCAGTTTATATTCTAACCTTGAAAAGTTCTCACAACAAACGTGTGCATGTCAGGTTCACCACGCAGCAACTGCTTTGCTCATTGTGTCATTTTTATTTGCTAGATTCGGTGTGTTATCAGTACAGGGTAGCTAAGATAAAGTACCTGCGCTTGTCAGCTAAACAATGTGAAGCTGAAATCCACTGCTGCAATTACAAGAATAACAAATGTTACGATGTACTTTAATGATAATACAAGCTCTGTACTGTGCAAATAAATTTGATGAATTTTCCCCGAAGTGATCATTTCTTTTCTTATTTAGCATCTCACAATGTGAACATGTATCTTTCGAGATAAAAAGAACAGCAGTATATCCCATTTTAGTGCTGATGCACAGCCAGCCCATTTTAGTGCTGATGCACAGCCAGCCCATTTTAGTGCTGATGCACAGCCAACCTATTTTAGTGCTGATGCACAGCCAGCCCATTTCTCGCATGATTAATCATGGAGTAATTTGTCTCACATTTTTGACACACAGATCAGTCAGTCCAGTAATGAGAATGAAGATAGTTGTAACCTATTGCCTTGACTTAACTTTTTCGTCAGAGCTATCAAAAATCTCTTGAACGTGGTTGGCTATCAGCAGTACAATTGGAGCACAAATGGAACAGTGTACCCGTCATGCTTGTCACTGGACAGTTTGATAGGACAGTTTAAAAGTCATTCTTGTGTCACCGCACAATTCCTGCTACCTCGTAGATCTTTAGGAACAACGCGGTTCTTGGTGCACCTTGTTAGGAAGGTGAGATGGTTGGTGTAGCGTGCGAGCTTGCTCGAGCAACGCTCATGTCGACGAATCAACCTTAGGGCTGTGCGCCCATATATCCGGTTAATTTCGTGGAAAAGGTTGTGGTTATTCATCGTGGTGAATAACAATAAAAAGCTAAGTTTTTCGTTTGTCTCACGATTTAGTCACGTGTGATGTAGATCGCGACGTTTCGACTGCATATTGCTAGTCTTCTTCAGGCAATGAGGTCGACTGGTCATGCGTGGTCTTATAAAGCAAATGCTAAGATCTCAGTTAGTACGATCGAAAGACGCTGTCGACCCGGCTAAACAAGATGGTGTAGTTTACAGGATTCCCTGTGAATGCGGCAAGGTGTACATCGGAGAGACTGGAAGACCTATGCAAGACAGAATTAAGGAGCACGATCGAGACATTCGACTCGCCCGTACCGAGACCTCCGCCGTTTCAGAACATGCCCACAACACCGGACACAAGTCACTCTGGAACGAGTAAAGTTTACTGATCCCTTATTACTACACGCGCATGGTCAAAGAGGCTGTTCATATAAGACTTCACCCTAACAACATCAACAGGGATAGTGGAGTAGAAATTCCAGAAGCGTGGATGCCCACGATCAAGAAACACAACAACAGGAGAGCCGTGCGACAGCGGACCGCCGAGGGAGCAAATCACTGAGTGAACAGCAAGGATCGAAATGCACCAATCAGAGCTGTTGAAAAACAACTAATCACAGCAGAGCATCATGCTTTTTAAGACCACGCATGACCATTCGACCTCATCGCCTGAAGAAGACTAGCAGTATGCAGTCGAAACGTCGCGATCTACACCACACGTGACTACATCGTGAGACAAACGAAAAACTTAGCCTTTCAATGCCAAGCTTGATTTCCGCTCTTTTCTTTATACGGTATTCCAGACTACTCTAAGACCAAAGCGTGATTAATCTACGTTCTTAACAAAAACGCCTTTCAATCAAACCTCAGCAAGACCACTTATTTCTGTTCACATATAAGTATCACCCCGATCTCTCCCCGCACACACCTTCAACGCACCTCTCTGGTCATACATCAGTCATCAAAATTGCGCTAAGTTTTCCTTGACAAAAACACAATTTTCCAGATGAAACAAATGCAAAATTGGACACCTAATTTCTACATCCTAATTCACCTCACAGTAGTCCTTTCTATCCCTCGATTTATTTTCAAAAAGTCGATAAATTAGAAGTTAACAGAGCGTAACGAGTCACAAACCATTTCATTAAGCATCAACCGTGACACTCGAGGCTTGCGAAATATTTGCGTTATTGCGGCCAGAGAATTTTTCGAGACAGGATAAAAAAATAGATAACCTGGAAATGGAAAAAAAGGGGTGAAAAAACGCCAGGTTTTTTTTTTTTTCTTAAAAACGTTGACTTTCATGTTTTAGATATCGACACAGATAAAAATAAAAACCCAAAATGGGTGACACCTGTCCCCAAATACTAGCATCGCCAGTGTAAATACAAGTTTCAGTTTTCCGAGTCTATTTTTCCGCTATGGCGTTTCTCGTATAGCACTTGAGAAGAGTAGCACCCATAATTTCGCTGGGCCAGGTGTACTCATCCCCCCCCCACCACCAAAAGGAAAAAATGATTACACGTTTATAGTTTGGTGTCCTAGTGTTTCTTCGGGAGTCCCTCATCATTAGCAATAACATGCCCCGTTGATAGCGAGGCTTATCACATGCGGGGTGTCTTGAGCAAAGCATTGAATTAGTTGATAGATTCATGACGGAAGTACAGAAATATGATAGGTGATTTTAGGTGATTTGGGTTGATTGATTAAGAGATCAGAGTTAATAATGAGAAAGAGAATAAAAGTAGTGTAGATCAAACCAGTGTGATTGTTTGTCGCGAGATCATTTACGACACGGGGCAAAATTACTGAATGCTAATTGGCTAAGACAGAGAGCATTTTATCTTTCTTAATCACGAGGGTTCTTCTGGTAATCAAGAAGGCGTCATAACTTGATGATGATTGAGCCTTTTCGCCATTTGCGGTAACGATCTATTGCCTGCAATTCAACTGAATCAAGCCGCGTATTTTGAAAATGAAATGTTCATTGAATTTATTAGTCAGTTACGTTTGTTTTGACATTTGTGGCAGCGTTGAAGGTCTTCATCGCGCGGACATTGTGCACGAATGCAATTCCCTCAAAAATTTAGCTTTTTATGTGATAAACATGTAATCACAATGCCCTTGGGCAATTCAAGATTAACTTCACTTGTATTTTCAAAGTTTTGCCAAAATTACCAATTTTGGGAAAACTTTGAAAATACCAATGAAATTAAGCCTGAATTGTCCTCGGGCCTATGCGATTACTTATACTAATCACGACGTTAACAGAAAATCGAAAACTCTTAACCGTCTTCTTTCAGCCTTTTTGTTCAGTTAAGCCAGAATATTTGCATAAGCTGCGAATGAGAGAATCTTTCCTTCCCCACTCAGTGTTTTAGGCTCTGGCGGGAAGGGAGGCTATACGGTTTTAGTATAACTGGAAAAGAAGGCTCGTTTTTGCTGTGTGCTGATGCCGTTAACTTGATGCTTTATCTCACTTATTTACGCAGTTCAAGAGTCATACACGCGAAATTTCCAGTCAATACGAATTGGATAATATACCTTGGGAGTTCTTTTTTTCCTGTGGTACATTTCAAATCTCGGTTGCTATTCTTGAGATGTGATTATCACTGAATGAGCGGTTAGGTCAGGAAATAAGCGGGATAGGCAATTCTTTGGAGCCAGTTAAAAATAAATAAATTTCTAAGAAAGTTCACGGAAAATTTGATACAGCACATCTATATTTCGGCTCATCTTACAAAACGTTCACAACAGTAAAAAATATCTCTGAAACTGTATCAGAGGCGTAATAACAACAATCTTCAGCAATTTCATTTCTATGCCCTCTTTGTGTAGGCATCCTGGTATTTTCAACGCATCAGTTTGGTGACATCGTTTCTAATCAATACCATACGCACTTCTCGCGTCAAAAGGCGCAAAGGGCCGTGTTTCTAATTCATGTTTACCAACAGATGTTTTTCTTTTTTGTGTCAGCTAAAATTAATATCTACTGCTGGTTCGAACTAAAAATTTGCCAAACTGGCACAGACTGTGCGAACAGTAACAACACTGATAAGTAAAAGACGACAAAGTATTTTCACCGTTTAAATTCTTGCCTCCCGACCAAAAATGTTAGTTAACTTCTTACAGTCTACAAATAATTCTGCGTTGTTCTATTCACGCACTCAATAGAAAGAGAAAAAATGGAAGGAATAGAGACTGGCTAAACGTCTAGCGAATTGTGTCCTCACCGTACAAGTTGAATGCAACTCTTATCGTTGTTAAAGAACCGTTCTCTGCCAAGCCCTTGTTTAAATCGTTTATCCAGTGTCCTATTTCATCCGCGTGATTGTTAACTGTGAGAATGAATGTAGTTAGTGATCTGCTGTTCGCTAAACCATTACCCACACCGCTGGCCCAGCGTCCCCTTTCTTTAGCGTGATTGTTAACTGTGAGACTGAATGTAGTTATTGTTCCGCTCTTCGCCAAACCATTTACCACATAGCTGGCCCAGATTCCCACGTCTATAGCGCGATTGTTAACTGTGAGACTGAATGTAGTCAATGAGCTGCTCTCCGCCAAACCATCACCCACACACTTGGCCCAGAATCCCAACGTGTCAGCGGTACTGTTAACTGTGAGACTGAATTCAGTTAATGATTCGCTGTTCGCCAAACCACTAGTTACTTCTCTGGCCCACAGTCCCATGTCTTCAGCGTGATTGTTAACTGTGAGACTGAATGTAGTTAGTGATCTGCTCTTCTTCAAACCTTGACCAACACCAATGGTCCATTGTCCCATGTCTTCAGCGTGATTGTTAACCGTGAGACTGAATTTAGTTAATGATCTGCTCTTCGCCAAACCATCACCCACACCTTTGGCCCAGTTTTCCTCGACTTTAGCGTGACTGTTAACTGTGAGACTGAATGAAGTTAATGATCTATTGTTCGCCAAGGCATTACCCACACCGCTGGCCCAGGCTCCCGGCCTAGCAGAGTAATGATTAACAGTGAGATTGAACGTAGTTAATGACGCAGAGCTTAATAGTTTAATGACTTCAAGATGTGTGGTAGTCTTCCCCTCAACTAAAAACGTGGCCGACGCTGACGAAAAATTAGCGAGAGTATCATAACCACTTGAAAAGTTGTACTCCCCAAGATCATTCAAGTGCACTGAGACAGAATTCTTTTGACCCTCTTGAACTAATCTTTCAAGGGCAGTTCCTTCATAGCTTCTGATTTCACCACTAAGGTTAATAATACTGTGTGAGGACAGTGAATTGTTAGCCAGAAAATAGTCTACCAGACGATCCACAACTTCATTGCTTTGTTTACCTCGGACATTCAACTGCAAACCAGATAGTGGCGAACTTTCCATGAAAAAATCTCCAAGGGCTTTACAGCTTACAACGCTCAGTTCACCGCAGACGTTCACGGTTAACGACTTCTCTGATGGAGCATCACCGAGAATCGGATAGGGCAGCAAACTTGCCTCATGTTTAATTTTCCCGCATACATTTGGATGAATAATAAGAGACTTCCATGACTTCTTGGCTGCCAGTATAGCACCAACAGCTGCCACCCACGCTTCTGGGATATCCCCGTAAACCTTTAACTCTAAAGAGTGCAAAGTACTATTTCGCAGAACACCTTTCTGAAGTGCTACGATTCCAAAGTTGCTAACTCTTCCATGAACAACAAGACTAAGAGACTCCACCGCGGTTTCCTCTGCAAGTCCTTCACTAACAGTCGACATTAAACAGTCATGCGGATCCCCATGAACAATAAGCGAGAGAGAAATTAGCGATGATTTGAATAACGCTTTCACAGCTTGTGCAGTAGTGTTGTTCAGAACACCAAAGACTTCGTAGAAAGTCGATAACAAGGTACTAACATTACTGGCACACCTCTCGGTACTCACGTTAAACAGTTGTAGCGTGGCTGTTCTTAGCGAAGTGCTTGACGACAAACTCTTAGCAAACAGATCTGCAACATCAGGGGACATGTTCTCGATATTACCAATGACAAGTTCTGTGAGAGTTTGACTGCTTTTGAGAATTCGATAGAGATCGATCATATTGTCTTTACTAAAAATTCGCACGTCCGACAGGCTCAGTTTAGTAAGCTGCACTGATGCCACCTCACCTTCGAGTATGGCGCCTTCGTGCACATATCGTATAAGTTTAAAGCAAGACCGCCGATTCTCATTTAACTTCAAAACATTTGGTAATGGAATAAGGGAGCACGCAACTTTGCCTAAATCATCTGCAGCACCACTCTCTTTTAAAAGGTCAAGTAAGAACTCTACGTAGAAAGCGTTCCATTTCCAGTCTTCTCTTAAAATCGTTACAACCTCTTTGAAAAACACCTGTCCTTCCATGCCTAATATGCCAGCTAAAAAGAAAAATACTCCTCTGTATCTACCTAACATACTTTCCTTGCGGAAAACAGAATGATCAGTAAGGCTAAGTTGTTCCGTTAACATCTGGTTCGCTAGGTAAAAGGCAGCTAAAAACTCTTGAAATGTTTTGTGAAGAAAATGACACTGATGTCTTGGTTCCTGACTTGGCCTTGAACTGGCTTCCATGAAAACAAGGCCCAATTTGATAGCTGGAAATCTTCTCACATGGGTCCTCGAATGTTCTAACTTGTCCAGTTCCTCTTCCGAAAATGAACGGCGGCCTTCTCGAAGACAATTCCACGCTAACTCCCCTAGCACAAGTAGGGACTCTTTAAATTGATTCTCTAGGGCTTCGTCGGCATTCCGATGAACGTTCAAGCCATTTCGGGAGCAATATCGCCTCAACAAGCATCGAAAAATAATCTGATAAAGCTTAGTGCGATAAGATGGTAGTTCCCCTTCAAAGTCTTCAAAGACAACGCACAAGAGAAGTAGATTCAACGGATTGCTCCTTAGCGCACTTAGGTGAGTATTTGTTTGAACAGCTTCAATGAGCCTCTCGCCTTTTGACAAATTTTGTGGATCAACGCTTTTAAAATGCTTTCTGATGTAATCTGTAGCGTCCTCTGAGGTGAACCCTTTAATCTGCAAAAGTGTATCAAAGTCATAGCGCCGCCGGACATCGATTCCTTTTTCTTCGCGTGAGGTGGCCAAAATAAAACAGCGCGAGAAAACTTTTCTTCTAAATAGCCTATCTACGACTTTTTCTGATGCTTCTGGTAACTCATCAAGACCGTCCAGAATTAAAAGAATCTCGTCCTGATTCTTACCATTTCTGATGTAATCCAAAAATTCTTCCTTATTGTTAATGTCATCATTCAGAAGTTGCTCATCGATGGCTTGTACTATGTCTTTAGTATCTTCGTGAATATCACAGCATTTCAGAAGAAACAACAACTCAAACATGGGGAAGTGAAACTCTACTGGTACTAATTTTTTGGCCCAATCACTTGCAATTTTAAGGCAAAACGTAGTCTTCCCAATCCCAGGGTTTCCTTCTACAAGTACCATTCTAGCGCCCTTTTCACCCTCCCCAGCAGGCTTGAAAACTTCATACATGTGAATCTCCGTCTCTGTTAGCTGAAAGTAAGCCTTCTTTCTCCATTTCATTTGCAACCTTGTGTAGACTTCATCAATAGGTAGTTGGATGTCGCTATCCCACAGCAGTGGTTTTAGATTGGAGCGTCTGATGTATTCACCTTCAAGGTGCTCCACAACTAGACAATGATCAGAACCTGCAAGTAAACAACACACTTCGTTCTTGAACGCACATGTCTTTGAATAAACATTGACTTCAATCACTGAGATTAAAATGGCATGAATAGCGAATGACCCTTCAAAGATAACAGAAGGCTTGTTATGTGCAGGCTTCATGCAGCTGTTCTTTAATAGCGAAAGGAAAGAGTGGAAAGTTGTGAAAAAGCGTTGGATTTCCGATGGCGTTGTAAGACTTAGATGAAGTTTACCTTTAAGGCGCTTCACAGATTGAGTGGCTGCAATGGACGAACTTCGTTTAACCTTTTCATTTGAAGCATGCCTGGACTTGTTTACTAGGGTAACAAGTAAAGAAAAGTTTCATCAGCAAAAAAGAAAAAGGTGGAAAGTTTTCGTTTCATTTGAAGCTTGCCTGGACTTGTTTACTAAGGCATCCGGTAAAAAGAGTTTAACCGCACTTAAAACTCCACAGTTAAAAAACATAGTTAATTGCCACTACAGTATTAACAATTGAGTAACATTATTTTCTGCTTGTTTTCTGAGGAAGTTGGTTCATCAATCTCTTAATGTCACTCATTTACAAATTATTTCACTCACAAAACACTTTTTAGATTACTCACATTATGGTAGTGAATTATGAAATAATGAAATGAATGGAATACCAACAGTCTGTCTCAATATATAATTTACATGCACCAACCTACAGAGGTCTATTCACATCACAGATAAATCAAAACAGTTAGCTCTGCAAGCTTTTATGAAATGGTAATTTGTATAGACATGTACAGCCTGTAGCTGTATAGGACTAAAATACAGTTGTAGAATGCACTCAGTTATAGTATTTGAAATATCTTGTCTGCAAAATTCACGGATAGGCCAATTTTTAAATGTGGTATGTTCTAGGCCTTACCTTGCAAGGGCTGAAAGCTGACATAGTGTACTTCATGGACATGTCCCAGTACGAGATGCTTCCTTTGGTCAAATGGAAAAGCTGGTTTGATAATTACCTCACTCTGGCCTGGAAGACTACTAATCAAATGAATGGCTATTTGATAACAGTTTGCTGCAGCCCAGAGAATCACATGATCACCCCAAGTGCCATCTTGTCCCATGTCTGTTAAGTAACCATCCCATGTTGCGTGTCTATCAACAAAGTGAAATAGATCTGTTCCATCCACCTTTAAGAGAAAGTCCAAGATAACGTGTGATATTAATAGCAAAAGAGCAACGAGTCTAGTAATAACTCAATATTGTAATATTTTCATATAATAAATATTAACTTCAAAAGTGTTCAAAGACAAATACAAGACTCTTTAGTTGCTAGGCTCAATAGTCCTTAATAGTACTCCCTGTGTGTAATGTTTGATAGAGCAATTTTTACAACTAACATATCCAATCTTTAAAATAATAGCAAAAAAGGATAAATTTGAATGAATGACTATAAACAAGTTCACTTGTCAGCATTATACTTCCCACAGTTGTTCTATAATAAGTTAAAACAAGAAAAACAATAAAGAAAGACATTGTAGTAAATACAAACTTTACGACAAGTTGTCCTTTTTAATTGTATTAACTTCAACTTCATGTATCAAACACACTAATTTTTTTTCCTGATAAAAGCCTTGAAAATGTTCTAATAATAATTCCTAACACTTAACTTGAATGTGGAACAGAGGATACATTTGTAGCATCAATCTGTTCTAGAGATTACATGTACTTTACCAAATACTCACCTGTTTTGGGTGCTCTCTTAGATACTGAACTAAGGAACGCCTTAATTCAAAATGATGGATCCTTTCTCCTCTGACAATCTCCAGTTGCTCTGACAAGGCATAGAACATACAATTTCCTGACCCTGGATTGTCAGAAATTCTATAGCCCTTTTGTAAAGCAATCTTCTTTAAGTCTGAGAGTCGGTCTGTGTTGCTGCTGATCTTACATTTACTGGCATTCTGTTGCCACTGTTGAAGATTACGGATGACTTGTTCACTCCAACCTAAAAGACAAACAACTTAATGATCATTACTTTATTTTTATACATGTAAATAGCAGGTTTCTGACAAAATCATTGCATATGGCTTTAAAAAAAAAAAAAATAAAAAGAAAGAACAATGTGGATTAAGGATTGAGTATTTTGGGAGCAGAGGGAGCAACAGTTCTCAGAGCTGAAGATATTTTTCAAGAATTTGTTGCAAAATGATGGTTTGACAATTAACAAAGGTATACTGAGTAAGGTCAACTACAAGAGGATTTTAATAAAGGGGGTAAGTTTCAAAAGAAACTGTGGTGCTGCCTCATTGGGAGAGTATAACAGGGTAATTAAGTATCATCAGCTGGGTTGATAACGTAAAATAGCCACCATACCATGAAGAGTTTTAAAGCTGATGTTTCAAGCATTAGCCCCTCGCTCTGACAGAGGGCTAGCACTGGAAACATCAGCTTTAAATGTCAGTGGCCATTCTTACATTATCAACTTAGTTGATCCTACTAAATTACCCCACAGATGAGTAGCACAATTACCATGCCCATAGGGGGTTGACTGCAAACTTTCAATGATTTCTTCTGTTTTACATTTTCATTGAAGCCAAATCTTTGCTTACAGGTAAAATTATTCTTATTGATTATAGTAAAAGCAAAAAATAAGAAAACCACATTACTGTCTTTGAGAAAATACCCGTGAAAGATGAAAAATCGAGCCAATTTTGGTTGTAACGCGTAACACAATCTCAGTGGTAAAATTTTTTAAATACATTTTTCACTGAAAAGAAAGCTCGTTTGAGCAAACAAATTACACCTAATGATAACACACAATAAACACTACATTTGAGCAAAACTTTGACATTTCAAGTTTATTAAAACGCATAGAAAAGATTCATCATTCTTAAGTATCCTTTGTGTAACGCTGGGTTTCAGAATTTGGAAGTACACCAAGTTGTTGTCCGCAGAATGACTGAACTGGAATCCTGTGGGAACAAAAACACATTAACCAAATGCTCATACTTGGTGTTCTAAAATAGCGAAAAATCAGTCTAAAGGATTGACTATAAACGGAGAAATATCAGTGTAAAACAGTCGCTACGGTTTTGTAAAACCTGATTACGCAATAATATTTTTCATCAACTTACCTTCTCCTTCGCTAATATACTTCAAACACGGCAAAGTCGGGTTTCGAAATCGATTACACTTCAATGCTCATAAGTATCTCTTGTCATTTCCAAGTTTTCGGGTCCATATCTTTAGAAACGGCCAAAATATTCACTTTTGACCAAGTCGCTACGCTTTTTACCATGTTGACGCCATATTGAGAACGGAGTCTCGCCACAAATGCCACCAAAAGCGCTATGAAATCTGCTGTTTGCTCCGCCATTTTCGCCTTCATCTTTTCATCTCCGTGTCGAAAATATCTTGGTAACCTTTCCTATTTTGGTTTCTGCCATTTTATCAAGGGTCGGGGGTCTTCAAGCTCAATAATTTTTCTGAGATTTAGCCATCTGTAAATATCGCTTCAAGTGTGTCGGGAAATGGTGCTCGCCTACAAAGGAAACTCTCGCGTATGAAGATTTTCACCAGATTTAATATTTCTCACGATTTACAGCTCTCACTTTGTGGGTACACGTCGTGGTATTCTCTCTCCAAAATCGATCTCATCTGTCTGTAATTCTATATTTTTTCCTAAAGATGAATAGCCTATTGTTACAATCACGCGTTTCCCTATCAGTTCATGCACGTAACATAAAAAGGTAACACAACTCGCTTCCGGTCACGACAAGTGCGCTTGACAAGAGGTATGGTTAACGAAAAGGAAGAAAAGCTTGCGAGGATCAAAGAGTGGAGGAGGAAAAAACAGGAAAAGAATAGGCTAAGGAATCTAAAATATAATGAAAAGAATCGCAAAAAGAGAGCTGAATTTCCAAGAGAAAAATGGTGATGTGATCTTCAAGTTGTAAAAAGAGGCAGAAAGTCAGTTTTTAGAGTGCCAGTTGATCTCACTAGGGAGATACTAGCCTCCATGTAATACAAAATGTTATTATTTCTACTTTTTACTGTGTCAGTGAACTCGAAATTGATTATTTGTGAAAAAGACCACACCCACAAGGGATTATGGGTAAATACAAATTTGAATCAAATGTGACAAAAATAAAATAGTTTGAAATAAATCAGTTATAATAGTAAATGTGAATTTAAAACAGACCTAAAGAAGTGATTTTGTCCCAAACTAGCAATTTTCACATTTTCCATACATGTTACAGAAGTGGGTATGGTGATTGTGCTACTCATCACAAGGATTTGCCTGTTTTAAGAATCATTCACTCCAAAAAATTGGCATGGAACTCTGACTCTGTTATTTGCATCCTTCATTTTTTTTTCAAATCTAAGTTAATCTAAAAGGACACCAATCAAGTTGACCATGATTGTCCAACTTTCAACAGAACCTGCTCTGAGTAAAATAACTACAGAAAGACTTTCTCATGTAAATGCTCTTTACCAAGTACATATTTCAGAACTCTGCAACACTGTTCCTAATCTTGTGGGTATGATTATTACATAACTATTAAGGTTACCTTTCCTGAGTATTTACTACATCCAAATTATACAAAAAAATCTGACTGCCAAGTCACTCAGGTCACTGCTGACATCTGTACAATTAACTCCACAAGTTTGTGGTTCCTACCCAGCTTATGTAGTTTTGCACCAGAGTACATAGTGCCTAGCTTACTGTTAACCTTTCACCATCATTAAAAACCTTTCACTGAAAATTAAATCCTTTCTTGAGCTATTTTCTGCCACTCATGCATCCCTGTCATCATGCTCCTGTTTAAAGGAGCACAATAAGCTATCTACAAAGGGGCAGTTGCCTACCTTCCTGTTGAACAGCTATTGTGGTTGAGGATTCATTTTCTTCAGATGCTGCCAATGGTTGCCGAGTAACAGGATCAACTACAAGTATGCACAAAAATAATAACACATTATAAATTTCAAATGAGGTACATGTATATGTAGTTTAAGACTGTATACTTACAGGTTTGAGAAACCAAAGCATGCTACATCCAAATTATACAAAAATATCTGATCCTTATAATTATCTACTTTTAGGTAATAATTATTTAATAGTAAGTTGAGGAGGAAACTGTATTTCCCCCATCATAAAAGTATATGTACATGTACATGTACATATACACAATGAGTATATAAAAAACTTCTCAACCCTGATTTTGGTGAACAAATTGGATTACAAAGTTAAAATACATACAATACAATATAAATTATATATCTTTTTTAAACTGACCCTATTTTATTTAAAGATACACAATTTGAATTGTATTGTATGTATTTTAATTTTGTAATCCAATTTATTCACTGAAAAGCCCCAGATGAGGATGTGCTCAATAAATGTATGTATGTATTTGGTAATGACTATTCATATTTCCAACAGCTTTTACATGCAGATGATAAATGTACATAATCACACAAACAAGAGCACTTCTAAGGAAATGAACTGAAGTACACATGAACACCTTGCTGTTGTAGCTACATTAATTGCATCAAGATAGAAAAAAAAAACTATCCCAAAGAAGATATATGTAACATAGCTCTCACCAGATACAAGATTCACCATTTTCTCAACAAGACTTTCACACTGTCTCTGCCAGCTGTACTTTGCTGCATACTCTTCTCGAAGAAGAGTGGCTTCTTTAAGTCGCACCATCCTTTTTTTCTGACAGATGACTCTGATGGCACTGGCCCATTTTTTAGGATCCTCTGAATGAATTACACATGGGGAACCACCAGGAACTTTCTCCAATGCTTGTCCAAGTCCAGAGTTACCACTTACAAGGACAGGCAGACCAGCAGATAGGGCTTCCAGCCCAGTCAAACCAAATCCTTCAGTTCTTGAAGGCATGATTGCCAGATCAGCCTCACAGAATAAATTGGCTAGCTGTTCTCGATCTTCTTTGAAGCAGCAAACAGTAAGTTGACTACGAGGAATGCCATACTTACGCAACTTACGTGCCACTTTTTTCTCTTTTCCTTCAGGTGCGCCAACAAACTTTAGCTGGTATGACTCGTCTTTCAATTGGGCAATTGCTTTCATTGCGATATCATATCCTTTCAGCTCAAAATCTTCATGGTCACCACGCCCAAAAACTAGAACACAAAAGTTCTCCCTTTCTTCTGAGGCCTGTTCAATGTTACTGAACTCAGTAAAAATACTTGGGGTGAGGTTGAATACATGCTGATCTTTTTTGCAGAAGCGAAGGTAGCGAGAGTAGGCATTTGCCAGCTTTGGTCCAATTGCAACCACTTCATCAGCTAACTCACAAAGTTGTACTTCTGCACGATGTTTCTTCTCACCTCTGGAAATGGCTTCTTTATAACTTTTGAACATTCCAAGTTCTTCTGGAGCTGTGTGAACAACCTGGATCCACTTGCAAGGTTGCTGCTTTTGAATGAGTGGTATCTGTCGACCCAGATGTACTCCATGCCCTATGACACAGTGTGGATAATGGCCATTAGGTAAAGAAACCAACCAATCAATTGGCTGATCAAAACCAGGCGATTCTTGGGCTTCAATCAGCTGAACATAATGTCTACTGGCAGCTCTCCTGTCCTCATCACTACAACTTGGAAGATACACACTGACATCAACATTGGGATGTTTTGCTAACTGAATTGCCAGCTCCCTGTTAATAGTTGACAAGCCTCCTTTAGATGAGCTCCATTCACTACCTAACAGAGTAACTCTTAGCTTTTCACTTTCCATTAAACTTGAGCTTTCCTGTGATGTAGAGGCTACACCAAGAACGGATGATTCCTGAAATAAAGTTTTATAAGTGTGAATAAAGACAAATCACAAGCAATGAAGGATACCATGTAATGATATTTTCAATTCAACAGGATTGTCAAAAGACCAGACCATTTGGCACTGGCGTCTTTGTGAAATGTGATCAAAGACAGAAAATAAATATTTTTGAACATGTTTCTAACATTTGTGTCTGGAAAAAAAAAAAGTCACTCAAATGTTCCCCAAAATGCTAGACATCATTTTTCAGAGAGTTTCAAATATCAAATTTTCTCAGGGGAGTATGCCCTGGACCCCCCTAGAGGGGCATGTCCCTATGCAACATGCTATGCTTGTTACATGTATGCAAGCACAATTTAGCCTGCAGTTCAGGTGTCCTTTTTAGGGCGAGCTAACGTTATAAGCTTAGTATCTTGGTTAAATAAGCTTGGAAGGTTTCTCCATCAAAATTTCTTTCATGTGAACCAACACCTGAAGATCAAAAAATTATATCAGGCTTTTCCCAAAGACAATTGGCAACACAGACAGTAGATTCTTTCCAAAAATCAGTGAAGAAATTGCTTCTTTGTATTCCAATTCGAAGATGCGAGACACATCAAATTTTGAGAGACACCTAGGTGCTTCTTCAAAGGCAGAATCGAAACTAACAACTTCACCATTTACAGAATTTGTCATCGTTTGCATTTTCCCACAAGAACAATTTAATGTTCAAATGACACATTTGGCTTGTGATTGACAGCTAGAGCTTAACTGCACCAATCAGGAACTCTGTTGTTGGGCAAATGGAGATTCGCAAAACAACAATGACCTTGGGTAGGTGTAATCTTCACTCCCCCACCCCCACCCCCACCCCTCTCCTTGTTTTTGACAGTTGACCGCCCTCTTGATACAATTTTCTTTCTCTTTCCAGTCTTTCACTGCCATTAAAATCAGAAAGAAGGTGGCCTTAGTTTTCCTTAAACTTTTAACTCCCAAAAGTGATTAACTTGTAACTTCTCCGTATTATATCCATACACCATCCTGCAAACAGGTAAAAGTTGTTATCTTGATCTAACACTGAATTCTCATCACTAATTTAAAAGGAATTATGTAGCAGCTAGAGGGGAGAATTAACAATCAGATCTTGGGAGTTTAAGGGTTAAGATAATACTGAGCACTTGCTCACCAAAATTATGCTGTCTCAGTTCAGATATTTACTAGTGACAACCCTTATTCAAAATTACAGTAGTGATTTAGGGTTGTGTTACTTTTAACCAGACCATAATGTTGGATTTAGAAAATTCTGACTATTTGGATTATGTTCCTGGCCCTGAAAGATTGATCTGTACAGCAAACAAACTAGAAACAATGTTTTGATTACAAGAAAAAAAAAACAAAATGACAGGTTTTTGCAGATTTAGGTCTCCCTTTTAGATGAGTTACATGGATTGAGTTACATCAGACTCTTCCCACACAAATGGTGTTCACTTAAACACCAATGCTTTCCTTATCAAATTTTAGAGATAATTTATTGCTTGTGCTCAGTTAACTATTGAAGGAGTGTATAGAAAGGGCTTTGCAAGCTTGATTCTTTTTGAAGTAACCACTTAGCGAACTAAAATTGTAAAATGAAGAAGGATGCTTTTTTCCCCTGGGTCATGAGCATAGGACAACAGAAATATTTTAAGTTCCCCTGAAGAATTGAAGCTCAGACCTTCTGATTCTAAATTCTGATCATCTACCACCACTAAGACTCTACGGTAGGCTAGAACACTTTTCAGTTCATACATGACATACATCCTGTATACTGAACATAGCATCAGCACCACGTTATTGTGTAAAATTGTTTATCTCACCTAAACTTCAGACCATAAAAATAAACAAATGAAAATACTACTAACAGCTTTCTATGTGATCACTTAATTGGCCAATTGTGCTTCAGATTTAGATGTCAACATTTTTACTAATTACCTTGGCAACAAAGACAGTTGCAGAAAGACAGTTGCAGGTTGCAAGTTGGAGATTCAAATTTGTTGAACATTAAGGAGCTCATAATAGCTGTAAATTATTCACTGTGAATAAACAAAGTTCAAAATCTTTGGAACACTTTCAAATTTCTGGATCATGTCTTGTGAATGTGAGTGCTGGGAAAATGCAGGTTTTTGTCTCTTTATAGCATTAATTTTCATTGTCCTTTGATGATGGTACATTTAATCATTTTGCATCAGGCAAATTTTTCTATGATGATGGACTTCAGAAATTTGTTCATCATCAAAAAAAAAATTAACTCATAGGTACTGATCTTTTGTGTAGTTATTATTTTTCCAGGATTATTGTAAATAAAGAAGAACTCCCAAGAGAGCTGTCTCATCAGCTTTTATTCTCACTCTTGCCAAAGACAGGTGAGATAAATCCTTCCTTTTTAATCCTTAACTCCCAAGAGTGGACTGTTAATTCTCCCCTCTGGCTACTGCACATTTTTTTTGTAAATAAGTTATAAGAATTTGGCTTCAGATCAAGATTACAACTTCTAACTGATAAATATGAGTGTTCTGATTACCTGTTTGCTGGATAATGTACAGATATTATTATTAGATAGAGAATAAGTGCCCTAAATTAATTTAACTTCAGAGAAGGTAACAGAAAAAAATGCATGTAAGTGCAAGTTAGGCACTCTTGCAACACACCACAATACAAAACATAACAAAAGCAACTTGAGAACTTGCTTTGGCAGCTAATTGTGGTGCTTGTTGCCAAATACAATGCAGGAATATTGAAATATAACACATCTGAGGGACAAGCTGGTAGAACTCAGTGCAATCACTTACAGCATGACCTAGTCCCTTTGATAAAGTGCTTATTCAATCATCTGCCATAAAAGCATACTTACCTCTTGTAGCCTAGACATCACAGGAAGCCTTCGCAGTACCTTTAATTTTGAGCCCTCAAACTAAGACACAACCATAATCTGCTGAAAAAAGCAAACGAAAATGTTTCAAAATACATGTAAGCAATCGTCGTAATAGCATACATTGTGTGTACAAGTGAAATGCAAGTACTGCACACTCGATTTACAATACGGCGTTTAGATAAACCGAATGGATGGCACGCACAAGTCAGCTAGAAGGTAGTCATGGTTATTACATCAAAATTTGGGTAAATTTCTGCACAGCCCCATACTATTGTAAAACAAATTTGTTTTCCCAATGGCAATGTATTGTTTTTGTTTTCTCTATTCAAGAACTGAATGCATAATGTAGTATGGGGCTGTGAGGAAATTTTACCAAAATTTGTTGTAGCTCTGGAGTTAGAAGACTAACCCATCGAGGTAAATTTCCGCACAGCCCCATACTACATTATGCATTCAGTTCTTGAATAGAGAAAACAAAAACAATACATTGCCATTGGGAAAACAGATTTGTTTTACAATAGTATGGGGCTATGCGGAAATGTTACCGCTACTACGGGTAAATGATTCTCGAATTTCTTCCTTCCTTTATGATCGTCGAATTCCTCTCTAATTCAAGGCGTATTTCAAAATCAATCGGCATCACGAAAAAACTGATTACGATTTATGTTGCTACCTTTGATTAAGACATCGGAAACGTATAATAATCAGTGTCGTAACTACATCATAACTTCATTTCAGTAGGCACGCTACATTCCGCAATACAGCTTACCTTCGATTCGAAAAGATGAAAAGGACGTTCCGGTCACAAATGGAACAACCGTTATGGACATAAGGAGACTACAAAACGGTTGTACCTGAAAACACTGTTTATCCCATTTTTGAGCAGAAATTTGACATATGACAAAGAAGTCGAGCACTACGTAGCGGGTGGATTTGAAATATGAGAGCAATGCAATTTGGGTGAGGGGCTCCCCTATTCCCAAATATGGAAGTTGTAAATGAGTTAAATGCAGTTTCGGAAATAGGCTAAGTGTAGCCGTACCCTCCCCCGCGGGGAATTTCGACGGATATTTTTAACTTAATAAAACACTATTATTCGTCGACTTTTTTCTATTTACTTTGAAGTAATTTAATGTTATATTTCGAAAACCCATGCTTGTCGGATTTATAGTCAGAATGATAAAATTCTTCGAGTTTCCTTATCTCCGTTGCCAGATGTTGCTATGGTAATTCTGTCACGCTACACCTGTGATAGCAATTCACTAAAAGTTCTGCATACAGGCGCACAAATCCTCGGCTGCGACCAAATTACTTTCCAGGAGACATCAGATTTTATTATTTCAGCCTTGCAATGTGTTCATAATGAATGTAAAGGACGAGTTTCGGCATAATCATGAGCACAGACAATTTGACCACGGAAATTCCATCGTCGTCTCGAACGTCTTTGGGTTCTGTAACCATGGAAGACAGCAGCCATGGTTTCAATGAAAGTAGGTCTGTCATGACCAAAGACAACCTTAAATTACTTGATTTAAGCACTGCTGACAACTTTTGTGAAAATCGAGGAAGGGAAAGTGAGTATGCGGCATCTTTGGCCGACGAATGTGAAGAAAGCTTGGAACAGACAAGAAGCATGGTACGGGCTCGAACAAACCATGTTCGCAAGCAAACAGTAAACAATTCTATGAAGAAGAAACCTCAAAGGAAACGCCGTGTAACGGCCAATTTAGCTGCAACAAAGTACGATGTCGGTAAGTCAAAACTACAATTTAGTTTGGGTTCAGTGGTACATGTACGTGGTGATACTTCCAAGAGGAAGATTGATAACATTTGTTCTTCGTGTACGTGGAAGATCACCTAAGTTACAAGTGTAAGATATGTTTGTGCAGTTTTATCGCATCGTTACACATATCTTTTGAGGTTTAAAGTACGACCAATAGATAACTTTATTTTCGTGCTTCGCTCTCGTTAATTGTTGGAACTAACAACGGTAACGTTGATCTTTTGATGCAATATAATCGTTACCATTGTTTCTTTGAATGTGTGGTTTAAAGTTGTCGGCATGGTTTCAAAAGAGCTTATAATAATTACTTCTTTGTCCTTAGACTGTGATGCGCGCTCAAGAAGTATTTTTGAGGCGTTCTATAGTCAACTTCATCGCTTAAATTGATCAGACGCACATTTCTTCTACCAAGACTAATACAAAATTTTTAACGCTTAAAAATATTCAGCGTTATGTTGCCAATCATGCATGTTTACATTGTAGTCACGCGTCCACGGACTTAATGTTGATAATCACCACTTTTGGTGTAGGCTGTTACCATCCACAATGGACCGTTGAAGAGTCGACTTAGTTATAACTAAGGCAATTAAAATAAGCTTGCAGACACAAACTAGCCTGAAGGATCACAAACTTATCGGCTTCATTTGATTTGGATCTGTATGCACATGCATTTAAAAAAATTCATTTCTTATTTGTTAAAATAAATGTATTCTTTTCTTCACATGTTTGTGAACATGTACATGTATGTGTTAATGTAATCTCTCTTAATGGAGCCCTCTCCCTCCAACCCCAGGTCTTGAAAGCCCTTCTAAGTAAAGTTCCCTCCTTGAGAAGGACAATTTTACAACAGCAAAATCACTTAAAGAGCACTTTTCCAATCAGTGTAATCACAACCAAAGTAATCCCAATAGCTAGTCATAAAAAAAAGAACATATCACTTAGGACCACCAAGAACTGACAACACAACAAGAATATGGTGACTAAAGCCCAACAAAATGCAGTTGATTTATATCCTATTCACACTAGTAAAACATGTTAAGTTAAACAAGAGGTTTATAATCGAATAAAAATCAGATACAGAGAACTGAAAAACTTAATTTTCTATGGGATCCATCTAATCACCAACTTTTAATTTCAATGCACTAAATTTTAAGTTAACTAACATCTGTTTAAGCAGCTTCTATGAAGAAAAGAATTTAAACTCTGTTTTAAAAAAAACACCCATGAAAAAGCTTTTAAGCATTATTGGAATGACATTTAATGGGACATTAGCCGGGACTGAATTAGTTTTTCTTCTGATTGGGGGGAAGGATAATGCAAATTTTCTAAAAAAGTAGTTGAGTGAATCAAAAGCAAAGTGAGATCATAACTCATATGAGTATGGATTCAGCTTCTGATACTTTTCAAGGAATTACTGTATATATGAAATTTGGAATTATCTCACAACAATGTTTTTTCATTATAAAAATTCTCCCTTGCAGTTAGAAAAGTTTGTCTTCAATGTGGAATGTATATTGCAAGGGATGATGACTCGAACAGGTGAGTTAGCAGTGATAGGAAAACTTTATACATGTAAAATAATTTTTCTGAAAAAGTAACCTGATGGAGGATGTAGTATTACATGTACAAATAAAATGTCAGTCACTGATTATCTTTTACACCCATCTATCTTAAAAGCCATAGTTTTCAATCAATTTGATAAGTGTGTTTTTTCTCTCTTTAACAATGACTGTCTCTACATGCAGTTTCCTCATTTGGAGTGATTCATCGGTGCCAGTTGAAAAAATCATAGAACTAAAATCATTTCAGGTATGATAAATTTTGTTACTAATTAAGTTGTTTGAGTAGACCATATAAGATGTGATATTGTGGGAATCTAGACAAATCAGTGTACAGAATATCTTCATGCAAAGAAAGAAACACTCACATAGCCTGTATCTTATACCTATACATGTTCACAAATTTATTCAATACTTCTTTTATAATGGTTAATAATTTAATTCTTACTGTTTTGTCTCCTCTCTAAAGAAAATCAACCATTTTCCAAGTATGGGTGAGATTTGTAGGAAGGATAACCTTGCTCGGAATATGGCAAAGTAAGCATTTAATCAGTCAGGTTATTTTGTTGTGAATTTTTCATGTAATACTTATGTAATGTATAACAATACTAAATATTTTTATAGCTTGTAAATTGAAATATAAGTTAATTACTGGTGAATTATATACATGCTGTAATATTTTATGATTTGCATTGTTTTAAATTATTGTATCTCATCAGATCTCACTATTTATGCATGTATTTTCATCTTAGTTTCTTTCATTGAGAGTAAGTACAGATAATTGGTTAGTGGTATATAATTAATAGTTACTGTAGAAGAAGTTACAGGAAATGATAGTAGAGACTCACTTTTAAATATAGATATGAAAAGCTTGGGCCATCAACATTTGGTAGGGGAATTCTGCATAATTTGCAGATATTTTTTGACCATAGGATAACCTAGGGAATGTCAAATGCTTTGTTGAATAGCAGCTAGGAAAAGTTTATTTTTTTCTTGTTTTCAAGCATTGATTAAACCCCTGTTAGACAATTCTGAGCAATGGTACTGATGTTTTTAAGTTTACAAGTATCATATTAAATAATTGCTTGCAGTAATACAATAGTAATTGTATAATTTTAACATTCTATCTTGAAATTTCAGAATGCAAAGAGCTCACCCAGAGGAATACAGTTTTGTTCCTCAAACTTGGGTTCTCCCTGCCGAGTATCCTTTATCAACTTATCTATTATCAGGAGATTTATACAATTTGATATTTTATATACATGTAGCTGTGGTGACTGCATTAAATTAGCATTATACTGTACTCCACTGTGAATTGAGTCGCAAGCATTGATAGAAACTTTGGAATTAATGCTCATGATCCAAGCTAACAGTAAATTGTATCTCCAGAGACTACTAGCCAGGGATTTTGGTTGATGTAGTACTGTAGTTAGTGGTAATTATAACCATAATAGTAGTGATCAATAGAAGACTTTTTTATAAGGAGGGTCAAATTTGACAGTAATTAAACTGATTAACTCAAGGCCCTTGGAATAAATGGAAATCAAAATTAAACAGTTTTATGGTAATTTTATTAAAAATTGAAATAATTAATGTATGATATTATAAAACTACGAACATCGAAGAATGTAAAACCTCTAATGATAGAAATACTGTGGTTTCATTTACATGTTTGAAATATGACGTAAATGTAATTATGGTAATAACTGCATAGTTTGATCCAGGTACATACTCTTTACAGATCACAACTGTTACAGTATGTGTATTTGTACAGGTTGACTATTAGATGGTATAATTAAAAAATAGTGATAATAGCAATTAGTAAGAGGGATCAAAAGAAAAGCACCATGATTTTTTTCCTTATATGACCACATCAGTGTAATTATGTTCAAATGAAGCACTTTCCTTAGCTTACTGCCCATTCTCACTGTATCAGATATGCCGCATTTCAAGGCTATTGTAGAGAACTGAAAAAAAGAAAGAAACACAAAACTTTCATTGTCAAACCAGCCAATGGTGCTATGGGAAATGGGTAAGTTTGACAAAAAATTTTAAATTTAAAATTTTTACCATCCTTTTTAATATATTCATAATTAATCAAATCTAAATGTTTCAGTTTTTCCTTGACTTGCCAACATGCAGTGCTCAAAAATATCAGAAAAAGTACTGGGACAGGTTGTAATTACAGCTAGTTTAAGATAACCCTGGGTTAGTGTGAAATCTTATTTAAGATCTGAAAGCTAGCTTCAAAAGAAAATTCATTATTACAGTAATTCTCTCTGCTGCAATTTAATGATTTAATGCTCTAAAAAGAATATAGAAAATTGTAAGAAAAAAGCTTAATTTGGTACAATTGAACAAAGGAATAAAAAAAACTCAGATTAAAATTTATCCCCAGGCTGGCTGGGTTAGGGTTAATCAGCCTTGAAACAACTGGGCCCTGTGCTCTAACTTGTTAATAAAATAAGAGAGATGGCAAGTTTTGAGTTCAGTAAAAAAGGAGCGAAAGATGTGTTTTTGTCTTGTCATGAGCATGAGACAAAGAAAAACTTCTGAGTCTCAAAAATTCTAAGTCCCTCATGGGGACTCAGAATTTTTTCTTTGACCCATGCTTGTGACAATAATTAAAAAAAAGACATCTCTCTCTACTTATAATCTTGAGCCAATTTGTTATTCCATGGTCGTTGTGCTGTCCTGAAATATTTCAGTCAATCAGGGGCAGGTGAAGCCTTCTATAACATGTACAGATATGTAAAGCTTCCTTTTGCTTCAATCTAAGTGAAAATTGAATATTTCATTACAACATATAACTATGTAAGTAGTTTTTCTTTTGGTACCTTAATGATGAATGTGATGATTAATACATATAGCTGTGTTCTAATTTTAGGATATCTCTGGTACGAAATGGAGATAGAATCCCATCTCATGAGCAGATTGTGGTCCAGGAATATCTTGACAAAGTAAGGATGTTTAAAAACATTACATTTACTATTATGATAGTACAGTGAAACCTCAGTTAAGTAGACATCCTCAGGACCTTCCCAAGTGTCTGCTTGTTAGAGGGTGTACCCTTAATAGGGGTTTGTAAAAATTGTGCAATGTTTGGTAATGATAAACATTCAAGGGTTACTCTGTGATAAAGTTCCATGTCCTTAATGTATAGCTATCCAGAGTTTAAGAGCATTACCTTTCATTACCAACTTTAATTTGTTGGTATGATATCTGTCTATTAGATAGTTTATTGACAGCTACATCATCATGAGGATTGATTACATTTAATCGACTATTTCAAGGATGTAATCCCTTACACAACATTATCAGTTTAATCTAGTGTCCACTAATAATAGCAGTTTTTAACAATAGAAAGACAATTTGTTTTAGTGCCTGCATCAGCTTTATGGAGGTGACTGCTGAAATGGGGCTCGTTATAAAGGGAAATATGAGACATTAATCCAATTTTGGAACCTGACTCAGGGTCTGCTTAATAGAAAGCTTTAATTGGGGGTCTGCCTTAATAGAGGTTTTATTTTAATTGCAATAATAATTCCGGATCCAGGTGTTCGAAGGCTGATCAGCATTGACCCAAGGTTAAATTTCAGTTAGGGGTTTTTTATTCCTTTGTACAAGAGTTTTTTTCATGATAATTTTTTTTTTTAGAGCATCTGATAATAAAATTTTTGACCAAAAGAATTTTTAGAATTTTTTTTAAAGAGTTAGCTTTTAAATCTGGAATTATATCTCACATTTACTTTGGGTTATCTTAACCAAGCTTTGAACAACCCACCCTTGTTGCATTAACTAAATTAGACACTTGAATGAATTGAAAATGTATAGTATGCATTTGGGGACAAAGAGTAGCAGGGACTAAGCATTAATATAACTTTTTAACTTTGTTCATGAAAGTTTTTGTTGCTTTTGTACTAATGAATTCATTGGTTTTGCATTTATAGCCTTTTCTCCTTGAGGGATTCAAGTTTGATCTTAGAGTATATGTTTTGGTTACATCATGTGATCCACTGAGGATATTTTTGTATCATGATGGACTTGTAAGTAATTAGTTTATGTTATCATTGAACACTGTTGTAGCACTGCCATAAAAATAATTCATGAAAAAAGGAAAAGCTTAACATTCCAAACACATCTTCCTTTTTTGTTATATAAATACCTAACTGCTGTACTGTAAATGTAACGATAAATGTGCCTGAAACCTCCTTTCTTTTCCACTTGACTCTTCATGTGCATGTATTCTAACTGAACCCCAGGAACAAGATATTTTAAAATATCACTAAATAATTAATTTTTGTCGATAAACCTGGAATCACCTCAGTGTGATTGTGTTTGTAGGTTCGCATGGGAACTGAAGTGTATGAAAGCCCTTCAGATGAAAACCTGGTAAGAATGCTTTTAAATGCAAGTGAAAATCACCTATAGTCATCTTTTTATACTGGAAGGATACCTTTGTATTAGTTATGTTAACTAAATCCAATTATCTTAATTTGTACATTTACATGTATCTTGTGAAACGTTTACTTATATTATAATAAATATCTCAGTCATAATGCAATTGATTTCCAGTATTTCCTTGAACAAGTGCCCACACACTTAAGGAGGGTGTTCAGTCAAGGGGGTTGCTCATTAACAAATTGTTAACCTGTACTGATTCAGCTGTAGTTGAAGTTTAAAAAGTCATCCCTACTATTTAAGTGAGTAAGGGAGAGGGGGAGCTTATTTGAGGGGAGCACTTGTCTGACATTGTGACCTGTGGGGTGGGTGCTTATTTGAGGAAGGGTGCTTACCAGAGTGTCAAATAAATACAGTATCTACATGTCTATAAAGTTCTACACTTGTATTGATCTGGGTTTTTATTTGTCTTTTAGGATGAGCTTTTTATGCATTTAACTAATTATTCAATAAATAAACACAATGAGAACTTTGACCAAGATGACAGTGATGACAGTGGAAGTAAAAGGTACTGAATATATCAGTTTTTCCTGCATTTATCTTTAGCTTGGCTTTGTACAAATTTTGTTTACAAGAGTAGTTTTATAGATATTTCCATTTAATTTGAAAGAACTGTCAAAAACATTTATGATTATTCTACAGCCATGTCACTTTATTGATAAAACTTTTTCAATTTCTATTTTAAGATCTATAAAGTTTTTGAATGACTGGCTTCAGTCCATGGACTATGATGTGAATTTTCTTTGGCACAACATAACAGTAAGTTCATTCTGTTGAAGGGTAAAATTTCTTGCTCCAAGGTATTTTATTTAGGGCTTTCAGTCAGTTAATATAGACAAGCAGAAAAGTATGCTAGAAAAAACTGGCAGCTGGGGTTGTCAGGAAAATACATGTAGCTTGAAAATGACCAAGAGTCAGGCACAGTCTATGTTCTGATGCATGTGTTCAAACCATTCCCCACGGAAAAAAAAACCCAAACAAAACATTGATGGAAAGAATAGTTACAGTATTGGAAGATAAAATTACATTTGAGGTTTTCATAGGATGGCTGTGGAATGAGTGTGACCTTTTCATAAGCTATGTGTTCTCATAAATTCATGTTCTCTATATAGAATATTCTATTCCACATAGAATATTCTATATGTAGTGGGTGTTTTTTTAAGTTGCTTAGTCTTGGTAGTTACTGTTTGTTTTTGTTTTGGTTTTTTCAGGATGTACTGGTAAAGACATTAATAGTTGCCCAGCCTCATATTCTGCACTCTTACCGAATGTGCCGACCTGGTGCACCTCCAGGAAGTGAGAGTGTTTGTTTTGAGGTTTTAGGTTTTGATATTTTATTGGATCGAAAACTCCGCCCGTGGCTTTTAGAAGTAAGTGAACAGATATCCTTTCACTATCACACGTGCAGAAGCTGTGTTTATATACAGATCAGTTTTCATCGTTTGAATTTGATTTTCATGCTCTGTAATGTCTCCACGAACGAAAGAAAGGAGACTCTGCTCGCCAGGTAGTCTTATACATACTTACCTAACGTTTGAAACGATTTTTAAGTCAAGTTCACTCAATTCTTGTTTTCTGTATTTGTTTTCCCCTGAAATCATCTGAGTTATTATTTGGAGGAATATCAATTTGTAACAAGAAAAGTTCAAATTTTACAGGCATCTCTACATTTTGTGAAGTATAAACCTTTGATTCCGTTTTTTGGCTACGTACGTACAAACAACCGCCATTTTGCAGAAGGTCCCCCTCAAGGAAAACCTCACAAAATTGCATTTGTTTTTGCTTCCTATGGCCCAATAAGAAATTGACCCAAATTCCACGGAAGTTAATTTGTTACTTTTCTTACCTTACGAATTTGTTGTTTTTGTTGTTTTCCTTTTCCGAGAAAGGAAAATTTGCATAAGGTAAAAAGTTTAGCCAGGAGAAGTTCACGACTACGAATTCTTGACGTACAGACTTGTTTCAAGACTCTTTCATTTTTTGCTCTATTTTAAGCTTCTCTTTTGGAGAATGTGTTTAGAATTTTAGGATTGTTTGGTTTTGAAAAACGATCTTTATTTTGCCACGCTTTGTTCTACACGGGAATGTGTAAGATGAAGTCAAATTAAGTTAATGCTCATTTTGAGAATTTTCTCAGGAAAGATTTTCAAAATTTCCACCTGAGAATCTAGTCCGTAGCTACTTCTAGTAAGTTTTGATATGGTAGTAGGAAATTTAATTTAAGGAAATTATTTTGATTTGTTCTGTCTTTTCTGAATTTTACAGGTGAATCGATCACCCAGTTTCGGCACCGACACCAAACTTGATAGTGAGATTAAAGGGGGAGTGTTAACTGATGCACTGAATTTGCTTAACATCAGGTGCAGTATTTCTTAACAAGGACATGATTGATGTTCTGTTATGTATCGAAGTCTGCGCTTTATGATGAGTTTGGTTAAATCTAATCATGATCAGCAAAACTTTACACGTGATGGCTCAGTTGGTAGAGCCGCACCTCGATTCTATTTTTTTTTTTGCGGGGGATGGTCTTGGATTCGACCACTATTCTGTGGGAGGAGTGGGTGAATTCATTAAGGACCACACTGAATGAATAATTTATTCAATGCCATGACTGATTTGGGGAACTACTCAGTTCTTCCAGTTTAAATGTAGAGAAAAGCGAGAAAATTGTCGTATTTTTTAAAATATTTTAGGGTCAGTGACAAACGTCGTGGCATGGCGGCTGAAAAGGCAGAAGCACAGAAAAGACTCTTAACACAGCCAAAAAGGAATGAGTACTCCATGTCGGTAAGGTTTTATCAACCCTTTACACCCTAACATCCGTTTGCATATTCTCCATACTGTTCTCTACACGTTTCCTAAGGTGCTGACAAGGAGAATTTGTTTAACAATCAAGAACTTCTTTAGTTGGGGATCATTTCCTATATTCTCCTGACCTGAATGTGTGTTTCATGGCAGATATTGTGAGGAGAAATTAGATGCGAGTCACTCTTAGGGGTTAAAGGGTTGATAAGGTGTTATTAGCCAAGAGATTGTACCGAAAATTCATGTGATTGAATTTTTATGGCCACTACTTGCACTGTTTAAAAATTTCTCCTTTCTTAGGAACTGGAAAAGAAGAAGATGATTTTAAACAAACGTCGAACGGAACTTGTAAGTTCTTGCCACTCTTCAGATGATTTATCTTTGATTTGAATCTGAAAGAAAACAATACACCATTATTTTTACTACAGAAAGAAAGACTAAATCAATTAAGGAGAGAGACGGCAAGAGAAGAGTTTGAGAACATGAACATGGTGAGTAGGGCAAATACGTCCAGTATTGCCCGTTTATGAAATTCGTTTCGCACAATAGTTATCACGAAGTGTTCTCATCAATAAAAGTCAACCAGAAAACACACGATAATGTCAAGCGCGAAAAACCAAGTTGAATTTGAAGCTGTACTAAGTACCCACCAAACAGTATTTTCATTTACAAGTGGGCACATACTTGTTTGTTGTCAAAATATTCTTTTAGTAAGAAAGTTTTTTTTTGTAGAAATAGTGGGTTTATCCAGTGCCATCAGTACATTGACCTTCATATCGCGTGTTCTTCCTGTGTGTTTGTGCGCGTGAAAAGAAAAAGTTTAGCCGAAGTAATTTTACTTATTCGGAAAAGAAACTCGCACTTGTTTCTGTTTTCAGTAGACTCCAGATTTTCAAGTTGATTAGTAATGCGGGCTTACACGGAAATATTGCACATTGCATTCCTCTATTCTTTTCTTGCTTCTCTCCTTTCTTTTTACCATTATTTCTTTCCATTTTCTATTTAAGAAACTTTTGCTCTCTTTTTTCTTTATAATATAGGGAAATTTCCGAAGGATATATCCTCCTGAAGACAAAACAAGACGAGAAAAGTATAACGGGCTTTTAGCAGACGCTTTCAAGCTCTTCTTGTCAGGTATAATAAAATTTACGCTGAGAAAATAATTTCCTTTTCTCCCTTCTTGTAAAAGTTTTGATCCAATTTCTTTATCTCTTCCCCTTAGACGCTCTTGCGTGGGAGGCATTTTTCCTACCTCGGTATCCTGTTTTATTCCACTTCCCTCGATGTAACCAGGAAGACAATGAAGTTAATGTTTATAACTCTTTTATTTGATTTGTTTGTTTTTCTAATTGAGTGATTGTACATCTAGGTAGAGCTGTATCTCTTCAAAAGGACGGTAATCAACCATTCAGCACCCTCAGGGTAGGTGTGAGGCAGTTGTTGGTCAGCGTATTCCTGTAATATCAATTAAGTTTAGCTGGGCTTCTCCTTCGATCTCGAATGCAAAATTTGTGGAGTGAGCACGATCTGTTTTCGAGATCAGTCTCATTAGAGCGGAGATTTTTTATGTCTGTTTTACGAAAATGGTATCCTGTTATACCACTACAGCTGGTTAACGTCGATTAACAACTTGGTCCGTTTACTGAGGTTATTACTGCGAAAATCACTAGGCTTTTTTTTCCCAAGAAACTCTAATGTCTTCGTCATGACAGGATGATCTTTATAATGGGGTTACATCATGCATGTAATAATTTAAAGACGTCGGTCAATTTGAAGTTTATTTTGACAATTCAAAAAAGGCCGATTATAGTACCATCGCTGTTTGAGTAACGCTACATAACTTAATGACTTGCAGGAAGAAGAAATCCTCGATTTATTAGAGCAGTGTGAATGTGATGAAAATATAACATTCGACAAATCTGGCAACCGTCCGATGAGCAAAGGACCAAAGGTAGTAGAAATGAGTTATTTACTTAGCACTAAGTTCCTTCCTCACTAAGGATGTTAGCTCCTTTCCAAGCCAACCCTGTCTAGTGCTGTGCTCCTGGCTTCAGTCATTGTGGTTCACCCTTCCTTCCTTTCTACTTTTTTTTAAATTGTCCTTCTCCGCGAGGTGTTTGAGCCTCCATAGCTCCCATGCAGTCGTCTTTCTCCTTCTTCCTAAGTTCATGCCCAGTTTGCTTTCATCTTCTTCTTTGGATGAACGCAAGTGAACCCGCAATTCAAACGTACAAAATCTAACCACTTTTTAAGTCCTTTGCCAGTATGTAGGATTTACAAACTTGCTTGTCGTCCCCTCTTTATTATGTATTAGGCAAGAAAGCTTGTTCATCTCTATATCTATTATTTATTTCTACATTTAGCCCTTGTCATCCATGCCAAGTGCTAAATCCATCACAAATAAGGAGGACTCTTCAACTTCGTCCTCTTCAGTTTCTTCAAACCCACAACAGACTTCGACGTCATCATCGTTCAGACCCGTTTCTGCCCAAAAGGCGCCAAACTCGGCCAATAACGGCCTGATATTACCACGCTCCTCCGCGCATAGAATCGTGACGTCGTCTTCATCTCCTCCAATGAAATTCAATCCCGTGGTGGTGAGTGTCCACATTTGTCTCTTATTGGCCTGAGCTGGGATTTTTACTTTAACACGAGTATTTGGTTTTTGTCTCGTGGTTCGCCAAGGTTTGGTTGGGGAGGCTAATGTGTTATTCATATATAATAAAATACATAATCACTCCTTTTGCTTAGGACGCTGCTTTTTTGGATGCCGCTGTCCGGGAGAGAGAAGAAGAATTATGCCGGCGAACACTGCAGGCTTTGCTTGACATGAGGATTAAATTTCCAGGAAAAACAGACGAGGAAGCAGAAGTCATTTTAGAAAGTGTAAGTGGTGAACTTATGTATCCGAGTATTAGATTATTCGCCATGAAAGACTGTTGCTATTTCCCTATATTTAACCTGTCTGAACAGAATTCGTGGTTGATCGTCATCACAGGATTCATTAGAATGTGTGTTATACGTAGCCACATCTCTAGTGACCACCGCAGCACAACTGCGTGCTCAGTCGACCAATAACATTCGACGTAATTTTTTTAGATCCAGGATAATTGGAAATTCCACAAGCCGAGAGTGGCTTCCTATTGGTTGGTGAAGCTCGACTCGATAAAGCGTAGAAAGGTAAGGAGCTAAGAGGACTGTTGCCTAGTCTGCGAGCGCTCTTTCGGGCCGCTTTACTCCATGGTTAACAAAAGCGTAGGGTACAAATCAGCAAGTGTCCCATTACAAACGCTGCATTCTGATTGGCCTCGCTACTCGCCATCTATTCTGTAACAGTAGCCTATCAACGTGACTGTAGCCTGTCAACGTGCGTTTGTAAACAAACTATACTAAAAGGCAGTGTAAGACTGCATGTGCCTACTGTTGTGTAGTTGTAGAGTACTGCAGTCAAAAGACAATGTACTGTAACATGCAGAGGGTTTAATTAACAGCTCTTGTTGATGCCGAAGTTGTGGCAAAAGGGGGACTTGATCAGAACAGAGTTTGTACACTGGCCAATTTTCAGGCAAGGGACAGAGCAAGAAATCGATGTAATCGGTACATGTATTAAATGTGAATCAAATTTATTTCAATACTTCGTACATAGAGGGAAGGTACAGTAGGCACAACAAAAACATAGATTGTTCTTTCTCGATTTCCCTGCGTGAAGGTTGATTCGGGCTTTATCAACATAGACTGTCACGCGACATAAATCTCAAACTCATTATCTAATTGAGAATTATCTTGTCTTTGTCATTGTGTTTCTGTAACAGGTTGTGGACATTGTGCGAACAAACGTTCGCGCAATTTTACAGCGCGTTTGGCGAGCATCTGAAGTTGATAACTTGCGCCTCTGCCGCGTTTTCTCTAGAGTATTTAACAGATTGTTGTGGAGTCATGGACAGGGATTGTGGAACTGCTTTTCAAACTTGGGGTACGTTTGTCTTGCATTAGTTTATCATCAGTGTCATACCTACTGTCAGGATTTTATTTTGCGTCATCACGCTTTTAATTTTGTTTTTTTGTTGTCATTTGTAGAAACTCTTGGGAGACAATTTTTAGCAAGAGTACAGAGGTGCTATCTTCGGTGTGTAGATTGAAGGAATTTCATACATAAATATTGAAATCATTCGTAACTTGTTTGAATATAACTTGAATATTTGAATTTTTGTAATTAGAAAACTTTACCCCCAGTTGGGAATAGTTTATCGTTCTATCAGGGAGAAAAAGATGAGATTTAGTTTGAGTTTTTGTTCCAAACACAGGTTTGTATGAGGTGCTGTAGGTATGATAACGAGAAAGAATTCTAGTAATTTTGATGGCGAAGAAAGTTACGCAAAGGAAGTAACCTGAGGAGGCTGTTTACTGTAATGTTTCATAACAACTTTTTTGAGCTCGGGTAATTCTCGAAGATGGGAAAGAGACGACTGTTTATCGACTTGTTTATCGATTTGTTCTGGTCTACTTCCAGACTGAGATGAGCTGCTGTCGTCGAATTGTCCAGCTTTGTCGAGACTGCTTGCTTATTGTGTATCAGTTTGCCGCTGATGCTAAAGTTGCTGGCGTTGCTTCAAATGTGTCTCAAGGGACAACACTTCAAGATTCTGAATTGAGGTAAGTGAAGAAATGTAGCTAAATTCCTGGAAATAGCGTGTAGCAAAAGGCAATTCAATAAAATCGAAGTGAAGCGTGTTCGTAATAGTGAAATCACGAAGAAAAATGCCAGGGGCATTTTTCTTCGTGATTTCCTGAGATATCGATAATAAATAACTTTGGAAACAGGTCTGCTGCTTGCGTTTAAATGATTCTTGGACTGTGCAACCCTCCAAAAAGACTATTACTATTTTTTTATTTTCAATAAGGTGCTTGATCGCAATGGTTTTTAAAACAGGACTGAGTTAAGGAGTTCATCTGCTCGACCTTTGTTGAGATAGATCTGTTTTGTTAACCGCTTCATTAAAGATGCTGTAACAAGGGCATCCCTGTTGATTGTTTGATGTGAAAGTGCAACAAACGCAGTTACATCTGCATCCTTGTCACCTTCTGCGTCGCAAAAACGTCTGCACTGGTTAAGGTCTTTGATAGGCACATTTTACACGTGTAGGTCTGAATTGTAGGGCTCCTTACCAAAGTTGCACGAATAGTACTCGATATTGGTGAAGGTTTTTTTTTTAAATATGTTCTTGCTGCTTTCCAGGCATGCGAACATTATACGAAGAACACCAGATCTTACGTCTCAACAAGCTTTAAGAGCAAGAATGGCTAAGCATTACAGGACCTCTCAGCCAGCATTGGAGCAGTTATAGGTAGGGACCGAGGAGTGATGTTCGCTTTTGGCCCCGGAGGTCTATGACCTTGCACAATCAGATTTGAAGCAAGGAAACAATTCTGAGATATCTTATGAAGATGAAGACGATCCATTCGGGCTTACATGACCTACAAACTAAGAAATCACCGCAAAATGGAAGCACGGCCATTTCCTAGGTGGCGCTGGTCTCGCAACGAAATTTTCTCACATTTTACTGGGAAGCGAATGAATTGGTGATCATACAATTCTCTAGGTTTATTTATGAGTGGCTTGTACAGTCTTAAATCAAACATGAAAATTCAGTGAAGAAGCACCTGTTTATGTGCCTTCGACTTTGTAATTTTTTATAGTTTTGTTATACAGTTTACGTGACGCACACCTTCATTGACTTTCCCCTTGAAAGTTTCGCGGTCTTATTAGTTATTCTCCCGTCTAGCTGCTGTATATTTTCTCGCAAATTCGGCAGGAGAATTTATTGTTGAATCTACGCAAAAACCCTCGAGCTGGATAGGTTTTCTTTTCTCGTCACTTTTTGGTGTATTTTTGTTCTAAGGAGAATTTACTTGTGACTAGCTTAGGATTAATGTGATTAATTTAACTGTGAGATTTTATCATAGAAGGTATAGAAAATTCTATCCTTGCTCCAAAGAATATTTTTTTCTTTCTTTCAAATTCATCAAGCATTTCACCACCAAAAGAACAAATTACAATGTAAATCTCTTTTCGCGATTGTTGTATTTTTTGTTTTGTTTTTCGCACAGTAACATTTCCTATCACGATGGAGAGTGATAGCATTCTAAACGAATAAAGAAATTAGCCTTTCAAACACTTAGGTTTTTTTATCAGACTTTTCAAGAAATTAAACACAGCAGTTACGCCTGGTTCACACTTACGACATAATAGCATATGATGCTTATTTCCCTGTGCGTCGTTATTTATATGTTGGTATGTCCCGTTTATGTTATTTCGTTGGTGTGAACCATGCTTGCTTAGCTTTGTCAATGTCACGATGGTGCCAATATGGCGCTATGTCTGAACGTTCACACTGAAAACATAACAACATGATGAGCTTTCTATGTCGTTAAGCTTACGTCTTGAATGTCTTTATGTTACTAGTGTGGACAAGGCCTTACAAGTGTTGTTGTTATTTTCTTTAATTTTATTATTTACTTTAATACGGATCAGGAGAGTTCAGTTTTCAGTTAAGGACAATCCAATTTTTGTTTAGAGTTGAGGTTTCTTTGTTCATCCGGTTTTATTTATTTATTTAATTTTTTCATAGTGTAATAATTATTCATATTGAAGTTTCAAATCCATGCTGTAAATTTTTAAAGATAGTATAAAGATATAAAAGTGATTATTTAAATGAAAGGTATAGTAAATTTATTGCCAAACTAAATATGTATTACAATGGCACAGGGTTGTAAATATTTATTGCCTTAGATTACATTAAAGAAGAAATGCACCGAAAAAGTTAATAATATGCTTAGCTCTTGCGTCCCTTCTTTCACACGAGCTCTCAGATTCCTGAAAAGTCGCTTTTTTCTGTTCTGTTTTTGTCTCATTGGTGCTTTGTTTCTCAAAAATTAATCGATGAATTTTGTTTGTGGTCATTTCAAACTCATGATGTTTCTAAGTTGTTTGCCGTGCTGTGTATTGTTTACTTAAATAATTTATTATCCATCTTGAAAGTTGTGTGTTACTATTTGTCTTGCCCATTTCAGCCAAACATGAGCTCTGTACAGAAAGCGTAGTAGCTCCTCCAGTAAGCGTTTGCAACATTGAAAAACAAATTTAAAAAAAGGAATATAAAGGAGAGAGAAACATAGCAGCTACACCAGAAAAAATCTGGCAATCTGGAAAGCAATCAGTATTTAATCCACCATGCTCGTTTACATCATCGATACGATTTCTGTTCGCCATTTTGAATCAGTTCACTTTTCCCCAGTCTCACTCAGATAGTGAAGAAGTGATCCAGCCATGGCACGCGCACGTGTCTCAGAAGCCAAGCAAATTACGACCAGGCTAGACTACTGGCTGCCTTAAACTCGTAACCTTAGTTTTTAGCTGAACTCAATACCAGCCAGACATAACTTGAGGTCAGGTATCAACTCAGACTCAAAGATATTTTCTTCCCAATTTCAGCCAATTGGTGGGTTGAATTTAAGTGTGTAAACAAACTTACATTCTGAAATCCTTTTGTATCCGCCTTTGTCGCGTTACAAGTCTGGTTTATAATAACGAATACACCTAAACATTGATGAACAAGTAAATATGTTCCAATCTCGTTCCCAGGGTCTCCCTTCTTCCCCTTCCTCACCCCCATCTAGGGCGTATAGCTATTGTTATAGCTATCTACACGAAACATCTTGATGTCGCCAGGTCACGTGGTACTTGACGCCTTGTCCACCATTACAGAAGAAGAGTTTCATTCTTTCTCTGAGCTGGACGCCTACGACGTTAAAGAATTCGAAAGAGAGTCCGTAAGTTCTTTTCCTTCTTTCGTTTTTCCTCTTATCAATGATCAGCAACTTGAATCTTCCCCAGAGCGATTCGTACATTAGGAAAAACAGCCTTAAGTTTCTGTATTGATTCTTCGCGTACGGAAAGAGCTAATGGGGAAAGCGAAGTCGATCAAAATATTAAAGGGAGTTAGTTTCTTAAGAAACCGTGGTTCTGCGTCGGTGGGAGAAGAAACAGGGTATTTTAGTACTATCAGCTGAGTTGATAACCTAAATTGGCCACCGTAAAGAGTTTCAAAACTGACGATTCGAGTGTTAGCCCTTCGTCAGAGCGTTAGAAACGAAAGCTTTGAAACTCTTTACGGTGACCGTAAGCTATCGTTTCATATGATAATACTAAACTACAAATTTTCTATGAACGATGAGTCACTTCTCGTTTCTTCCCTGTCCCTACCGTACGATTTATCCTGACATAGCAGTATAATCACATATACAATGTGTCTGAATTCAATTTCATCGGCGAACGCGCAAACGTGACCTCCTAGGTGCCACTAAGATAGGAGCTATATTTTGATCCACTTGATTCATGGATAGGTAGAGAAGAACAACAACTAGATTCATAAAGCGATTCTGATCGTGAAGTATACCAATCTTGGCGCTTTAACCATTTCTTGTACATATATGACGCAGTAGCCAAAAGTTTGAAATTATTTACACGCATTTTCATGCTCCATATAATCTTGAATAATAAAACGGAAACAAGGTCACTGTTCAGGGTTAGATCCGTCACGCGTGGCTTAAACTTCTGAAACAAATCTTTTCATATTTAAATCTCTGAAAGCGAAAGAGATGTCAGATTTTCAAGCATTTTCAAAAATCAGGTGCACTATTTTAAACAACTTTAGGTAAAACCCTTAAATTTCATTTATTTGAATCGCTTTCCGAGAACCACATAGAATAACGAAGATTGTAATATTTAAACAGCGGAAGTAAAAACAACGAAGCAAAGTCGTACTCATGCAGGGTTTTGCGACTGGCACTTATTATACCACTTGCTCTGTTAAAGAATCGGCTTTAATCATTAACATTGTGTGCATATAAAAAACACATTTACTTAAAGGGCAGATGGGAATTTTAATTTAAAATCCTGCCTGACGATGTATGTAAACAATTCAGTATTCATCTTCTTCTGATCGTGAGGTCAATAAAATATCTTGAGGTAATGTTGTGTTTATGTATTTTCTTTTTAATTTCCAGGGCTTTGCCTGACTGTTTAAGGAAAATGACTGAGATTTCGGCCGGGACCAGCGAGCCACAGGTATATGATTATGTTAAGGGTATTGAAGACTTAAGCTATTACCCAGTGAAAACTCCTGTAATGACCAACGTATGTATTTCGTAGTTTGATACTCGCACTCGCGTTTCGTCGGACCCAGCGTTTCATAGCGACTTACCATACTTTCGTACTCAAGTGCTTCCCTCACAAACCTATTTGCGTGTTGTTTGAAATATTTTATGATTTCAAAAGAATAAGAATATGTTCTGCCTTTAGGAAACTAGTTGAAATATTTGGGGGGCGAACTGGTTAAGTTAGGTGCGAACTCGCTTCACTTTAAGGGGCAACTCGCAAGGGCGGTAAGGGGCAAACTTTCAACGGGAAAAGACTTTCTACCCATCAGTGACAATTTGGGGAAGCTACTTTCAAATTCTTTGGCCCCATTATTCAAAAGGAGAAAAGGATTGTCAATTTTTCATATTCTTACATTCTTATTTTGAACAAAGAATGAAATTCTTTTCATCCCATCGTTTTCATTTGTAACAGGCTTTAAGAATTTCCCCTTTGGCGGATGAGTGGGGCTCATCGAAAGGTGGACTATCTACTCTAAACAGGGAGATGTGCAAAGGGCTGGTTCAACTGCCTGGTGTATCTGTGACCTTGGTTGTGCCAGAGTACACTGAGAAGGAAAAGAAAGACGCTGCAATATGTAAAGTCAACCTTACCAAGGTCGAAAAAATACCTGGTTATGATACTATCCATTCATTAGCTTCTCCACCCGACAAATGTAAAATCGACGTAGTAATGGGTCATGGACACAAGTTGGGACCGCCAGCGCTAGCCCTAGCGAAGAAACGAGGATGCAAACGAGTGCATGTTGTGCACACTGCAAGTGAAGAGCTCGCAATGTACAAGAAAAGTCGGCAGGAGCTGATCCCGGAAGGCGAAAAGAAGCACAAAATCGAGGTAGATCTGAGCAAGACTGCTGATGTTATTGTGGGTATAGGACCAAAACTTACTGAGTCCATCAAAAGTAGCCTTCGACCACACAAGAGAGAAAAAGACGTGATAAACTTTACGCCAGGCATTTTTCCAGAGTTCTCCGGACTAGAGCAAGCCCGTGAAGAAAGAGAGAAGTTTCGTACATTGGTATTTGGTCGTGGTAACGAGGAAGATTTTGAACTGAAAGGGTACGACATTGCCGCTCGCGCTATAGCAGGCTTAAACGACCATTCTTATCATCTTGTGTTCGTTGGTGCACCAGAAGGAAAACAAGAGGAAGTAAAAGAGAGCTTACTTGAATGTGGAATCTCCCGTAAGCAGCTGACAGTGCGCAGTTATCGAGAAAGCCGTGAAAGTCTGGCAGACCTCTTCTGTGAAGCTGATCTGGCCATAATGCCATCACGAACAGAAGGGTTCGGCCTTGCAGCTCTCGAAGCCCTCTCTGCCGGGCTTCCAATCCTGGTGAGTGATAACAGTGGATTTGGACAAGCTCTAGAAAAGATTCCCTTTGGTATGTCTTTTGTGGTGGAATCCGACGTGGAATCCGACGAAGCCGATGAATGGGGAAGAGCCATCAAGCGGGCCAGAAAGAAATCAAGGGACGTACGTCTGAAGGAAGCTGGCGTTCTGCGAGATTTCTATGATCAGGAGTACAAATGGCTGGAGCAGTGCCAAACACTTGCGGATAAACTACGCTAGTGTAGATGATCTACTAGGTACTGAACTAAAAACACTTAATATAACGAAAGTTCATAACATTTTGGAGCGTTTCTTCATATATCAAGGGAAACCAACTTTGTCATTAGTACTGCTTGAAACTTTTGTTCAAATAATTGTTAGAAGGCTTCTTCAATAGACAGTAGAAATAGATGAAAATCTTCATCTTTCTGTTTTCGGTTTAAGTGTTATAACTTCAGAAACAATTTTGATTTTTAGTTTAGATCCATTTTGATATATTTCAGTCAAATCTGTTGAAGAAAGGAGCCATTCCAGTCAACATTTTACCTAGTAACAGTTGAAGGTTTTCAGAGCAATTGTTGTGTTTACCTTTACAGTGTGTCAGATAAAATTATTTACATTATGACAGCCTTAAGTCTGCTGGAGCTTATTAAATTAACTTCTTTTGGGAGGGTAATTTAGTATTATTAACTAGGTTAATAACGTAAATTGGCCACCGTAAAGAGTTTTAAGCTGACGTTTCGAGCTTTAGCCCTTTGTCATTCGCTCTGACAAAGGGTTAACGCTCGAAAAGTCAGCTTTGAAAGTCTTTACGGTGGTCAATTTACGTTATTAACTCAGCTAATACTACTAAATTACCCTTTTATACTCTCCCACCGACGCAGCACCACCGTCTCTTTGGAAACTTCCCCCCTTTATTATTTTGGGAGGTATTGATGAAGTAACTAAAAATTTACAATACAACCTAGTTGTTCTTGTGAAAGATCGTTTGCCTCTATCAGTAGCTATTGTTGTCGATATCTATAACAGTCGCCAGTGAATTAATTCTCGAGGAGTCTTTTGACTGGTCAACGAACTGAAAACCCTGCACAGCCAAAGCCTATGTTTATACAGCTGTTATATTTAGCCCTTTCTCTCCCACAATCTGATTAGTGCTAAACCCTCCCTACCAGCTGCTATACATATATGTTTGAAAATTAGTGTGGACAATTTGGTCTTTTATCCAGATAACTTCCTAAAGCTGATACGTTTTTATTTTCTCATCACCTGTTTGCTGAGTAATTTGTTGAAACGGTGAGGAGAAGTTAACTATATCACTTCTACGAGTTAAAGGGTTACTACATTACCCCAATTGGATTTCATTTCATATCATCTGGCTTGCATAAAGGAGGATATTTGATTGTATTAAAGCCTTTAGAAATAGTTTATCCATTCATTGATGACTACAATTGAAGCTTTTTATCCATCAGGTGGAAAACGTATGCATAAATACACCCAAAGAAGTATATATCATCCAAACTCGTTCCCATGGTCTCTCTTCTCCCCCCTCCCCACCCACACCTGGGGCGCATAGCTATTGTTGTAGTTACACCTTGACGTTGCCAGGTCACGTGGTACTTGACGCTTAACTAACATTACAGAAGAAGAGTTTTATTCTTGTTCTGAGCTGGACGCCTTACGACGTTGAAGAATTGAAAGAGAATTGAAAGAGAATCCGTAAGTTCTTTTCTTTCTTTCGTTTTCCCTCTTATCACTGATCAGCAACGTAAAATCTCGCCTAGGGCAATGCGCGTATCAGGTATAACAGCCTTAAGTTTTTGTACTTATCCTTCGCATACTGAAGGACCAAATAGGGAAATCGAAGTCGATCAAAATTTTAAAGGGTGTAAGTTTCTAAAGAAACGGTGGTACTGCGACGGTGGGAGAGTATTAAAAGGTAATTTAGTATTATGAACTGAGTTGATAACGTAAATTGGCCACCGTAAAGAGTTTCAAAACTGAAACTTCGAGCGCTGGCCCTTCGTCAGAGCGTTATCTCTTCGCTCTGACGAAGGGCTAACGCTCGAAACTTCAGCTTTGAAACTCTTTACGGTGGCCAATTTACGTTATCAATTCAGTTGACAAAACTAAGTTACAATTTTTGAAAACATAACATTATAATCACATGTGCAATAGGTCTGAATTCAATTTCATCGGCGAACGCGCGACATGACCTCCTATGTGCCACTAAGACAGGAGCTATATTTTGATCCACTCATTCTATGGCACAGAAGACCAACAAATGATTCATAAAGCGATTCTGATCATGATGTAACCTAATCTTTGCGCCTTAGCCATTTCTTGTAAATATATAATGCAGTAGCCAAAAGTTTGAAATTGTTTACATGCTGTATTTCTGAGAAAAAATGCTTCATTTAATCTTGAATAATAGAACGGAAATAAGGTCACTGTTCAGAGTTAGATCCGTCACGCGTGGCTTAAACTTATGAAACAAATCTTTTAATATTCAAATCTCTGAAAGCCAAAAAGATGTAAGATTTTGAAGCATGTTCAAAAAACAGGTGCACTGTTTTAAAAAATTTTAAATAAAACCTTTAAATTTCATTTCCTATTTGTCTCGCTTTCCGAGAACTATATAGAACAACGAAGATTCAAATATCAAAGCGGCGGATGTTAAACAGCGAAATACAGTACAGTAGTAAAGACGTACTCATGCAGTGCTTTGCGACTGGCACTTGTTCTACACTTGCTCTATAAAAGAATCGGCTTTAATCAGTTACACTGTGTGTTTAAAAGAAACAACACAGACACATGAAAGTTACATTAACCATAATAGCGGATGGGAATTTTGATCTAAAATCCCGCCTGACGATGTACGTAAACAATAAAGTATTCATCTTCTTCTGACCGTGAGGTCAACAAAATATCTTGAGGTAATGTTGTGTTATGTTTTTTTTCTCGTTAATTTCTAGGGCTTTGCGTGACCATTTAAAGAAAATGACTGAGACTTCTGCCGGGACCAGCGAGTCAAAGGTATATTAACATAACAACAGGTATATTAATCACTAATCAAGGGTATTGAAGACTTAAGCTATTACTCATTGAAAACTCATGTGTATCAGTGTCATAGAAGTGCTCATTCATCTGTGTGCAAGCTATGCCATGACAGTGGGATTATCATTTATATAGCTAATCGTATAAAAGTCTGTCAAAAACTCCCGTCATATTTGCGCTAAGTGCGATTAATCTGTCGAAGCTTAGTGCCACCCATACTATAAATTAACCAACCGTTATAGGAATGTACGAAAACAGAGGATAGCGTCGAATGCGCGTTCTGGTTGGCTACTCAAACTTCGAACATCCTTTGCTATTCACATCCGAGGAACTCGGGCGGAATTCGCACCCGAAAATATTGTAGTCGCTGCAGGAATAAATGAATTAAAATCATCTTTTCGTGCTCTATTATCTCACTGTCTTAGTATTTGTTGGAGGCTAGCGGTGGATATTTACCTCGCCGCTTCACGGCTCAGTTATTTTCCACCACAAGCCACCTTTGCTTCGGTGAATAGTTGATAATTATCACGTTCTAATTAAAACGGAAATATTTTAATCTCGATATTTTCATGTGCAACAGGTTTTAAAAATTTCCCCTTTGGCGGATGAGTGGGGCTCATCGAAAGGTGGACTATCTACTCTAAACAGGGAGATGTGCAAAGGGCTGGCTCAACTGCCTGATGTGTCGGTGACCTTGGTTGTGCTGGAGTACACTGAAAAGGAAAAGGATGACGCTTCAAAATTTAAAGTGAACCTTGTTAAGGTGGACGAGATACCCGGATTTGACCTCATCTCCTCGTTGTCATTTCCACCCGACAGCTGTGAAATTGACGCCGTAGTAGGTCATGGACAGAAGCTGGGGCCGCCAGCGTTTGCCGTGGCGAAACTGCGGCGATGCAAACGGGTTCATGTAGTGCACACAGCAAGCGAAGAGCTTGCAATGTTTAAGAAAACGCAGAAAGCACCGATTCGAGCTGGTGAGAAAAAGCACCAAATTGAGGTAAAACTGAGCCGAGCTGCTGATGTCATCGTGGGCATTGGACCAAAACTCACTGATTCTATCCAACGAAGCCTTCAAGCGCACCAGAGAGATGCAGATGTGATTAACTTCACACCAGGCATTTTCAAAGAGTTCTTTAACCTAGAGCAAACCACAAGACAGGGAAGAACATTCTCTATCTTAGTATTTGGTCGCGGCAACGAAGAAGATTTTGAAGTCAAAGGGTACGACGTTGCCGCACGGGCTATAGCAGCCTTGGAAGACGACTATCGCCTTGTGTTCGTCGGCGCGGCAGATAGAGAGCAAGAAGAAGTAGCAAAGAGATTGCTTGATTGTGGCATCCTCCGCAGACAGCTGACAGTGCGCACCTTTTACGAAAGCCGCCTTGAGCTGGCCGACCTTTTCCTTCAGGCAGATTTGGCCATTATGCCTTCGCGAACAGAAGGGTTCGGCCTTGGAGCCCTCGAAGCCCTTTCAGCTGGCCTCCCAATCCTCGTGAGTGATAACAGTGGATTAGGCGAAGTTCTCAGCGACCTTCCGAATGGAAGCTCGTTTGTGGTGCAGTCTGATGACCCCGATAAATGGAAAGAAGCCATCAGAAAGGCGAGAAGAAAATCAAGGGATGTGCGATTGCAGGAGGCTATCAATCTGCGGACGTGTTATGATGAGAAATACAAATGGCGAGAGCAGTGTGAGGCAATTGTGAGAAAATTACGCCAACGTAAATGATGTAAGGCCTAAACTGAAAAGAAAAGGTCCATGACATTTCTAACAATTTCATGGTACATTACGGAAACAGCAATATTGTTGACATGAGTAAACTTTGAGTGAACTTCCGACAATTATTCACACTCAAGTAGTTTAAGGCCTGATGTACCAGTGGACCAAAGAAATGTGTAAGAATTTCCATTCTATTTCCGAATTACTTTGGGTTTAAGCTTTGTTTCGTTCTGTTATACACTCGATTGCAAAAACGTTGACACCTAATAAGCTTGATTCACGAACGACAAGACCCATCACCTTTATGGGAAATGTTCGCACAGATACACAATCAGTGATTTACTTCTCTTATTATTCATGGAAAATCTTTTCTCATGATAAAACGTTTTCTTCCGGGAAAGTTTGGATAGCTCTTTGCTGAGTCTCATCGTTCATTATAAACGCTTGTTGCGTGTCAACGTTTTTGCAATCGAGTGTATTTCGGTTAAAGTGATTGTACAAAAGAGAAGACTTTACAGACAAAGTTTTCACATGCAGTTGTTGTAGGTAATCGAAACTATTTTAGATCTAGCTTTGTTTTGTAGTGCGGCAAATAATGTTCTATTTCATTATAACAGCTGTACCTTTATTGAGACTTCTTTTATGGAACAAAAGCTTGATCTGGTAAAAAGAAAAACACTCACAGAACACTAGAATCTATACTGAATTCACAGATCTTATCGATCAATCATTTTGCCGGATGGTATCTAACAGTCGTTGATATTTGTGGTAGTCATAGGTTGGATAATTCTGGACATGTTTGCATGCATTTGAGGTTGATAAACGGCCTTAGTGACCTGTGTTGTTGAAGCGTATGTATTCATGAATAAAGGGGGTAACTGTTTCCAAAGAAACTGTTGTGCTTCGTCGGTGGGAGAGTATAGCAGGGTAATTAAGTGTCATCAACTAAGTTGATAAGGTGAATTGGCCACCGTAAAGAGTTTAAAACCTGGCGTTTCGAGTGTTAGCCCTACGTCCATTTGCTCTGACGAAGATAAGTTATCAAGATAACTTCCTAAAGCTAATACATTTCTATTTTCTCATCACCTGTTTGTAGGACAATGTGTTAAAAGCTGTTAGGAGAAGTTAACTACATCCCTTCTAGGAGTTGAAAACCCCAATTGGATTTCATTTATTAACATCTGGCCTGCATAAAGAAGGATATTTGATTGCACCAAAGCCAGCAATAGTTTATTCCATTCATTGCTGACTACAATTGAAGCTTTTTTCTCCAACGGGTGGTGAGCAAAAAAATGCTTTTTCGTTTTCTTTGTTATCGTAGAAAAAGTACAAAAATATTGTTTCTCACGCTTTCTCGTTATAAAACAAAATTATATAGAAGACTAAAAAAAAATTCGTTTCTGAATTCACAAGTGTAAATATTGGTTGCTAAGTGACAAGAACTTATCTTTTCAACGCCTCCATGTTACCGACTTATCTCTAAAAATTGGATGACAGAAATCGATATTAATGTAAATGATTGTATCAAAGCCTTTAGTAATAGCTTATTCCATTCATTGATGACTACAACTGAAGCTTTTTTTTCCAACGTGTGGTGAGCAAAAAAAATGGTTTTTTTTGTTTTCGTTGATATTGTTGGAAAAGTACAAAACTATTGTTTCTCACGCTTTCTCCTTAAAAAACAACACTATGTACAAGACTAGGAAATAACTCATTTCTGAATTTAAAAGTGAAAATATTGGTTGCCAAGCAACAAGAACTTATCTTTTCAACGCCTCCATGTTACCGACTTATCTCTAAAAATTGGATGACAGAAACAAATATTGAAAAAAAAATGAAAAGTAAATAATGACTTCATTTAATTGCGATCAAATTCCTTTACGATAACGAGGAACCTATATAAAATTTGCCTCGTTCCCAACCTGTGGTTTAGTAGCTCAACTGGAAGAAGCAACTAACAAGAATCTGAAAAGAAACGGATTCGAAATTCGGACAAACCGAGAAATCTTCAGGCTTCTTTACTGACATTCCTCACTTGCAGCTCACCTGCAGTGATTAGTTCTTTCCTTGAACTCGACTTATCTATGAATTTAATTACGACTGTTGGTCACCTTCATCGTGTCAGTCATTCAACAAAAAAATTCAATGTTTGACTCTACAATTTTATGGTTCCTTAACAGTATTGCGAAGTCGATCGTTAATTGTTTCCTTTCTCTTATGCGGCAACCTGCGGTTGTTCAGCTTTGCGGCATTCTTCATGGCAGGATTGGGTTTCTTTGCTGTAGGTCGCGTCAGTTGCATGTATGACTCTCTCTGGCTAAGTTCTCTGTATCCTGCTTCATCTCGGTTGTTTGTGGTGCGATGATCTTGGGGACCTGTGGTACTTTGGTACGCCGCGGAATCTGTCGTTTGATTTCCTCCTATTTCTTCATAGAGGAATTCCACCTCGTTTACTGAGGGAACACCCCCTCGGGGAATACCCCCTCGAGGAAGGCAGCTGGCGTTTTTGGAGTCTACGTTTGCTTGTTCTGTTTCATTGCAAGCTTTTGCATACGATGGTGGCCTGAGATTATCGATCTCTTCGTATAAATCCTCCCCTTCTGGATCTACTGGGTCCGTTTCTTCGTCTACTGAGTAAATATCCTCTTCAAAAGAAGGCTCTTGACTCTCGGTGTTCAAAGGGGAGTTACCATCTTTTGAAGAAGGCTCATTTGCGCACGCTCCATGGCAAGGATCACGAGATCGTTCTTCAATATCTTCATAGAATTCTTGGCCTTCTTCTGAGATGTCATCGTATGTTTCTGCCTCTTCCTGTTCCTCCTCACCTACCACCAGGGTGTTGACGGTACTTATATTTTGATGACGGATATTGTCGATGTCATCATAAAGCTCTTCTTCTTCTGTACGATACGGAATTTTCTTGATACCGAAATTCTTTACATTTTGGTACCGAGGTTCAGTGGAAGAAGTATTGGAATCTGTCGGACTCTCTGCCATTTTCCCTTCAAAATCATAGTCGGATCGACTGGTGGGCGAAATGTCTTCATAGCATTCATCCCCTATCACATCTGAAGACGTTTTGGAGCACTTTTCCACAGGTAGATCATCATAAAATTCTTCGTCCACTCGATTGATGGCATTTTCTTGAACATATCTGTAATCGTGTTCTGAAAGCTTATAACCGTCGTTGCACATCTGCTCTATAATTTCTTTAAGACAGTTCTTGTCTTGGTTGGTGATGTGACAGGCATTTTCAGGCTGAGTGATTGATGAATCAGGCCATTCGCTCTTTTCATGGCGCTCTTTCCACAATGACATTAGCCAAGAGTTCATTGGTTGCCTATAAGAAACGAGATGTTTGATTGTGAGAGGTAAATCAATTAAAAAAATCCATTAAAAAACCTTGCAGGGTCAGACCCATTTATCAATAAAAGCCTTCTGATATCGCCAAATGGTTGCCTTCTCAGTTATTTTAGGCTTAAAACCACTTTCAAAGTCTAAAAACTCCAATAATTCGCAAATTAGGTATCTATCTTTTCCCGTTATCATTGATTTCCTTCATTCCTTGAGTGCGTTTGGTATATAAAGTGAAATCAGAAAAATTGGTGGAATACTTCGGTATAAGTCTTTTACCGAGCCACACCTTGCTCATGCCTCCTCGGAGAGTGACTCTGACTACAGCCAGTTCAAATGGAAAACTTAGGGACATAATTAGGTACTGTCAAACTTCCGTTTCTCAAAAATCTTACTAGTTTACAAACATTCGTGTGTAATTGTGCGGTTACCTTGTAGTGAGGCAGTCAAAGATGGCGATGAACGGAGGCCGTTGTACCGGGTCGAATGCCCAGCATTGATGCATCACGATATACACCCAATCGGGGCAATTGTCTGGTGGTGATAGTGGCCCAACGTTTCTGATCTGATGGATAACCTAAGATGAAGATACTCAATTATATCAATTTTAATGAAGCGATAGCCTTGTTAAAGACTTATTCTTAATGCATACAATTCGATTTCAAGTTGAAATTCTCCTTTAAACGCTGTTTCCGTTATATTTGGGCCTTTGCCTTTGCCTTTGCCTTTGCCTTTCCCATAGTGTGATTCGTTTTAAGGGAAAAGGGGGGGGGGGGGGGTTGGAATCGCACTTTTTAGCTCATGGTTTGCCTAAATCTCCTCTCTGCTTCTTCCCTCCCCCTTTTTTATTTTGAATCCTGGTTCTAGTCCCAGAAATCCAAATACCTTTTCCTAAGGCACGTCATATTCCCATTTAACCGTTTCGAGGCTCATAAGGTTTGAGAATAACCAGCGAGGGAAAACTAAATTTAGACACGAACAAAGTGAGAAAAAATTGATCGAATCCACCAGCTAAGTGAGATCGTAAAGTTTTCAGCAAACAAACCTCCTCGGCAGCATGGTTACAGTAAGGCACCGAGTATTCCTTATGCTCCTGGCCTGTTGCAAAGGCAGTGTACAGTTCCCAACCAAGGACCGCAAAAGCCCAAACATCACTAGCATGAGTATAATTGCCGTCTTGGATCACTTCGGGTGCGCTCCTGTTGAGGTAAAGAGTGTAAGTGACAAATAAGCTGAAGCTGTCAACGTGCTATCGATAAAATATCTCTCGAAATAAGAATAATAGCGAAAAGGCAGATTTGCAGAATTTCAAATGACTTTCCACGCACGAAATTAGTTAATAAAATGCACTGTAAATCCACAAATCAAATGGCTAGCCTAAATTATTTCTTTAAATTCAAAATTAACTGAACTTTAAACCGACTAAACTGATATCTACCTCCATTTTCTATTTATTGACAACTCAGCGCTGTGTTGCCGGATTAAGTGAGATATGTTATTGATGACCGTTGATGATTGACAAGTGAACCCTGGATTCCACCAGGGAGCCCCCTGATATAATACGCTAGTTGCCTGGGTTGTCAAAAAGTTTTCAACAAGTGATAGCATTCGTGAAGGATTTTTCTTGTTAGATAACTATTCCTTCTCTCTGAGTACTGAATGAAAAACGGGAAACAAAGAGAGGAAACTTATCAAGGTAAATCTTGTGCGAGGTTTCGCCAGAATTGTCAAGTTATTTTGTTAGTACGGAACAGGTTTTCGAGTGAACTTCGCATCAGTCAATTCAGTTTGAATACCAAGAAGACAATTTTGCGGGTTTTTAAGTTTTCATTGTTCACATTTCCTTAAGATGTTAGGGAAAGTGAAGCATGTAAGGCTGTTTTGTCATTCAGTAAGGCGTATATAAGATTCTGGTGCGGCAACGGCAAAATACACTCAATCTTATCGATGCAACTTTGCTTTGTACAGGCAATTATTTTGGCGAAACCAAGTTATCTTTTGTATTGTTAAAAATTTGAAAAATAACGCGAGTTACTTTGGTTCTGACTTTTATCAAACACGGTTTTTTTTTCGTTTCTACTGTTTACTACAAAGCAGAATGTATTTCCAATTAAAATTCATAATATTCTGATGCGAAAACAACTCTGTAAATGTCTGAGGGCCAAGCTCGTGCAAAATGAAATAGACAAGAACTTATTATTCAGGTTAAACGCCTCGCGCAAAGAATCTGGAGCACTCGTGCATGAGGTTAACTCTGAGATTTAGAATTTAACGTTCAATTCACAGCGGATTATTATTATTCCCTTTATTATGCTTAACTTGGTCCAACTTGCTCGCTACAATTCATGAATACCGCGCGCTGAAAATTGAATTTTTATTTTCAGTATAGTACGAATTGATGTCTTGTACCTATTTCGTTGTCTCGTTGTGAGCTACTTACCAGCGGGTTGCATCAGGTGGCATATTACGCTGAACTACACATGAGGCAGAAGTGTTGTCGTAAGCCCTTTTTGGTAAAAGCAAGGAGCGACCCAAACGGGTTACTTGAACCTGGAATGGATCATGAAGTCTCTTGTGAGTAAAAGACAAAGTCTTTCAACATTGTTTTCAAATTTAATATTTTTAGTTCTTCATTGATACACTTTATTAATTTTCATTATAGTACATAAAATTCACCTCATGATAACTATAGCTGAATATGCAGTATCAAAATATTTTTTAAAAAATTTTCTCAGTGTTTATATGGAGAAAACCAAAAAACACAGGCATAAAACAACACAAGGGAGTACATTTCAAACAAGAGGATGAAGCAGTTCACAATTACAACCAAAAACCAAAACAAAACAACACATAAAAGAAAAAACGAGTGAGGAGTTCCTCTATAAACTCCCCCCTTTAGAATTAGAGCCTGATTATTTGCCATCATCAAGAAAATTCTTTACTGACCTTAGCAAACAAATAAACAAACAAGCAAAGAACGAAAAAAACAATCAAAATAACATGAAATATGCAAAGCGACCAAAAACCTAAGAGTACATCTATTGCAGAATTACAGTCCCTTTAATGCCTGTAATAAATTGAGAAATTTATCGCTTTCTTGTATAGCAAATAAACAGCTACACAGAAAAAAATACATAAATCAAGCGAACAAAACCAAACTAAACCAAACTTGCACATCACTTAAAAGATTGGTGTCACATTCATTCCATATCTGCTAAAATTTTTTGGAAACTACGTGGTTGCGTTACTAGCACATTACCAGAACAATTGATTAAACTAGTAACCCTGGTTATTTTAGATTTTCTGTCACCAGACCCCACTCACCTTGTTCGGAGCTATTACATTGACATATTCGGCTCGAAGATCTCCATGAACAATGTGATTTGAATGGAGAAAATGCAGGGCAGAGGTCACTTGTGATAGGAACGTAACAATGTCACCAAGCTGGCATTGTTTGCTCAGAACATAATCTTTGAGGTTTCCGAAAGGAGCCTCTGGCGATATCTGTCAAGAAAGGGATTCTTGGAAAATTAGAGAATGCATCCTCCCCTAGTAATGACCACGATATTCTGGGATGGTATTAACTATTTGTTATTCATGAAAGTTTGTTACTTGAAGTGCCTCTGGACGTAGTTTGGAGGCATTCGAATACTTATAATGTGTATCAGTTCTAATGTAATTGATATCCGGCTTAGCACTAAGAATTCCTTCTTCTAAAGGTACAGTTCTCAGCTGCATATCCAGCCTATAGGCCTCTAGCCTATAATTTGTTTCCGCCCGGTTGATTGTTAAAATATGACCCTTGCAAGAGTTGAAATAAAAATCGAACTTTCTTAAGGAACAGGCTTACAACAAGTCTAAAGTTTTTAATGTATTTGATATTCTGATTGAGCCATAAATGCCTTATTCTATGGGTACAATCACCACGGATATGCACGTGAGTCTCGTTAATCATTTCTATTGCAGTCCAGCTATTATTTGCCATGCAACCCTTTAACACTTGGAGGAATATCCCTTAATTTAGTGTTCTCTTTCTCGATTAAACTAAACTAATAATTCATGCACGTGTAACTTACCATCTCCACAACTGGATGATGAGAATCCAAGTTGTCTATTCTCAAAATCCTAGCAAGATCTGGCGGAGTGTTCAGATTGAGCAGCCTTCTCAAATGATTTTTGTCTGCATTTGTAATCTTCTCCATCACCAAAGTGCCATCCTAATAAATAGGCGACACTCTAAGCATACGTAAACTAAACTGTCACACATATAAACACCGAATGCAAGGACTCATTACCTTCTCATTTACTCTTCTATTTACCCAAGAATGGTAATAAGATTCCTTTCATTGCTATTTACTGGTTTTAAAAAATATTATCTAACAATTAATACAACCTATTATTAATTATATGTATTAGAGAAGAACCGTGAAGAGATACATTCTTAAATGTAAATGTGAGTGCTGTGAATACATTAATCCCAGTCCTCTTTCAAGAGTAATAGGTTTTTCATACCATTACTCTGTTTTTTCACATTTTTTGTTATAGAGCAAGATAGTTAATTTTGACTTTGAACTTCGTCTTAAGAAAGATGTTCTCCATTTTGTCACGAGCGTGAGGCACATCTGCTACATTTAAAGAATGTTTCTCTTTAGACAATTTCGAAAAGATCCCACTAACCTTTCCGGCATCATATCTTGTGGGTGCATCATCACCTTTTTCATCTGACTGGCAAGATGTCTGAAGAGAAAAAGTAATGACTCGTTAAAGCTGTAGAGAACCAGCAAACTGCACGCACCAGTTTCGGTGAGATTAGAGAAGTTTCATTACAAAGGTTTTAAATCACAACAATTTATTTTAGGACGTCAAAAAGGGCTTGTGTGCTTATTCAAAACGCTCGTCCCCAGCCTGTTGATCTAAACGCGTTTTATGGCCCATTGACAGCGTCCTTATGGTTCACATCAGTAATCCTCGGTATATTTAGATGTTAATGCAGTTGAGATGATTGTCCTTTCTGACTCTGAGGTCGAACACTTGCACAGCTATTAATTTGGCCTTTCATAGTCAAACCTAAGAGAATCGCCAACGGGGGTCCAAAGGCATATTCAAACATAATCTAGTCAGCTAAGTTCTCTTTCTCGTGGAAGGGAGAACTGTTACACTATTTACTCCCTTTTTCGCGAGAAATTCTGCCAAGCCAATGTTAAATGTATCGGGCTAGGCTTCTACTGCATAAATGCTACCAGAGATTTATTGAAAGGAATAATTCACATCGAGTGGGTTTATGCTGCCTTGGATGCGACCTTAACAATTTGCTCATGTACGACCTCGACCATTGGAAGGAAGATGATAAATAGCGCGTAAACTTTTGAGGAGGCGCACCGCGTACAAACTTACGGACGATTGTGCCCTGCGAATGGGTCAGAGACAAAGTTATAACTTGACATGTGCCCTCCGTGTACAAAAAATGGTTTGAAAACTAGCATCGTGGTTGGGCACTTACGTAATCGATGCAAGTCTCCAGCGGTGGTGGATCATCTCTTGGTTTCTCTTCTGTAAGGGAATGAAAATGGAACATATATTTTTGGTTAAAAAAAAAATACAAACCTGAATATGAGATACTGTTGTGCAGACTCAGTTGATTTATAAGAATAATGCTTTCATGCCTAAAACTAAGTTTCCATTTATTTCCTCCGGCAGTGATCCTATGAAACTAATTGTTTATACAGAAGAAATAATTACCTGATTCTGGATCCATTGCGACATCAAGCACTTTTTCCAATCTTTCTTTTAAACTGGCAAGTGCAATCCTTTTTGATCTGTGCCGTTCCCAACACCGCGTCATTAACGTAAATTCTTCATCTTGGAAGCACGACTCACGGGCTGGTACACCGTTAATTGTATGCGACCTGCCAAATAAAGTTCCTGTTACTAACGTGACTGGTCTATATTTTAGCTTCATCTAGATTGAGTGCAGTCCTGAGGTAGTACAACACTTTGGAAGTTTAAGCGGTGGGAGGGTTCCTAGCGAAATATGACTAAACCCTCCTGAACTATTAGTTACTGTTCCCCTCTGCTTCTGTGCTTTCATCTCTTCAGTGTGTGCTCTGTTACTTGATAGGTGAGCTTTTCTCATCTTTAACACAAATTAAAGCATTTACATGTTTAGCAACATCTTTATCGCTCTGAATGTTTCTGTATGGGCGGCATCCATATGTGAAAACCTCGTACATTAGCACACCAAAGGCCCAAACATCAGAGGCAGTGCTATAGCTCTTTTTTAAAATACACTCTGGTGCTTTCCACCTCACATATTCCTCTCCATCATCATGGCATACAACATCCAGGCAACAGTCATCGGACGAACAGTAGTCGTACATTTCGTCGTCATTTCGATCTAAATAAAAAACTACAAATGTCATTTCAAGTTCATAAATTTCAGGTTAATCGTACTATTGGTAATGTGAAGCTTAAACTCTGAGTGCAACTCTTGTCTACTATTTCAGGAGCTTAACTGCGGTATCATAAAGCGACTTATCCCTAGTCGGTCTAGGTTGAATTATAGTATATCGCAAGTAATTGACTGAGAGATTCCTATTAAATTTGCATCGATAATATTCAGGAATTCTGAGCAGAGGGATGGTTTCTTCAAATAAAAAACTCAGTGGAAAACCACATTACTCCATTATAACATTCTTCATTGTAAAATTTTGTGGAAAACATTCAAATCTGGTTTGAACATGGTCCAAGGTCACATTTTAGGCATTGCTTGTTCAGCTTTGTTCAAGAAAAAGGAAGCCTAGCGAAAATGTACTCTTTTCATAGGTGATCTGGATCGCCGAACAAACCACTAGCCGCAGAACTATCAACTATAAATTTGTTTGGTATGGCTTACCTTCCTCAGCGTATCCTTTTTGAAGTTGTCGTAATGCATGCATGCCACCTAACTTGCATCTACAATCATCTCCCACGAGGATGTTCTCAGCCATCACAGCGCGATGTACCAGACCGTGATTCTCCAGAAAGAGAAGAGCTTCAATTACGTCAAGGAGCATCTTAAGTAAGATACGCGTCGGTAGGAGTTCATCGTCCCATCGTGAAGCTTGAACGAAGCGAAGCAGGTTGCCTTTTTTTTCGAATTCTGTGATGACGTGATAAGGCAGACTCTTGGTGTTACAGCCGAGTAGAACAGCAATGTTTGGATGATTAAAGCAGCGCAGGCGACGTAGGTTGTAGGCCTCAGAAATGATCTTTTCTCTCTTTCCTGAATGGTCGGGGGATTCACTCTCCAAGATATCTTGCTTTGTGACCTTACAAATTTTCACGATCACTTCACTCCGTTGAAACATACCACGCTTGACAAAATACTTCTGTCCTTGGCTGATTGTTGGCTTATTGATTTCTAGTGTCTGATTTCGGTAGCGATTCGTAAGATGTTGAACGTGGAGGTCCTCAGGAAGGGGCTGTTGTAAACTTCGATTTTCAAGGAGGTGGCCGGCAAAAAGCGTCTTTGTGACATGATCGGGATTGAATAGCATTTCAGACGACAAACTTTCGAGGATGACTCTGCACTCTGGTTTCTTCTGAAGCCTTTTGTCCCTCAAAAGATTAATCATACAGCATCCGGCCTCGATTCGTAATTCTTGATTAAAAAAATACAATGGTGTAAGTATAAATACGTTTAGAGACGAATATACCAAAAAGTTGCTTAAATAATTAAAACTGTATAAGACTAAAAATTTATCAGTTTTGATTAGGTGAATACCTTTCGTCATGTTGTTCATTGCAATATCTGATAAGAGAGAGCCTGCTAATAAGCAAAACCTCCAATCATCTCCTCCACCTCCCTTTTGATACGCTTCGACTATACGCCTAAGAAGAATTAAAGCTTGCCTTTCGATGCACATTTCTGGAGTAGGGCGTTCACTATGCACCTGAAATGATATGGTGATTTATCACAATCTTTTCATTCAGAGACACAGAACAATTAAAACGGACAGGGAGCAAGATGGACCGTGGAACGACGGAAGCACTAACAGACAGAAAAAGATGATACAGACGAATGCAACGAAGTACGGTCGAATACAAGAACAAGCATGCAGCCGTCTACAGAAAAACGCACCTTTCCGTGAAGATAGCACAGGACGCAGTGCAGGTCAAACCATTCTCCCGTTTTTAATTTTTTTACAATTTTCTTGAGTTTCTCAGGAAACTCCTTCGTAACATCAGATTCCTGGTTTTCTAGCAAAGAAAGGCAGTTGTCGAGACAGTCGCCCAAGTTTGTCGCAGTCGCCTTGCCGGACCCCTTCAGCAAGTAGGAGATTGCCCCCTGGATGAACTCCATGGAATAGCGGAAGTAATTCTTCTTTTTGTAGCGGATTTGGGTGCAGTAGTGTTTCAGGTCTTGTTGCAGTTTTTTTAAACCGTCTTTGAAGTCAACTGTGGAAAAACCTGTCTGAATTTGGTAAATGCATATCAGGGACAGAATGCGCTTGTAAACAGACAGTCTTACTTCGCGCGAGGAGTCTGCTTCCTCTTTGAAGACCGCGTCTGGTGAGATAATGGAAGACCTCACAATTTTCTCCACTTTTAGTAAGCTCTCCTTGCAACAGTCCAGGTTATCTCTAAAGAGCAGATACTGAAGCTGCTGCAAGGCATGCCTCACAACTTCACTGCAGCTTCTGCAACTGCTTAGTTTGGCTAGGATCACGTACGCGTCCATTTTCTGTGAAGACGATTTCCCCCAGGATTCTTCAAGATAAGGCAAGACTTGTAGTAGTATGACCTCTTCCAATTCTTTCTTCAGCTTTCCACCTGAACTTTCAAATTCTTTCAGAGATTTATCAACATCTTGTAGAAATGATTCTTTGGACAAAGTTTCATCTGCGGGATCTAATTTAAACGAAAATAAAAATGTATGTATTCTAAACGGTAAATTGGCATACTTGTACTTTTTTTAATCAAATATAATGTGGCTCTTATAGCCAATAATAACCCAAAATTTTGATAGGATCATCATTATCACTATAATAGACTTCATTAGACATAAATAAAAGAAAATGAGGGTCGCAAAGAAAGAAAATGAAGAGACAACGTTGAGGTGATTTGGTTTCAGCTTTTCATTACGACTTAATAACATTTTCTCACTGGACAGTGCCCTGCGATAACGAGATTCTGAAATCTCGTCTACAGAACGTTTAAAGAATTCCTACATTATGTGCACCTAGTAAGGCTTATTTCAAATTTTACCTTGCATTCTGTAGATAAATTTAATTGGCTTTGACGTCCATTTTGAGCCGAAGTTCTGCTGATAATATTCTTCTGTGACCATGGGAAGGCAATAACTGCCCGAGTTACTCTCAGACGAAAAAGATTTTCTCCCTGGTCTGGCCCTTTCGTATGCGTACGTATCCTGATACGCTTGCTCTTCTCGCTCCATGTTAGCAATTCTTGAACCTCCTTGTCTCACGTTCGCATCTCGTGGAGGAAGAGGAATATCCCCTATAGAGAAATTTGGAAATGAAAAAAAAATCTAAATTCAAGTTTTTACGAGTTTATTCTATTTTCGGTCTAGTCATTTGCCTGCGGACCTTAGTACCTATATCTTTTCAACTCAGAGGGCTTTCATTAGTAAGAATATCAGCTTTCTACTTCAACTTCAACAATTATTTCAGATTAACATCAGTTTTGATGTAAATGGTGAGTCGTATTCAGTGTTAGTCGAGGCAGGTATCAGTTTTAATGTACAGGGTGAATGTATATAGTCTTCAGTGCTAGTCGACCTGGTACCAGTTTTAATGTACAGAGCGAAAAGTACATAGTATACAGTACTTGTTGGGGCTGGTACTCCGAAATGATATATAAACTTATTAAATGGCTATCATTTCATGCGATCATTTTAAACCTGGAAGAATTTTTGAAAATTTATAGGTAACAATTTTTTCCGGTAGAAGTCTGTAGATTTATAGTTGTAGTGTGACCACTAAATTAACATTAGGCAATAAGCACCGTATCGAATCATGTGCAATTCATATTCATACTCCATGAAGCCTCCTATGTTTCAATTTTGTTGGTGCCAGAATGATACGTGAGCATTTATGCAAAAGCTTTATTTTACGACTGCGTTCACGCCCCTTGTGATCTGTGCACCCCTCTATCGTTAGAGTAGAGTAAATGATACTGTCTCAACTTGAACATGATAAATTAAATTTCAGCTAATTACTTCTATCAGCAAGTTTGATAATGACAGTCGCATGTTAAGTGATTCAAATACCTCTTGATGGATGTGACGAAACATTATTGACTTGAGCTCCTGGTCGCACAGCTGTGGCGCCATTCCCAGATATCTTTGTGACGTCGTTAACATAAATGGTGTGCACAAGAGCAGTCTGCCTGAATACTGAAATAATTGATAAACAGTTTTTGAAATTTGCATGGATGAAAGAACGCCAAAGAATGGTTCTCAGGGCGCAAGTTAACTATCTAATCTGGAATAATTTGCACTTCGTCTATTCATGCTAATAGGACGTATTTCGCGGAAATTGTCCTGTGGAAAAGAGCAAGAAGTCCACCTCCATCCCCACACTCTATTGATAATTCGCTTTCCTTGCTCTACATTGCATCGGACCCAAGACTCTATAAGTGATCATTTCAATTCTATATTTACATCTGCACATTTCCCGCACTAGTGATTAACTGTTGCATGTGTTTTGGCGTACTTAAATCGACTTCCTCTCTTTAGGTTTGATACTTCATTGGCTTAATATGCCGTCAGGTCACGCAATTCAAGGAACATCAAATCGGCAATTAAAATTGACAGCAACTGGTCGAAATTGTAGAAAACTTGAAAGAAGTTTAGAGGCCCGCTAAAACTTACGAATGGGCAAAATTTGAGAGGATTAAGACAGCTTGCATTACTTAACTCAAACATTGTTGGCCAGCCCCTTTCTCCAATTCGCTTAAAAGCGCTATTTTGAAGACTCAAAATCATCCTTGTCTGTGCTTTGGTTGCTATTTTTCTCATTAATTACGGCGAGTTTACATTTGAGAACTCGCAATTAAAGGAATTTAACCGAAGTACCTCGAACACGTCTTAATCGGCGTCAGAATTTTAAGTGCAGTTGTGGATCTGTTCATGGTGTAATTAGTAATCGTAGAAATGTATCTTTGCGTTACGCACAAACAGAAGAATGAATTAGGCTTCATGACAACATTCTAGGAAACGATACCAAGTAGGAGTAAACAAGCGGAAAAACGTCCCATCCAGCTTCGTGGTTTTCGTGGTTAAAGTAGAAATAACTTTCTCTTCATTTACATGTTGTTTACCTGTTGCTGAGTGTACCAAAAGTCACGGATCGGTTAACACTAAAATAGGACATCAGAGGAAACTCATGAAAAACGATATCTCAAAGTTTGACTGCGCCGATACATCTATATGATGATCTTTCCGATAATAAAATCATTTCCTTCAAGGCTAAATTTGTGAAGTATATAAATTTTAGAATTAAAATTGTAGAATTGTACCCTAATTTAAACCACTGATTATCCGGTGAAACTCGCCAATCAGATTATCGTAGTTTGCTAAGCAATGCATCTGCTTTTTTTTTTAGTTTTCTTTTAAAATCACTGATAGCTGTAGATTCCTGACAAATTCAAAGAGGCAATGGTTGACTTTATTCGAAATTTATTACTTAATAACTCATTCTAATTGGCTAGACTGATTACGATAGTGACAAGGTTAAATTGGGACTTTTCCCTTGACCCTTGGTCTGAAGGAATGTCGACTGATAAACTTCCTCTTTAGTGTGAAAAAATGCTTACTGTCAGAAACTAAATTGCTTGCATTGCCAGTTTATGATGAAGCAAATGAACACGTTACAACTATTTTTGGCTACTCAGCGGGTCTAACTCCCACTTAACTGATAGGAGGTAGGCACAAGCGAAAACTTTAGTGATTTTTAAGCTTAGGTTAAGAAATTTTTTGAGGCAATGCGTGACAAACATACTTCCAACGAATTATATAAGAAGTTAATGGTTTTAGTAGTTTTGTCCATCTTTATTGAAGCGTACAACAAGCGATGAACAAACTATAGAAAAATAAAGAAAGCATAAGTTCTCGCTTATTTCTAAACTAAGCTTTATAGACGATCTATCGTAAATTAACTCGTTACCGTGATTTACATTTATTTTCATGATGGTAAAATTAAGTTAAAAGCTTGTGTATGCAGGAACTAGAAGCTCGGTCCCGCACAAACAGATATTTTAGCTGAACACGATATCACGTTTGAGATTGTTCGCTTAGACAAGACTCTTGGAGTCCAAATAAACACTTAGGACTTCCAACGAATTATATAAGAAGTTAATGGGCTTGAATGAAAAAGACAGAGAAAATAAATCAATTATTTTGTTTTAGAATAGGAACTTACCGCTGTTTCCCTCCATTATTGATAGGGGCTCCGTCTATTTCGGTTGTGCATAATAGAGCAGCGGAGACTGAATCACTGTTTAAATATCTTATGACTTTCGATTCTCAAGAGAGATGGGATTTTTCCCCTCTAAGTATGGGTTTTTTCCCTTCCGTTTCGAAGGGCTTTCCCGCTAAAAGATATCTCGATGACTTAGCAGATTTAGGCAAGCGAAGCAGTCTCTGCGCATATCAGACTAGGAGACCTAGAACATAATTCAATTTCTCTGTGAAGTAATGGTACAAAGCCTAGTGCATAGGAAAGGTTACTTCAAGTAGTAACGAACTCCAACATGTCGTATTCTGGGAATGAGAATGGTGCGCTTTCATATGCCTTTACGTAAGGGACTTTCCCAGCGAAGGCAAGCGGATTACAAAGAGGCTACTGTAATGCATGCATGAGTACCACGGAAATGACGGTAGAAGATCAGTTTGATTGCTTCAGTAGTTATGAGGGATTCGGACCTTCGTTTGCATTGTCGTTGTCTTGTTTTCTGAGAAACTTTGGTTTGCTCTCCTTTCACTTTACAGAGCGTATTTCGAGTAAACAATTCATGGGAAAAACCCCATTTCAATTTCGCTTGTTGACTTAATGATCAGCCTCTGGCAGATATTTGAGGTGACACTAAGGTTAAAGCTAACAAAGGGATCACAGGGCGTCATTAAAATATAAAACAAAAACAAAAAACTGTCATTTTAATGCTTAAGGAGTTTTTTGGTATTCGTTTATCACATTTTCATTTGCACGAGCAGAAATTTTTCGAATCCGCTGCGGTTGCAAATTTTCCTTTTCTCTGTAATCCCATCAGAAAAGGTTAATCTTTTAATTGATTTTGACCCAGCAAAAATTTGCATTTGAAACCCCGAGATTCCATTTTATACGGTACCAAAAATGTTCTCTGTGATATGCAGAGAGTGACAAACTAAAACGTCACTTGACAATGCAGATATGAAGGGCTTTTATAACCAGCAGAAATGTCTCTCAAAAGGTCAATAACGGTTCCATAAGGAGGGAGAGTGGGTAGCTAATCTGCACGAACTATTTGCAATCAATGTATTAAACTAGCCTGTAATTGGTACAAAAGTCCCCAAGTCACAAAAAGAGCCAGTTATTTCAACAAAGTTTAGCCATTGTTTGACAAAACTGCGGACTAAGACATCTTAAATTTAGCCGAAACTTTTATATGCGCATTTATTTTTGTGAACAGTGTCAGACAGGCAATGCACAATCGAACTATAACGAACGTCATTAAACACAAAAAGAGTATTTATTATCATAATTATAAAATCTGTCGCCATCAGTTGTGCTATCATTACTAAATCCAAAAATTGATTGGTTCATCAAACAAGGGAGTCTCTGCGTCTATCGAACCTTCTAAAAGTTAATGGTCATCTTGTGGAATATGAGTAATTATGCTTTGTTCAGGCTGACAAGTAATCCAGTAGACTTAGGGTGCAAGTACATATAAAGTACTCCAAAAGGTGTGTAAATTAGGCAATAAAGCCTAAATTAGTCTGGTTTGTTATATGATTTAAGTCCACTCTAATAGTTTGGTTTCTACTTCGTAAGAATTGCCGCGATTTTTAGTAGCGCACATGAATAGGGCTGCTGCTTTGAGGAGGTTACTTTTTCGCGTGGAGCAATCCAGTATTTCACTATAGTAGGTGCAATTACTACGGATTTTGAAAAAGAGTTCTCGTTTTATGCAACTCTTGTTTCCACAAAAAGATGTGATGTGGACAGTGTTAGTTAGGGGAAAAGTTCGACTCTATTCCTCAAAGTTTGATAAATTTAAATCGTTCAATGTATATAAGAATATAAAAGTAACTACAAAATAATCACTACATCTGCTCTAAAAAAGAGACAAGAAATTGAAAATTTAAGTCCTCGTACATTCAGTGTATTAAAATACGTTTCTACTTCCTTCAGTATTTTCAGTGCCGTAATGATTTTCTTTAAAATGGATATATTTGATGCATATACCTTATATGTATGCATATATGTATATACCTATACACTCTTCACTGAATCGGTAATATGTATAATGCTTATGACAGACTTGTAGCCGAGCACAGGTATGATCTCACAAGTGTTATGTCCGAAATTTTGATTTTGTAATCTACTGGCAAAAATTGAAAATTGAAACCGTTCCCTTTGAAACTATTAACAGTAAGGGTCCTTATGAAAACGGCCATACCTCTGTAAGTTTGAGATACAACGCAGGCATGATTGAAAATGCTGAAAAGGACTTTGCAAGACATCTTAATATTATCTACAGAACGTCATGAATGCTTTGAAAATACACGACTTAGGAATTTCAAACATGTTTTTTCCCAATCAATGTGAATTTGAAATTTCAAATAATTTCAGCGCTTTAATGGTGCTCCGCAACTAAAGGTTATACGTTTACGAAAAACGTGACCTGTAATTTAGGATCTTTTAGCCAAACTGGTGGGGTAAAATTGCGTCCATTTTTCTCGGCATCATCCTTTTCGTGAATTCTATTCGAAGAATTTCCGTCTGTACGATGAAGATTTTGCTGCCTTTTCTTTTTTTCATGCATAGTTTCCATGTTCCATTGTTTAGATTCCATGTCTGAGAGCGACAGTGCATGCGTGACATCACTGCTGGCCACCAAGTTTGCATACAACGGATGATTCGGTGGGACCAGCTGGTCTTCGAGTCCAAGCGTATTTTCTGCCTTCTTGACTTTAGGATATACTGCCCTGTTTCTTTTCTCTGTTGGATTTGGACAAGCCGCTTTAGTTCCCTCCACATATTCTTCATTTTTAGAGCTCGTCTCTTTGGGAATTGCGTCTATGTTTTGATACAACGAGGTATGTTGTTGATCTGGCTGAGTCCCCAGATTGACATACAGCGAAGCAAGCGTATCCGCTGGCAGGGAAGCCTTGCCCCCATTCATATCGATTGCACTGCTACCATGTGCTCCAGACCTTTTCTTTACCTTTTTAACTTGGAGATTGAAAGTCTCTTTAGCTGGAACTACTCTTTCCCGTCCATCGCCTCTCGTGGATTCGGCAACACCAGCGTCGTTTTCCTCGTTACTCTCAGTAGAGCTCAGGTCTTCAACTGTTATTGAAACAGGACATAAGTAGCCTGCGTCATTGTTGTTTGGTGCCTTTTGTGGCTCAGGGACTGGCACAAGCTCTAGATTTTTTTTCACCTTACTACAGCTACTATAGACGGGTGAGATATCACCCGTGAATGGTACGTCTGGCGTTCCGTTTGCTTCTGAGTAGTCATCTTTGCCGCCTGCCATTCCAAAATTTCTGCAAACGTATTTGTATTCGTGCCTGGAGAAGAAGTCAGGTGAGCACATCTTCTCAATGATATCACTGGAGGGGTGTTGCTCCAAACATGTTACATGGTAAGCATCTTGCGATTGACAGGTGGACAAATCTGGCCATTCACTTTTGTCATGAGTTTTCCGCCATAACTTCATAATCCAGGACTCCATTGGCACCCTGGTATAAAGTAGAAAATTAAATTGATCAGGACTAAGTCTGATTTTAAATTCCTAAATTGTCATATACGATATTTAGCTTTTGGAATGCATCAAATGTGTTCTTTTCCCTAAAGATGAGTAATTTCTTATAGCATTACCAGTGGAAATAGCAATTACAAACATGTGCTTCGACTCTCTTTTTTGAAGCAAAATATTGGACGAAATAAAATAATGTAACATTACTTTCAAAGTATCTTTAACGAGACTAGCAATTAGTGTACATAGTTCAAAGGGAGTAACTAGAACACATGTAAAATAGTACCTGCTGGTGAGGCAATCAAAAATGGCCAAAAAGGGAGGTCGCTGCTGTGCGACATATGCCCAACACTGATGTATAATGATATATACCCATTCAGGACAGCCTTCTGGTTTATCTGGTGGTCCATTGTCTCTTATGTGAGGCAATATCTAAAAAAAAAATTCAAAGTTCAAATCAAGCTTGTGATTTACACAAAGTCAATTAAAGGAATGTTTTTGCCCGTAAACTAAACGAAATGTTTTTCCTGTTCAAAAAATTATTTCATTTACGTCAATTTGAATATACGGCAAATCTATTCTTTAGCAGGTTGAACTTCTTTAACGCGAACGAACTTTCCCTAAGAACGCTATTTGCATTTTTAACATTTTCTCTGATAACCATATTTACAGTTGTTGGTTGATTTTTCCTACACCACTCACCCCCAGCCCGGATTTTTCCGTTTCCACTTAGCTTTTGTTGACTTAGATGTCCTACCCCATTTTGCTATACACTTTTAGTATTTGTCATGTCACAAATTGGAAACTGACAGTTTACCTTTTGATCGTCCAAATCAAAGAAAGGTAGTGAGGAATCTCTTCCATCTAGCCCATTTGCGAATGATGTATACAGCTCCCATGCAAGAATCCCAAATGACCAGACATCACTTGCATGCGTGTAGCGTCCATCCAGGATAACCTCTGGTGCACTCCTGCCGTGAAGGAAACGCCATCATGAATGCGTTAATGGACTGAGAATGTAGTTTCCAAAACAATTCAGATATCGTCCTCTTTAATTTCAATATGCAGTTTCTGGTTTGGTACGGTTTAGCCCTATATGGGCGCTCAAATTCGCTTTAGCTGAGTTTCACTTGCAGCCGATATTCCTCCGCCGAAAGTGTAATGTTTAAATCAAATTGCTTACCAACGTGTTGCGTCCGGATGCATGGCGACCTGCACCACGCATGAAGTGCTCGTAACATCGTATTCACTCGGATTAAGAGGCTTCGAACGACCCAGACGCCCAACCGTAATCTGTAAAAATCAAATGTCAAATTTTAACAACCCGCTTTTGCCCTTGAAAAACCAGAGTTTCGTTTTCTTTCGCCAACTATTCACTGGTGATAATCAACATTAAAGGTTACTCCTCTGGAAACGTTAGAGGAGAAGGGCTATTTTCCATGCACTCTCTGCGTTCATTAAGCCATGCTTACACACAGCTGAGATCAAGAGGACGAGAGGGAGACAGTAGTCACTCCTTGTAATATGTAATATAAATACCTCGCTGGGCGATACGACGTACACATACGTCGGACGGAGGTCTCCATGTACGATGTGCTTTACATGGAGATAATGCATAGCAGACGCCACTTGAGACAGGAACATTATTATATCACCATTTTGACATCGCTTTTCGATTACGTAATTTTTTAAATTACCAAGAGGAGCCTCCTCGGTGATCTAGTAAGAAGAAAAAAGTTAAAGTTTTTAATCTCCTAAATTAGAATTCTTGGCTCCTTCGTAGAGAATGCGCCATCCGTCACTTAAACTAAGACAAAGGCTATCTGATAATAGTGTTTCCAAATTACACTCTGAATGAAATTATTTAAACCATGTCCGAAAAAAATTTCAAAATAAATTTTTGTCCGGTCTTTTTAGAGCCAGGGTTATACAGGGGGATACAGGGGTATACTGGCCAAAATTCAACGATACTTACAATATTTGCTGTTGGACAAGTGTGAATCCAAATTCTCTATTTTCAAGGTAACAAGGTTGGGATGTTTGAGAGTGAGGAGATCTCTAAGGTGATGGTCAGCTGTTCTTTTGATCTTCTCGATGACATCAGAGTCTGAAGTCTGAAATCATATAATGATGGGTGTAACATTGTGACCATTTCAGAAATTATGAATACATGGTTACAGCTACGCAGTGTAAGGCAGAATGTTATAGAAAATAAAGAGAAATTGCCCTCCAAACAGGTTTCCAGAGTTTTGTGAGAAAATTCATCGTACAACGGTAACCTCCAATTCTTCACACTAACATTTTTTTTAGCTCTCGAATTCTTATAAGCTTTTGATTGCCTTACATTGCCAATGACCTGACACCATGAAAAAAGTTTCTCATTATAAGGGTACGTTGCCATGTGCTTCTCGATGAACTTATAAGTTTACTAACCCGACCCGTTTGCCTTTGTCTTGGAAGATCATCCAAATCTAACAATGGATTACGGTTGAATAGTTTTTCCTGAATAGAAGAAATAAAAAATGAGTTGTGAACGCCATCGTCCATAAGCTAAACTGGTTAAAAACTTTGATTAACAATAAAATTAAAAGATTTAAGTAACACTAAATTAGTGGTCAACTCGGACGTTTGTAAGGTAGCTGGAATATTAAGGACCAAATACAGAATTATTTAAGCACTAAACATAAAACATTATTAAAAATCTATTGTACAATTAAATCGGCTTTACCTCCACTCGCTCCTTATCTGACGTCAAGTTGTGTACATAGTAAGGACCTGACGTGGAAAAATTAAGAGAGAAGTATACATTTTTAAACTCACTCTGCTATCTACTTCAGTAAGTTAGGAATAATAACAAGGACTTTGATCATGGGATGCCTTTTCTATAAGTTATGTCAAGTAAATCTTTAATCAAGTGAGTTGCATGAATACATTTAGTCTGTCAGTCAGTCAACAAGTCGGTGAGTCAAAGTTATTGTTGCAAACTAACACCATAGGCACACTTTACCATTTGACACATCAGGGCCTTTATCGGCAGACCGGGAAGTACATTCTTCGTACACGGGGTCTAAGGAAAAAAAATTGTCACTCAATCATGAGTTTCAATGATAGCAAAAGAAAAAATGATCATTTACGATGATACGATCTTATGGTCACAATAACAATTTAATGGTTAACCTGATTTTTTTTACCACGAACTGAACAAGATTATTTAAGAGAAAAATATTCTCTATTTCTACTCTACTTAAAATAAAAAAAGAAACAGAAAAAAAAACAGCAAAAAAAAACAAAAGATAACAGCTTTTTTCATTGCCATGAAATAACCAGCTATTCTTCTTTTGAGCTGCTAGCTTTTAAACAATCAGTAAGTGAGTCACTCCCTCAGCTGGCCAGTAATTCGGTCTGTCAGTAAGACAGTCAGTCTGTCAGTCGTTCATTCCCGCCAGCAGGTCTGTGGTCTTTCCGTAAGCTAGTCGGTCTGTCTGTCAGTCGGTAGGCACGTCTTTTAGCTGGCCAGTCAAACAGGCAGGTAGGCTTGCAGTTGGACAGTCGGTCAGTCGGTCGTTTGAACTGATGATTGTTAAGCATGATGAGAGTGTCACAGACTAACACCATACGAAAATTTACCATTTGGCATAGTGTAGCTTTCCTCGATAGACTGGGATTCTTCATAAACGGCGCCTAAGAGAGCAAAATTATGACTTATTTTGTATAAAGTAAAATAGGGGATTCATTTATCGTGATAATTTAAGGCTGTACTCGTAACTTGTTACAGCCAGGTGTATTGTATTCAAGATGACGTGAGACTTCAGTCACAACGATCAAAACTGAAGTACTTTCCTTTCTATTTTAGTTTGATCTGAACGGGACTATAAAAAGATTAAATATTAGCAATTACTTCCCCACAAAATATCCCCCCTCCTCAAGAAAATAGGAAGAAAGGATTTTAAAAAAAATCATTGGATTAAGAGAGATGAAGTGAAACTTGGCTCTTTCTTATTTCGCCTAATTCAACAACTATTTCTAAGGGCTGACCACAAGCTTTTCGTGCAATGAGATAGGTGTTTTGTTGACAGAAGAATAAACGTGTACCTGAAGCGCGGTTTATATCTTCAGTATTTCTTGCAGGCTGGAAATAAAAAGGTTAGAAGACTTAATCCACCAGGATATGGAAGTTCGAGGGAAGTTGTTCGACATATTTACTTCAAGTGTTTACGTGGATTAAACTTTCAAGATTTGTTAGGTAACAGAAAAGTAGTGGTGATAAAAGTGGTGGATAAATTTGTGATTGTTTTCATTGAGTAAACTGTCTTTGAATTTACTATTTAGCAAAATGGTATTTTTACAAAAAAAAAAAGCAACTCATACTCGATATCAAATTAAACAAAATGAGAAACTTACAAAGCTTCCGCACGCTGTGAGTGGTGGCGGGTCAGACCGTACTTGCTCTTCGTCTGAAAGAAAAAAAATTGATTTTTACTATCACTTCCAAATTGAAGCACGATTTATCCGCGTCATAGGTTCATTTGTCATTTCGTAAATTGAATGCTACAGTTATTTGTAATTTTTTAAAGTTTGATGGTTAACATTGCCGCCCTTTTTCTCCAAAAAGTTTTTGCCTTTAGAATTATTTTGATACAGGTGCTATGTGTGAGATAAAAGATTAAAGTGCGTAATCACCTGCATTTTCGATCATCTCACAAAGTCTGCTTTTGACATCGCATAGTTTGGGTCTCCCGCGTCGTTGGAACTGAAAGCACTGCAGCATTAGGTTATATTCCTCATCTGCAAAGCACGACTCAAAAGGCAGGATCTCTCTACCATTCTTCACCTTAAAAACGTAGAGCCAAAGTATAAGTCCATGAAATCATAATTTTGAAACCATGCCGACCCACGTGTATTTATTTGGTCTAAAATTGTGGTACTGAAGATAACTTGGCATGGTGCACAACCCACTAGGATAATTCAATTAGGAGTACGTCTCTCTAAGGTTGTTAAACAGATGTCTGTGGCAGAATAGTTGAAGATATAGGACTCTATAAAGAAATTCACAAGCACTCGTTAGATTCTATTTAGTTTTTATTCTTGACATAAGGTTGCTAATTCTTTTTGTGTCGATTGCACATTATCATACGACTCGTTCGACCCCGCGTGGGCAATCCCTTTAGAAAACCATGTTAAAAGCTGACGAGTGTAGTGCCGGACAGGTTGACGGGAGCCGAGGCGTAAAAAGCCGTCCGGCCCACGGCTCTTTTGCATTTTCCGAGAGTGTAGATTGAAAAAAAGTTTCTTGTTCAGGCTTCGAGAAAAAAGTGTTTTTACTGTCAAAACTTTTAAGTAAAAAAGTGGAGATGGTAAATTTTGAGCTCGGTGAAGAATTAAGAAAGATGTTTTTTCGTCTTGTCACGAGCGTGGGACAAAGAAAAAAATTCTGAGTCCCCGTGAGGAATCGAACCTCAGACCATCGGATTTGCGCTCCGATGCTCTACCACTGAGCCACAAAGACTCTTCGGTGAGCGGGGTCTATTACGAAGTTCTAATGACACGCGTCCTGCATACTGCTAGGATCAGCAATATCGATAGCGTAATTTTTTTGACAGAAAAGTAGAGATGGTAAATTTTGAGCTCGGTGAAGAATTAAGAAAGATGTTTTTTCGTCTTGTCACGAGCGTGGGACAAAGAAAAAGAATCTTTGTGGCTCAGTGGTAGAGCATCGGAGCGCAAATCCGAAGGTCTGAGGTTCGATTCCTCACGGGGACTCAGAATTTTTTCTTTGTCCCACGCTCGTGACAAGACGAAAAACAATTTTCTTAACTTTTAAATAGTTGTCCAATGCACGCCTTTCTTTTGTGTGCAAGTTCTTCGAAGTTTGGTCTGGCCGGATAGGAAGATATTTGGGTTATGACACACTACTGTTGCTGCACTCGATCTGTACGTCATGGCCTCGAGCCAGATATTTTCTTACTAGACCCTCCCACTCAGTCTTTAAGTAAATTATATTTCGGGTTGGTCTACTGCAATAGTTTTAATGACACCGATTTCTTTCCTTCTTATTGTGGGGAATATTGAGCTAATGAGCAGAAGTGGGATACGTGGAAATTGAAAGAATTACTCACTCGTGAGCACAACTCCTCGCTGTCCGAGATGAGCCTGTATGGAAGACACCCGCAGGTAAGTACCTCGTACATTAGGACCCCAAGGGCCCACACATCGGAGGCAGTAGAAAAACGGCATTCTGAGAGAACTTCTGGTGCTTTCCATCTTAGCGGGAGCTCCTCCTCATTTACTGAGTTTACAAAATCTGGGAAACCGTCATCAGCCGAGCAATAACTGTACAGTGAATCGGAATATTCAGCAGCTGCGAATAAAGAAATTCGATTATTTTAATAATCGAAATTGACTAAATATATGAACGAATGAAGAAATCAACGAAAGGCAGGAAGAAAGCGATGAAGGAAGGGATGAGTTCGTTAGTTGATTTGTCAGCTAGTTAGTCAGTTACCAAGCTACAATCATTTCTTACTCTGGCTGGCAAGCTGCCGAAGGTGTTGCATGCCACTCAATTTACAGATATAACTGTCTCCCACGAGAACGTTTGCTGCCATTACAGCGCGGTGTACCAAACCTTTTTCTTCTAAAAAGAGAAGAGCGTCAGTGACATCTAATAGCATCTTAATGAGCTGGACTGGTTGAAGAGGAGGATTTGTCCCACGCGACCTCTGAAGAAACTGCAACAGATCCCTTGATTTTTCAAATACGGTAATGAGGTGGTATGGCAAGGTTTTAGTGTTGTCTGCTAACAAAACAGGGAAGTTTGGATGCTGTGCTGCGTTTAGTAGTAGTAGGTTTTCGGCTTCTCGTTTTAGACTCTCTTTAGCAGGAGTGTTAAGGTTATTTTCCACGAGATGCTGCTTTTTCACCAAGAGAACTTTAATTGCCACTTTCCTTCTCTGGAACATGCCATGATTCACGAAGCAGGTGGAGCTTTTACTTATGGTAGTTTCGTTGATTTCTAGTGTCCTGTACTTCCTAGAAAGGTGTTTGATGTGCTGTATTGTGTCAAGTTCACCCTGCTGGTTTTCGTTCTTTTCAAAAATGAGTCAGAAACGTCCTGGTCACTACATCCGGGCAGAACAGGGCTTTCTCAGACTGGCTCTGGACGATGGCCTTGCATTCTGGGGTCTTTTGTACTTTCGGATCTTTAAGAAGATATACCAAGCTGCTACCTGCCTCTGTCCTTATTTCTGTTATAGAAAATAATACGTGAATGTCTCGATTTTGAACTAAGACGGGGTCTCGTTGATCGCCTAACGGCCTGTTTTGTAATTACCATCATTATAGCCATAGCGCTATAGTGCTTTTTGTCTCATTGGTGAAATGATTTAATTCTCATCTTACAAACTTTAATGTAATTTATACTTTTCGTTTCTGATAGTTTCTGTGTTTCACCTTTCGTCTCGTTCTTCATTGAAATGTCCAAGAATATCGTAGCTGCCAGCATACAAAACCTCCAGTCCTGTCCACCATTTCCATCAAGGTACTTTTCTACGAGAGATCTGAGGAGATTCATAGCACGTCTCTCGGTCTCCATTCTTGGAGTAGGACGTTCACTGTGCACCTATGCAAAAAGGAAAATGCAATTTCTAGCATGACCCATGTTCTAACATATGGCTTTTTTTATTTCTTTATAATAAAAAAGAACTTAATTTACAAAACCCACGGTATTTCCTTTCCAGGTTTAATTTTAATTTCATGTGTTTGGTAATGACTGATCAATAATATACGCCTTCTTTTGGATGCATTTTAAAGCCTAGCGTGGTCATTACCATGCGAGCTTAGCGTTCGCAATTGATAACTGTCTATCCAGTATTTTTTTTCATGGAAGTCCACCGTCAGTTGAACATGCTGTTGTTATTGTTATTTGTCGATGCGTTTCTATAATAGAACGGAATCATAATTTAGGTTTCTAAGGCATAATTCTATCTTCTTTCAGCTCCTACCTTTCCTTGGAGATGAATAGCGATGTAGTGTAGATCAATCCAGTCGCCACCTTTCTTAAAATCAAGCTGACGAAGAGCCCTCAAATCATTAACTTTGATTTCTTGGTTTTGGCAGAACTCCCGACATTCATTTAGAAAGTTCTGCAACTTGTCATTGGGCTTTAAAAGATGGCTAATTGCTTTGATGATAAACTCTGTTGAATATCGGAGACTATCCTTTTTCTTGTTGCTCACCTTCGAGCCAAATGTTTTAAGCTCATCCTTTATCTTTTTCAAATCTTGTTCCAAACAATTCATGGACGAATCACCTTTCAAAGCTTGATGCGTAACTAGCAAGGAGATAATACGGCTGTACACCGTCAGTTTAAGCTCTCGAATTTCTCTTTTTGAGTCGACCCTGCCCCTTCTAAACAATCCCTCGGAGGAGAGGATTGATGATCTTATAATTGCCTCCACAACCAGTAAATTGTTGTAGCAGTTGTCAAAGTTGTCCTTGCCGATCAGATGAAGAAGCAATTGAAGTGCCTGGCTTACGGCTTTGCCACATTTTGCACTGCAAGAAATTTTGGCCAGATTTTCATATACTTCTTCATTGGAAGAGGAACATTTCCCCCACGTTTCTTCGAGAAAGGGAAGGATGCTATCGAGTAGGAGGTCTTCTTTGGCATCTTTGAGTGGACCAGCGTTGTCATCCATGTCTTGGATGAATTTTTCTGGGCTCTCGAAGAAATCTTCGTTGGACAAATTCCCCGTAGGCTCCCCTGAAAAATGTAGCCATAGCAGTTAAGAATTAGATAGTTATCTTGTCGAAGAGTCCTTGCTACCCAATTTCCCCTGAAGGACACATCCCAGTAAAGCAGCATATCAAGGTTCATGCAAAATTACAATTTACTTAGATCCATTTGGAGTTTGAGAATATTATCAACAAGTAAGTGTGCGGGACTCAAGTCCTTTTCGACGCAGTAAGGAGGAATTATCAGAGGAAACCCATATTGCTGCGTTATTGAATGAAATACCACTTCCAGGCCTTGCGTTCCACTTTGCCCCGTTTTCTTCGTGGCGTTGATAAGAGTTGACCGGGCAGTATGATCCTGGGGTGTTCTCTTCATACTGACCTGTGTCTCTATTCGGCGATCCATCGTAATTATCTGAAATCGCTTTTTCACCTCGGGAATTGTCTAGAAGTTGTCCTGTCTTAGTAGAAACTTGTTCATCGCCTGAAAAATAGGTAGAAATTTGAAACTAGAGCCAGGTTTTTCCAAACGAAATTTTATAACATCTTCCATTTTCCTATGACAAATTTTGATTTTTGTCGTCTCTGTTTCCCTTTTTCCACACTGAACGCTAACGATAGTTTGTTACTGATCCTTCCAGTTTGCATCACGTGTTAAGTATTTAAACATGTTGATATTTTGCCATTTCATCGCTTTTTGGTTCTTGTCGGCTAAAATTATTTGCGAGAATCTGTAACTTATTTGAAGCAGCCTTTTTTCAATTGGAAAGTCTCTTAGAACTAAAATTATCATCGTTTCTTTGCCTCGTGCTCTTAAGTTTACGCGAATTTTATTCATCTTACTTATTTATCTAAGAAACAGAAGACAAATTAATAGCTACTTGTTTGTCTACAAATGACTAATTCTCTCTTCAGTTAGCCTTTTCTCTTGTGTTCCGACAAGCAGTTTTTCCCCTCGAACGGAAACAAAAGTGATGAAGTAATGTTCAGTCGCGAGCATTAAAAAATAAATTTTGCGTGACATACCCTATCTCATGAAATCTAATCCTTTTTTCCTCTTGACCCTGCCAGTCTCAAAAAAATCGATCAAAAATGCAGTATTCGGTGTTAAGAGGACAAAGATTTAGGAAATATTTAATTGGTAGCGGTCTTTAAGATTAATTTTCAGCAGTAGTAGATGGTTTAATATGATGGGCATCATCATCATGACGTGTGTTCTCAATTGTTATTTCTAACTACCTTTGATCCTCGCTCTTGCGTGGGGCCCAACAGCAACAGCGCCTTTGACATGTTTGAAGTTTATTTGATATTTGATCCGTTTCCTGGGTGGTCTTCTACGGGATTGTTCGTCTACAATATAAGTATAATTCTCCAGTATTTATAGCGATTAAGACAATATATAAAATGGTCTTGTAGTGATGCATTATGTTAACTTCTAAGTAGACTTTCACTGATTTTTCTGATTACCATATTAGAAAGAACCACATCATTTAAGATCAAAGCTTTAAGGGAGTAAACAGCGTTCACATAGCAACGTATGCCGCCTTCCGTTGAACTACGTTACGTTTGGGGGTCCGCTCCAACAACCATCATAGACAAGCTTGACGGTTCGGAAATTTCCAATATTTTTTGCCCAGCTTCGCCTCGCGCCCTTTCGCGTGGAAAGGCCAGCTGACGCTTCTTCAGCTTGAATGAAACGAAATTTATAGGGACCCGACACGGACGGAGCCCTCTTGTAGATAACAACAAAAATCAATTTGAGTTGACACTAGGAAAAAACATGGAATTGTCAAAGAAAAAAAGAATCCAGTCTAAAAACGAAATACTAAACAATTTCAATTGAACAAAATAAAGGGGACTTTGTTCTTAAATTATTGATATTTACCAACTTCTGCATAACTAAAGGTATTTCTTAAGCCATTGAAATTTTTCTCGTGGTTTTCAAAGATTTAGTTAATTTACAGACTTGATTAAATGACACCTTGTTAAACAGGGCTGAGACGTCTTGGCAAATGAAAATTTTCAGTGGTTATAATTTCCAATTCCAATTTTTGAGGTGGTTCTATTGTGGAATAAAAAAACACTCACCCAACATTTGTGAGGAAGCATCCGAACTCAAATCACTAAAAATTGAACCTGAGGAAAAAAGATAACGTAAGAAATTAACAAAAAAAATATCCATTTAGAATTCTGGATTTTAGCAGACAGCGTAGGTTCAATGTAGCGAGAAGATTCTTATTATAAATTCAACTGCGCTTTATAAGCTTATCGTTACTCAGTTTACTAAGCTATTACACTTTCCTATTAAGTTAATTTGATCCTCTTTTAACACGTCGGGGCTTGTCATTACATGAAAATATTTATACTAAATAACCCACCCAAGCAAAACATTTCCTTCAGCAGAACTGCTGAAGAGTGACGGCTCTGTTTTGCATAATTAGTTTGTAACGTGTTAGTTGTTTCGACCAAGTGCCCTAAGGGCAGACTTAATTGTGAAATGCAAAATAGTTTGTGGTGAAATGTGAGAGCGGAAGTCTTAACATGAAGGTTATTTTTTTTTCGTTTTCCTTTGAACTCGTGCATATACTATAACTTCCTTATATCAGCTCCTGAAAACAACCAGGTATTGACATAACAAAAAAATTCGCTCTTTCACAACTACTGTAGTCAAGCCCCATTAGATAGACGCGTGTCTCTTGACGCAGCTGAATACAAACGATATTTCGTGACATCGTGTCTTTACAATACTGTTTCAAAATAAACCATAATGAAAGCCTTGCATGCCAATTGGTTTGCTATCTGTGGGAACCAGTAATTAACTACCGATTTAATTGAGGGGCCACTGTAATAAGTAATGAGGTAGCTTTCTTATCCTTCCCCTTCGATTAAGTTGCCTAATGTCGTATTGGCGATTATTTTTAATCAAGCCTAACCAGTATATAAACAGTCTTAACATGAGTTGAAGCGTGACTTGTTAAGCGCCTCACAACAAGCTAATATGATGTTTGTTTGTAAACGGGAAAGGATCCCCTACCCACTGAAAACGAGACGAGGCGGTCTTATGCAGAATCAATCAAAGGCTGAAGAGTAATGCGAACGCAGCTCTTTTGTGGAGCCATTGCATTCCTTGGTCATTTCTAAGGCACCTTTACGAACCATTGGAATGCTTAGCCGGCAGTGCGTTTAGCGAGATAACTGCAACATATTTAACACGTAGTCCACTTCAGAAAAAATTCGAGTTGAAGAGACAATTGAGTTCAGCCCACTGCCAGTCCTGTACCGAGACTGAACTTATTTGTAAATTTTAGCATGAAGAAAGGCGGTTGCTTAGAGCAAGCGTGAAAAGCTCAATCTCACACTTTTTCAATAGTTTTAGCTAGTAGTTATCAAAGTGGAAAGTACTTGAGATTGAGTTTTTAACTTACCGTCGTCCGAAGACATGTTCTTTGCATAAAGAAATTGAAATCTAGACGACGGTGTCTGGGATCAAAATAGTAACATGACAAATAGATAAACTATGTAAAGTTTAAAGAGATGTTAAACCATCCTCTTAAACACAAGGTTTGTCATCATGGGAAAATATTTCCCTTTAGACGTAAACATCCTCTATTAATAGTAAACATGACAAATAGATAAAACATATGTAAAATAACGTAAATAATCCACCACGGATTATTGAAATTATTGATTTAAACGAGTCTCTGTTTTAATCTGAAGACATTCATCCTTAGCTTATGGAATAGCAAATTTTGTTCCATGTGAACAAATTTTGTCAAAATATCTGTTTATTTTCATTTTCGGGGTATGACAAGAAAGGATATATTTACTGCGCTCATTGTAATGACTTCGTATCACGTTCAATTTTCGAAAGGCATGAGCGAAAACATAACAAGTCGAACTACTTTCTACTAGATACTTTCGGGTCGACTTCAAATTCCCATGATTTGTTTCAAGAAATTTCAAGTTCAGCTGACGATGAAGGTTAGTTACCTTAAATATAGAGAACGTAACTGCTATTCAACGTTGCTTGAGGCGATAGACCACTGCCAACTAATTTTATCTTTTACACCAATTCCCTACAGGACCCACAGATTTTGTTCAGGAAGAGCGTCTTGAAATCGAAGCAGAAGTTGATAATTCTTGGTCTAACGCTGAGCAGGTGAGAAAAGAAGAACGCGGAGTTTGTGCCTTAACTTTTATCATGCAAATTGTAAAAGTTTGTAGTCAACAAACAGGACACTTTTGCGAAAGCTATGTTATCTACTAATGATCTTTGGTTGTTGTTTAATGCTGCCGTTCATTCGTTTGTTTGTTTTTTTCATTAACATAACTCTTAGGAGTTGACTACGTCAAGACGTTCATTTATGCATCCATAATCTTTGTAGGTCATGTCACCCCTGGATTTCACTTGCGTTACACTGCAGGATCGACTTTGTAATAGTATACTTATGCAATAGCTGGGTCTAGTTATCCGCGTGCAAGAGAAAAGATTTGGAGAAAAAATGTGGGGCTTATTTGATTATAAAACCTTAGCCCTTGATCAAGCTTGGATGTCAAACACTGGGTAAGCAAAAATGAATAACATTACCTTATGTTACCTCAGATTACAAAACCCTCAGTAGTACAAAGCTGTTGCCTAAACAGTTTAACTGTTAGGTCACACACATCCACTAGTGAGTCTAATTACTCGATTACAGTTTTGAACATGACCTTCTTTGTGTGCAACGACGAGCACTGGTTCTAAATAGAATTGACATGACAACTATCCTTCTGATTACTTTAAGCTTCCCTGGATTTCAAATCAATTCAAATTGTGCCTTTCATTTCTCCTTACTGATACTTAAGCATAGATTTTTAGCCCTTGGAGATTGATCACAACTGAAATGAAACGCAAGCTGTCAAACGACGTTCAAGCAGTCAGGGGTGTCGCCATTTTTGTTACTATCTAATCCTCCGTGTCATTACTTTGGAAATATACAGTTTTTTCACAATTATTTCTCAGAAAATTATAAAGATAAGTAAGTAAGTAACAACTTTATTTAGGGAGGGTAACACGACAGTATAACTGATAAACTAGTGGTCCTCTTTGTTAAAATTTCAACCGATTAATCTTAAAATAACTGAGACTAGCAAAAAATATGAACATCAATCACAAAACATTTATTATCTATGGTCAAAAATATTTACAAAAATTAGTTAAAAACACATACATATCTCTATAAAATAACTAAGAATAATACAACGTATGAATATTAATCGCAAAACATCCATCATCCACAGTTAAATATATACAAATTAATTTAAAGACACAGAAACATCTCAGTTTACAACACTATGCTATGAAACGTTTTTTCATGGCCGAACTGAAGGTGCTAGGTGTGTTTGCTCTGATTGATCACCCTGTCACACCTTACCATAGTCACCAGCCTGAACAACGTTACTTCTATGAAAACTGTGTCAAAAATATGAAATTATTACGATAGATAAAAGGTCATAACAAAGTTTCCTTGTCGCACTCTACCAACCTTGACCCGATGGATTTCATAGCTAAATGCAAAGAACTTCCAAAGCCCACATCTAAATTTGTCAAAACGTTTGCATACACATTTAAATGTTCTTGAAAGAGTACTTGCTCAGGTGGTGAACTCTGGTTTTCATACCAGCTTTCTTGTAATTTTTCTTCATATTTTCTTCTTTGGACTTCTCTATAATAAAGGCTCTCTGCATCATTTAATAAAAGTTGAATGGTCATATCTTCATAGACCTCGAAGCTTGGCTGGTAAATTAGGTCCACGCACGCGTAGGGATCAACAGGAGTGCCCTTGTTGCCGCTTTCTGAGTGGGACGATGGTACACCGGTCTCCTCAGCTAGAACGTTGATATAACCTGGCATTTTGGGTTCCTCCTGGTTATTTCCCATTGACATGTAATGCTCCCTGTTTGCAACAAGATCTTTGTACCCTGCGTTTTCATACATGATGTGCCCACCCTCAGAGTCATCCTTGACACTTTCAACACCAGTTGCGTGGCCCTTAGCCCTACCGGTCGCTTCATCAGAAGAAGGTTCGTCTACATTTATCTCGTCGTAAAAATCACCATCCGATGAGTTAGCGCAAGCAACGCCATCAATGTGATTTTGAGGACGTCGGTCCACGTTGGAAACCTTGGAGGCTTCTGCAGGGCGGGAAGAAATCGAATCGGTGCTGCTAACTGAACCAGCCGTATGTTCCTCATTTCTTATTATCCGATAGGTGGCTTCTTCATACACCATTTCTGTCGCGCTATTCACTTGGTTCGTTTCGTACTCGTCAGCATCGTTGGACACTCCATCAGAGTGATTATTTGAAGTTGACTGGCGGAATGCAGGGGAACTCGGTGGTGGTGGCAACTGAGAATTCGTGTAGTCGTATTCGTATACCTCAGCGTAGTCGGGCTCGTTTTGGCGAACGTTGTCGACATACAGGTATTTGTGACGAGTAAAAAATCCTTGAGAACACATTTTCTCGATATCTTCTCTAGGTGGGTGTTCCTCAGAGTTCGTCACGTGAATTGCATCGTCAGGCTGAGATACTGGCAAAACCGGCCATTCACTCTTCTCATGTTTGTTCAGCCACAATGTCATTATCCATGACAGCATCGGTTCCCTTCAAAAAGTGCAAGAGATATGAGAGGGATTGAGATCCAGTTGAAACAAGAAACAAAATCATACCTCACCACAATCAGTATCATTGACTGGAAGACAAGACAGCGATGAAGCAGATGACACTTATAGTCAGTGAATATCCGCGGTATTTTAAAGAATGGGTAAGGAAATCGCTTTCTACATCCGCTAGTAAAGTATACCATACCTTCTTGAGAGACAATCAATAATTGCAATAAAAGGAGGTCTCTGAGTTGGTTCATATGTCCAGCACTGATGCATCAAAATGTAAACCCAATGAGGACAGCTGCTTGGTTGGTCAAGAGGTCCGTTTTCTTTCATATGATCCAGAATCTGAAGGATCAAAAATTATCCTTAGTTTTCGTAAAGATGTAACAAAGTGTGCTTCTATTTCATCCTGAATTGCATTACAGGCTTTTATTGTAACTCTTGTTAGAGTCAAACTCATTTTGGCAGATCTCATTTTCGCATTGAGTGTATTATAGGTTTGAACTTACCTTATCTGCCGGAATATTGTAGTAGGGCAGTGCAGCAATTCTATTCTGTTGACCAGCTGCGAACGCAGAGTACAATTCCCATGCAAAGATTCCAAACGCCCACACATCACTAGCGTGAGTGTAGTGGTTCTCTTGGATTACCTCTGGCGCGCTCCTGTCATGAAAGAAAATTAATCGCGTCGAAAACTCTTTCAGTTAAACACTATCTCGGTTTTTTTTTGTAACCGTCTTCTGAAGTGCACATGTACACATATTTTGTTTTCATGGCTTAAAAAGAACTGTATGAATTTACATATTTGATCGTTCTTGCGAGCACTTCCTTTAAATCCCAGATATTTTACTTTGTCGGACCATAATGACCAACAGGTCTAAAAACCCTTCCAACATTTTCTTTAATCGAACTTGGACATGCAAATTCCCTGGATATTTGCCCTAAAATAGGGTGTTTAATTGACGCCCAGCAGAAAACTCATTTTACATGTAGTATAGATTACCATGTTTCGAGTTTATGCTTACCAACGAACGGAATCAGAAGGTATGACAGCCTCTACGACACATGAGGTACTAGTGGCTTCATAGACACTCATTGGTAGAGATTTAGAGCGACCAAGCCGGCCAACCTGGACCTGAAGAAAATCATAACAGATAAACCATATTTTCATTTATTTATTTTATGGTTCAAATTATTTGCGTAATTTACAGACCTCGTCCTAAAACTTGTCGTTCATTTTATAAGTGAAAACAGAAATTAAACCTTGTGAAAGTACCATTTACTGCTTCTTCTTTAAGTTGCGATCCTTAAAGTATTTGCAAGTTTTACGAATAGTTACAACAGTTGTGACTGTGCTAGAACAGCAGGCAAAATAACAATAGGCTTTATACAATACATAATGTGTTCCTTGTTTACTTGTTTTAAGAATTGTTTGAATGGCATTGGCTACACGAAGACGCTTCACCTGAAATATAAAACGTCTAAGCTTACCTAGACTCGAAAGGCGATCGACTATCTCTTTGGAGCAAATTTAACGGTGCTCAGTTGTATTAAGTATCGAATGTACCTGGACACGTCTGTTGAGCCTAACTGGACTTAAATTCCGTGTATGGTACTCACCTTGTTTGGTGCCACCACATAAACGTATTCAGCACGAAGATCTCCGTGCACGATATGATTTACGTGAAGATAGTGTAAAGCTGTAGCAACCTGGCAGAGGAATGTGTTGATGTCTTCCCTCTGACATTTTCTGCTGAGGACAAACTCCTTTAAATTTCCATAGGGTAGTCTTGGCGAGATCTAACGAGAGAAGAATACGTTTATGAAAAGACCAAGGAAAAAAATGAAATTTGAAGCCCAAAACAAGCACGAAGCTCAATTTCCATCGAATAGCACAACAAGGAAATCCCACAAAAAGCTGATACTCACTTATGGTGGGTCGAAAAAAATCTTTAATAAGGACTTATTCTATATTAAAGTTCATACGGCAACTAGGTGGGCAATCAGACATGGTTTGATGCTACTCTGGTTTTCAGATTTAACCGAAGAAGTTTACAATTCATAGACACGTTAGCGTTAAAGTTGCTCAAAAACCTTTTCAGATTTTGGGGCATATTTTTGCCGAGCCTAAGGATCCTGTCACGAGAGAACAACGAACCAACGCCATTTATTCTATTCCTTGCAATGAGTGTGACAACGAATACATCGGACAGACCAACATCAGTTTGGTACACGTTCGAAAGAGCATCAAAAAGCGGTTTTCTTTTGCAAAAAGGAAAATTCAGCTTTATCGGAGCACACATGCCTAACTAACCATATAATTGGGTGGGTTAACTCTAAAATCATCAACACTAATCGGCGTTATCACCAGCGCCTTTGTTTGGAGGCTTGGCATATTAACTCCGCCCACGTTCCTTTAAATCGTGACGATGGCGGTTTGCTTCCTGACGCCTATTTACACTTCGTCAGAAAAAAGGCCGCTAAGAAGTGATCATATAAAAGGACCTCTTGTTGCAGCGTTTAGATCACCCCTGATGAAGGCACTAGACAGGAGTGTCGAAACGTTGTGTCTATGAATTGTAAACTTCTTCGGTTACATTCATTAAATCTGTAAACCAGAGTAGCATCAAACCATGTCTGAAGGACTTATTCTGTTAATAAGATTGCTGTTTCAAATATGATAAACTTCAAGCAAACGAAATTTAAATGGGCCCTCTTTCAAAAGGCCCTTTGCAATGCCATTGAATACTACAAAGACTAATGTATACGGCGGAATCGCTGACAAGAAATTAAATTTTAGTGACAACGACTATGAGCAAAGTTGGTAGAAATTCTGATTAGGATGCAGCTGATTTATGCGTCCAAAGTATAGCGTCTTACTTACGATGTCAACGATTGGACTGCGGGAATCTAAATGTTCTATCCGGCTGATAGGAACAAGAAAACTATTGCTAAGACATAGCAATCTTCTCAGGTGCTGTTTATCTCCTCCAGCGATTTTCTCTTTTATGGCATCCTAATGAAAAGAGGTATCAGCAATTCAGTACCAGCAAATATGATCAATCCGATCAAACTATAGATGCATTAGCGATTGATGCACCGGTGACTTTGAAAAAGCTTAAACATAATAAATTTAACCTGAATGTGCTCTGACATGCCTCACTGTTTATCTCTCGCGCTTGCTAATCATTACAATTTTTCTTACCATATTATCATCATTGCCTTTATTATTATCATGATCAATACCATTATAATCAATATGTTTATCATCATCATTACAGTAATAAATGGTAGTGGTATGTTTAGTTGTATAATTTTTATTGGAATGATGGCGTAAAAAATATTTGTTTTTACTAAAAATTGAAGCAGTTTGGGCAAACCTGTTGATAATTTGTTGGTAGATCTACAAGTGTTTCAGGAGTACCATATCCTTGAGGCTACATATCAAAGAAAAAACAGTAAATTCCAGGTGCACAAAATGAATTTTTATCGTTTTTTAAAATAGATTACTTTGGATGGATCGTGAGTAAGGAATAGTAACGGTAACAATAATAATGATATGATAATAACAATGATAATAGCAATAAAACAAGGAGGTAAAGTTCAAGTGAGATCCATGATAGTAAAACATCAGAATTATTTTTAATTTAGTATTTCCTCTCTGGATACATTGATAAATGATGCACCAAACTCTTGTGAGTTTGGAAAACGTAATTACCTCGTATGTATCTTCTGCATAGTCATATTGTTCTTCGTAGATGGTTCCTGAAGTCGATTCAATATCGCTGTAGTCTGAACAAAGTGAAAAAATAACGATTAGTTCTTTGCCTGAATTAATGGTTCTGGCAAAACAAGAGGTGAAGTCTGTACTTGTGAGAAGTGGCTTATTCAGCCAAAGTTTATCTTGGTTTTTGTTGCATGAATTGAGTAGAGGCATTCCTGCATCCCCCTTAATAGAGCGTCTACCACAAGCTATCCCCGCAGTATTTCGTCGGTTTGCCCGACAGTTCGCCGATAACCATTTATACTCCTGGATGGAGAGAGGCATTGTGAGGGTAATGTATCTAGTCCTAGAAATCAACATCGTTCAATGCGCTTATTGGTGGGCCAAACCCAATAAATGGTATTGAATGAAATTTATGATGGAACCGTGTTTTCACGAAAAGCTTAAAGGTCGATAAACAACAAAAACACCAATAAGCGGGAGTGAAATGAATATTCTACACGAATATTTTGCGAATGAAATGTTAATCTTTGGAAAACGACAGCATATGTTATAAGTGGGTCGAAGTGAGGTTGTCTATCCGTTTTCAGTCATAATAAGGACTCAAAATCTTAGCTTAGTGAAGAAATATGGGAGTGAGTTAGCTTACTCTTTACGTAATTAAACCAGTATCTACCTGGAACGGTTTCATACAGCACAGAATCAGTTGACTCTTGTGATTGTTGAGGTTCCTGTAAAAATAAACGCGGAGGAAGAATTTAGCAAAGCATACGACAACAAAAAATGTTATTTGTACTCTCATGAATTTGGAATCAAAACAATATACAGGGGAAACTGAAGCCCAGACCTTCGCTGTCTAGGCTACGATGTTCTGCTAGAGAACTCAGTTTGTTGGGTAACTATGAGTTTCATGCGTAACGCCCGTGTTGCATTCTTTAAGATCAGCAATTTCATAATGTGAGTAAATGGGATAAGAAAGATGGTAAATTCTTTGAGCTCCGAAGTTGCATAAAGAAAAGAGTTGTATGGGAAATTTCTGCCAGAAAGAAAGCTTTAAGGTTTGTAACGATATGATTATGAGAGCAGATTGTATCGAGAGAAGGACTTAACATACAAAGTGGAATTGGCTTCTGCTAACCAGAAGTTGACATATCGATTAATACTAAACGTACACTTTCAATGCTCATCTCGAGACTTGGTGGGTCAAGCCGCGGTTTCTCTTCACCTGGCAAAAGTCAAATAAAACGGGATAAACAGCTAGGAATGTCATTCCTATAATTTACTGCTTTGACTTGCTGCGATCATCTGCAAACCGCATCGGAAACATAATTTTGCGTTTCCATCGTCGAAAAGGTCATTGAAATATATATCAACTTACGATACAACATGATATCCGGGGATGAAGTATTGCAAATATCGATAGTTTTGAAAGTAAAAAGGACAGCAAGTCTTAAAATGAGAAGGTTACGCATGATCAAAATAACTTGACTCGAATCGTTTCCAACTGCTTATTCGTTTTTCATAATATTCCACAATTTAAGTTCGTGATCAAGCTTGTGGAAAATGCCTGTGATGTCTTTCCCTTTGTAATATGTAAGTTAAAAATGCGACGCTTCGGCAGAGTTTTGAAAACTTGGAAATGTTTTTGTTGAGTTTTCATTATAATTTATGAAATAGAGCTGTAATGATGTTGTCAAAGTGTTCACCTTAAGAAATCACCAACCTGAGCTTACTATCTTTGATCGCATACATTGGAATTGTTCTTTGAGCTCAAACAAGCCGATTCTTTCACCCCTTTTTCTTTTCCAGCACTGCTTCATAAGGTTGTATTCATCATCTTCGATGCAACTTTCCTGCGGTAATATTCCCTCGTCGGTCTTTTGCAAAACCTTAAAATAGCACGAGAACGCTTGGTCTTAACGTTTGAATTGTGTAACGTTTAAATTCAAATAATCAATAATAAAGTAAAAGAATGCGTCCTTTATCACAATGACTCATCTTTCTGGTTCGATCTTTCAAAATGGCAAGATTCGGGCTAAATTCTCTTAACCTTTTGATATTTTACGGGCAACAGTTATGACAACAAAATTGGATAGATCAAATTTTGTATAGCTATGTAAGCTAGGTATTGCCATGACAGAAGCTTTTGTAACGGTTGTGTTAAAGTGGTAATGTCAGTATTACTCTGTGTGAAATTGTATAAATACAGTGGCTTTCAATGTCATAGAACACTATAGTTGAAGTTGTGATATTGTAGTAGCAATTTCATCGTATAAATAGTAAATTAGAGATACAAAACAATACTGTAATTCTTCTTACATAATCGACTACATTTTCGTCTCTTTGTATGTCTTTATATGGGCGACAACCTAAGGTGAGCGTCTCGTAGACAAAGACTGCAAAGGCCCACACATCAGAGGGAATGGAGTAACAATTTCTTGATAGTGTCTCTGGAGCTTTGCATCTCACCGGCAGTGTTTCACCACTTTCGCCTTTAAATTCTTTTAAGCCATCGTAGTCCAAAGCGTATTCATAGCCAGATGATCTATCACCTAAAGATGTGATTAGAGCAGGAGGTTGAGTATTATTCCCCTGGTTGTCATTCCCTTCTGTGACATCAACTTCTCCGAAAATAATGGAGAAAAAATCGTATTAACATTTGTCTCTGCTCATCTCTATCAGTTCGGCTTGAGTTGAATGAAACTATAAAATAACAAAGATTATGAGCAGCAGAAAAGAAACTCTGAGAGTTGACCAATCTTACCTTCCTTGTTTATTCCGTGCTGCAGCACCCCTAAAGAGTGCATTCCACTAAGCTTGGCAAAATAGCCATCGCCAACTAGAATGTTTTCCGCCGTAACAGCTCGATGAACCAAATTAAGCTCTTGGTGTAGGTATAGGAGGGCTTCTGTTACTCCAATTATCATTTTGTAAAGAGTAGCTGACGACAGAGGCTTGCGTTCCCTTGAGCCTCTTACAATTTGGAGAAGGTTGCCGTACTTTTCATATGAAGTTATTATGTGATGAGGAAAGGCTGTTGTGTTGTAGGCGAGAAGACAAGGGATGTTTGGATGCTTCCTTAGATTGCTTAATTGCCACAGGTTGTATGCTTCTGCACGTAGTCGCTTTTTCGCCTCCGACTGTGTTGACGTTTCTTCCTCCACGAGATCCTTCTTGGAGACGGCTAAGACTTTTACGGCCACTTCTTGGCGTTTTAACACGCCGTGGCTGACAAAACAGCTCGAGGTCTCATTACTCGGCCTAGTAGTTACCATGTTGTCAATTTCCAAAGTGTGTGTCTTGTAACACGACACCAGGTGCTGATTGTGGAGTTCTGTTGGAAGCATGTGCTGGTCACTTTGGTTGTCAAAGAAATGAGGAACAAATAATCTCTTGATGGAACGGTCAGGACAGAACAGCATCCCTCTAGAGAAGCGGTCGACAATAGCTCTGCACTGTGGTTTCTTCCTTGCCTTTTCATCTTTGCGAAGATGAACCAGACATAAACTTGCTTCGAATCTCAATGCTTTGAATGAAAAAAGATGGTTATGATTATTATGGCGATACTAAGTGGTATCCTTTCTAGCCAGATCCTTACCTACATAGACACGGACACAGATAGCCCGATCATTCTTAATCCGGGGGTTTAAAGGTATCACGGACGCACCCACGGTAACTCGAGTGGTAAGTCGCATTGATTGAAATAAAGTCACAGGTTAGATCTTTTCTTCGTCTGATGCAATTGTCAAGAATGTCGGTCTATCAGAATGAATGGGAATGAATTTCCTTAAGGAAGTCAGCCTTTGCAAAAAGGATCAAAATCAATGATAATCATGATCCCCACCGGTATGTAGCTTTTGAACAACTCTTCTAACACTAGCTTGTCATTCCTGTATTCCTATTTTCCTTTGGGAAGCGGGGATGGCGCGGTGGTGAGACCACTCGCCTCCCACCACTGTGGCCCGGGTTTGATTCTCCCTCCTCAAAACCAATATTCAAAATTTCAATTCGACCCGAAAACAGTGGAAAGGAATGTCCATTGCTAAACTGCTACTATTATCACTATTATTATTATTTTTAATAATATTGTTATTAATATTATTATTATTGTAATTACCTTGAGTCGCATTCTTCATTGCAATCTCTGATAGTATAGATGCCACCTGCAAACAAAACCTCCAGTCATTTCCTCCTCCACCATCAAGACGAGCCATTAACACCAGCCTTAAAAGTTTCATGGTCCTCCTCTCTTTGTTAATCTGCTCCGGACGTTCCGTGTGGACCTAAACGAATTGATACAGTTTGTTTACTCTTGGGAGAGCCTTGAGGGTAAACAAGTTGATCTTAACAGTATTTGGTTTGTTTTTGTTGTCTGTCTCTTTTCGAGGGTTGTGTAGAAGGGAAGGTGGGAAGGGAGGGTGGAAAGATGGGGAGAAAGGATCTTGAGGAAGAATGGTGAGGATTAAACATTGATAAGATATTTTACGGCCTTAGTGAAGTTTCTGAATTTGAAACAAAATGGTCTGATTGCATGTGAAGTGAGTTTTACGAGACACCATGGTGCCATATATCTTTTGGCTATTCAAGATCTAATTTGATTTTCAATTTGATCGTCGTTCACTTTTAAATAATGAAGTACAAAACCTATGTACATGGCATGTTTGTACCAGTAGCCAAACGGGACTCTGCTGAATAAAGGACACCTACCTTCCCGTGCAGATAATAAAATATACAATGCAGCTCGCACCATTTCACTCCGGATCTCTTCACCTTTTTTAGAAGTGACAACTCCTCATTAGGAGTGTCCGAATTTGCACAGTATCTCTTGCATTCCTCGAGGTAATTTCCCAAATCTGAACCCACTGTCTTATTAGGTGGCCGCGTAAGATAACTAATGGCCTCCTGGATGAACTCAATAGAGTATCTTAAAATGTCTTTTTTTTTCAAGGTTATCTTACTGAAATAGTTTTTAATTTCCAGGAGCTGTTTCAAGTTGTTCTCTGCGTCAATTTTAGAGAACCCTGTTTGATTCTGGTGAATGATTAACTCCGATAGTATGCAGCCGTATACTGTTAGCCTTAGAAGTCGTATTGAGTCTGCCTCCTCCTTGAATGCTCCGTCTTGGGAGACGATGGTCAATCGCAGTATCTTTTCCACACTCAACAAATTTTGCTTAGCACTCTGAATAGAATCCCTGTATAGTAGATGCTGAAGTTGTTGTAAAGAGTGCTTTGCAACGTCACCGCAACCTTGGCTGCTGCTTACTTGAGCAAGGACCCTGTACACATCAATGTTGTTTGCACCAGATTTGCCCCACATTTCTCGTTCCAGGTATGGCAATATACAGCGAAGTATAAAAAATTCTTTTTCCTCCTTCAGTGAACCAGCGGAGGTGTCCATTTCCCGCATAAACTTCTCTGGGTTTTCAAGAAAGGATTCGACGGACCACTGAAAATCGTTTTCACCTGTTGAAGCATAACGGTAGAAAACAGGATCAGAATGGTAATGTTAATTCAAATGATGAGCAATCGCGGTCTCGTTAACCCACAAAAGTCGTCAAGTTTTGGGAGCTGTTCTTACCATCTTACCTTTCTGGATAAGAATTCCATTGATTGGTTTTGGAGTCCAATCTCCCACATTTGTTTGTTGATAATAATTACGGGGACAGTACTCCTCTTCAATATTCCTAGCGTAATAGCTGAGGCTCTCATCAATTTCGTGGTTTTGTGGAGTGCTAGTGTTTCTGTCTTCTTCTGAAATAACTAAGAAATGGCCGAGTAAGAGAATTGAAAACGCTGTACAAAAGCATCTTAAAACTTCATATTTTCAAAATATTACATAGAAATCAATTACAAATAAATTGTACCCGTTGATTGATTCGTTGGGGCACCAGTGATACGAGCACGGTGGCCGACCGCTACGTTACCACCTCCATTGACATTGACGTTAAACTTTTTGACGACAACTTTGCGGCGTCTGCTTGGCACGTCTAAAGTTGGGATTTTAAGAAGAGTTATGTTTGTTAATAAGTCATTTCAGCTACATTTACTTCCTTATCAATGAAAGATTTCTTTATGCACTCGATACGATTTCAATGAAATCACGTTCAAACGCACGTTCGAACAAGAACATTGGTTGATGCAGCATGCAACGAATGTAAGCAATATATACTTCATTATTTAATTACTAGTCCACGTTTGTCAACCCCCAAAAAAGATGCCGAATAACGAATAAATACTGATCTTTCAACAACCTTACCAGAAAATTCTCCCGAAATATCTCCATAGCTTGAGTCGCTGGTATCTTCAAGATAAAAAGCAATGTGGTAATAGTTTGCTTTTGAAGTGCCTCAAAACACTTTCACTCTCACTTTCACTAGGCTGTCAAGTGTCTACTGATGATTGGGAATTTGAGTCATGCCACTCTCAAAGCACCAGATTAAAAATAGTAGTTGTAGTCATTCAACAGGCAGTGGGTTATTAAACATATGAAAATTGTTCTGAGCCTCTTGAAACTATGCCTAATTGAAAATAATTTTTTTTATCAAATAAAGTTAATAATATAGAGTGGCCACCGTAAATACTTCCTAAAGCTGTCGTCTCGAGCGTTAGCTCTTCGTCAGAGCGAAAAATCATGCATAATATTACTCAAGTAGGCAGCGTAATTGTCCATTAGCGCTTATTGTATAAGCTCCTTGTATAATTCAAAGAGTTGTTTATAGCGACTTCATTGAAACAAATTGGTTTCCCCGCCAACCTATCCGGTAATGGAAATATGGAAAGTTAACGCGGGGAGATTTATGAAGTTCAGCCTAATACACACCAAAAACCTTCGTGAACAAGACTCAGTTGAAATAAAAGTTTACCTTAATCGAGCTCAGGGAATCAGCAAAGAATAATCTCAACAACAGATAGGAAAGTGTACACTGCAAGTGCTTCGCTGTGCTTGGTTTATTTAATAGACTTTTCGCCGACAACGATACGATTGGCAAGTGTCTATTTAAATCCAAGAACCGTTTTAGATAGTTACGTTGAATGACGCAATATTAGACTAACTGAACAAACTTCTGTCAACAAATTAGCAATTTGTTGGATTAAGAGGCCTTCATTAAACTTCCTGCTTTCGATTCCACGAATCTTCACTAGGAAGCTCTCTGCATACTTATTTCTGCTCACTCTCTTAGGGACGATACACGCAAGCCAAGCTCATTTCAAGACACGATCAGACGGCGAAGCTTAAACGTTTTGAACGGCACATGGGAAGTAAGAGAAAACAAAACCACTCGCACCAATAAACCTTGGTTCAATTTCAAAGGGCACGAGTCGGTGCGCAGTGTTCGATTAGGACGTAAAAGGTCGAGCGGTTGTTGCGGTTATCATTGATTATTTGATTAAATGATACCAATCACTCAAACGCATCAAATTGTAACTAACCGTCGTATGTGGCCATCTCAAGTGGTGAACAGAATGATACCAACAACCACAGAAACGTCCATAAAGTTACGAGGCAGTGCTCAACTCCCTTAACAGAAACGATAATGAAAAGGTCGTTAGAGCATCGAGACTATATAACAACTTAGGGGAACCCCCAGATCATTAAGTAATAATTCCGTGATGACTTCATACCTCAGGCACGTTTTGATGAAGAATATATCTACATACCACACCCATTTCTAGAGTAAGATTACCCTTTTGAGAATCGGTTCAGCAGTCAGGCAAGCCTGGCCTTGAGCAGTGAGATAATACCACGATGACTTAGCTCTCTTCACAACCACTTGCGATCGTGTGGCTGCTATCAGACCAGTGTTGATTCAAGAATTTAGCCCACTGACGAATTCCAAATCGAAGTAACGCAATCTTCGCGGAAGTCTTAAAATAATTTGATATGGTACCGGTATTTACTATTCTTTTTTTCGAGCCTTCTTTTTTCAAACTCAATCACTTTTTCGCTTAGAGTTACTTAAAATGGGAATATGGTTCATAAATAAGCAGTTTCAAGCGTAATTTAAGCAGGAAAACCGAGTGTTTATCTTTCCCTGCTAAAGACCGCAAGATACGTAAGCGGAAGCCTATTAACGCTGCGTCATCGTCTTTGCTTTTTTTCTCGAACTTATGTATATTCAATTGTTAGATATGGATTACTTAGTAAAAAAAATTAATAATTTCAAAACAGTAATCGAACAAATTTCTTTAAGCCGGCTCCAGATGCTCGTATCTCAAAGCGCGAAGGCTTTCAAATGTATTTCAAAACCCCAATTATTTATAGTCACAGAGCTGTCAACTTTTCGCCGTAAGCTGCTTAACGAGCAGTTTCTTCGGCATGACTGCGCTTTTTTTTGGAGGGTGTGGAGTGAAAATTGTCTAGTACTTTTAATGTCTGCTTATGTTAGGTAAACAGGTGAAATCAGTATTGCTTTCATCCGTTTCATCCATCCGCTTTGAGATACGAGCATCTGAAACCGGTCTTCAAACCGGCTCCAGATGCTTGTGTCTCAAATTTAGGGGAACCCCTAGCTCAAGTGATAATTCCGTGACGACTTCATACTTTAAGCATGTTTTGATGAAGAATATATTACATCACACCCATTTCGATTGCGAAATTACCCTTTTAAAATCGGTTCAGCAGTCAGGCAAGCCTGGCCTCGAGCATTGAGATAATACCATTGATAATGACTTAGCTTTCTTCTTAACCACTTGCGATCGTGTGGCTGCTATCAGACCACTGTTGATTTTGTTTTATTGTGATTATTTCTCTTAAATATACTGAATTGTTAGATATGAATTACTGAGTAAAAAAAAACTCATTTCAAAACACCAATCCAACAAATTTCTTTGAGCCGGTTCCAGATGCTCGTATCTCAAAGCGCAGAGGCTTTCAAACTTGTTTCAAAATCTCAATTATTTATAGACACAAAGCTGTCAATTTCTCACCGTAAGCTGCTTAACGAGCAGTTATTCGGCATAACTGCGCTCTTTTTTGGAGGGTATGGAGTGAAAGTTAAACTCTAGAATATGTCTCCTTAAAAGAGCAAAGGTTTATTTAACCTTTGCTTGCAGGAAAATGTTATACAATGCCCTCATCAAGCCAATACTAGAGTATTGTTGTACGGTCTGGGGCAACTGTACCGTTGGTAATCTCCAAAGAGTTTTACGACTACAGAAACGATGTGCTAGGCTTATTTTAGATGCTGATACTCACGAAAACTCAGTCAAGCTTTTTAACAAATTACATTGGCTGCCTATAGATGATATCATACATATTAGGAAGCTTTATTTGCTTCATAAAATAAATCAAGGACATTGCCCGGCTTATTTTAATAGATATATTGAACATATAAGTAACACCCATAATTATAACACGAGATCCGCTTCTAATAACAATATTACAACACCAGCTCACTCAAGCGCTTGCCATTTGTGGAACGCTCTTGATCCCGAACCAAAGACACTCTCTCATACTAATTTTAAAAATTACTTAGTTAAATTTTACTGTAGTATGACTTCTTTTTTTGATCATTTTAAGATTCGTAAAACTTTTTAGTTTCATTAGTAGTAAATCAATCAATATTGTATTAATAGTAGTTCTTAATGTAATTTTAGTTTGTAGATTATATAGGTAGTCAATTATTCAATCGATACATCTTAGTACTTTAATTGTAGGAGGGCCATTATGAAAACTACTGGGTGACCAGTAATCAATGTTTTTACCCTCATTAAATAAAGTTATTATTATTATTATTATTATTAAAATTGTTTTGTAATTTTAATGTCAGTTTACATCAGGTGAACAGGTTAAATCAGTATTGCTTTCGTCTTTGGGGAAGTTGAGTGTTTATTCAACTCATAGATGCCTTGTTCCAGTGCTTCCTAATATTAGTAACCGACAGGAAAGCCTCCTTGTTTCCTGTGTCTTGCGATGAAAATTAATCAGCGCATTTCAAGTACTCAAAGGTGACTTCAAACGACCTTTTTTCAGACTCTTACGGGTAGTTTTGCGAGTATTTGGCTAATATTATTATTTTTTTGAGAAAAATTGTGTATTCCACAGTTGTTCGAAAGGTGGTTAGCAATAAGTTAGATATGAAAGTTTTACCTGTCTTTGACTTCTCCTGAAATAAAGCGGGTAACAGGGATTACATTTTAGGGGTTTTACCCTTGGTGAGCGGTGAAACCGTATAAAAAAATAAATACAATTCACTGTCTGCAAAGCTTCAAAACTAATAAAAAACTCTTGAGTAATCCGGCCTCTGTTAGCTTCATCGTGCCTTGAACAACCCGGCCCAGGAGTCTCTTTTACTATGAATTACAAAATAGGAAAAGTTTATTTCATTGAGGGTTATCAAGTCCTTTGTGATCGAAAAGTGATAAACAATTTGTGTCAGTGCCTGTAACTTATGTATTTCCCCTGCATAATTATTCAAATAGTTAGTTCTCTAAATCAAACTCTCTCCTTCAACAAGCCAACTTGTCTTGTCTCTTCCATTTAAAGACCAGAAGCTATGAGCCATTAGATCAGTAGAGAGTGTTTTGTCACGCTCATTTGAATCTCATTTGCAAAACTACATTGTAGGATGTCAGTAAACACCAAAAGAAAAAACAATAAAGGAAATCGAGGGAATTGGCAACTTTATTAATGAAAACATTGTTAGCGTATCGTTGAAAACGTTTCTCAGAAGGATTATCATTTCCATCCAAGCTTGTTGAAAATTATTTCTGTAGTAAAAATTTGACGCGTGCTCCATACGAAATGAACCCAACACTTTTTTTTTTTTTCAGGTTTTATCAAGTGAGTTGATAACGTAAATTGGCCACGGTAAAGAGTTTCAAAGCTGACGTTTCGAGCGTTAGCCTTTCGTCTGAGCGAATGGGTCTCGAGTCCCTTTGAATCAATCTGAAATTTTAAAAAAAATATGTATATATTTTTAGCCATAGGCAATTACGAAGTCTACAACTTTGCATTTTTTAATAAATTTTTGGATAAATTTTGTTAAGTGTATGACCTTTACGGCCCCACTTGAACAATCCTGCAAAAAACTACAATGAAAGCTGACGTTTATTGGGCTATACGGGTCAAAGTAAATTTGATCCGGAAAAAAGTCGTGCGCCCCACATTCAATGGCAAAAAACTTTGTATAGAACAAATATGAAAATAAGTTTCGATTCTCGATAAATCGTGATTTGTTTGTTCAAATAAGAAGAAATAAAGGGAACGCTCTACTGAAAAATCTTGTTTTGTAGATTTCCAGCGCATTCTTAACATGAAAGTGATCTCGTCCTATTTAGGATCACACATAATTTCAAAAAGACTTCGTAATGATATGATGCAATACTTATTGAATGAATTTTGTCGGGCATGACGGGAAAATGTCTGGCTTCCGTTATGACGTGGAGACCTTACATGACGTTGAGCTAAATATTTTCCCCCAGCCCACCTACTCCGGCAGTCAATAAGTACAAAATATATATATGGGCATTAAATAGACTAATTTTACGAATTCTACAATTGAAAAACGGGGTAAGTTTCTTAAGAAACCGTGGTGCTACGTCGATTCGGTATTGTCAACTGAGTTGATAACGTAAATTAGCCACCGTTGAGAGTTCCAAAACTGACGTTTCGAGCGTTAGCCCTTCTTCAGAGCGAATGACGAAGGGCTAACGCTCGAAACATCAGCTTTAAAACAACGGAATTATTTAGAGTTGGAAAGTTTGACTCCTGCACGTTTAGCCTTATTGGGCCAACAATCTTTTCTTCTCCGACAGCCAGCTATATCGTAGTTCAGTTAAGTTTCATGGTGCACAACCGATGTCGATCGGAGCATTCGTCTCGAAGATTCCCTCAAATTTTTATATAAATGTATGGGGGTCGGACCCGGGATCAGGCAGCAAAGAGCGAACAGGACAAAGCTGTGGAATGTCGCACAACTTGATAAAGTTATTTTTTTTAAAGCGAAATAGTTAAAAATAATTATGGGCGTCAAATGAAACAACTCCAATCCTATGATTGTTTTATGGATGGTGGATCGAGGGAGGATGCTGTGTAATCTATGTAATGTAGTAGAGCGCCTTTGACGACACAATAGTGTCTTGGCATTACCCTTTAGTTGAAAAAGATCCAGTTTAAGCCTTGGTTGATCACATCCTTCGTAATAAACAAGCGGCACTCCTTCAGAGGGTCTTCCCCCTTTGGGGTGAACGCACAGACCACTTTATATGTGCATAAGGGACATCCCAGGTCTCCTGAACAAGTATGCAAACAGGAAACCCGTACAAGAATGCTGTGTCAGTAACTGACTCAGAGTATGTTCGCTGTACCACCTTATGTAAACGATAATGGGTCTGAGTATCGGTCCCCTTTGGTGCATGTCACTGAAAAAGCATGCAAACTGGAATTAAGCACAAGCATGCTGTATCAGTAACTTACATGTTCACCGAACCACTCTAGGCAAACAAAACATGATCAGATGTGGCAGCATACCATTTTTTTCTTCCTTTTCTTTTCAAAACAAAACGCCATGTGAATGGCAGTGAGATGCTTCAAATATAGGAACGAATTGTTTTATTTCAGCTGAACCATCAGTGCCATCTAGCCTTTCGAATCTGGCATCTTCTGGATCGCAGTCGATATCAGTCTTGAACATGTCCATCTTTGTGTACAACGACGAGCACTGGTTCTAAATAAAATTCACATGACTACTATCCTTCTGATTACTTTAGGCTTCCCTAGATTTCAATTCAATTCAAATTGCGCTTTTCATTTCTCCCTATTGATATTTAAGCATAGATTTTTAGCCCTTAAAGATTACTTTTTGATAACAACCGAAACGCCAGCTGTCAAACGGCGTTCAAGCAGTCAGGGGCTGGCTAGACAACGCATATGTCCAATCCTTTACTTTAGAAGTCACTGTGGTGTTGCCATTTTTGTTACTATCTAATTCTCTATGTAATTACTTTGGGAATATAGAGTTTTTTCACAATTCTTATAAAATTATAAAGATAAGCAAGTAAGTAACAACTTTTTTTAGGGAGGGTAACACATGATAGTATAACTGATAAACTAGTGGCCCTCTGTGTTAAAAATTCAACCGAGAAATCATAAAATAACTATGAATAGCAAAAAGTATGTATATCAATCACAAAACATTTATCATCTACAGTCAGAAAAGAAAGTCAGTTAGAAAAACTGGTTAAAAACACATAGATATCTCTATTAAATAACTAAGAATAATACAAAGTATGAATATTAATCGCAAAACATCTTTCATCTACAGTTAAAAATATATACAAATTAATTTAAAGACACAAAGACATCTCTATTTCCAACACTATGCTATGAAATGTTTTTGTTATGGCCGAACTGAGGGTGCTAGGTATGTTTGTTCTGATTAATCACTTTGTCACACCTCACCATAGTCACTAACCTTAACAACGTTACTTCTGTGAAAACTGTGTCAAAAATACTTTCTGAAATTATTACGATAGATAAAGGGTCATAACACGATGGATTTCCTAGCTGCATACAAAGAACTTTCAAAGCCCATGTCTAAATTTGTCAAAACGACGTTTGCATATACATTTAAATATTCTTGAAAAAGTACTTTGTCATGTAACAAACCTTAAGGGCTATTTTCTCTTTAGTTATCTTTTTAAGTGTGCAACGGGTCCTTTATAATTTTCATATTGTCAATCTTGTTTTTGTTTCGGCTGATCTTAACCGCAAAAGTATGAAATTTTAGGAAGAAAGTCGTTTTGAAAAGAGTCAACAAACCGAGGGTACATACATAGTACGCGGAATCTGTTTAACGTAATTCAGCATGATTCTCTGGTAAAGTGAGAAATAGTGACGTTGGTCAAATATTAACAGCTTTCTAACTGTCACTTCTATAAGCTGGAGACCAACACCTTCATGGACAGAGTAGAGTTAGACCCCGAGTTAACACGTTGTATTAAGTTCTTTCAAGAAAGGAAATAAATAAATATCAATTGAAGGAGGAGTATGAGAATGGCCATGTCTTCATAAAAAGTGAAGCTTGGCTGCTCCTCTATGTTAGGGTCATGTTCGTTAGAACTTAAGGATTCTGTGGTAGCAAGGTCCACGCACATGTCGGGATCAGCAGGAGTGCCTCTGTTGCCGTATTCTGTCTGGGACAGCGGTACACCGGTCTCCTCGGCTAGTGCGTTGATATAACCTGGTATTTTGGGTTCCCCCTGGTTATTTCTCAGTGGCATGTAGCACTCCCTGGTTAATGTAAGGTCTTTGTAACCTGCGTTTTCATACAAAATGTGCCCGCCCTCGGAGGCATCCTTGGCATTTTCAACACCAGTTGCGTGGCCCTCACCATATAACGAGTAAGCGCAAGCAACGCCATCGGTGTGATTTTCGAGACGTCGGTCCTCGTTAGAAACCTCGGAGGCTTCTGTAGGGCAGGAAGAAATCGAATCGGTGCTCTCAACGGACTCAGCCGTATGTTCCACATTTCTTATTCTCCAAGAGGTGGATTCTTCAAACACCGTTTCTGTCGCGTTACTCACTTGGTTCGTTTCATACTCGTCGGCAACGTTGGACGCTCCGTCAGAGTGATTACTTGGAACTGATTGGCGGAATGCAAGGAAACCCTGTGGCGGTGGTAACTGAGAATTCGTGCGGCTGTGTTCGTATACCTCAGCGGTGTCGGTCTCGTTTTGGCGAACGCTGTCGACATACAGGTGTTTGTGACGAGTAAAAAATCCTTGAGAACACATTTTCTCGATATCTTCTCTGGATGGGTGTTCCTCAGAGTTCGTCACGTGAATTGCATCGTCAGGCTGAGATACTGGCAAAACCGGCCATTCACTCTTCTCATGTTTGTTCAGCCACAATGCCATTATCCATGACAGCATCGGTTCCCTTCAAAAAGTGCAAGAGATATGAGAGGAATTTTGAGATCCAGTTGAAACAAGAAACAAAATTATACCTCACCACAATTAATATCATTGACTGGTAAACAAAACTGCGATGAAGCAGATTGAAAAAAAATTGAGAAATTGACTCTTTGGTCAGTGAGTATCCGAGGTATTTTGAGAGGAGGGTAAGAGAATCGCTTTCTACATCCGCTAGCAAAGCAAACCATACCTTCTTGAAAGACAATCAGTAATTGCGATGAAAGGAGGTCTCTGTGTTGGTTCATATGTCCAGCACTGATGCATCAAAATGTAAACCCAATGAGGACAGCCACTTGGCTGGTGAAGAGGTCCGTTTTCTTTCATATGATCTAGAATCTGAAGGATTAAAAATTTGTCTTAGTCTTCGTCCACACGTAACAAAGTCTGGATCTATTTCATCCAGCTTTGCTTTATTGGTTTTTATTGTAACTCTAATTAGAGTCATTTCGGAAGACCTCATTTTAGATACGAACTTACCTTATCTGCCGGAATATTGTTGTAGGGCAGTGCAGTATCTCTATTCTGTTGACCAGCTGCGAACGCGGAGTACAATTCCCATGCAAAGATTCCAAACGCCCACACATCACTAGCGTGAGAGTAGCGGTTCTCTTGGATCACCTCTGGTGCGCTCCTGTCATGAAAGAAAACTAATCGTGTCTAAAACTCTTTCGGTTAACTCTTATCACTTTTTTCGTAACAGTCCTCTAATGTGTATATATACACATCTATTTTGTTTTCATGGTTTAAAATGAACTGTATGAAAAAAGAAATGAGCATTTCCTTTAAATCCCAATTCCAGTCCGAGTTCCAGTCGCACCCTAATGACAAACAGGTCTAAACCCTCCTAACATATTCGTTATTGAACCTGGACATGCAAATTACCTGAATATAGGCCGTAAAATAGGTGTCTAGTTGACGCCCAGCAGAAAACTAATTTTCTTACAGTACAGATTATCATTTTTCGAGTTTATGCTTACCAACGAGTTGAATCAGAAGGCATGACAGCTTCTAGGACACATGAGGTACTAGTGGTTTCATAGGCACTAATTGTTAGCGATTTAGAGCGACCAAGCCGGCCAACCTGGACCTGAAGAAAATCATAACAGATAAGCCATATTTTGATTTATTTATTTTATAGTTCAAATTACAGGCCTCGTCCTAAAACTTGCCGTTCACTTTGTAAGTTAAAACAAAAATTAAAACTTATGAAATTAACATTTACCGCTTCGTCTTCAAGATGCGATCCTTAACGTATTTGCAAGTTTTACGAATAGGAAAAACAGTTGTCGCCAGTTAATGAAGTAGAGGTAAATCGATAACACAACTGAAGCTCTACTGAAACTGGTATGATGGTAACAGAACGAGCGGGCTTACAGACACGAGAAGAACAGAACGAAGCGCGCGGCCACGCAATACCTATAACTAGCGTACCGCTATCCGGTACTGGCGTGTGACAATGCTGAAACAAATTTTTCACGCGTTACGGAAAAAAAATTCGTGAGTCGTGTTTTACACTTGATGTTATTAGCGTGATAAGGGCCTTTGGAAAGTAGGCAAAATAACAATGAGCTTTATAAAATACATAATGTCTTCCTTGATTATTAGTTTCAAGAATTGATTGAGTGATATTGGCTAGATGAAGACGCTTTACATGAAATATGAAACGTCTAAGCTTGCCTAGACTCGTAGGGCGATCGACCATCTCCTGAGAATAAATTTGACGGTGTTCAGCTGTATTAAGTATCGAATGCACCTGCATACTTTTATTGAGCCTCACTGGACTTTAATCCCGTATATAGTACTTACCTTGTTTGGTGCCACCACATAAACGTGTTCAGCGCGAAGATCTCCGTGCACGATATGATTTACGTGAAGATAATGGAAAGCTGTGGAAACCTGGCAGAGGAATGTGTTCATGTCTTCTATCTGACATTTTCTACTGAGGACAAAATCCTTTAAATTTCCACAGGGTAACCTTGGCGAGATCTAATGAGAGAAGAATAAGTAAATGAAAAGGCCATAGAAAAAATGACATTTGAAGTTCAAAACAAGCTCGAAGCTCAATTTTCGTCGTATAGCACGACAAGGAAATCCCACTAAAAGATGATACTCACTTATGGAGGGTCGAATAAAATCTTTAACAGAGACTAATTCCGTCAATAAGATTGCTGTTTCAAATACGATATAAACTTTAAGCAAACGAAATTTAAATTGGCCTTCTTTCAAAAGGCCTCTTGCAATGCCATTGAATACTGACATAGACTAATGAATACGGCGGAATCGGCAACAAGAAATATTATTACATTCTAGTACACTGACTATAGGCAAAGTTGGTTGAAAGTCTTATCAGGATGCGACTGAGTCATACGTCCAAAGTATAGCGTCTTACTTACGATGTCAACGACTGGACTGCGGGAATCTAAATGTTCTATCCGCCTGATAGGGAGAAGACAACTATGACTGAGACATAGTAATTTTCTCAGGTGCTGTTTATCTCCTCCAGCGATTTTCTCTTTTATGGCATCCTAATGAAAAGAGGTATCAGCAATTCAGCACCAGCAAATATGATCAATCCGGCCAAACTATTGATGCATCAGCGATTGATGCATCGGTGACTCTGAAAGAGCTTAATCATAAGAAATTTAACCTGAACGTGTTCTGACATGCCACATCGTTTGCCTCTCGCGCTTGCTAATTTTTTACTACTATTCTTATCATATTATCATCATCATCATTACCTGTATTATTATCATGATCAATACCATTATAATCAATGTGTTTATCATCATCATTACAGTAACAAATGTTAGTAGTATGTTTAATTGTATTATTTTTTTTAAATAATAGCGTAAAAAACAATTGCGTGTTTACTAAAAAATTGAAGCAATTTCGGCAAACCTGTTGATAATTTGTCGGTAGATCCACAGGTGTTTCAGGAGTACCACATCCTTGAGGCTACATATTAAAGAAATAACAATAAATTCAAGGTGCACATGCATATTTTTATCTTTCTTTTCTATAGATTACTTTGGATGAATAACAATACTAATAATACTTACATGATGATAATAATGATAATAGCGATAAAACAAAAAGGTATAATTCAGGTGAGATCCACGATAGTAAAATATTAGAATTATTTTTTCATTCAGTTTTTCTTCTCTGGACACATTGATAAATGATGCACCTAACTCTTGTGAGTTTGGAAAATGAAATTACCTCGTATGTAACTTCTTCATAGTCATGTTGTTCTTCTGAAGTCGATTCAATGTCGCTGTAGTCTGAACGAAGTGAAAAAGTAATGATCAGTTCTTTGCCTGAATAATTGGTTCCGGCAACAAGAGGCGAAGTCTGTACTTGTGGGAAGTGGCTTATTCAGCCAAAGTTTATCTGGTTTCTGTTGCATGAATCGACTAGATGCATTCCTACGCCTCCCTAGATGGGATGTCTATCACAAGTTATTCCCCCAACATTTCGTCAGGCTTGCCCGACAGTTCGCCGGTAACCATTCATACTCCTGGGTGGAGAGTGAACTGTGAGAATAGTGTTTTTCATCCTAGAAATCAACATCGTCCATTGCGCTTATTGTTAGGCCAAACTCAGTAAATGGTACTGAATGGGATTTGCGATGGAACCGTGATCATAGAGTAACCACAGCTTATGTGATAAGTGGGGCGAAGTGAGGTTGTCTGTCCGTTTTCAGTCATAATAAGGACTTAAAATGAAAGAAATTTGGGAGTGAGTTACCTCACTCGTTACATAATTAAACCGGTATCTACCTGGAATGGTTTCATACAGAGAATCAGTTGATCCTTGTGATTGTTGTGGTTCCTGTAAAAACAAACGCGGAAGAAGAATGTAGCAAAGCATAAGAAAAAAAAGGTTGTTTGTCTCGTCATGAACATGGAATCAAAAAAATACCCATGGGAAACCCTCGCTCTCTGGGCTACGATGCTCTGCCACTATGCCGCATAGAACTCAGTTGTTTGTTAGGTAATAACAAGATTCATGAGTGACGCGCGTGTTGCATGCTGGGAAATCTCTACGAGAAAGAAGGCCTTACTTAAGAGCTAATGTCAACATGCATCAGACAAAAAGCAGCAAGTCACCCAAAATTTGCTTTCACTCTTATTTTCATATATTGTAACCCAATATGTCCTTATAATTGTGGTGTGGTTTTTTTGTGAAAATATATTTCAGTTTTGGAGAAATGATTTTTTTTAGTTCCACCATTCAAATTTTCACCGTACATGAGGTCACACAACTCGGGTAATATTCAACGAATATACTTGACCTCCGGTATTTCTGTCAAAATGATCCTTTGTGTTATCATCTAAACTTAATCCCCTGTCATTATTGAAGCTGGCAAAGAAATATCTATTTTTTGGTGAATATTTTCGTCCGACATAGTCGCTAGCAAGGAAATTTTGCCGGACTTTGAGTTCGTCTCCTTGAAGATAGCATAACACAAATACGCAAGGAAATTTTTACAGTAACTTTATAACCTTTTTTTGTCTTTTAAAAGCTAGAAGCTTATTAGATTCTGTCATATCGGTCATTGTTAAAACTGTCTTTGGTTTGATGCTACTTTTCGACACAGGAAAAGTATGTCGTATGTATGAACACGAATTTTGGGCGAATTGCCAAAATATTTCAAATTTGTTCGATGAATGCTGACATCCTCTCTTAAGGCTTTTAATGATATGATTATGAGAGCAAATTGTATCGAGAAAAGGAATTAGCATTCAATGTTGAAGTGGCTTCTAATAACTTGAAGTTGATATATTTATCAATACTAAACGTACACTTTCAATGTTCTTCTCAAAAGTTGGTGGGTCAAGCCGCGGTTTCTCTTCACCTAGAAAAAGTCAAATAAAAGGGGCTGCACAACTAGGAATGTCTTCCTTATAATTTACTGCCTTTACTTGCTGCTATTATTTGCAAACCGCATCGTTTTCATCGTCGAACAGATTAAATGAAATCCAGAGATGCAGTATTGCAAATATAGATAGCAAATATAAAAATGAGAAGGTTAAACATGGTCAAAACAACTTTATCTCAAAGCTGGTGAGATTTGATTTACACCGGTTACACTATAAATGGCGCCTTTTCATCTAAAAGCTTGCGCCCTCTCCTTCTTCCACATAGGAGGCGAATCGTTTCCAACAGCATGTGCGTTTTATATGATTTACAGTAATTTCAGTTCGTGGTCAAGCTCTTGGAAATGCATGTCATGTTTATCGTTTGTGATGGGTAAGCTATAAATGCGACGCTTCGACAGAGTGACAAAAAGCTGGAAATTTTTTTGTTGAGTTTTCATTAAAATCTATAACATCGAGCTGTGATGATATTGTCAAAGTGTTCCTTACGTTAAGAAATCACTAACCTGAGCTTACTATCTTTAATCGCATATTTAGGAATCGTTCTCTGAGCTCAAACAGGCCGATTCTTTCACCCCTTTTTCTTTTCCAGCACTGCTTCATAAGGTTGTATTCATCATCTTTGATGCAACTTTCCTGGGGTAATATTCCCTCGTCGGTATTTTGCAAAACCTTAAAATAGCGTGAGAGCGCTATGTCTTAACATTTGAAATGTGTGACGTTTAGATTCAAATGATAAAAGTAAAAGAATGCGTTCTTTAGCACACTGATTAATCTTTCTGGCACGATCTTTCAAAACGGCTAAAGTCGGGCTTAACTCTCCTAACTTTTTGCTCCTTTACAGGCAACAGCCATGACAACGAAATTGGAAAGATTACAGTTTGTATCGCTATGCAAGAAAGGTATTGCTATAACATAAGTTTTTGTTAAGTTGTGTTCAAATGGTAATGCCAGTATTACTTTTTGTGGAATTGTCTAACTACGGTGGCTTTCGATGTCATAAAACGCTATGGTTGTAGTTTTGGTATCGTTGTCGTGATTTCATCGTATAAGTAGTAAGTTAGAGACACGAAACGAAATTGTAATTCTTCTTACATAATCGACGACATGTTCATCCCTCTGAATGTCTTTGTATGGGCGACAACCTAAGGTGAGCGTCTCGTACACAAAGACTGCAAAGGCCCACACATCAGAGGGAATGGAATAACAGTTTCTTGATAGAGTCTCTGGAGCTTTGCATCTAACCGGTAGTGTTTCATCACTTTCGCCTTTACATTCTTTTAAGCCATCGTAGTCCAAAATGTATTCGTATCCAGATGATTTGTCACCTAAAAACGTGATTAGAGCAGGAGGTTGAACATTATTCCGCTAGTTGTCATTCCTTTCTGGGACATCAACTTCTTCGAAAATAATGGAGAAAAAAATTGTATTAACATTTGTCTTTACTTATCTCTAGTGACTCAGCCTGAGTTGAATGAAGCTATAGAATAACGAAGATTATGAACACCAGAAAAGAAACTCTGATAGTTGTCCAATCTTACCGTCCTTGTTTATTCCGTACTGCAGCACCCCTAAAGAGTGCATTCCACTAAGCTTGGCAACATAACCATCGCCAACTAGAATGTTTTCCGCCATAGTAGCCCGATGAACCAAATTAAGCTGTTGGTGTAGGTATAGGAGGGTCTGTTAGCTATCCTTCTTGGAGACGGCTAAGACTTTTACGGCCACTTCTTGACGTTTGAACACGCCGTGGCTGACAAAGCAGCTCGGGGTCTCGCAACTCGGCCTGGTAGTAACCATGTTGTCAATTTCCAGAGCGTGTGTCTTGTAACATGACACCAGGTGCTGATTGTGGAGTTCTGTTGGAAGCGTGGGCCGGTCACTTTGGTTGTCAAAGAAATGGGGTGACAACAACAATGATCTCCCGATAGAAAGGTCAGAACAGAACAGCATCCCTCTAGAGAAGCGGTCAACAATAGCTCTGCACTCTGTTTTCCTCCTTACTTTTCCATCTTCGCGAAGATTAGCCAGACATAAACTTGCTTCGAATCTCAATGCTAAAAAAAAATGATTATGATTATTATGGCGATACCAAGTGGTATCCTTTCAGGCCAGATCCTCTCCTACAAAGACATGATCTCCCCACTCTCTTTTGGGTGACCGCGTAAGATAAATAATAGCCTCCTGTGCACGATATGATTTACGTGAAGATAGTGGAAAGCTGTGATATGATTTACGTGAAGATAGTGGAAAGCTGTGGAAACCTGGCAGAGGAATGTGTTCATGTCTTCTATCTGACATTTTCTACTGAGGACAAAATCCTTTAAATTTTCATAGGGTAATCTTGGCGAGATCTAATGAGAGAAGAATAAGTAAATGAAAATGCCATTGAAAAAATGACATTTGAAGTCCAAAACAATCTCGAAGCTCAATTTTCGTCGTATAGCACGACAAGGAAATCCCACTAAAAGATGATACTCACTTATGGAGGGTCGAATAAAATTTTTAATAGAGACTAAAATCATCAATAAGATTGCTGATTTAAATACAATATAAACTTTAAGCAAACGAAATTTAAATGGGCCTTCTTTCAAAAAAGCTATAAATTTTTCGCCATAAGCTGCTTGCCGAGCGGTTGTTCGGCATGAGTGCGTTATTCATAGAAGGCTATGAAGACAAAATTGTTTTTTACTTTTAATGTCAGCTTATATCACGTGAACAGGTTAAATAACTATTGCTATCATCCGTTTCATCTATCCACTTTGAGATACGAGCAGTCCGGCTCTGGATGCTCGTATCTCAAAGCGCGAAGGCTTTAGTGGGTTTAACTCTTGGCAAGAGTTGAAACCGTATAAAACAAATTAATACAATTGATTTTCTGCAAAGCTTTAAAACTAAATAAAAAATTATTAGCTAATCTGGCCTCTGTTAGCTTCATCGTGCTTTGAACAACCCGGCCTAGGAGGCCTCCTTTTATTATGAACCACAAAATAGGAAAAGTTTATTTCATTGAGGGTAATTGAGTCCTTTCTGATCGAAAAGTGATAAATAATATGCGTCAGAGTCTGTAACTTGCTTTGCCATTTGTGTTATTCCCGTGAATAATTATTCCGTTGGCTAGTTCTCCAAATCAAACCCCCTCTTTCAACAAGCCAACCTGTCTTGTCTTGTCTTTTCCATTAAAAGACCAGAAGCTGTGAGCCATTAGACCAATAGAGAGTGTTTTGCCAAGCTCATTTGAATCTCATTTGCAAGACTATATTTTAGGATGTCAGTAATCACCAAAAGAAAAAACAATAAAGAAAATCGAGGAAATTGGAAATTTTATTGATAAAAACATTGTTAACGTATCTTTGGAGACGTTTCTCAGAAGGATTCTCGTTTCCATCCAAGTTTGCTGAAAATTATTTGTCGTAAAAATCTGACGCGTGCTCCGTACGAGCTGAACCCAACTCTTTTCTAACCAAGATGTATTCGGTTTCATCAATCGAGTTGATAATGTAAATTTGCCACGGTAAAGAGTTTCATAGCGGACGTTTCGAGCGTCAGCCCGCGTCTGAGTGAATGGGTCTCCAGTCACTTTAAATCAATCTGAAATTTAAAAAATATGTATCTTTTTCACAATAGATGATTACGTTGTCTACAAGTTTGCATTATTGAATACATTTTAAAATATATTTTGTTTTAGTGTATAACCTTTACAGCCGCGCTTAAGCAATCCCGTAAAGCTGAAGTATGTTGTGCTGAACAGGTTGAAGTGAACTTGATCCGGGAAAAAAAAATCGTGCACCCCATATTTAATGGCAAAAAGCTTTGTATAAAACGAATATGAAAGTAAGTTTCGATTCTCGATAACTCGTGATTTTTTTTTGTTTAGAGGCGAAGAAATAAAGGAAACGCTCTTCTGAAAAATATTGTTTTGTAGTTATTAAGCGCATTCTTCACATTATGTAATTGCGTCCCATTTAGTTTCAGACATGATTTCAAAAAGACTTCGTGATGATATGATGAAATACTTATGAATGAATTTGGTTGGGCATTACAGGAAAATGTCTGGCTTCTGTTATGACGTGGGGACCTTACACGACGTCGAGCCAAATATTTACCCCCGGCCCTCCTACTCAGTCAATAAGTACAAAATATATATATGGGCATTAAATAGACTAATTTTACGAACTCTACAATTGAAAAAAGGGGAAAGTTTCCAAAGAAACTGTACGCTGTGCTGCTGCGTCGGTGGGAGAGTATAACAAAATAATTCGGTATTTCCAACTAAGTTGATAACGTAAATTAGCCACCGTTGAGAGTTTCAAAGCTGATGTTTCGAGCGTTAGCCCTTCGTCTGAACTAATTGGAAAGTTTGACTACAGCACGTTTAGCTTTACTGGGGCAACAGTCTTTCCTTCTCCGACAGCCAGCTACATCGTAGTTCAGTTACGTTTCCATGGCGCACGACCGATGTCGATCGGAGCATTCGTCTCGAAGATTTCCTCAAATTGTTTATGTAAATGTGTGGGGATCGTACCCGGGATCAGGCAGCGAAGAGAGAGCAGGACAAAGCTGTAGAATCTCTCGCAACTTGATAAAGTTATTTTTTAAAGTAAAAGCCTTATTTAAAATAGTTATGGACGTCTATTAATACAACTCTAATCCCATGCATGTTTTAAGGATGGTGGATCGAGGGAGGATGCTTTTTAATCTATGTAATTTAGAAGAACACCTTTGACGACACAATAGTGTCTTGGCATTACCCTTTAGTTGATAGAGATCCAGTTTAAGCCTTGGTTGATCATATCCTTCGTAATAAACAAGCGGCACTCCTTCAGAGGGTCTTCCCCCTTTGGGGTGAACGCACAGACCACTTCTTATGTGCATGAGGGACATCCCAGGTGTCCTGAAGAAGCATGCAAACAGGAAATCAATACAAGAATGCTGTATCAGCAATTAACGTAGGGTATGTTCGCTGTACTACCTTGTGTAAACGATAATGGGTCTAGTATCGGCCCCCTTTGGTGTGAACACACAGATCACTTCTCGTGATATACGCATAAGGGATATCACGGGTGTCCTGATAAAGCATGCAAACTGGAATTAAGCACAAGCATGCTGTATCAGTGCCTAACAAACCCATATGTTCACTGAGCCACACTAGGCAAAAAAAAACATGATCAGATGTGGTAGCATACCATATTTTTCTTCCTTTTCTTTTCTAAACAAAACACATTGTGAATGGCCGTAAGATGCTTCAGATAGGAGAGCAAATTGTTTCATTTCAGCTGAACTACTAGTGCTCTCTAACCTTTCAAATCTGGCATCTTCTGGATCACAGTTGCCAGTTGAACTCACGATTACAAGTTCGGCGCCAAAGTCGACACGACCTCCTGGGAAAAGGTAAATATTTAGTAGGGAAACCTTCTATGAAGAATAAAAAACAAACTGAAAAGAAAACACAGCTCTCTTTCACCCAAGTCATTAACCCAACACTGCAAAGAAGCAGTAATATTTAACCAGTTTGGAAATTAAGGGGATGCCATCGTTCGATTGGGTAAAAGACAGTTATGTACGAATCATCTTTGTAGTGCCTTCACTAATTATCTGTGAATTCAAGTCAATGTACTTAAAGTCCTCAGAGTCAGCCTCATCTTTTGAGAAATTAGAGGACACACTTCATTGGGGAACAATTCACTCGCTGAGACAATGTACTTGAACTATCAAATCCAAAGAACAAACCTCTTGGACAAACATATTTTTTGCTACATTTGTGCATCAGAATACCATCATCGTAAATGAACTTCTGATATTCTTTCGAGCATTCAGTAGAGGATTTGTAAACCAGCTTAGTTCCGTCGGGTATCTGGCAGCTTGATCGCTGAGGCTGGACACAAAATTTGTCCACCGCCCGGATGGGACTTTCTGTTGGGCGGAAGGAAAGCAAAAGGAGTGATTTAGATGTATCTTCGTCCTTACAATTGATTGATATATTCAGACAAGCATCGGGAATAATTAAATTCACAAACCCGACAGGACGATATCGTCAATTGAGAAGAATTATAAGTTGTTAATATAGAAAATTGACCGTCAGTCTGCCGTAATCAAATCAAGCCTAAGACAGAGGACGAGCCTTACTTCTTTAAGAAAAAAAGATTTCGTATACTTTGTCTTCCACATTCGTAGTTTTTAAAAAAACATATAAAAACCAAGCCGAAGTTGGTCCAGTTTTTCTGGAGGAAGGTTCTGCAACAGACGGAAAATTTTTCATAATATTCGTTAATGGGGGCTTAAGCTGATCTGTTGAAATTACAAGAAGCTGATCGTTAAATCATCAGACACTGATACGAACAAAACTCACCGAAGTTGCCATGCTTGTCACGAATAGAATTGATGCAAAACGACCCCAATATGTGGTGATAAATTAGTTATTTACACGTTGTAAGGAAAATGGCGCATTGAAACACAGGATACGGTTTGTTACCTGGACAGTAATTACACTCCTTGGATTCCTTCTGAAGAATTTTCAGGTCACACTGTTTGCCGCCACACTTAGGTTTGGGATTGTCACACTTCTTTTGTCTGGTCATTCTACCCGGCTGGCAGAGCTTGTCACAACGACTCCACTCACCCCACCCTGATACACCACCATCAACTGTACAAAGAAAAGGGATTTAAAAGAAAACCACGTGTGTTCTGCATTTAAAAAAAATAATACAACATACCAATTAACGCGCCTATTACGTTCCACTGTTATTCCTTCGTTCTCAGTAATAAAGGTCTTTGCTCTTTGGGTTTGTTTGCTGTGTTTTGGGTTTCTTTTTTTATAGTTTTTCTCATTGGCAATAACTTCTTTCTGCAATTTTAACATTTTTTAAGCTTTCGTTTATCGTCTCACACACCAGGTTTCCTACTCTGGTCGCAATCATCTTCATTTATCCAATACCATATAACCCCTGGATCAAACATCCCCGGATATATCCAGTTAGCTGGCTTTCCCTCTCTCCTGTCTGTGATGATAGTTCCACGAGGATACCAGTCACCCACAGTCGCAGTGGTCAGTAACCCAAATGTTCCAGCCATCCAGGGCATGCGCTTCTGAACGCCATCGTCGCTGTATTCCCATTGGTTGAACTTTTTCACCAGGTTGACATTGGTTTGAGTGTTATCGGTTTTCAGGAATCTGTGAGTTAAATAAACATTTTTATGAGGCGTTACTTAGAAGATTCTACCGCGGATTCGAATGGTTAAAGGATAAAAGCGGAAAAAAGCTTGTGATCATCTCAGTCCTTCCCTGCATTGATTCGAAAATCTATAAGTGCCCTACTTGAAAATATGGAACGGAGAATTATTTAGCCAGAAATGCAGTAGGAGAGGCACTCAACTGACAGTAACTCATGCGTTGATACACAACTCGAAATCATCTTACGTGTACTCTATAGGCGCTTCCCAAATTCCACCCCAGGTTCCTGGTGAATTAGCTTCCAGCCGATACTTGAAAGACTTGGCTGCACTGATATCTTTTATATTATCTGCCAATCCTAGAATAGAATAGTCGTTGCCTAGCGACGGTTTCTCCACATTTCGAAACGTCACATCTTTAGCATTCCAGTTATTCGAGGCACTGGTGACTAGTAGAGTGTAAGCCCCAAGGTCTGATGTCATGTCGCAAAAGACAGGCAAGTAATCGACGTCATCCTTTTTAATCATGTAAACTCCGTCGTCGTATGTGATACCAAGCTGCGTGCCGTAAACCTTGACTTGGTTGCACGAGCGTCTATGTAGTAAGAACACATTGAAAAACAGTTTAAGATTGGCATCAAATTTTAAAGGAAATAGCGGTTGTTTTGAACTCCCCACCTTTTTTTTTATCTTATTTTATCAATGGACTCATCCATCTGGATAAATGCTTGCCAGGCATCCTGAACGATTCGGAAGTGATGTTAAAATAAAGAAATCTGTTTACATCGGAACACAAACACGTACGAAGGATGAAAATATTGAGCCACAGCTTTCCAGATTCACTCTACCGCCTTGAAGCTAACTTTGAGAAAAAAATTGTCCATTCCTTATAATCCTAAGCACTAAGAAGCGAAAATCATACACACATCTACAAAATCATTTTTATTGTTTGCCGGTACAAGCAAAGCTCCATCAAGGGGGAGATAAGACCGAGGCCATTTCTCCCCTGATGCTACCTGCGGGTAGAATAGTGTGGGTAAATGACATTAAGGAGTTCTTAGGTTGAAAGCGAACTACAAGTGATATTACGAAATAAGAAAAGAGCGCACTCTGGGCAGAGTTAATGAGTAACAAACGAATGCTTCGTACTGTACGGCCATTGGACAATATCCAATACCTCACATTTATATCAAATGCTAGCTAGGCTAAAATCTACATCATATCGTACCTGGTTCCCTCTCGTATCCATACCCGTATGACCTTCGGTTTGGGTTTCTCGCTGTTTATGTAGATGGCATCATTCTCTGAGGTCACTATTACGCCCGAGTTATCTCTCGCTGAGCCAGTCGTATATAAGTGTTTTCCACCGGCCTCGAGACGAGGAACGCGCTTGTTCAAATTTTCTGTCTCATTCCACATTCCAAACTTCTTTAGCAGCCGTATGTTTGTTTGAGTATCAGAGGATGACGTCATAGAGTAGCCTCTTACAGTCTCCCAAATTCCTCCAAACATGTCGTCACCATCGGCCTCGAGTCGGTACTAAACAAATACATTGAATTTATTCATATCAAAGCAAAATATATAACATTCAGTTCTTCTTCACTAAAGGAACGGGTAGGGGAAGTTTGTCTCATAAATTTTTATCATCACAGATCATCAACATGCCCATTTGATTGCATCCTTAAAATTTGCCTAGAAAATTCTCCAATTAAAGCCAAATGAAAATTGTCTGATAAACTTTCTTGAATATAATTTTACAGCACAGGACACTTTTATTTCAGTGGCACCATACTTACGCGTTAGCAAAGAATATTTCTTCCGAAGTTGAATATCGTCAGATACCGTGAAAGGGTAATTGTTATAGGAATGAGTACCTATTCTTAATGCAAAAAACTAAGCACCTGGAATTTTTCCTTTCCAAGAATATTATCAGCTTGTAATTGTTATAGGAATGAGTACCTATTCTTAATGCAAAAAACTAAGCACCTGAAATTTTTCCTTTCCAAGAATATTATCAGCTTGCCCAAGAATCGAAAAATCTGTTTTAAGCGATGGATTTTGCCTATTCCTTTCCAGAACGTTCTTTGCGTTCCATCCTTGACGAGAAGCGCTGGTAAGGAGTAAGGTCCAGCCTCCGCCATTACGTGTCATGTCGCAATATGTTGAGACTGGTTTGTCCACTGGCTGAATATTGTAGAAACCATCTAAAAGGAAGAAATGATTAATCGTTTTCTACCATATCAATCATTTTACTAGATAAGCTTTTATACCGCTTGAAGAACGCTTTTAAACTTAACAGAAATTAAGCCTACGTTTCGTCTGTTTTTGAATCAAAAACCTTGAGTTTCTTTTTTTTCTTATTATTATTTCTTTGGATGGTTTAGGTCTGTTAAGGTGCATGGTCTGGGCTATATACTAGACCTGAAGCTCCCTCCTTCCCAATGCTACGAGTCATGACCTCCATGCAGGATCTCGGAGGACCGTACTCTCCTTCTCTCATCCAGTACCAGATGAAGGTCGGACATTGTTCTTTGTCTTTGCCATATATCCATGGAGCTGGGTGATATTTCTTCATAGAGGCTGTAAACAAGCGTCGTGATATAACAAAAATCATTTTTTTTGGTGGGGGACAGTGGGAAATTGTAATTTGTCATCGTAATAACTTTACTAGTTGATGATAATCATGATAGCAGGCACAAGCCTGGAATACAATTCCAGCTTAGTTCCACACGCATGACATGCTTTTAAATTTTTTTTAAATTTTTAATTGGGAGGTCACACTTCTGTCAGGGAATAGCCTACTTTATCAGCACAACATTCTAATCTGAGTTTTCGACACCCTCCTTTTTAGGTGGAATTCAACATAAGATGCTTTTTGATGAGTTAAGGAATATGCATAAGACGTGTCACTGAGAGACCTTTCCATGACCCAAAGCTTGGAAAAGTTTCATCTTAAATGATTAACAGTATTTGAACGTCGTGCACCATTGACAGATGGGGCTAGTCTCTATATTTAAGGTAACTCCTTAATATTATTAACCTGTAATAGAACCTATTAACCTTTAGTAGAAACTATTAACCTGTAATAGAACCTATTAACCTTTAGTAGAAACTATTAACCTGTAATAGAACCAAATTCATTTCTCTTTGGTTCACCAGCAGTAGTTAGCCTCTCGCCGTACAGCCAAGGCATCCTTTTCTTCAAACCGTACCACGAATAACCCCACTCGTCAAACTTCTTAGTTAACCGGACTCCAGTCTGACTATTATCAATTTTGACAAAACTGTAGCTACGTGGTGCCTTCCAAATTCCACCCCATCTTCCTGAAAATTTAATGTAATAAAAGAGGCCAAGAGGACTACTCAAACTGACAACGCATTTTCCCCAGTATGGAAATGACAGGAATAAGGTTTGTCTGGTTATGTTAGCAATTTTTGGAAAGCAAAATGTCATCTCGAAAATCGCCAAATTCATTTAGCTTTGGCATACCGTTCGCTTTTATCAGTCCACAAATTGCCTGGTCGTTATCGATGAATTAAAAATAGCAGCATGCTGTGAAAACATCGCGATTCATTCTTTCATAATTGACGGTATATTGAGACGTGCCGTAGTATTTCATAACTTATATATCACCGGTTTATCAACAGCAACATACGGAAACCTTTGTACGCGCGTTTTTTTTTCCTGTTTAACGGAGGAGGAACAAGACACTGGTTGAAATATGCCTCGCTTGAGGTATCAATCTCTTTAGTCACCTGAACGTAACCATAAACAGAGCATCGCACGTACCGGGACTATCAGCTTCTAAGCGATATTCAAAGGTGGAACCCTTTACGTTTCCACTATTTTTGATGTCATCTGCCTTAAACAGGATAGAGTAATCGTCTTTAAGTTTTGGATCCATTTCATTATTTTGTAAGACATTCTGCCTGGTCCACTTGTTGGTGTAGCTGGTAATCAATAGCGTCCATCCACCACCATCACGCGTCATATCACATATGGTTTTGACAATACCCTTCCCATCTGGATTTATTTCATAAACGCCATCAGCGTAGGGCTTGTTAAGTCTTTTACCGATGGTTTGCAAATGGCGGCAGGAATGAGCCTCTAAATCACATAAAAAAATGATTTAGGATCAGACTTTAAGGAGTATTGAACATTGGACTGATGCGTCTTAGAAGATAAGGGTATGCATTGTCTCAGTGTATAGTGCACGGCCCATGTTCTCCGTCACAACTCGCCAAACATTGTCATATGGAGTTATATATCCTTAAGAACTAAAGTTTTATTTGCAATGTAAACCTGGCCTATTTGTTTACTCCTGAACTTGCTCTAGCACTTAATTAAATTTTGCAACTGTTTATCTAACATTTCATTCACGATTTTTTGTTGATAAAAAGCAAAGTACATAAGGGAGCAAACCACGCGGTGAAGGCAACGAGGACGTGGCAAAATAAAAGATCTTTTCAGTAGAACAATAGCTCGTTTTAGAACCTCATTTTTTTCTTAGCCATCTTCTGCAAAACGACAACGTGCGTGGTCTGAGAACAGAAACTCAGACTGAAAATTATTTAAGTTTTAATTTCGATCTCAACACTTCTCACATACATTATGCTGAAGTTGAGAGGGGCGCTCTTAGAGACTTAAAATACATCCATTCGCTGGATGTATTTAATTCTAACCAAATTAAAAAATTGATTTTTAATCAACGTCTTTCTCGGTATTGTCGTGCTGACTGATTAAGGTCTCTATTGTGTGTTGTAAGCGAGGCGAGCGATATAACTTCTCACATGCATTATGCTGAAGTTGAGAGGGGCGCTCTCAGAGACTTAAAATACATCCGTCCTCTGGATGTATTTAATTATAACCAAATTAAAAGCTTGACTGATTAAGGTCTCTATTGTGTGTTGTAAGCGAGGCGAGCGATATAATGAAACTATCCCCAAAACGTCCTCGCTCTTTACTTTTACTTCAAGAGGTTGCACTGATTTTTTTCGCTTCCGATAACATTATTGACATAGTCATGCAAGAAATGTCGTGTTAAAGCGAACACTATTTTACATTTAATAAAGACATATTTCATAATAAGACGGGTTTGAGATACGTTTTCGTTTTCTAATTGTTGGAAGCAAATTGGCAACACCTTCAACATCAAATGAAGTTGGGACAATTAGTGAAGCCTCAAAATTTCGACCAAGTTATCTTGTGGCAAATTCATTAACGGAAAAAAAAAAGCACCATTGCTGTCACAAAAGTGCTTCTAGGCAGCGAATGAAAAAAAAGCAATTACTCTGTATATTATATAAAATTGAATAGAGTCTCTATTTTTTTATTGCCCTAAAAGAAACGCGTGGAATGATTGCATAAGTAAAAAGATTTAATTGACTGTCAAGGCGGAAAACACAATCGGCCCAGCAATAAATCAGTATAACGTGGGAAAGTGAAGAATAGCTATTTTGATTTGCACTTCCGAGAGGTATTTTTTTAATATTTCGAATAAGCAGTTTCGCGCAAATAAAACAAAACTCACCAATGAAGTCCTCCGCCAAAGTCTCGTAAGAATAAATGTTATAAATGAGATCACATCGCTTAACCAAGGATCGTCAAAGAATTGTTGAGAAGTTTGTACTCCAAATGCAGTTGTTGACTTGCTTCTCTTTTATATTGATGTTCAGGCCACGCTGAAGTCTACTTAGTCAAATATTGCTTTATAATTTTAAAGAGTTTTTCCACACCACTTCAAAATAAATATTTCTTCGTGACACATATCGTTTGTTGACAATTGATCGTCAAATATGATCTGAACCTTATTCATTTCAAAAGTGAAATGATGGACAGTTTTATACTGGTCGAGATTCTCATAGAAAATGCATAAAAAATATTTACGCTGTGAGATTCTCAAATCATGACGAAAACGTTATACTTGCGATACTTGACTCTGACAACTCGAAACAAAATAATTTCAATATTGAAAATCAGTCAGGTTAGCTTAAAAACAATTCATGAAAGTGAAAAAAACCACAACAAGCCTGACGAAACTGCTCTGAAAATTTGAATATAAGGAGAAGGATTTCTCACCATTGGTTATTGTATGGTATGAAAAATTGCTACTTGAAATTCTTTATTGCTATTGGCTTTCTTTTTACCCTGGACACTCCCACGCAAGAAGGTATGGTGTGAAAATAAATTCTGTGGCAATAGATGCATCTTTCTGATGGTTTTTATTCATGTAGGGTTTGCAACTACCTGAGAATTAGGCTTTTAGCGAGAATATGCAATAATAATGAAATTCATGTAACATCACTTTCGATGCTGAGGTGTCGCTGTTATTTCTATTATTTAAAGCGACCCAGAGAAAGGTACGAGCAGCTGATGATGGAACAAAGTGGGCGGCAAACAAGAAAAACGTCTTTAACTAGAACCCAGCTGGAAACTGTGAGAAAGTGAAAAAAAACACAATTGATCGGCTAATGACGTCGAATAGCAGACGTGAAAGTTGAGTATTTACCGCCGACCGATTGTCGAAGGGTTCATTTTCACAGTGATCAGATATTTTTGCGTCTATCACTGATACTCACAAAGAGATATTAGTAAGTTGAACGTTCAAATTCAAGTTTATTGACCGTTTTATCACGCAAATAATTTTCCAGGTTCGATAGTCTCCTACATAATTACATGCACCGCGCTACTTTCGCTCTTGTTTCAGAATAAGCAGTCAAAGTTCCAACTTGTTCGTTTCCTTAGCTTGGTCGTTTCCTTAACGTCTCCAGCTACATTTTACGCACGAGCTTTTCAAACGTTTCTCTGCAGGTAAAGTGCATGAATTTACCCAAGAATTCTGTCTTCCAGCTCATTGCTTAAACCTTCATGGATTCAAATAACACACAGAGATGTTACTTCCTAGCAACTTTGGAGCCGTCGCGTGTAGGAAGCTTCTTTGCCTCTGACATCGTTTGCTGCGTACTTAACTCTGTGTTTTCTGTAGTGGCGACCACCTGGAACATTGTAGTGATCCTAGTGATCTGGAAGACGCCGCTTCTCCATTCGCCTTCGAACATTCTCATTTGCTGCCTCGCTTGTTCCGATTTTATTATCGGTCTCATGGCTCAACCTATGCTCGTCACCTACAAGATCGCCGAACTCAAGAATAGCGCCAATACCGCCTGCATCGGTAGACTCATTCACTGGATTGCTGGATTTGTATGCGCGGGAGTCTCTGTTATGACAATTTGCGCCATATCGGTGGATAAAGTGCTTGCCCTGTACTTGCACCTTCGTTACAAAGAAAAAGTCACAGTTGCGCGCGTTCTTAAAGTTATTTTCGCTTTCTGGATTTTTTGCATCTCTACCGCTGTGTCCCTCTTCTTGGCGAACACGGATCGTTACTGGACTCTTGTTCCATTACCCGTGCTTGCGGTGACTTTGACCACAACTTTCGTTGCATACATCAAGGTGTTTAGAGTGCTCCGACGCCATCAGAGACAAATACAGTCACAGACTCGGTCTGCGTGGGAAGGAGTCAATATGAGTAAATATAAGAAGTCCGTTATTACTATGGTTTATTTGTTAGTGATGTTTCTCGTTTGTTATACTCCGTTCTTAACGGCAATGGCTATTCGCCTTCTAGCTGGTTACAGTCCTGGTGTAAAAATGGCTTACGAGTGGGGAGCAACTATTGTGTATTTGAATTCGTCGTTAAATCCAGTAGTGTACTGGTTCAGAATGCAAGAAATACGTCTTGCAACGTACAACACCATCAGAAAAATACTTGGGAACGAAAGCAGATTTGAGAGTAGGGTTTTTCAATTCAGCAATGCGAACATTTTTAATGATAATGTTAGCAAGTTTCGATTTGACAATTCGCAAGCTTCTTGAAATTTATTGCCAATCAAACTGAGTTATTTTTTATTTCATGCAAGCTGTCTGTGACGTTCAGTTGGACTTCGAATCCTTCGTGGGAAACAGTATTTAATTTTTTCGAATAAAACGACATCAGTTTACAGCTGCTTGCCGCCAGCGATACTGGGCTTTGTATGAGGGTCTGTCAGTAACAGAAAGATTGGTTGTAGTACGAAATTTTAAAAAAATTTAGGGAAAATTTAATCTTATCACCACTTTAAAATAAATTTGTAATTATTTCAGTGATTTTTGTAACCATATCGTTTTAAAAGAAAAAATACGTGAGATTTAGAGAAGGCTGTGTTCCATTATTTTTACTGAAGTTTACAGTTTCAGGTTTTTATGTCATATAATCAATATAAGCCGAAGGCAGCTGAAATTGATGTCCTCAGATCAGAAACAAATGGTGAAAGAAAAAAAAACCTTCGAACTACACACCAACTGAAAATACTACCAAAGTGATACCGAACAAGAAGAGAATCTAACACCCTGAAAATTATTCAGCCCTCTTAGGTTAATTGATCAATAATTTAAAGCGTGAGTTATATCACAAGTCAACGTCAAAAAAATGTCAGCTGAAAAAACCTTTTAGCGCTTCAATGGCAACAAAGAGAAAATATTGTTGGGTAGAAAAACAACATAAGCCTTGCTAAATAAGAGTCTTATCACTCCAATCTTGAGATTTAGCGCAAAGAGGACAACTGTAGGAAAACTTCTAATTTCCTAGAAGTTATCATTGCTGGTCACTGTATTTTTATTAGAGTGAACTCGTATAATACGTTTATCATACGCTAATGAGTTTATCACCAAAGATATTATGAAGAACTACCGCGTGGGACATTTGTAAACAATCATTCAAACACGTCCAACCGCTGAGTATTCCCTGTGGAAAATTTCCATAACAACCGATGCTGTAAAGGATACTAGCTGTAAGACATGTTTTTAACAGTCTGGTACCTTCCAGCGTGAATTGTTCGTGCGTGCCAAACAGGTCACTAGAATATTATGCGTCTCAGTAGCATGTTAGAAAAAAGTTATAAGAATTTGCTCAATTGACAATAAAAATTTGCAACTGAAAGATTTTACTGAGCGGGAAAAAAACAGCTCCTTCAAGGTCGGCCATATACCATGCTCCATCGCTTTACCGGGGAAATAACTCGCCGAAGTTTCATTCATTCACCCGCAGGCGGTTGATCTACAGAGGCTCAGTGGGATGAATGGCAAAGTAATTTCGCGATATTTTAAAATTTAGAGAGAAAACTGGGGGTGCCAGACGATGCAAAAAGAAAGATAACAGTTAGAACTTCAATTTGAAGGTTTGAATTTTAAATTGACGAGAACTTTTCTATCATATTGTCTATTAAATTCTCCCGACTTTAAGGTAGTGAACAGGCTTATAAAATTGAAACTCGAGGTTTTCCAACCGTTTACACGGCAGGGAGACAGTTTTCGCTGTACTTTTAAACATGTAACTCCTCGTCTGCAGCTGCTTTATGATTGATCAATGCAACAGAAAAATATCCTCTTCCATAATGATGACTATTAATACTGACTGTACCAAGCAAGCAGGAAATGAAACGGAAGAACTGCACACACGTCTCATGAATAAGAGAAATTTGTCAATGATTGGAAGTTTCACAATGTTTTAGTACAACGGAAACTCCAATTATCGCTTTATTGTCATCATCTGAAGTTGATAATCGCCGACAACAGAACAAAATTTAACGATAAAAAGCAAAACAGAAAACCTTGCGGTAAAGTTCGCGCTCGTGTTAGATTTATCACCCGGATTCCGTTTGCATAGCACAAACCTGTTATTATTCGATCAGGCGGATCAAATTAAAACAAGTTAGAGCAGATTAATGTTAAGTTTGATCCCGGCCTCGGTTTTGTTCGAGCTTCAATAGCTGAGAGCGATTTTCATCATTTTCAAAACTATACCGATGCCTATAGCTAGTCTTACGGAACCTTAAATTTTCTCGATCTGTTATCAGTGTTCTTGTAAATTCACTTGTATGCTTGAGGGATATATATATGATATTGGCCTTGAGAATTTCTTTTCATGTCGCCGTTTTACCTTAAGATCCCATTACTATATTTCATCAATCTCCCTATTATATATATCCGTGAACATCTCAAGGGAAATCGATATTGGTAATGTAAAAGGAAAAATATGGAAATGTTTTGGGAAAATGTTGCTCAGGTTTTTTAAGTTGGCCATTTGCAGTGTGTTGAAGTGTCTCCCTTTTTTTTGCACCGCGCCCCTCCAGTTGAAACGTACGTTTACGACCTTTTAATAATATTGTTTATGGATATTTTCCTAGTGAAAACTGTTTACAATAACAAGAGTGTTTTCACCACAAATTATGGTGTATGTGCCTTAAGGATAATGTCTTTTTTCTTGTGTCTTATTTCGCCTGGTTTTTTTTTTTTCATTCTTTATCTTTTTTTCCTATTCCTTTGTTCCCCGCGGACGTTCGCCTCCCCTCTTATCAGTTTCTGCTTGTAAGTGTACGGCGGTAAACGAGAAAAGTCAACTGCTTCCCAAGAAAAGTGCACTCTGATGTGTTTGTGAATGTTTGTATTTGCATTGACCAAAAATTGAAAGCTTGATGTCAGACTTAAAGGCTAATAACATGAGTGGGGGACTTCATTGTATCCAACAGGGTCTTTGAAGGAGTTATCATGACATCATTCAGTAGGCCGCGTTTACCCCTGTGACACTTCACTCCTGACAACAGGCGAATGTAAAAAATCAGGCTACTTTGGTCAAATTTTGAGCTGGAATTGAGAATTTAAATTCGTTTGGTAAATACTTACGAGGACAGGGTTCCTCGTTGCAAGCCTCTTCCAGAAGTCTTTCTCCTTCACAGATCTTTCCTCCATACAAAGGGGACGGACTGTCACAAAATCTATAACGTAAACGTGTTCCACCGTTACAGGCTCGCGAGCAGTTTGTCCAGCTTGACCAAGCCCCCCAGTTGCCATCACGTGCAGTACCAACTAATGAAGAATGTAAAACGTCACGAACGTTACTGTGGTTGTGACCAAGTTCACACCCTCTTGGTCTCTAAACGAAGTGTAATGACACTGCAATAGCGCATGTTAAACCACGCCGTTCGAACATGTACATTAACGTTCAAAATTCACTTAGTAAAGTTATACTTTCTTGCGGTATGAGTACTTCATGGTACTAAGCAATTTGGTAAAACTCAAATAATCGAGTGAAATTCTACCCTTTCTAGTAGAGCTTCCAATTTCATGTAGTTAAAATAACGTATTTCGCAAATTCAGAGATGTTCCTTGACAGTGTATAATTCCCGGTCTTAAAACTTCTTTTTCCTTCTTTTTCCTGACTTCGACGTCTGGTTGCACGGTTATGTCATTTCGGGCCAAGTAAGATAGAATGCAAACCTTTGCTGCAAGTGGACGCCGGATCAAACCCGTTTTCACAAGCGCATTGGCCATCATTGGTACAAAACTAAAAGCAACAAAGAAATAGAACACTTAACAATAAGACTGGACAGTGAAAAAAAGCTGTCAGGGATAAATTTTCCACAATTATAGAATTTCTTTCTTTACTAATTGGGTAAATAGGAGGAACTATTTTTCCTCAAGAGGCGCACTTTTCAAGAAACTTGAAGGTGCAGATGTAACTTTTGTAGGCTAATGCAAAAAAAAAGTGAAGTGTAAAAAGAAGCCGGAGAAACTTTATGGGTGAGTTAAGAGACTGGGGAAGAGAGTAAAACCGCTAGCTACCCACAATTCCCCCGTGCCTTACGGCGTCGTTCTGCCGTCGCTTTCGTTAAAAAAGTAAAGAGGTTCTGAACAGTGAACAACTATTTATGTAAACTTACTCCTCGACCGGCACATTCTTTTCCATCAACCATTTTACATTTTTTTCTCTGGATTGACTGGCATCTATTCTCCTTACAAATCTACAAGGAATGAAAAAGTAGTGGTCAGATACTCGGACAGAAAGGTTAAAAGGTGACCGTTAGAGTATTATAACCGAGTTTTTTGTATACTCTTAGGTGGGATATTTATGTGGAAGGCAACTTCTTTTGAAGCCTTTGTGCAGAAGATTTTACAAGTGAGATTACATTCAGATATCGATCCAATGACCGATGATTGTAAGGTTGTATTTTTTTTTTGTTTTATTTTTTTGCTTTTCTTTGCATGACTTTTGTTATTCACACTTGCCTTGTTTGCTCCACATTTAGTTCCTTCTTTTACCATTCCCAGCCCGATAAAATCACTTTGATAATTCAGGGACGCAACGCTGTATTAACAAAAAGATGTAATCAGACTAAAAGATTAACCAGGAAATGATTTAAAGGAGCTTTATACCATACCATCTCATACCATACAACTCATTGATGAACGAATACTAGATTAAGATTAAGAGTTATAACAAACAAACAAAGATATTAAAAACGTAGAACTAACTGCTAAGGATGTGAATTGAAAAAAAATTACCGCGCCTTGAAAATGAAAAGCTTCAAAGCCGTTAGTCTCAGAAAGAAAAAAGCTGCAGCGTAGGGGGTTCCTTTTATATTTCTTTACGTCGCAAAGCCTCCCAATGTCCAACCCTACCTCTTCGTTCTTGGGGGCGGAAAACACCTTTGGCCAGCTAACAGAGCTCTGGCGCATTCGGGATAAAAGATTCGGTAACAACTAGGCGCAGATACCAACAATAAAGTCATGAAAATGGGTTGATAGCCGAAACGGAAACTATTAGAACAGTCTAGTTATTATCAAAGTATCTAGTTAATAAAGTAAAAAAAAAAAAAAAGGTTGAAACTTTCGACGATTGATTTATCTTACTTGGGTCAAATAAGCTACTCTTAATGGCCCAGCAGAACTTTTAATGTTGTAAACTTTTGAATTACCTGCATTGAGCCCCAGAAGGAAGAGGAATCCTTTTATAACCAGAGCCATAATCCACATCTGGTATTTGTCGAAAGCTGTCTGTACACTGAATTTGTCCACACATAACATCGCTAGATTGATCAAATCCAGAAATTTCTTAACGTTGTCATCGGAGGCATGATGTACTGGTCTCTATCATTAGCCACCCAAGCCTTCCCCAACTTTTCAAAAAAAAGGCCTGGATTAGATGTTTTGAGCGCAATCTTCATTTGAAGAAAGTAGCAATATAGTGCGTTTTGCTAAGTTGCATTTTGGCTGGCATTTTGCAAACATTTTTGCAGTACTTAATGTTGTGATTTCGTTATCCTATGCTATAGGCAAAAATAAATGCAAAGAAAGCTGAAAAGATAAGTATAGATACAAAGATCACTTTTCGTAAAATAGGTTTGTTACCTCTAGAATTATTTAAAGTTTTATATGGTGGCGCTTATGGGGTGCGCATATCTAGAGCTTTTATCAAAATAGCAGCGGACCATCAGCTTAATTTACATTTTTTTCTTGTCGATTGAACTAACCATCCCTCAAACATTTTTACATCTAGTATTTTCCATACTGGACCTTTTCGCACAGGGGCGGGGCCTTGTGGCGTCACATGTCCCGTACTGCGTTCTCCGTGAGTTGTATTTATCCCAGCATGCCTTTTCAGCTGAGCGGGCAGCTTACAGGTAAAACAAAAAACAAGTTAGTAGAGTTGCAGAGACAGATTATTAAAATAAATCTTACTCCTCAAGTTAGAAAGACTCAAGGAAAGCGGGCACACTTACTTCCGCCCCACAGATCAGAACATTGAGTATCCAGTGAGTCGGCACATTTTCCTAAATGACAGAAGGACTGAAAAGGGCATAAAAAGTCTTAATGATCAAAAAACATGAGCAATAGATCACAATTTGGGAGCAATGAGCAAGAAGACGTCACTAATGACAAAGATAGTCAAGTATATGTCCCCCACTGGTAGTGAAAGCATGGACGATAGAGCGACAGTGGATGCTGTTTAGCGAACGGAGAGCGAAACGGATGCACGAACATTGTTTTAATTGCTCGTCATGTCGAAAACAATCTCATGGGGAACAAGGGGGGTTGTAAGGTGGGGGGGGGGGTAAAGGACATTGTACTACCAAAAAGAAAGGGAGCCTGGGCATGACAGTGGATGCAAAGGACGGAGAGCGAAACTGGGCACAAACATTGTTGCGTACTTGGGACATTCTACAGGACAGCATGATGTATCAGAAACAATCCAATGAGCAATTTAGGAGGAGGGCGGTAAAAGATAAGGACATCTTCTCTACGCTCCTCCGCTCGCATGTCCATTTTACCGCTATAGCGACATTATCCCGTTAAATAATGTTTCTTACATCGGCTTCCTGCTCATCTCCACCTTCGCTATAAACTCTCCACATTTTTCCATCTTCACTGTACCAAAGATAAAACCCTTCAACAAGATCCCATTCATATCCTTGCATGGTGACTCTTGTAATCATCTGAACCTGGGTAAATATGAAAAAAAACAGTGGTTGAGTTCAGTACGTCACTAAAAAGAATTTTGACACTGTTATTGCCGTTTTCCTAATTATGTCAGAACTCTGAAACGAATATTGTAGGTAGTGTGGGCTAAGAAAGATAAGTTTTTTCTGCTGCAATGGAGGGAGGGGGGAGCAGAAAGTGTTGGAGGCTACCCACGTCAAGAGAGAGTCACAAAGAATCCTAAACGCAAAGTCTTAATTGTTCTCTTCAGTGTTTTTCAACTTCTTTCTTGAACAGCTTAATCACTTCTTTGCTATCGCCACTGCTGGGTTTAGTCTTTCAGCAGCTACTTTTTTTAAAAAAAACTTTAGAGTTCAATATAGCCCACACTTGTTTGTACCTCTAACCCTCAATCAAAACGTTATCAAAATTAAATCAATATGATGGTTACGATAACATGAAATCATACCGAGACATACCGATTGTCTGACTCTCCAGGCCCTATTTTACAGATCTACTGAACTGAAAGCAAACCAACTAAAGGAAAGACATACTTTCCCAAGGTCGATCTGTAGATACTCGTCTTTATCACTTTTGTCATTCGGTTTACCACACCAAGCCTTAGGTCCATTGAGACGAGCGTATTTAGGCAGCCACTCATCGCTGAGTGTAGATGAGGCAGTTATTTGTTTATCTGCAATGATACCAGTTGACATACCAAGGGAAAGGACACAATCTGGGGAATGAGAAAAAATAGCACCAGACAACTTTACCCATTACTACGCAAGTATCCAACACGATATTTCACTTCTTTGTTAAGGTGCATACCCAACGTCACATGACCTTGTACAGTCATAGTATTTGAGAGAAGTGCATAAAGTTATTAACAGATTTTAGAAATAAAATGTCTCTAAAATCAGATTAGTGCGCGAATAAAATCGAAACAAAAATTGTACAGTTGCCTCAGTCTCTGTCATTAAATTATCTTATGTTCTTGCACTACGCCTGTTTTTATGTGTTTACAAGAACAAGGGAGGCTGATTAGTTGCTTTACCAGCGTTTGCTGAACTCCGAAGTTGCAGCCCGCATGGCGAACTCACCTTGCTTCATGAACGTGACTTTGGTACGATCTTCGTCACACCCTTGCCACAAGCAAACCCCCACTTCCTCTCGAGGGTTACCACCATACAGATGAACACACATTCCAGTTGGTTTGTGTCTTAAGGAATGAGCTACGCGAGACAACAAAATCCAGTGGCATTAGTGACAGACAGTGCCAAAATAACTGCCACAAAACTTATGTGTATGGCAGCAGAACGTGACCTGAGAGAACACGATTTTGTTAGCTTGTCTATGTGGTTAATATGAGTATTAACTGATAGTCTGGTATAACTGGCTCTGTAAAGATAGTCCTTGAATCAACCAAAAATTTCGTATAGGGCTCGTTTAGCCAGAACGCTTGCAATATAGGTCTTTTTATGAGACCAAAATTATGAACACTCTAAGGATAATGAGGACAAACCAAGACTATTCCGTGAGGCATCTTCAGACAGACTTACCAGCAGTTCTTTCAAATTTAGAGTCCTGTGGCTGACATTTGCTGCTGATCATGAGCTCACAATTTTTATCACGAGCTGGCTTACGAGGGCACACCGGTCTGCCGCTGCAGTGATGTTTAAGGGTACCATCCGCCGATAGGGAGAACTGCATAAAAGGTTGATCGCAAGGTTTTCTTTGAGTAAGGACGAGAATAGTGCCATCCTGTGGCCGACAGTTTCCTTGCTGCGGCTTTATGCACATTCCGCTTGCTTGTAAGAGAGGCGTGGGCGCAGCGGGTTGAGCTTCAAACGAAAAAAAAAAGTTAATGAGAAAAAAATTCAGTTTTAGTTAAAGAACTAAAGAGAATTTTAACCTAGGACCTACATATTTTTAATCGAGCGCCCTCGACCATTTTGGCCTGGCCGCCTCAATGTTGAGATAACGTTAACCTTTTATTTACTCTTTAACGTCTCACTCCCAAGATCTCATCAGCAATTCTCCTTACTGTCTGCCATAACATTCTCACCACGTTAGTTTGGAGAGTTTGGTATTGGATCAACTAATAATCCCTTAATTGATATCTTTATTGATTCTCATCACTTGTCTGCTCGATATTGTATTGATATTGTAAGGAGAAATTCTGTCTTGGTCACTTATGAGAGTTAAAGGGTTAATCATACAGTAAGTCTATCTTGCCTTGTTCTCCTGAGCAGCCATAGAATTCTGTCTTAAGGCACATTCTTGAGTAGCTCCAGTACTGGGGATTTATTCTTAAGTACTGCGCCTCAATTGGTGGATTGAGCACAACATTTTTAGTTTGACCATAAGTCGTGGGTCCAACAAGAAGCTGAAAAGAAGTAAAAACAAAAAGGACCCTACGTTAGCGCCGTCAGAGTTGTTTCTTGACATTGAAGTTATACTTTTATGTCGCAAGACGGTTACAAGCTCAGAATATCTTTAGAGTTTCTTTTAAGAAGACACTTGCCTGTCCTATACTGCGGCATGGATATCCGTCATGAATAAACGAATCCTCCGGGCACTAAAGCGTATAGAAAAATAATTACTGAGTGTAACTATTGATAAGTCGAATCCCTAAACCAGTCTTGTCTTGAAAAAGTTGTCCCTTCAGTTTTCCGGATGCCCTCACTCCATGAACAATTTGTTCGCTATAAACATTCCGTTACATTGTCGGCTGGGAGAGGGTGATAAAATCGTTTTTGTGGGTTCTATGACATTAAAAAATTACCGAAAACCTGTCGTATGTTACACCAAAAAACGGTTTACTCTCGATTAACCGGATTAATAACCCACTTGGGATGTTGAGATAACTCGGGCTGGGGATTATCCTGATTTTTCCATTGCATACACGAGGAAAGAAAATTTGCCGTCAGCATATCATTAGGTTACCCTGACAATTTTTTTCCGATTATCAATTTATGAGTACTCCTGAGTAGCGACGCGCATTGCAAGAATTAGGTGTCTTGCGTCTGTAGCAGTATGTAAAGAGAAACTATTTCATTGCTCAATGAAGTTCCTATTTACAAAATGACTGGCATACTTAGTTCTGTCGAATATGCAATAACACTCTGTCTAGTTCATGCATGATCAGCTCAACTGTTGACTACTCACGTCTCCATTATCTCCCGGGCAATACTCTGGTACATCACAATCACCTTCACTCGGTCGACACAGGATTCCGTGTGGTTTAAACTGTCAGGTCGGAGAGATATTTGAAAATGAAACTTTTTCATATACAACTGAATAAACTACTTTTTGGGATAAAAATTTAATAGTTAGTCTTAATTTCTTGCTCGGACCTACAATTTTCATCTCATAACCATTTTGATCTTTTTGGTATTATTATTTCTTAGCTCTTTACAGTTTTCCTTTGCCACGAGAAGATCTTAAACGTTCTTTTTAACCCTTTACACCCCAACATCAGTGTTCATATTCTCCATACTGTTCTCTATACATTTCTTAAGGGCTGAAAAGGAGAATTTGTCCAACAATCTAGAGTTTCATTAGTTGGTGATCATTTCCTCTATTCTTATGACGTTAAGGTGTGATTCAGTGGTGATATTGTAAGGAGAAATTGGATGTTAGTCACTCTAAGGCGTTAATAGAGCTCGCCAGGCTATCAGTTGAGACTTTTTGTAATTCAAGGGTACTTAATTTTGACTGCTTCACATTTCAAACTGGATGCTTTCAACCGCTGTGGGACGACTGTATAAAAAGTTTAAAAAGTTTTGTCCATGTTCGGATAGCCTCGACAGTGATTTTAATGATAAAAACTCACCACACAATCTTGGCAGCAAGCGTGATTTAGTACACTGCACTGTGAGCCCGGTTTAAGTTTACAGTCTTTTGGTTGACAACACGGATCCAACTCCAGGCAATCCTGACGTAGAAATAAGAACAAATAAGCACAGATAAATAAATGAGCCGTCGAAAAGCAAGTCCACCAAACTTGTGTCTTCTGGCATTTTTAGTTTAACCAACTTGTGCGAGGTTAATTCCATCAAGGGAAACACACAGTCATGTACAGGACTAAATCTGTTGAGAGAAAAAGGGTTTTGGTTGTCGTGACAACCAGTATAAACGCAAAACTTCTTTCACCTCTTCGGTTCCACAATCACATTCCTCTCCTTGTTCCACAAGTCCATTTCCACATCTCGATCGTATTTCCTAAGAGAGGATGAACTTAGTTCTGTGTGTTCATTTTTCTCATTTCAAAATCAGCTGAATGGAATCGTCCTTTTAAGAGACCATGGGTAACGATAGGTTGAGAATTTTTCTCTATTTTTTTAATTGTTTTTTATTGTTGTTGTTGTTTTTTTTTTTTTTACTATTTCCCATGTAGTCACAGAATTTCAAAATAACTTTTAAGTCATTTTAAAATTGTCTGACTTGCAAGTGGCCTTTAGAAGTTTATCACTATACTAATACCATTTTTAAATCTACTTCCCGGCTGGAAAATATTCACTGAGGCATTTTATAGGTTATTTTCAAGAAAACGTTCAATAATACCTTTCGTGACCAAAATGCCTCAAAGAATTTTGAATTATGACCACAACCGACCCTCAACCGCATTGCGTGACTCCCCTTAAAATATCTGTATCTGACCAATTTTAGCTCAAGACTGTCACGAAATCCACTCGCTTCTAAACAGATTCTGTCGTAATTCAAACAAGAAAATATTGAATGATAACTTTAAAAGAAATCCAAAACAACTGCTGTGTCGGTTTTCTTACAAAATGTTCAACAAAGACTTAGTAGTGGGTTATTTTAATTCACAGATATAACAATTCTTATCACACGCTCAAGCAAACATTCCTTCAATCAATATCCGGAACCGTCGGGGTCCACTGTTATCAGAAATTTGTATACTCAGCCGCCGTTGTGAGTGGCCTTGGTTTTGACTGAACAACAGAAGGAACATTATGCTCGGCAGAATTTTGCAACTTTTTTCCAATGGGCCTTTACAAAACGAAGTTTCTTTGGGGAATATTTCACCGCGTTTAATCCTCAAGACGAAACAGAACTTATGTGAAAATAAACCTCTTTGGTGTCACGCTTCATGACCCAGACGGCGTTGCGAATATGATGTGTTACTCTGGTATAAACTCTTGTATTTTCAGTCATGTCGTATTCAACGACTGATAATGTTATCATAGTTTATTAACTGTTTTTTTGTTATGAGTGTCAAGTTCACCTTAAGTTTGCAACAACATTTCTCGGCGTGATTTCTAGTAACAAAAGGTATTCAGTTAATTACAACAGAGTTTAGATATGGGGGATTCCTTTCATTGTTAAAATCTATTGAATCCATTGTTTTTTTTATTTTGATTGGTTAGTTATGATTAAAAAGACAACATTATCGGTGGAAATCAAAATTTAATGTGCTTTACGCAAATTAGTTTTTTTTGGTTGATAATAAAAAATCCGAGGCAGCCGGTGTAGCGCCATTCTAGTCAAGCCCTTCGAGCGAGCAGCTTAACGAACCTGCTGTGAGAAATAACTCTGTAGTCATGTCGAAGATCAGTGAAGACGAAATGTGTGAGTTCAGAGATGCTTTCACTTTGTTCGATCGCGTTGGAGATGGCAAAATTGATCCCGATCAAATTGAAGATATGCTTCGCGCCATGGGATTAAATCCACTAGGATCCGATCTTAAACAAGTGCGGGACGACTATAAGGATAAGAGAGTGGAATTTGAGGATTGGCTTGGAGTCTACACCCAGTTCAAAAGCAAACCAGAGCCAGTCAGGGAGGATTTCATAGAAGGATTCAAATGCTATGATCGCGATGGTTCAGGCACTATTGATGGGGCTTCGCTGAGAGGGCTGCTATGCCTGCGCGGAGACAGCAGACTGACAGAGGATGAAGCAAACGAGTTACTCGCCCCGGTGGAAGATACACAGAAAGGGGTGATAAACTACGAAGAAATCATCAAACTGGTAATGTCCAGGCCAGAGAAGATAGAATGAAAGAAAAAATTGAATAGGACTTTGCCGTATTCATTTCTTCTCAAGAGTGCTTAAATTTTACAGACTTTGACGGACCTAGGAACTATGTCATTTAAAATAACGGTTAAAACGAATGTTTTGTTTGCATTTTTTTGCTCAAAAGAGTTTATAATTTTGGCTTTAAAGAAAGGTGGCAACCTTTAGACCGACAGTCTACGAAATATGGACATGTTTTCACGCTCTTAACATTATGTATTAGCATCTTCTGATTTTATTAACTCTGTTTTAAGTTCTTTACCGAGATAGTAATAGTTTGAATAAATATATATATATTTTAAGAGAAGTCACTTTCACTAATTACTTCACTTTAAAAATTTGTTGTTTTGCTCATGATGTAATTTCTGCAGTCTCGATTACAGCGAACAATGGTCGGCTTTCACTAACTGGGTGTGACTGACCAGCACTTTTTATCACATACATTGAATGTTTCCAAACTACAGCAAACTGTTTAGTTACCATCTGATTTGACTGAATCATGTACTATCTGTGATGTGCATTTATGGTTTCACTTTATTGAAATTACTTTTAAACATGACAGAGATTTCGTCAGAGCGACAGACTGTTTGCTTGCAGATGGCAAACGGTTACGCTGCCGTGATCAAATATTGCCCCCGGGTATTCAATTATCACAAGTTCTCATTTGTAAAAATGATGTCTCTATAATGACACTAAGCGACAGTGAGACTAAAGCATAACTACGGATAAAATGGCCTTTGAGGGTACCAAAGAGATAACTTTATGGAACACTGCTTTTCATACCCGCTAATGTTGCGAACGCATACAGTACAGTGAGACTTTAGCGAGAAGAATTAGGACATTCAAAGATCAGAATTTTTCGTGACAACCGGAACTTGAAAGCACGTTAACTTTACCCTCTCTGATAACGAATCTTTTATTAGTATACCTGTGGCAAAGGTTACGGGGGAGGGGAGGGAGGGCAGCGACTTGAACAGTGGTCGGAAATCGCTATTATCGAACCATTTTGGCAACTATTGGGTAACGCGATTGCTTGGTTTCAGTTCCATTCGTTTAAATGCTAACATTGAATGCTACCTCTAGGATTGATGAAAGTATATGAGAACTCCTGAAAGAGAGGCAGAAATGTTTTCAAATTTGTTTATATAACTATAAGCTCACCGCTTGTGGACGATCGTACAAACAGAAGTCGTTCAGCTTTGCGAGACTTTTCATACTGCAGTCTGAGAATCCTGCAACGCGAGTCCTGTCCAGCAAATTTTGCAAGAATAGCATACTGTTAGCTTAAGCACTAAGTGTTTACAATTTCTTTTAATTTCGCAGTTAAGTGTCGGTTTGAGGTCTGGGTAAAGTAAATGCTACCGCCCCGCATTTTTTTTCTATTTCCATTTTTATCTCGAGTTAAGATACCAATCTAACACAACTTTTATCGTTTACAAAGAACCGAAACAATTCTTTTTCCATGAAGAGAGAAAGAAGCATAACAAGAACTTACTTGTGTCCTCCCATGATACAACCTCTAGGGGTCAGACAAGTACATCCACCAATTTCTAACAGGCAAATAATTTCACACATAAACGTAGAGATGGTTAATTTGTGCAAAGCCATCAATGATAATTTTGGCCCACGTTTACCTGATAGATATTTCATATTCATTTCTTAAACCGCAGTTCACATATATGATTTTCATATATTTACAGTCAAAGACGTTTTATTTGTTAACGTGATCCAAATCTTTCTTGACCATTGTTATTTTCGTTCCTTACTCAGTTGCTTATTCAGCTATCTTACTGACCTTCATCGTGTTCCATACCAAAGTTATGTCCCATCTCATGGGCTGAGGCTATCCAAGGTCCCACGGAGATATAATGGTCCCACTACAAGAAGGAAATTAATCAATGAATTGACCACGCCCATGTGCACACTTAAGTGAAGAGACCCAGCTCTACTGTACGGAATGATGTCAAAATGAGAGTTAAACCAAACAATGTGCCCGATAAAGTTTATTACAAAAGTAAATTCGCCCTGACGAAGGGCTACTGCTCGAAATGTCAGCTTAATAAAATTTTTACCGTGGCCAACTTACATTATCAACTTAGTTAATGAAACCAAATTCTCATGGGATACCCCAACCCCCCCTCCCCTGCGGACGTAGCTGTACAGTTTCTTGAGAAAATTACCCCCTTCTTTCAAAATGAAAGACAGTTTATTACCGCAACTATTCCTGAAGACTCATCAGTGCACATGCCATATAGCGCGGCCATTCCTGCTGCGTCAGTCCAGCTGTTGTTGCTGCAACGAGAAACAGCGAACTTGATATGGCGTTTTAATCACATTTTGAGTTATTCAAGGTTAATTTCGGCAAAAGTATATTCATACATACATACATTCTAGTTTACAAACTATAGAGAATACAGCAGAAATTATACTCACCACATTAACTGTGCATTATCATGATCAGGGAAGGTTTTCTTCAGTGTGTTCTTTCGATATTTTGCGAATCTGTCATAGTACACCGAAGCTGTTTCATTTCTGTCTATTTTGTCTCCATTGTTCCAGAATTCCAGTGCAACCAACACCACTCTGATGTTTATTTTGCTATAAATCTGAAAAGAATTCCTCTCGTGATTAAGAGCGCTCATTATGATTATTATTTTTCTGTCAAAAAACGTAGATACATAGTGGGAAGAGGTAAAGATAAGGCTGTTACAAACTTTGACTAATGACAACATTTTCTTATTGGTGAGTTCTGACTAAGATTTACACCAGCTTGTTCCAGAGTTTCAGTCAATAAAACGGGGCGAAACAGTGAATGGCACGATGGTGGCGTCGGAGCAAAAAAGTGGAAGGGAAGGGGAGGGGAGGGTTACGTAGTTCATTTACTTACTTTGTCCACAGCATTTACTAAAGTTATCATACGGTTGGTTACTTCTTCCTCTTCGTTTCCAAAATAATTGTACTGTTAAAAAAACAAAATCATTATGTTGAGCTTTTATCTCTCGACTGCGGCAGTGGCACAGAAGTGTTCCAGGAGATATGAAACATGCAAAGACAACATTTTCATATCTCACCAAATTTTTGTCCACGGCTATCATAAGCTCTGTGTATCTGGTCTCCGCCGTAGTGAAATAAGGACGATAGAATTCGTCAATTCCACGACGAACCTGATCATTTAAAAATTGTACAAAAACACAAAACATAACATAGCTTGTGTGTTGATTAAATTTTAATTTTTGATACCATTTTGATCATCAATCAAAATCCAGTATAGCTCATGTTTATACATCAAATAACTTCGATTACCCTTTGAGTTGATCGGTTACCACTATGATCATAATCCCATGATTTTTTCCCGATGGCTTTTAAGTTCTTCGGGTGAGATGTGCCTACGATGGAAAAATCGCATAGTGTGGTGTAAAGTTAGGCTATATGGTTTTTTTTAAATGTATTCTTACAGTTCACCTTTCGTTGTTGATAATGTCACTGTCGGCGAGAATCTCTTCGACTACCTGTCCTACTTAACTTTATCAACGTCGTCTAACTTGGGGCCATTCCTTCCAATTGCCAGAAGTGTTCACCACATTTATCGCTGATCGACTATCTGTTAGAATAGTTCAAAGTTCTTTATCCGTGGTTGATGAAATCAGTTAGTTCTTACTTACTGCAATAAACTTTGTCCTCCTTACCGCGGGGCTTTGTTTGGTAAATCTTGTGTGCTCTGTCTGACTAATGATGAAAAAATGAGAGACGTGCACGTTGAAAACAAACACAAGAAAATGAGACGACTATAGAGAGCGTGAGCTCATGGTAATGGTTACAGTTTTTAAAAGGTCTCTCGGGCAACACCAATGTTACATCACAAGATAAATTTCTTCTTCTGTTTATTTCTGGAACTTCAGCTTTGTATTTAAGGGCTATAAACGTTAGCCCAAAAATGATAAATTTGAATCGTAGCCTCTTCGTTCCTCTTCTCAAAAAGACTCAGTTCATCCAGTCGCAGTTTGAAACACCTCCATACTATCACATCACCATTTAAGACGTAAGAAAGATTTTTCATGACGGGGCTCGTTCGCTACCGTGTAATTAGAATTTGTGAGGCCTTCCAAGCTGTTTTTTTGTTATAGATTGTCCCTTCTTCTTGACAAAGAGGAGATTGACATGTATTCTTAGATTCTCCTCCCTTAGATACGCCCTTAAACATGTCTTATTTCTGCATACCGCCTTATGTTTACATGACTGCATGGCATACCTCGGACGTTGCGGGTTCCACGTATAGTCTTTGCTTTCCATCGTCAATATAACCCCTGCCGTTGAACAGAGAGAACTTTTCTATCCCACAATGAATCTTCTGATAATCTCAAATACTGTGATGGAATGGGCCTAAAATTAAACTTTGCAAAGGACCTTGAAACAATTTCAAGCCGGTAAAAATTACCTTAATCCAGTACAAGTGCTGATTACGGCGATGGATTCTTCGTTGCCTCGGATTTTCCCATGGTAATGGCAGTTTTCCGGCCTTAACTATAAGATATGAATAAGCGACCAACATGAAATCAATTCCGGTGGGTACAAAAGTATCCCCGGGTCTCCCGGGCGTCTTTCTCATAAGAAGAGTAACGTAATCTTTCTCCTCCAATCATCTCTCTTCATGATCTCCCAGGGATGGGGGAAGTGGCAGGGGGAAGTGGCAGGGGAAAGCAGGAGGAGAGGGAAGAGGGGAGGGGAGCAAGGAAGAGGGACAGAAAATGCCATTAGGCAAAGCTATGTATTCAGTCTCAACACAGTTTATACAGGGTTCTTTTTTCGGAGTAAACTCATGGTAGGACATCTTGACATTTTCTAATGGTACTTGTGTTAAGCTTCCCTACCGTTTTCATCACGGGTGTACCGTCCTTCTCAAAGGATCTAATCATAAACGAACGAGGTACAAGTTCCCTGTAAAGAAACATATCAGAAAATCAGCCTCACTTAAGTGTTTTTATTATGGCCATTATGGCCCTCGCTTTAATGTCTTTAGTTTGGCCATTTGTCGACACTTGACACAAGTTAATTTGCGGTAAGAGAACATGAGACAAGTTTAGGAATGAGCCCTTTTTTGCCCAGAATGCGGGAAAACAGGGTAGACCTAGTCGTGATTGGTTTTAGTTTTGCATCTGATTGGTTGAGAGGGTAGTGCGAGTTTTCTGGACCAATCACAGAGCGAAATAAAGCCAAATCAAAGCAACCCCGGATATAATAAATTTCTCAGCATCTAATTGCTGTTATTACGAATCATAGTGGAGAGATTACAGCTACAACCCCGAGACGAATGTATCATTGATCATTTAACTCACTTGTTTTGATGCAGATCAACAATGTGCTCACCACTGTGTGATGGGATGACGAAGCTCACCTCACTCATGTGATCTTCCTGTGCAAGTCATAAAAATCATTAGTAAAACTGTGTTGTCTTGGATACCCACGAATCGTTACTAATCGAATCAGAGCCTAATTTGTCATATTGTGGTGGTCCTGAATGGGACACAGATCTTGGGATGTTTTTTGAAGTTCATTCATACTTGTTTCTTGTGAGAGTTAAAGGTGTAAGCGCTTAACAAGCGTGCAAGGACCTGCACCCATAACCCAGGCGTCATTCACCATTCGCTTTTCTTGGGAGCAAGACACAAATTGTTCGTTAACATACTCACGTTCTCTTTAGTAGATACGCATTCTCTGGTATCACCATTTCTCAAAAGTCTTTTGGGATATACCAGTTTTGTACTGCTAGGGTCCATTTCCTCTCCGGGAATCTTGAACCTCTCGCCTTCAGACTCTATCAGTTAAATGTATTCACACTTTTACTCCTGAGATCTCGATCTTAATTCTCCTCACTTCCAGCTATACATTTCTTATCATGTTGCCTATGAGAATTTAGTGTCAAATCAGAAAATGCAACATCCCGTGGTTGATATTTCCTTCATTCTTAACACCTGTTTGCAAGAAAATGTTCGAAGAGATGTTGTTGATCATATCTGGGACTTAAAGGCGATCGCGTTCACCAAGAAAAAGAACACCTGATCGCAATTTGAGTAAGGCCGTGGCTCTAGGTATTACCGGGTAACCTGCTAAAAAAAACCTGGTTTCGAAATTAAGCTTCATTTTTTGCTGGGAAAGTAGTTATTACTTGTTTAGAAACTGAAAACGAAATAAAAAAAATGCAATCAATTTGGAACCGAGGATATACTGTACTAAAAAAGATATATTCAAATAGCTACCAATCACTGTTGAGCGTACCTGTGATGATGCAAATAATCAGCAGAAGAATTCCACAAATGCACGCCGCGGCGTTCAACCAAGTCATGTTTCTTTCCTACCCTAAGCAGGGGAGAAATAAACGTCCAGAAAATTGTTATAATGGGAAAGTGAGGAAAGTGTTTTCATTCCGTTAAATTTCGAGGGATTCCAGAGTTGATCGATGTTGTTCATTTTATAATAGTCACTATGGCCGTTGCAATTTATTATTTCCCTGATTACATGGAATAACTGAACTGCAGCTGCAGGCGGAATTGGTTTCAACAGACGCAATTTAACTCTTTACACTCTAACTAAGTATACATGTTCTTCAAACTGCTCTCTCTACAGTTCTTAAGATGCTGACAAAGAATTTGTTAGGCAATCAAGAACTTCTTTATCACTTTTGGTGATTCGTTTCCTTTAATCTCGTGAACTCAATGTGTGATTCGTGGGTGATATTTTAAGGAGTAATTAGATGTTAAGAAGAGTTTTAACAATAGCTTGATGTTTTAGGTCACTCAGGAGTCACTCCTAATTCCGTGGAAAAAAATCTTATTTGTACCCAACTCTTTCCGATGTCTTCCCGATATTTTATTTGGTAAAATTTGACATTTGTTTGGTGATTTTGAATTTGTTCCCGCAGAGTCTTGTAGGTCGGACTCATCATTTTTCGTAACTCGGTTTATTTTGGTCTTTAGTTTAAAAAGTGTTTGAAAGGAAGTTGACAGCTTATCAAGTGTTCGATGTTGCCTTCACTGGAAAACGATCTCGTTTATTACCTCAGCAAGGAGAGTAACAATCAATATCACTTACCAGAGGCGTGGATGTTTGCTATCTGGTGATCCCAGTCTTTTCAACAACGAGTTTTATAAGTCAGCAGCCTGTAAACGTTTCGTCAACTTATAGTTCTCCAAATTACGTTCTGTGCCACGAGTAGTGTAAAAATTAAGTTAAATGATGAACAAATACGCAATCGAACCAATCATTTATATCCAACAATTAAATTAAATGGATTATAATAACCTATTAAACAACCAACTTGATTGGTCGACAACCGTGTCATTAGAAAGCAGGTTAGGGTATGTTGCATTCTCTTTAATTAGTTCCGAAGTCGTAAAAATGCTAAATATCTTGACAATACTTTAAACTGAAATTTGTAAAATACTTAATTTGTGCGTATGGTGACAATTTGGTGTCCAGAAGCGACCAGATAACAATTAGAATTACAGCGTACACTACCTTTGTACACAACACGCTTGGTTTAACTCAATTATGTCGCCGTCAAATGTGTTAGTGGCAATATTGTGAATAGAACAGGTCGCATATTGCTCGGCTGTTTTGAACAATATGCTCCCTGTTTCCAAATATTAAAGAGTTAATTATTTTTGAAAGTAACATGTACTTTATGATCGCAATGTGCCAATTGTACTATACAAGTTCTTTTAATTCACAATTTTTTTCCTATTTCCCATCTTTTACTCGAGTCAAGATAACAATCTTTACTAACAGAGTTTCCTATCTTCAACTCGTATCGTTTATAAAGAAGTGCAAATAATTACCTCCATCCAAAAATAACCAAAACCCTTCTGCTAAAAAATAAAGTATATTTCAATCAACAAATAAATCTCATCATCGATTATCATAACTATGCGCTCCTAAGGACTGAGAATCCTGTTTGTTCCAGATATTCAATAACTTCTTTTGACTGTTAACACTCAAGTTTTATCCTTGAATACATATGGAATTTTTTCCACATCTGTGAGCTCTGAATTTTTTTGTAACATTTAAGGGCTAAGGTGAGGTACCTCCTGCTCAGCCAGTCAAGCGATATCAATAACTAAACTGGATGTGCCGGCAAAAACACTATGGTGGTATGTGGATATATTTTATCCTAAGCATACCCCTCAATCAGCCTTATTTGCTCGTACATCCCCGTTGTTTGCAAGATCCTTACTGTTAAGACATTCCAGAAAATCGCTGTATGGTCTCTACAAGTTCTTCCAGTTTCTTTATCCTGACAACTATTATGTCAGTTTTCTTTATCATAAGTCGTACAGCAGTCTTAAGGTAAATGGATGCGCGCGCGTTTGTTCGAGTTTATGACGTAGAACAGATGTTTCCAGGAAACTTGCTGTACGTGTTCGCTCCCCGCGCAAAGCTACATGAGAAAATCTGTTTAACAGAAACGTTGCTGAGTCTTACAAACTCAAGGAACATGGCGACCAGAAAGATTCTACGCAAGGACGAGCAACTTTTAAACAAACTTAACTCAATTCTAGTTATGTACAAGAATTTCCAACATAGTGCCGATGAACGAGATAAACTTATCATCATAGAGGCATTGGTTGATCTGCGCGAGATCCTGACAAGAACATACATCTCAAAACCTTTAAAAGCAAATGACGTGTCAGAGATTGAGCTGATTTTAAAAGATCTGAACAGTCACGTGAAAGCAATGGCGCTGGACGAATTGTTTGATGAAATAAATGACATAAAAGGCAGATTGGATCTAGTAGAGAAACGGTTCGAACTAGAAGATACTAGAAGACATCCAAAGATGTATTTTCGCGATGAGGGTGAGTTGTAGCCTCATCATTGTTATCATAAAATGCTTTACATATTCAATGTTAAGTCACTTCTACTATCACTGGCTTCCTTATTATTTTGTCATCGAGATTCTGAGTTACTCCGAGGCACAAGCTACCACTCATATTTCACAGCATGGTAATAAAATACAGAGTGACGGACTGGTTGAATGAACGTCCGTCAAAACGACCGACAAACCTTTTGAGTAACTGACTGAACAAAGGATTGACTGAATGACTGATTGAAGGACTGATTAAACACTCGACCCACCGATCCACCGATCCACAGACTGACGGTTGATGGACTGCGCGAGTGACTAACCGACAGACCAACTATCTGTCTGACTGTATGACTAACTAATTGACTGACCGACTGTCTGACCGACTTATTGACTCACTGACTGACCGATTGTGTCCGACTGTCTGACTGACTGATAGACTGACTGTCTGTCTGTCTGACTGAGTTATTGACTAACTGTCTGTCTGTCTGACTGAGTTATTGACTAACTGATTGATTGACTGACTCATTGACTGACTCATTGACTGATTGACTGATTATTTCTCTGACTGACTTATTGACTGACTGACCGACAATGTGTCCGACTGTCTGACTAACTAATGAGTGACCATCTATCTGTCTGTCTGTCAGTCTGTGTGACTGATTTATTGACTGACTGACCGACTGCCTGATTTACTTATCGACTGCACCAGCTTGTTTATGAAAAATTAAATGGTATGCGTATTGTTAACTCTTTTTATACGCTATTTACTGAACGTTGCAATTCAAACGTACTCAATGTAACAATTAAAAAAATGTGCTCAAGCATGTGGCTAGATTTCTTTTTTGTCCTTTCATTTCGTATACACAGATGAAGATGAAATATGGAGCAGAGTTAGTGCTATGAGGAAAGAAAAACTTGGCCAATCAAGTTTAGTGTTAAGATCTAAACTCCCACCACACATGCGCAAAGTGAGGTTTAATTTACCAGGCTCACATGTTCGTGAGGAAGCTGGGTCAGATAAGGAGAGTGCCGCAGAAGAAAACAGGCCAGAAGCGTCTGATTGGATACCAAGACACGTCCAATCAACTAAGCGATTGCCTCACAATAGAATTAACCATGTCCATGGGCTTACAAGCCAAAGGAGAACACGATTTCGACCGGCAAAGAGACGTGACATGTCGGCAAATTACACAGCTTCTCTGGAAAACGAGAAGGAAATGCAAAGTGCTCGTAGCACGGCTGTGCACCATGAAAATATTGCTACAACCACAACCGTTGCTAAATGCTATGACGGCGACAACAAACAGAAAAAGTCCAACAATGAGACACCCCTCCGTTGCGGAGATTGCCAGAGGATTTTAAAAGAAAGAGACAAGTTTTGGGGTTTGGAGTCTGATTCAGAAGAGGAAGAAATCAAAGATTTTAATGAGCATGTACGACGTCGTAGTCTGAGACTAGATTCAAGATCTTTTAAGAACGTAAAAGAAAAAGCAGCAGATAGCGGTAGGTCTTACGCGGGAAAAAGAATCGCTGGGCGTGGTACCTGGGCCACCCCAGCTTATGTGCCTCCTTGGGATTTAAGGAGAGCTTCCAGCACAAGGAACTCTTCGATGATAGAGAAAGGATGGTTTGGTTACAGGAAAGGTATTTAGATTATCATAGCTCTTTGACTGTTTTCTTAGCGTCAATGAAACAGGCTGAAAAATGAAATCGAATTCGGAGCGAATTTTAGCTACGCCCTTGTTCGTCAAGAACTCGCTGATTTCAGTTTTCCTTTCTTTGTGTCATCTCTTTAATTGGGTGAGAAATAATCTATGTTATCATATGGCTTGTGCGACCCCGCGTTTGCAATCTCACAGAAAACCATAATGGAAACTGACGTTTGTAGGGCTGGACGGGTTGACGTGAACTGATCAGGAAAAAGCCGTCTGGCCAAGCACTCACTCGCCTTTGTCGCAAAAACTTGAGGGAAAAAAAGAAAAGAGAAAAAAAGTCGCGTTTTTCGACGAATTGTGTGTTTTATTTTTCTGACTCGAAAAGACATAGGAAAGGGTTTTTTATTATCGAATCTTTTTCGTGGTTGTCCCGCAAGCGCCCGTCTATCGCATACTACCTAAGCTAAAACAAAATTTCTAAATTTTCAACATTAGTGGTCAAGTGACAAAATGCTCATTTACTGTTCGGGCCAGGCGTGTGTAGGGCCGGATTGGTTGACGTGAGCCGCTCCGGAAAAAGTCGTCCGGCCCTGCACTCATAAGGCTTTGCCGCAAAAATTTAAAGGAAAAAAACAAAAGAGTAAACAAAAGGTCTGTCATGGCGCACGGACCTCGCTGTCCTCGGTCCGTACGCCAAGAGACGTCAAGCCAAGTATTTTCCCGTCTGGCCCTCCCATTCAGTCAAAAAGTACATATTATGTCGAGCCGATCAAATAGTGTAACTCACTCTTGTTGATGTTGGTCCAGAAAATCTTGTCATCTTACCTAGCTCCTTGATCCCTCAACCACTCACCTTCCCCCCACATTAAACTCGCGCTTGTTTCATACTGTCTTGTGGAAGACACAGACTCAATTACGGACTAAAAGAAGCCGTGAGAAATACTAACCCTGCTAACAATAGGAATAAAGGTTCTCTGTATCTTAGACTGCGAAAAGAGTAGTCGTTCACAGACCTAAGATCATCGTCAAGTACGGAAGCGAACGTAAGGGGTTTGAAAGAGATGAGGAGAGAAGGGACGGGTGGGAGACGTCCATTGAAGTCCACAGACTTTCCACGTGCTTTTCTTCCGCTTCATTACTGCTCTTAAAGCCGGCAACACACCTGGTGATTATCGTCGATCACCGCGATCGGCAATTAAAATCGCCAGGTGTGTCGCCGGCTTTACGAGCTTACTTCACAACAACATTTATATGCAGATTATGAAACAATCGTAGCTTTTATCTAATATATCAGTGTTGCAATATGAAACTAGAAATATAAAATCTGCAATATTTAAGACTGGATTTTTTTATGTTCTTCACAGGAATTGTAAAGAAGTTATTTTCTCGCCTGAAAGGTCGCCATCATTGATCTCAGGAGTCTGCACGTAGTTCAGTTCGAATCTTCGTCTTAATTCTGTTTAACTCTCCTTGATACAGTTAGCTTTATTGTTCAGTTCCAGCTTGAAAGCACTTTGCATAATAATTTATCCTTAACTGAAATGTCATTTGTTTTTCCCTTGATGGTAAACGTTTGTGTTCTTATTTTAAAAGCGATGACGCATAACTCCTTCGATGAATGTTGCATACTTGCTGCACACTGTTCGCGCCCTCTTCACTACACGGATGTGTGCGCACACGAAAGACGATATAATGATTTAAAACATCATTAAATGAAGGCCTGTCTTAAGGCAATGAGTTATGCGCGTGCGCTTAATAACAAATAAAAGGCAACAGCTCATGCGCTAATATGTGTGCACGTGCGGTCAGTAACAGCTATTACGCAAAAGCTCGTGCACCAGTAAGTGTACGCGAGTGATCAGTAACAGATATAACAGAGCAGCTGACGCATTAGTAAGTGTGCGCGTGTGATCAGTACCAGATATAACGCAACAGCTCACGCGCTAGTAAGTGTACCCTTGAAACATGAGAACGCGGGGTCTTTGTCTTCTTTTTGTGTGCGCCGACAAACGCACGCAAAGACCTTACCTTCCTTTGAGTATTTCGCTAAAACACGCCTGTTTTACGTCGCCGTCGTTCTATGAATTTATACTGTATTCACATTGACTAGTTCGCTGGATCTTCGTCAAATACTGCATCCCGAGATCAAAGTTTCACACGTGACGCTAGCCGCCTCTGATCCCGATATATGTCAGTTCGCAGATTCTGGCCATTTTATTGTTTGCCTTTTCTGACGCCGAGTTCGGTGGATCAATCACCTCTTCAGCGTCTGTGGGGTTTACTGGTCCCAACTTTTGTGAGATTTGGTGGCTCCTAGGGAACACTGTAGATAAAAAAAGCGTGCTTTGGCTGGGTGAAGGTCAATGATTGTTATGCATGCTGCTTTCAAAACATATGAACTACAGATTTTTAGCTTTGCTTTGGATAAAACTTGCTTTTGTGGAGTTCTATTTTTAGAAATATGAAGGCAAATCGGCACAACTATAAACGCCGCCATTTTCTTTAAGCTGTCTTCACGGTGGTCCGTATTATTTCCATATATATTTTCCAGCACATCGAAGTTCACCATTCGTGTCTTCAATTCGAGGAAGGAAGAGTTAAATTTTCATGATGTCTGGAGCAGCAAAGTCCCCCGCTAAAAAGAAGCCAGTTGTGCCTAAGAAGCCAGTCGAACATCCATCTTATTTTGAGATGACCAAGGCTGCCATCCAAGCGCTGAAAGAGAGAAACGGTTCCTCCCGCCAAGCCATTGAGAAGTATATCAAAGCCAACTACAAGGTTGGCGAGGTCAGCTCACACTTGAAGATGGCTTTGAAGAGGGGCGCTGCAAGTGGAAAACTCCTCCAAACTAAGGGAGTTGGTGCTTCGGGATCCTTCAAGCTGCCTAAGGAAGAAAAGAAGAACAAGAAACCGATAAAGAAGCCAGCTGCAAAGAGGGAGCCTGTTGCCAAACCAAAGAAATCCTCCGCCAAGAAGTCAGCAAAGAAACCAGCGGTTAAGAAGCCAGAAGCGAAAAAAACTTCAGCTAAGAAGCCAGTGACAAAGAAACTCGCGGACAAAAAGCCGACAGCAAAGAAACCCGCAGTCAAGAAGCCCGCTAAGAAAAATCCCACTAAAAAGCCCACCAAGAAATCGGCAGCCAAGAAAGCCTAAGGAGTGTTGGCTGCTTATCATTAACAAAACGGTTCCTTTAGGAGCCACCAAATGAATAAAAGAAATAACCAACTGTTCAATTTTCGAAAGTAAGTTTAACTGCCCTTCTTGCCTGTATCTTCTGTTTACCTTTCGAGAGCCATTCCTTTATAAAGGTGCTGGTTTTGCTTTGCCAACATCAATACATTATATGCCTCGGCAGATGCCTGACGAAGACTAGACTAGCAGTTGCAGACTAGCACCATAGTAGTTGAAACTTCGCAATCAAAACAATTGATAGACTTACCCTTTATCATAAGACAAACGGTTCAACGTTAATTTCTACAAAAACCACGATGAACAACATTTTCTATGACATTTTACGCCTAGTCATGAATCAATGGCTGTAAGAGAAATTGCGCCAAAAATCGATTGTTACTAACGTACCTAGAGCTAACATTTCTAGAAAGTGCTCTCAATGCTTGTCACGGGAGTGAGGCAGTCTTTTACCTCTGTCACTAGTTAGGAAAGAAGGTTTGCTGTCCTGTCAATGGGCACTTCTTTGCTTTGGCCTCTGAGAGATTCAGAAGCGCAACTAAGAAGCGTGACTACCATAAGAAGCGCAACTTCTTATGGTAGTCATTGAATCGTGACTGGGTCAAAAATGTTCATGAGAGGACAGAAAGAACCCCCCCCCCCCAAAGACAAAGGACTTCTGTCGCTGGCTTGTGTAAAGGCGAGCATTTAGCGAAGGAAATGGTGAACATGCTACCTCTACTCAAAATATATATAACAAAAATTGTTCAGTGAATAGGAATCGAAAATAGACAGATGCTCAAGGTATTATCTTCATACTAAACGGGTTTAGCCCCCCCGAGCACCTCTTTGTCTTTAGCCTAAGTTATTATCTGGTCTAAGACGTAAGGAGTTTTACAAGATTGCCCTTGACTGCATAGGAAACAGCTAGTAGTATCGTCTAAAACTCTTGTTTGATCGCAATGTTCCAACTCTCAAAATCCTATCGAATTAAATAAAGAAGCAAATGAGGAAGTAGCTTATTCTCCTGGTGAAAACACCAATTCAGTCGATAAAATAACCTCTCCGACACCTGTCTTGTAGACATCCGGTGTCATAGACGATGATAACGATGAAGAACTTCTAACGTTTGACCTCTTCTCCTCTTTAGGCATTGAAACTGTGTAGTGGGCACTAATTGCGGCGACCAAAGAGAATAGGACGAGTACATACTGAGGAAATGAAATTATGCTTGCCGTAAGTTTTAAGGAAGCTCTAGGAAGGATCGCACAAGCATTAGACATTAAAACATGAGGCGATGACACAGTTCAGTGTCACTTCTCTCGACGATTCTAAGGATTTCGCACGGCTTAGACACTTGTCGTCTTTAGCTATTCTTGTGAGGGCTGAAACCCTTTAGTGCATAACTCGATATTTTCTTAACCGATGTGTTACATGCAAAGTTACATTGTGCGTTAATGCGTGACATTTCTGAGAGTGAATAATTCGTTTACAGATGCTTAAAAAAGAATATATATATTCAATAATTATTTTTCCTTGGTTCCTTAATTTTATTATTGACGAGGTTTGTGGCTTAAAGCGAAATTCAAGTTCAGGTTTTGGGATGTCCTTCTTAAAAGAACGAAGAAGACTAGCCGCTGAAAATGAATGCTGATTTTTTTTTAGCAAAGCATGTTCTGTACAAGATGCGTACTATCAAATGCAATCTGTTTCCTTTCTGGAGTCATTGTGCACTTTGGTGCACAATTGACTAGCATCAGTGTAGCAAATACATGGTCGCTATCTCGAAAATATGTCCATAAAAATGCTCTCCAGTTTCCAAATAGCGAAATAGTTTTGTCACGGATACCCCGTCATGCAACGTTTTAAATATTTGTGAGCTGAACAATAAAGAATTAGCGTTTTCCCGTTACGTGACTTTTCCCCATTGGTGACATCTGTTTTTTAAGCTCGTATTTGCATAATCTAAGATGGAGTTACCGGAGTTCATTACGTTTGGAAATGTTTTCCTGGCTATAGTTTTCATCCTGATTCTTAACCAAATGATTGAACTCTATCAGTTAAGGAACATGCCGCCGGGACCTCGTTTGACATCTTTGCCTTTTATCGGTAATATGTTAAGCTTTGATTCTGGAGAAAGCTTTGGCGAAGTCACAAGGAGGTTTGTTCACTCTGCTATTCATAATGTTTCTAGTTTTGAACACGGCTAAGTCGACCGCGCAGTCTTCCTTTTCGTGCTATTATCTGTATACAGCATTTGAATTTATCAAGTGGTAGCGAATGCTCATCTATTTAGTAGTTTTACACAAGCCGCTAGCGCCGGGAAAGTAGACAAATAATATTGCAATGTTGGAGCCTCCATCATGATATTTTGAGCGGCGTGACGCTAAGAAAGTAGAAATGTTAATGAGGTTGAACGCCAGGGCTACCCAAGGAGAGCATTTTATCTATGAATGATAAATGAACGATAAAGAGGATACTGCAAAGATAAGAATGGTTAAAATTTTCATAACGTTAGCAAAAGTGGTGGCTGTTTGATTACCTCGTTTTTTTTTTTTTTTTTTAAGAAGACTTTAAGTTTCACAATTTTCTCACGAAATATGATTAAAATTACTAGGCGAGTGATAAGTTCACAATTAGCCACCATTTTTGGATTAGTAATGGTGTAGAAAGGAGTTTAAAAACATATGACTTGTCCAGTGGTTATAGATCCCCCTTCAAATAACAATATTGTACTCAGAGGTTACTTCGCCTCTATCAACTATCACGGGAAAAAAAATTATTCTCGCGCTCAAAGCCCAATTGTTAAATAGAACAATTAAAAGGAAAAAAACAAATGAAAGCAACGAAAAATAATCAAACTATAACAAAATAAAACTTTATATTGTTTTACAGTATCTACGCGATTTGCCTTACGGTTGAATGTTACCTTCTGAGGGAACAGGTTAATGCAAACTAATGAGGTACTTTGCTTTCTCTTCTCTATTACAAAGCTTGAGGAAGAAATATGGAAAGTTGTACTCATTGAAAATCGGAAGTTTTAAGACCATATTTGCTGAAGACGCCGCTTCAGTTAAGGAAGTGCTCGTGAATAAATCTGCCGATTATGCCGGGAGACCTCCATTTCATAGCTTTCAGATGACTACTCTTGGTATGTGCTGAAAACATTTTTTATCTACGAAATAGTTTATAGCGGTTCTTAAGCCTAGCTCCGCGGAATATAGTCACATTTGAGAGAACTACAAAATATCAAATAAATGGTTTGGAAGAACTTTCCGCCAATATCTGCAAGGAAATTTTCAACTTTGAACCGAAAATTCACATTGGCTTTTCACCCACATGGCCGTCATGCTCACTAAAAATTTGAAGCATTATCGAATTTTTCCGTAAAAAAGTTTGCACCAGCTCAAAGCATGGTTAGTTATCTAATTGCTTATAATCTAGTAAGGTTTGACTCTAATCGGTGTCGCGATTACACGCGTAATTAGTTATTTTCTTTGACTTTTTATTTTTTTCCATGCACTTTTTCTTTTTAATGTGAGATGCAGAGGTTTGCCTTCAGGCGAAATTGCTATTTTTAATACTTGATCAAGGATAAATGCCAACTTGCTTTGTAGGTGGGAAGGATATTGCACTCGGAAATTACGGTCCTGCCTGGAAGTTTCATCGCAAGCTCTTCATGACAGCCGTGCGAAGGTACATCTCGGATCAGCAGCTGATTGAGCGCAGAATGTCTGAGCAAGCAACGAGGTTGCTACGATACTTTGAAGATCAAGAAGGAGCTGCTTTTGACCCCTCACAAATTGTGACGGAGAGCGTTGCAAATGTGATTTGTCGAATAGCATTTGGAGAGCACTTTGATTCGTCTCATACGGATTTTCAGGAACTGCTGCAATTAAATATAAGTGTCTTCACTGATGATGAAATGAATATTCAGGTCTTTGCATTAGATCAATTCCCTGTAGCCAAATTCTTTCCATTCAAAGCCTACCGGAAAATGCAGAAGATTTTCGATCGAATCTTTGAAATTCTGCGTAGTCAGCTCAGGGAGCAGGAAACAGCATTCGATCCAAAAGCAGCGGTTGAGAGCCTCACTGGTAGTCTCTTAAAGGAGAGGATTGCTGCCGAGAATGAGGTAGGTGCCGAAGAGAAAGCATCCCTCTTGTCAGATGACTACATAATTAACGCTTTGGAGGATATGTTCAGCGCTGGTTACGAGACCACGAGCACAACCCTTCGTTGGGCCATTGCATACCTTGTCCACCATCCTGAGTGCCAAAGGGAGATACAACGTCAGCTCGATGAGGTGGTTGGAAAGGACCGGATGCCAGGCCTGGATGATCGTCCAAATCTTCCACAGGTACAGGCCACTATCATGGAATCACTGCGCCTCGGGAATGTCGTCGAAGCTGCACTTCCTCACTACACTTTGAAGGACACCACACTTGCTGGTTACCGTGTTCCAAAGGATACTGTAGTTGTTGCCAACTTAATGGCTGTTCACATGGATCCAAGCTGTTGGGAGAATCCAGCTGCATTCAACCCTCGCCGCCATATTGATGCTGATGGCCAACTTATTACCAACTCTGGAAACTTTTTGCCCTTTTCCGCTGGACGCCGAGTCTGTGCTGGCGAGGCACTTGCCAAGGTATCATTCATCATTTGCTCTGAATCAGGCATTTTCTTCTAAAACTGACGGGCTGAAGTGTTAAGAGGTGTTACCATTTGACTGATACAATAATAATAATAGTAATAGTAATAATTTTTTACAATGAATTTTTTTTTTAATTTGAAAATATGTAAGTGATTTACAGAAAAAATTTGAAGTAAGAATCTCTATAAAACATTAAGAATCATGTAAATCATAAAAAAATACAATCATGTATTGCTCAGATGCGATCAGTAACTCTTGCAAGGAGTCCGGTGTTTTGATTTAAATCATGACAAAAGAAAATTATTCGTCTCTGGTATGAAAAGAAACAAGTTTAAAAAAAATCTCGAATTCCTAAAATCAAAGATTAATTCAGGCAAGCTCTGATATTTTCGATCTGTAAATCTGAGTCAACAATGATAATAACAATAATAGTAATAACGACAATAGCAACAATGATAATAATAATTATGATGCCATTATTAATAATAACCTCTCTGTAATGGTAGGATACCTTGCTCCAGAGTAATATAGTTAGTTCAAGTTATACGCAGGCAACGCAGTTTGATGAGTCTACACCGCTTTTATCTTACAGGTCGAGTTGTTCATTTTCCTGTCCTGGATGTTGCACAAGTTCACATTTTTACCGCAAGAGGATGGTGTTCTTCCCGATATCAAAGGAGTTAACAGGTTTACCCGGTTTCCAGCACCTTTCCAGATCAGAGCTGTAAAACGTCAATGATAGCTAGTTGTCAGAAAAACCCTCACGAAGTTGTACTAGCTCAGGACTTATTTCAAAGAGTACGAGCGATTAGTGTTTTGTTTTTGTTTCGTCCTGAGGGTCTTATTATTTACCAAATAAATCGAAAATAAAGGAAAAGAATCCTATGTTTTTCAGTGAAATGCTCTAATGCTCTTTGGTCTTCCTTATACAGTTATGGGGAATTCGCATATCATTTCGCTCTAGTTGTTTGTATTCTGGATTGAAAGCTTACGACCCATCTAAAAAGCCTACAAGACCCGTTTAGGAGACCTAACCGGCTCGCTTGACTTCTTCACTCAAACGCTAAAGGGGTAAATACCCTTTGCGGTGGCCCTAATCCGGGGCCTTGTTATGAGACCATAACTATACTTGAGCGTGAGTGTATTTGTAGGTGTCTTCAGTACTTTGCCGTGTTCTCGCGCTTGAGCCTTCTGCAATGACATTCATTGTTGAAACTTCACACTGCTGAGCTCATATCGTCCAAGTAAATGAATCAGTATAAAACAGCTGCCAGTAATAAATGCAAATTCTTCTTTTGTTCTCGCATTTCGCATCTAAAAACGATTAAGTCCATCTGTTTACGCGGTAAGAGCTCAAGCGTTCTTAATTTCTTCTCTTCCCTTGAAAAAGAGCTCTCGTTTTCGAAACGGCTTTCATTCAAATGTATTCTCGAAATGTCTGCGCTTTAAATTTGCAAACACTAATTTAGCGTAGAGTTTTAGTGACAAACAAGCTGGATACCTGTTTGCCTTACAATTGACAGTCATGCCATCTTCTTATTGTTTGCGATATTATCTCGTGACCTCTGGTGACGTCAGTGGCAAATTTTGGGTACCCAAGATGGAGCTCGCAGTTTCGGAGTACTTTACTGTCGGCAATATATTCTTGGCTATTGTTTTCTTACTGATTCTCAATCAATTGGTTGAACTGTATCAGTTCAGGAACATGCCACCAGGACCTCGTCTGACATCCTTGCCTTTTGTGGGAAATCTGTTGAGCTTTGCCTCACCGAAGGGTGCTAAACAAACAGAGCAAATTTGCATGTTATGTTTCTTCGCCTCAGCAGTGTGCGTTGCGGAAAATTGAATCATCCGTAGGATGAGAGGTCGAATTAAAAAGTACTACTATAGAACAAAATAAAATTTTCTCATCGAGGCGCCTTTTATACTGCACTGGTTTAGGAAATGACATTTTCACTCTGCAAATTCAGCCAATTCAAAACACCGGCGATTGAAACGCTTGACTGCATCCTTGGTCATACACATAATAGGGATTAATTACGCCGATAAAAATACACAAATAGCAACTGCAATAACGGTCCCGTTTTCGGAAAGCTCAGCTTTTCGTGGACGAATTGCCGGATTATATTAAGGGTTAGGCTTAGCTGCCTATACAAATAAGACAAAACTGCGTCTTTAGATTTGAAAAGAGCGTTTCTGTAAAGCGAGATGATTGAGAGATGTTATTATAAATAAAAAGCTGCTAGATGATTGTGAGATGTTTATCGTCTTCTGTAGTGTCTCAGCAAGAACTGAAAAGATGAAATTTTGGTGTTTCCAGGCACAAAATAATTTGTTTCAAAGGTATTCTTCTTTCTTTTGTGTATGCTGCGTCCAATAATCTCTAATGCAAATGTCGAACTACGAAGAGAGGGGCCGAAAACTGTGGGAAGGAGGGTAAACGTAACGATATAATTGACATAAATTTAGGCAAGTTATACCTTATATCGGACACTTTAACTATTATATTTTGTTTTCTTTATGACTAAGCTTGAAAGAGAAGTATGGTAACTTGTATTCCTTGAAGGTGGGGAGTTTTAAAATCGTCATTGCCGAGGATGTGGCTTCAGTGAAAGAAGTGTTGGTGAAGAAATCGGCTGATTATGCTGGAAGACCCCCATTCCATAGCTTTGTGATGTCCACTCTTGGTAAGTACTGCAATTCCGAATAACATGTCTTGCCAAAGTAGGGGTACTAGAGAAAACTGTCGGGCAAGTAGCCGCCCATGTGGGGGGGGAGGGGAGGGATAGTGACACAACTAAAATCCTCCACCCCACCCCCCCACCCCCCTGGTGCTAGATAATGATCGGTCTTTAAAGTCAATGAAAGAGCTGAGTTTGGACATTCGTATCGTTTTTATGTCGTACTATAAATGCGGTATCTTGACGCTTATTGGAGCTACGGAAATCCATGAAAGTTGTATATTTTCTTTTATTGAATTCCAGGCGGAAAGGATATTGCATTTGGGAATTATGGTCCTGCATGGAAATTTCATCGCAAACTCTTTATGACAGCGGTGCGAAAGTATATCTCAGATCAGGAGCTGGTTGAAGAAAGAATCTCTGAGCAAGCAAAAAGGCTACTGCAGTACTTTGAAGATCAGTGGGGAAAGGTTTTGATCCTTCACAGATTTGATGGAAAGCGTTGCAAACGTCATCTGTCGGATCACGTTTGGAAAGCTCTTTGATTCATCGCATCTAGATTTCCAGAAACTCTTGGATACAAACAATAGAGTTTTTACAGACATTGAATTGAATAGTCAGGTATTAATGTTAGATAACTTTCCCATAGCCAAATACTTCCCATTCAAAGCCTACCAAACAGAGAAAGAAATGACTGATCGAATGTTTGAGATTCTGCACAATCAGATAAGGGAACAAGAGAAAGCATTTGACCCCGAAGCGGAGATCGAGAACCTTACTGGTAGCCTTTTGAAGGAAAAACTTGGCGCCGAAAATGAAGTCGGCACTGAGGAGAAAGCAGCCATTTTGTCCGACGACTATATAATTAACACCATATAGGACATGTTCAGCGCTGGTTACGAGACCGCCAGCACCACTCTTCGTTGGGCCATCGCTTACTTGGTCCACAATCCTGGCTGTCAAACAGAGATTCAGAACCAGTTGGACGAAGAGAGTGGAAGGGACCGAATGCCAGGTCTGGATGATCACCCAAGCCTTCCGCTGGTTCAGGCCACAATCATGGAAATACTTCGCCTCGGAAATGTCGCTGAAACAGCTCTTCCTCATTACACTCTAAAAGATACCACACTTGCAGGGTACCGTGTTCCAAAAGATACCGTGGTTGTGCCCAATCTGATGGCAGTTCACATGGATCCAAGCTGCTGGGAGGATCCAACCAAATTTAACCCACACCGCCATATTGATGGTGATGGCCAAGTTGTTACCAACTCTGTAAACTTTCTACCCTTTTCAGCTGGACGTCAGATTTGTGCTGGCGAAGCACTTGCAAAGGTAATTCGTGTCATCAAATTATGATGGGGAAAATTCATCTTGTATGTAACAGATATAATGCAAATAATAAGTGATTATGTTTGCCTTTCTTTTCTTGCAGGTCGAATTGTTCTTTTTCCTGTCCCGGATGTTGCACAAGTTTACCTTCTTGCCCCAAGAAAATGGTGTTCTTCCTGACCTTAAAGGAGTCGATGGTTTCACCCGTTTTCCGGCGCCTTACAATATAAGGGTTAAAAAACGGCAATAGGAGCTTATAATCTTGAGCGAACGGTATAATAGGCAGAAAGTAGAAGTGCTCGTAACAAAAATAAGTCTTGGTTTGCAATACCGTTCTTCAAAAACTAGGCTGTGCACGGCATAAGATTGCGAACATCCGCCTAAGGGTTGACAGAAGTTAAAGGAGAAGTATACTCCAGAAACCATATATATTATTTTTATTTCTTCCATTTAAAAGTATTCATATGAAATTATGATACCGACCGCAATTTTAAAATCGAGAGAGTTAGATTTAACCTTTTTTCAAATCGTCTTCAGTTGTGCTAAACTGCGAACATGGACGCCGCTATTTCTGATCCTGCTTAGCAGCCTGGCCGCTTAGTTGAAACATGAGTAGGTCTTATTCCTCTCTTTTTTAGCGGCCTGATAAGAACAATACAAAAACGTATTCTTGACTCAAACAATAATGCATTGCGATATAAAAAAAAGATCTGTTTGTTAACTGCACGCTGTGGTTTAGCGTGTGCGACTACTTCCTCTCTCTTTTGTTTTGAAAATAGCGGCGTAGAAAAAAGAGACGTTTTTTAGCATTTGATGGCCCTTTTTTAAATGGTTAAGTCTATCTTTAGAATTTAAAAAGAAGCAAGTGGCAAATTCCTATATATCAGTGGTATATATCATGTATTCTTACCATACGTTATGAACTATACTCATTTATAGAAAGTGTAGGATTCAAAGAATTAAACGCTTTTGAGATACTATCAACATGATCTCACTTTAAAAAAAGGAATAGGTCGATATTCGGGAAGTTAACTCAATTAGAGATGAATAAGTTTGTTGACAGGCAATCAAACGTTGTTGAAAGTTCGATAATGAAATCTAAAGGACTAAATTTGTATCTGAGTTACCAGGAATCCTACTGTCGTAATATCCAAAGCGCTACGGGTGCCGCAATTGAATTTTCCATTTGGGACTCTTTACTTGTAGCTAGCGTTTTATAACCCTGATTTTGTAATCAGCTGGGTAGGGAGAGAAACCCGTTTTCCCCTTCAGATCCGGTAGGCTACCATCCACCGGTGGTAGAAATGTAAACTTGTGCAGCATCCAAGACAAGAACAAGAACAGCTCCACCTTTTAGGCAACGGAAACAATACAAAAACATCTTTTATAAATGTAAGAGTTTCACTGAGGATATTAGGAACCGAGACCACTAAGGCATAAGCACATTTTTGAAATATCGAGTAATTCCAAAAACTGCAAAGGATACTCATGCCAGATTAAGCAAAGGGGAGCTTGAAGTCTTTTAATTGGATTCAAGAAGAGCGTTTTTACAAAGGGCACTTAAATCATCCCATCAGCTCAAATACTCCCCGAGACACATTTATTTAAATATTGCTGAACTTAGGAGACGTTCGAGCAGCTGCTAAGAAGAGAGAACTGATACAATATGACATCTACCTTGGCATGGATAAATTTTCCTTGTGCAAGTGTTGCCGGCGAAATTGCGATTAAAACTGATATAAAGGGAATAGAAAGTCTCACCTTTGCCAAGGCCTCGCCGGCACAAACCCGGCGTCCAGCTGAGAAGGGAAGAAAATTGCCAGAGTTGATGATGATTTGGCCATCGGAGTCAATATGACGACGAGGGTCGAAGGAGTCTGGGTTCTCCCAAAGGTTAGGGTCAAGATGAACGGCCATTAGGTTGGCCATCACCACAGTATCCTTCGGAACGTGGTAACCGACCAATGTCGTATCGTTCAGAGTGTAATGTGGAAGAGCTGTCGGAGCAACATTTCCAAGGCGTAGTGATTCCATGATGGTGGCCAGGATTAGAGGAAGTTTTGGACGGTCATTCAGATCCGGCATGCGATCCCTTCCGACAACGTCGTCCAGCTGACTCTGTATATCCCTTTGGTGCTCAGGATGGCTGACAAGATATGCAATGACCCAGCGTAAGGCAGCAATGACGGGGTCAGAACCTGCACTGAATATATCTCCCACGCTGTTGATTATGTAGTCCTCTGATAAAATGGATGCTCTCTCCTCCGCGTCAGCCTCATTCTCGGCAGCAATCCTCTCTTTCAGAAGACTTCCAATTAGACTATCGATCTCTGCTTTTGGGTCGAACTCATTTTTCTGTATCTTTAACTGTTGGCGAAGAATTTCAAACATTCGGTCTACGATCTTCTGCTCTGCTTGATACCCAGAAAAAGGAACGTACTTGGCTATTGGAAAGAAATCCAAGACGAAGATTGAGAAGTTACCTCAATGTCTGTAAAAGCCTTGTTATTCAAGTGCAAGAATTCCTCAAAATCTGGATGGGACGAGTCGAAGTGTTTCCCAAATGTGATTCGACATATCACATTTGCAACGCTCTCCTTGATTATCTTTCCAGGGTCGAAGTCATTTTGGTCCTCAAAGTACTGCATCAGCCGTCCCACCTGCTCGGAGATCTTTTCAATCGAAGATAACAAATATACTTTCAATTTCGCGCAATGGTTAATCATTAACACCAATAGAAAATCAATTGCATAGTTTGACAATCAATGGCGTATTAGAGACATACAATAATACAATTTGCATAGAGGCACACAATCAATTGCACCTTCATACAATCATTTATTCAAAATGGTCAATAATTAACGTGAACTGATAAACATGTGTGTAGTAAGAACACACCCTTAAATGAATGATTAACTCATTAAATGACTTGGTTATGACTGACTGTCTGACTGATGTCTGTTTAACTGGCTGGGATCATGTGATGACTGATTGACAACCTAATTTACAAACTGACTTAAACTTATATTGTAGATTGCTTTAACAAAAAAAAATATTACTATGCTTTGGGGAGCTTGTGATTCTAAAAAAAGGCAACCATAGACAGGTGAAAGAGGCAACCAGAAGTGTTTGTGGGCCTGTATCAATGCCTGCTTTCTATGTTATCCCCTAATCTGGTGCACCTTCCAAATTCTCTTTTTATTGAAAAACAAAGAATGGTACACGGCATGTCTGGGTGAGTTAGTACAGTCCATGCCAAAATGTGTTAAAACAAACATTTTTTGCAATTGAAGCATGATATGGGAGGTTCCAAAATTGTCTCATGTGGTCTGTTCAACCAATGGAGACAGTGATTATCAACATTTTGGCTGAATGGATGGTTTGACTCTTCATTAATTGCTGGAAATGTCGGGTCGTTGTACGACCCCCTTATATCATGACACAGCTATGTCATGACACACCACGACACACCTATGTCACACGAGATTAAAGACAAAACGCACCAAATAATTTGTTGTGAAAAGGCAAAATTATCTTTTATGGCCAACTTTATTTCAGAGTGTCAATTCAAAGATAGATAAAGACCCTGATTTATTTTACTTTTAAAATAGTCGTCACTGATTTCCACTGAATAATAGGCACCTCAATATTCTGAAGAATTAAAACATTTCCGACTTTTAAAATGCAAATTTCAAGAAATGCGTGAAAAATGATAGGGACATACTTGCATACTTGTTTTGATTTAAATATTTTCAAGACTAAACCTTTTTAGCATCGACTGTAATGCTGCTGCAATCTTTAATGGATTTTTTCGTTGTTTGACCTCAAGAGTTTTATCGCCCTTGGAAATTTTCGTGTTTGAGAGGAGCTAGTTTGTACAACGTGACTGGGTCAAAAATGTTCATGAGAGGACAGAAAGAGCCCCTTCCCCCCCCGAAAGACAAAGGACTTCTGTCGCAGGCTTGTGCAAAGGCGAGCATTTAGCAAAGGAAATGATGAACATGCTACCTCTACTCAAAATACATATAACAAAAATTGTTCAGTGAACAGGAAATGAAAATAGACAGATGCTCAAGGTATTATCTTCATACTAAACGGGTTTAGCCCCCCCGAAGACCTCTTTGTCTTTAGCCTAAGTTATTATCTGGTCTAAGACGTAAGGAGTTTTACAAGATTGCCCTTGACTTCATGGGAAACAGCTAGTAGTATCGTCTAAAACTCTTGTCTGATCGCAATGTATTGGACGTGAACAACGAAGAGACTTGGACACTAGAGTGGTCTAAATTCCCACCAGCCTTTTCAAGCATAGTTTAGTTTAATTGTGCACGTGCATCGGGAAACATGTCTATACTACAGTTTGTAACAGTGTTGCGTTTTTTCATTCGTTTACTTGTGGTTTTATCCATCATGGAAGACGTCAGAAGAAGTCACACTGTCATATCCGTTCGTGGGCCATTTAGTTGACGTGTTTTTCTCGTCTTCAGGAAGCTAGTGGAATCGAATCATCGAAAATTATGGAGGTAGGCTTGTTGCTTTGGTGTATTTATTGCTATTAATTGGTATATCGGTCAAACGCTCACCAACTGCAGAATAATCTTTCCATATGATCAACATCAGCATATGTCTGTGTGCTTTGAAGATAGCGGAACATAGCGACAGTCACTTGTTTTGTTGAGAGATACATGTATTAGTGTAAGGGTATTCTGTACTTCATCCAATCATTTAACGGCCAGGTTAAATACATTTTCAATCTTAGAATAACGAAATATCTGCAATTACCCAAGCTTTTCCTGATTTTGGAAGTATGACTACGTTATTTATCCCTCAGTTCCCTAAAATTGAAAACAAATTATATTGGCATTCGTGTCTGGGACTTTGTTGTGAAACACATGCATGGGTGATCAGTAGCACATGATAAGGGACCGAAATATGTGTGTTTAAGTCGTACAGAATGAGTGTCAGACTAGATGCAGACCAGCTTTGACAAGCATGTGCCTCTATTAGTATGTATGAGCTAGCCGATTGTTTTCTATTGTGGAATGGTCCCTGTTTATTTCAATTGGCATTGTATTTGCAGCAAAAGCTGGTGTTCTGTTGCACCCAATGTCTGTTGATTGTCTTGTGTTTCTTTAAGTTGTGTTTGTTCACTACTGTGGTCCTGTTAACTTTGCGACACATAAACCACAATTTTTGGTTGCTGGCAAATTTACATCAAAATATGCTTGCTAAGAAATATTGTAGTGCAGTAGT